CCGCCCTCCCGTCTCTCGGGGGCGCACGATGTGTTCCCACGAAAGGCAACAATCCCGACCGGCATCATGCTCCCGCGACGTGCATTGTCAAAGCGCATTCAGCTTACCCTGTTGTTAGAGCAGCCTTGCGCAATGAGGCCCAGACAGACGACTTTTCAGCCTGGCGCCGCCAAGCGCTCTGGGCCTCCACTACCGCCACCACCCTTTGCCCCTCTTCGTTGTTCGTATAACCCACAGCCCGTTGGCGCCAAACAGGCGCCTGGGCGCCTGGCGTCTCGCCTGCACTTCTGCCCTGCTCTAAACCAGAAACATGCTGAGCCGCGAGGGGAGCGCCCGCGTCTCGCGCGCCTCAGCCTCAGACCGCGACAGTGATTAATGCTCTTACTCGCCCACCAGCAATTAAGCAACGCCCTCAAAAAGTTAAATCCTGGATCTAGCCATGTGTGGAGGCCTGCTGCCTGCCTCTCAGCCCAGCTGGGCTCCTGTCGGAGATCTACGAGTCAACGACGACAAGCCGGGTCCAGACGAGACGAGACGGAGGTTTTTCCCTTCTTTTTTGATCCTAGGTCAAGAGGGCCCGGGGAATAACCGCGCGAGGAGGAAGATTGGCGACCCGTAATCAGAGCCTCGGCGATGGGGGGGGGGGTTCGTTGTTCCTGGCGTCGAGGAGCAATACCGCTTGTTGGTGCAAGCGCATCGCGATTCTCCGTGGCCCTCATCACCTCATCATTGTTAAGCTCCTCTGGAGCACACGTTTGGCCGTATGGGGTCTAGCAGGCTACTATTGATAGCGCGCCACCTTTCTCTCCCTCTCCCGCCCTGGGGCAGTGACATGTGGTCGTCTCGTGACCCTGCGTCTGGCCCACCCGACTGCGAACTGCCGTGACTCGTGGGATCCCCACCGGCTAACCAGGTAACTAAACAATCAAGCTAACGGAGAAGCCCCATGGCCCCCCAAGATCGTCGCCCAAGGGAGACCGAGGCCGGCGCCGTTGAGACCACTGACATACTACTGACCTACAGCGTCCCAGAGGCTTGGGACGCTGATGAAGGGGGAAGTTCAGGGCACGGCTTGACTGATTGATTGATAGACCGTCCCGGGGGATCCTTCTGCCCTTGCCCCGAAAAACGACACAGGCTACACAGTATGCCAGACATTGTACCGAACTGGTCCTCGCGATGACTTTGTCTGCTGCTTGCTTGAATTTCCTCCAACCGCAAACCGCTCGCAAGCAGTTGCCTCACGACATCTGTTTTCCTCTCACCGGCATTGTTCGGTTTTTGGTTCACTCCTGTCTGTTGGCCGGCAGGCATGCTGCAAGTGGCAGGATAGGTCTTGGACAGGTAGGTTATGCGATGCACGCCCCGTGTTATCGCCGCAGCGCCAGACACGACCTCGGTATGGATGGGCTGCAGCGCATCTGCTCCCTGGCTCCCAACTACCCAGACTACCAAATGCTGGAGAACACCTTGCCCAGCAGCCAGCCAGCTGGCCCCTCCCTTGCGGGACGAGCCTCCTGCCAAGGCGAACGCATGAAAAAGAGGCACAGGTCTCGGGTCCTGCGCTCTGGGTAGTCTACTTCCTGGGCAGCTGGGCCGTCCCGTCTGAGAGAGGGCGGTGCAGAGAGGGCAGGGCAAATCTTGCCCGTCTTTGTTATCGCGGCGCTTTTCTTCTCCTGCTCCTGCCCGAGGGCTCGTGCAGGACCGGCCGAAAGAGGCGCTTGTGCTTTTTTCCCCTTCCTTCCTTCTCTTATTCTTAATCTTACTCTATCTCGTCTATCTATCGCCCGGTGCAAAGGGATCTACAAGAGCGCGAACGCAGATCTCCGAGGACAAAACGTTTTTCCATACACCCCCAAGCGCTCGTTCCACACAGCAACATGCTCGATGTAACGGTCCCGGGCTGGTCTGATCGAGCGCAGGCGCGGCGTGGTTTGCTCGTCCCGCTGCGATGCTGTCGTTCGTTCGCCTCGTGCCGAGGATGCATATGGGAACTGATTGATTGACAGGCAGAGAAGATGCGCTTATTAATTTCACTGAAAATCTCTGCTTGGCTATCATTTGCATTTGTGACCTGGGGCCGCGGTTCGAGGGAAGGGTTAGTTTAGCAAAGTGGGCCGCCGCATGGCAAAAAGAAAAAAACCCACATGCAGTATGTAGTCTGCTGCACGTACACAATGGGCTGACCCCTGCCCAGCTGGGACTCTGCAGCTCTCCTTCCTGCGCGCCACCCACGCACCTACCCACCGTGGACATGGACAGGGCCATCACGAGAAGAGCGTGCTTGCTGACATGGTGCAATTGAGCAGCGGTTAGAGAGGGTTGGACGTCTCCTTGCTGCAGCATCGGGTGGGGGACCCATCGTGAGCGTGTGAGTACGGAGTATGTCTGTGGGTGCACTACATCGATATCCAAGACGGAATGGGAGTTTGAGGGTGTGTGATCTCTGTGACCGTGTGCCGGGGTGGGTTTGCCTCACTTTCTGGGGGAAAGGGGTGTGTGGGCAGCTTGACTTCCGAGGGAGGCAGCACTTGCATTGCATGGTTTGCTTTGCTTGATTGCTCACACCTCACAGCTCATAATCCATAAAGAAGGCAGAAGCAGGAGAGCTTCCTCGAGAGGCAATGGAGAAATGGCGGACCTGGGCGGCGGATCGGCCTCTGCGCACTGGCCGCACTTAGAATCATTTCTCCGCGCCCCTTTTCGCACCCACTGCCCGCCCTGAAGCAAGATTTGAGGCCGGATCGGACTGACGGGCTGCTCGCGGCTTCTTTGGTCACAAACACTGTGTTTTTATTTTTATTTTTATTTTTTTGTGATGCTACATGGGATCGCGGGGAGCAATATACAGGTCAATTTCGTGGGCTTCCTGTCCGGCCTCGTCAGCATTATGTTACTCATCGGGGTCTTCTGTGCTGTCAACCGGAAACACATGGAGATGTGGGCGATGGATTGAGGCGCGGTCGTGCAATTTCCAAGATGGCAAGGAATCAGTTGTGCAGGGTATGGGAATCCCGCCTCGACCGCCCATCTCCGTCCGATAAGCTTTCTCGGCCTTGGAATGTGTGTTACCTCGGAACCGCAAACCCACGTTTTCCCTGGTGCGGGCGGACGACTGTGGGAGGATGAGGGGGATGCGATTTCGTCAATGAGGGATTGTTGTTGTTGTTTTGTTCATCTGCTGTGTAGGGTATTTTATTGCTCGGCCATGGCATCGGGCCTTTTCCGCCCTGGACGATTTGATTGATGCTCAATTACATGTACCATGTATACATCTGTCTACAGCAGACTGCTCTCCCAGTTCGCAGACATGCAGTTATTGTACGTAGCCTACTTACTCCCTTCGCATCTTTGCCTGCCCGCCATGCCGTTGTTGTCACGACGATGAAACGTAGCAAGCCACTGGACGAGTGAACGTGCCCAACATTTGTGGTGGACCGAATCGTCTGTTGCTATCCAAGCAGAACAGACAGCCAGATGGACAGTCAGTGGGCCCCATCTGGGAGCACCATTGACCAGTTCATGCAGATCGCATCACATCGACCGACCCGGGGGAGATGGAAGGGACTCGGCGACAGAGAGAGAAGGAAGAGGGACGATAGAGTGCGGGTGAGGGAGCTGGCTTGTACCCCAGTACTGTACGTACCCTTCCTCGACCCAGGCCAGAAGGAATGACAGAAAGCAGGAAGGAGGTACGTACCCGCCCGAATCGAGGGTCCGTGTGGTGGTGACCTCGGTCCCGCCCAGCACGAGCCCAGCAAGAGTCCAGCCAGTCCAGGTCTGGCTGCCCTTGCATCTGCATCTGCACTGGCCCCTACGCAGCACCCCTGGCCCCGACCCCTGCGCCCTGGGACGAGCAACAGTAGCGCCGCCCGTTCAGGATGAGCCCTGCACAGGGGGCGATGGCTGTGGTGCGCACAGTGCACTGTGTAGCAGACGGACCAGAAATCCGTCATTCCAAGGTCCAATCTGCCCAGGTCCCCATGTAACCCAATCTGCTCTTTCCCTCTCTCTGTGTGTGCATGTGTGCGTGCGCTGTGGTAACCGCTACTCGGTTGTCTCGACAGGTCCTGGGTGAGTTGATCGTACCTTCTACTTGGACAGATACAACGGCTCTTCCCTGCCAGACCCTGGCCCGCCCACCCATGTACGGACTGTAGCACTGGTGGTCTACCTGCCCACGGGCACGGGCAGAGGAAAACACCCAAGTCGCCCATACCCATACAACACCCACACAGATCCTCTCCCTCCTCCTGCTACAACATTCCAGAACGCTCCGCGTCTCTGCTTTGCTTCCTTCTACATACTGCTGCCGCCGCTGCTGCTCCAGACGGACAGGCGGACAAAACAACAAAATATCGACTCCGAAACGATCTACCGTCGAGACTGTGACCTCGAGAACACAGAGGCCGTGTGTTGTTGCTCCATCACTCGCAAGCACACCACCGCATACGCACATAGGCACAACGCAGGCACACACACATACGCCACGCCGCACCACACCACACCAGACAGACATCCCCTCCCACCCGGGTTGTTGACTGGTACTGCATTGATTGGGTACAACTGGGAACGGAGATTGGAAAATCTGCGCCTCACCTCACCAGCCTGTCTAGACATCTATCCAAGAGACGACTTGGACCCTGTCTGGAAGAAGAGGTCGAAACAGCCCCAATTGGAACCACAAACCTCAGCCCAGTTTCTAATTACTCCGCCATTATTCGAACCACAGGGCAAGGAACGGGGCAATTTGCGACAACAGGGCTCGACGATCATTTTGGAATCTTGGGACGTTGAAACCAGGGAACCAGTCGTCGTCAACGGAAAGGAAAAAACACGGTGCTCGTGCTTTCCACAACCGAGGGATAAAGAACCTTGGGTTTGGCCACCGGGTCCACATTAGAACTGCCCGACACGACACGACACGGACAAGGACAACACGGACAACGGCTGAAATAAACCGCAGCTCTCATGACTCTCCACTCGTGAATTCCACCGCCATGGTTATGCTGAGCGAACAACCTTTCCGGTCGAGTTTGCAGGTGGCGCCCCTCACTATCCAGAAATCCAGGTCCGACTCGACTGGCGATGCCTCGACACCCGAACATTCTTCCTCCACCAACCCTTACCAACGATCAGAGATGACTCCCCCGGCCACCCCCGAGGGGTCGCAAGAGGACCTCAACTCGCCTTCGAACCCGCCGCCCGTCTTCCACAACTTCCTGCGAGCGTTTTACCCCTTCCATCCCAGCTATGCCATGACCGATTCCGCCGTCACCCTGCCATTGAACGAGGGAGATGTCGTCCTGGTCCACTCCATACACACCAACGGCTGGGCAGACGGCACATTACTGGTGTCCGGCGCGAGAGGATGGCTGCCCACCAACTACTGCTATGCCTACGACCCCGACGAGATGCGGAACCTGCTCAAGGCCCTCCTCAACTTCTGGGACCTGTGCCGCAGCACCGCCGTCAACGATAGCGAGATCTTCGGCAACCAGGAGTTCATGAAGGGCATCATTGCCGGCGTGCGCTATCTCTTGGTATGTTGACGTGGCGCATCTAGCCCGCCTGTCGTGCAAGGGGTCTCGCCCACTACTTTGCCGTTACGCTGCTGCTAACTCTTGTCGCACAGGAACGGACACATTGTTTGACCCGCGAATCATCGGTCGTCCAGCGCCACGATGGGCTACGGAGGGGCAGGAAATCGCTACTTTCCGAGCTGTCCGCCCTGGTCAAGACAGCTAAGCGCTTACAGGAGCAGCAGAAGATAGCCAGCCCCACCGACGCCGTAAACGACACCGTCGACGAGATGATACTGAAGGCGTTCAAGATCGTCACCAAGGGCGTTCGCTTCCTCGATGTCCTCGAGGAGGACAGGCAGTCACGGGCACCAGCCGTGACCCTCATGCCGACTGTTATGGAGGAGAACTACGTACCGCCGACGCCCCCAGCCGACGCGACAAGTTTTGACGACGACCGGAGTACAATCAAGTCCCATGATGCAGGTTCCCGTGCGGGTGACAGCGGATTGGCTCCCGAGTCACCCACAGCCGGAGCTAGTGAGGATACACAAATGGCTACTCACTCCAGCGACCGTTTGTCAACTGGTCGCTCCGCGGGCACAGGGGCACGGCTGTCTCAGAACAGCCAGAGGGCTGTCAACTTTAGCCGCCTGTCGTCTAGCATTGCTCACCGCGTCTCTCTCGCAGGCCCGTCGCCGTTGTCAAGGCCACAGAACCTTGTCTCAGAGCGTCTCACCGCCAGCCATGACACCTTCCTCTCCCACCTAGGCTCATTCATCGGCCGGCTGCACCTCCAGTCACAGTCACGACCACACCTCGCACTGGCCATAAAACAATCGGCAACATCCGGCGGGGAGCTCCTGGTGGTCGTTGACGTCGTGTGCGCGCACAGTTCTCTAACCAAGGAGCTACTAGAACAGCCCCGAGCTGCCATGTACGACCGCGTATTAGATCTCGTGCACGCCGCCCGGGACATCCTGCACCACGATAATGGCCCCGAACTGGCCGAAATCATCATGACCGAGGACAACAGCAGACTGTTGTCCGCCGCCACCGGCTGCGTGAGGGCTACCGGCGAGTGTGTCGCCAAGACGAAATGGGTCATCGAGAGAATAGGCGATTTCGAGTTTGAGCTCGAGGACGGTAGCCTGGGACTTGACCTGGATCTTGGGGCCCTCGACATCGTCGGAGAGGAGCGAGAAAGATCCGCAAGTGTTGCATCCACGGTCGCATCTATCCACAAGCCCCTGCCAAAGGACAAACCGCTCCCGCAGGTCCCATACTCGGCGTATCCCGACAGTGATGACACCGAGCCCCTCGTCATGCCCCTCCCACCACGTCGTGAATCACTCCTCTTCTCCGACGGAAACACCTCCGATAGTGCGACATCAGTCTCCTCGATCCGCCCCAGCCTTCCGCCATTACCGAAGCTGTCGACATCCTTCGCGCCCGAAGATTACAGCCCGACCAACTCCGCTGGCCCCGAGAGCGAGGGGAGATCATCCTACCAGCGCGAGAGCATCGTTGCTACCAGCTCTGCCAATAGCAGCGCGTACGTAAACAGAGGCTCCGAGTCAAGCCTCCTCTCTCAAACATCCACCCGTGCTACAACACCGGACCTGCACCTCGGCCCGAAGCTCCAACCCTCTATCTCCGAACTTAGTGCCACCAGCAACAACGGTGAGGAGGTCGAGGAGGTCGAATCGAGGCTCCTGGAAAAGACATATGCGCATGAGCTCATGTTCAACAAGGAGGGCCTGGTTGTCGGCGGCTCTCTGCCAGCTTTGGTGGAGCGCCTGACCACTCACGAGTCCACGCCCGATGCCCTGTTTGTCTCGACCTTTTTCCTCACATTCAGACTCTTCTGCACACCAACGAAGCTTGCCGAGGCCCTGATTGACCGCTTCGAATACGTCGGTGACTCGCCACACATGTCTTCACCGGTCCGCCTGAGGGTTTACAATGTCTTGAAGGGATGGATGGAGTCGCACTGGCGAGACGAGACAGACCACAAGGCACTGGATTTGATCAAGCTCTTTGCCGAGTCCAGACTGCACTCGGCCCTGCCGTCGGCTAGCAAGCGCCTTCTCGACCTGGTGCAACGTGTCTCTTCTACAGACACCACCCTTGTGCCGCGCTTCGTCTCGTCCATGGGCAAGAACAACGCCGCCGTCTCGCAATACGTAGCAGTGGACACGCCGATGCCGGCACCTGCTCTCACCAAGAGTCAGGCGCATGCCCTGGCCGTATGGAAGGCTGGCGGAAGCAGCCCGACTATTCTTGACTTTGACCCTCTGGAGCTCGCCCGCCAGATCACTGCGAAGCAGATGGGCATCTTCTGCTCCATCCTGCCAGAAGAGCTGCTTGGTTCGCAGTGGATGAAGAAGGGCGGCGCGGGCTCGCCCAACGTCAAGGCTCTTACCGCTCTGTCTACTGAGCTGTCGAACCTGGTTGCCGAGAACATCCTGCACTACAACGAGGTCAAGAAGAGGGCCGCTGTCATCAAGCAGTGGATCAAGATTGCCCACCAGTGCCTTGAGCTCAACAATTATGACGCGCTGATGGCCATCATCTGCAGCCTCAACAGCTCTACTATAACGCGTCTACGAAAGACCTGGGACGTCGTATCACCCAAGCGACGTGAGATGCTCAAGGCTCTCCAAGCCATCGTCGAGCCCGCCCAGAACCACAAGGCGCTCCGTGCCCGTCTTGCCGACCATGTCCCACCCTGCCTTCCCTTCCAAGGCATGTTCTTGACTGATCTTACCTTCGTCGACATTGGCAACCCAGCCACGAAGCAGCTTCAAGGCGAGGACGGCAACGACATGACTGTCGTCAACTTCGACAAGCACACGCGGACGGCCAAGATCATCGGCGACCTCCAACGGTTCCAGATCCCCTACCGGCTTACCGAGCTGCCCGACATGCAGGAGTGGATCCAGTCCGAGCTGGAGCGCGTCCACGACTCGGACCCCAAGAGCAACGTCCAGGTCAGTTACTACCGCAAGAGTCTTTTGCTGGAGCCCAGGGAGAACCAGATCCCACGCACTCCAGTGGAAGGCCCCGGTGGTGCGAACGCGCAAGGCATGTTCACCTGGAGGAAAATCGGGACGTCCAACTCCAAGACCCTCAACAACGCACTTACTCACGACTCATCTTGAAACGTAACTACTACTACCACCACCACAAACACCACCTAGAACCGACGACCGCCAGCATTTGCCTGCCTTTGCACGCGCACGCTTCTTTGGCTTTTATATTTTGGTCCTTTATATTTTGATACCCAAAAATTACTCGTTACTTGCTTTATTTGTATTTTGTTATCGGATAGCGGGAAAAGAACCACACGAACTGTCTTCGTCGGCATGACATCGAATCCTCCGATGCCGCATCACACCACACGACTACACGACTTGTCTCGCAACCATCGCACCCAAGGAGTACTTCTCATATTGAGAGGACCACGATCGATCCATAATCGACTGGCTTTATAATCCACCCAGCTCGCGCTATCTGGCCATGAGGTGTTCAGCCGATTATACTTATTCTTTTATGAACGACTGCCAATCATCACCTTTGGATACGATTGGCAGCTAGACCGGTGCAAACCCGACTGGCCCTTACCGACCGGAGGCTCTCGCTCTTCCTTTCCTTTCGGCTTTTGCTTCTTTCTATTGCTACTACTTCGCTTTCCTGTGTACTATCAAAGGATATCACGACCCGGCGACTGGACGGTGGGAAAACAAAATCATTGTGCTTCTACTTGCCACTCCACTAGGCACCCAGCGGCTACGGTGGAACGAGTGGCAATGCAACCGGAAGTTTGGGCGCTTGAGCATCATCGTCATCATCTGGAGTTCCTGGTGCTTTTCCTATTTTGCTTTTCCGATTCTCGTTGAAAATCATGGGGCTCTGGGTGGTTGCGCTGTTGCTGCTGCTGCCTCTCAGAAAGTGAAAGGCTGGGGTGTTCGCTGCCTCCAGGCGAGAAGTGGCAGCGAGACAAAGAATAATACTTGAGCATGGAGGATCTGGCACGCGTGCACGCACTTGGATACTGATGGGGAAAAAAAAGAAAGGGCTTGATGGGGATATCTCGGGTTGGGAGGGTGATGACCAACGGCGTGGGCGTGGGCATACGCACGCAAGCGAACGAGCACCCACGTCTTGATACCATATTTAAGTCGTGGGGACATGACCACGACCAGGCAGGAGGAAGGAAGGGGAAAGGAAAGGAAGGAAAAGGGAAAACAGTACTGCGCAGCACAGCACGCCAACAGCAACAGTCTGGAGATGCCCCCTACCTTGATGAAAGGTGGGCAGGGAGATAACCAACACGCAGCCTACAGTCAGCCAGTCAGCCAAACGCCCCCATTCCGGGGGGGGGGGGATTACCGGCTAGTTCTCGCTGGTCACGGCTTGAGGAGACTGATTGGGCATGAAGATAAATGCGATGAATTGAAAGCGTCGATGAGAGAAACAAAATAAAAAATCATTTACAAATTATTTACACTGTTGCCCCCTTGTATGTTTTTCTTCGCCTGTGTGAATATGATGACTGTAATGACTGATGACCATGATTGAGTGTGCGAATTTGCCATGTAGACAGAGGTGTTGGTGGGCAGGTGGGATAGGTCCACCGTCCCGGCAACTGAACCGTTGCCTTGACCGGCGCCAGGTGTTCATCCTCCTCCCCTGTGGCGGATGTACTGTGAGGGTGTATGCGTCTGACTGGGGTGCGCCTCGAGCCACCTACCTACCTCAGCATCATAGTAAACCAGGCTGCTGTGTTCCCACCCCGACCATGTTTTCAAATCTGGGAGGTCATGGTAGCCGACTTTCGATGGCCTAGGACCTACCTTTTGATGTTGACTGGCAAGCCGTCACGACCGACAGGGCTCACACATTTTTACTTAGAGGCAACCTGCAAGGAGGAAGGGAGACGGGCGTGTCACGGGCCGAGCGCTCGTATGAGAGAATCACAACCCGTTCAGGACGGACCAGCAAAATTGCTGCGCCGCCCTGTCACACGCACGGAGTTGTGGCACCTTTGTAGGTAGATGTACAAGACTGTCCAGTCCAGTAGAGGAACCGTCGCCGTGATGCCAGCTTCAGCACAGTCACGTCTCATGTCACACTGCAGCCCATACTGATGCACAGATGAAAATAGGCCGCTGCTCCGACTCGATATTGTCTCAATTCATTGTGGACATGCATAAGTAGCGGCGGGAAAATAGCCGCTCGAAAGCTGTAGGCTCAACCCAGGTATCTCGACGTCCGCCGCGAGGCGGACCTCCCGAATTAACCCACCGACCACCCGACTCTTCATCGCCACCCGCTGATTATCCCGCTTCCCCTGGGACCCCCACAAAGCACCACCACGTTCACCAATTGTATTCACCGGCCTCCAGAATCCTGCGAGCCGGACGCGAAAGAGCAGGAAAGGGTGGCAAGAACGACGATAAAACAAGGAATTAGATGAAAACCGTGTGGATGGTCCTCTTCCATGTCGGCATGGCCGCCAGCTCGGCGCGGTAGACGTTGATGGCGTCCCAGTCGAGCTCGCGGCGGCCGATGTCGACGTCGATGTCGCGCGTGCGCAGCCAGGCCTGGCGCTTCCAGGCAAAGCCGACGAGCCAGAACAGGATGACGACGGGGAGGGCGAGGTACGACTTGAAGAAGCCCTCGGCGTCGTTGAAGCCGCCCTTGGGAGGACAGATGGCAACGTAGAACTATTTTTGTTAGCAAAAAAGTTGGATGTTGGCTTTCGAACGGACGAAAAGACTCTTTTTCCTGAGGATTGCAGAGGAAGGGCTGAACGTGTAAGTGGCCAGAATACATACCTGAGCAATCAACACAAGCACAACCAAGATCAGGCCAAGATAGCTGCCGTAGACACCTCCAATGGCCTTGAAGGGGATCTCGTCGACCGTGTGACCGTGGTAGGCCCAGGCGCGGCGGAACCGGATATGCGCGAGGCAGATGCTGCCCCAGGTGAAGAGAGCGGCCAAGCCAGACAAGGCCAGCAGCCAATCGAAGACTTCGGGCCCTCTGGCGTTCAGGTTTATGTATGCCAAGCACCCAAAGAGCAAAATGATGCTGACACTCCAGAGGGGGCGGCCCGAGCGGTCGATGTCTGTTGGCATATGTTAGTGGGCATGTACTGAAGCTGAGGATACAGCGCACCAATATTGCGTCACTGGGAAGATAGCAGGGATTGTACTGGTGGGGGGGGGGGAGCTTGACGTACAGGTGAACACCTTTGGAGCATAGCCCTGCTGCGCAAGCGCGGTAAGCGTACGGCTGCCGCCGTAGACGCCGGACACTCCAATGGAAACCACGGAAACGAGGATAATAACATTCATAAATGAGTCGAAGCCCCGCAAGCCGGCATACTTCCCAACCAGGACGAAAGGCGAGGCGTTGACATCGGCATAAGGATTGGCGCCGAGGAGACTCTCATCAGTCGAGTCGATAAGCAGGCCGACAAAGAACAAGCCCAGGATGTAGAAGAGCGTGATACGCCAGAAGACTTGCTTGATTGCGCCAGGAAGACTCTTCACCGGGTTTTCGGACTCTGCCGCAGCGAGGCCCACGAGCTCGGTGCCGCTGAAGGCGAAGGCAGCGGTGACAAAGACCGAGCAGAAGCCGCGAAAGCCGTTCCTGAAGGCACCCGGGTCGTACCACAGGCGCGCGCCCCAGTACTCGCTGTAGTTGCCGGATGAAGGCCCGCCGCCCAGAACGCACACGAGGGCGATGATCATGAAGATGACGGTGGCTGCCAGCTTGAGGCAGCTGGACCAGAACTCCTCCTCGGCGTAGCCTAGGGTGCCGAAGACATTGATGATTATGATGAAGACGAGGAAGACGGAGATCCAGACTGCGACCGAGATGTTGGGATTCCAGTATTGGACGGTCAGACCGCAGACTGTGAGTTCGAGTGGGAGGACGATAGCCCATTGAAAGACGTAATTCCAGCCCTTGGCGCAGGTCAGTAAATGTGTGGCTTTTTGCGGGATTCAGTTCTTGGCCAAGTATTGCTCACCATGGCAAAACCCCAGCTGGGATCAATGAACCTCGTGGAGTACGTGTAGAAACCACCAGAGACGGGATACATGACGGCCATTTCGCCCAATGCGTAGACAACATTGAACATCATGATGCCAATAATCAGGAAATCGATCAACAAGGAGCCAGGACCGCCAGTAGACAAGGCACTACCAGAACCGACAAAGAAACCAGCGCCGATTGAACCTCCGATGGCAATCATGTGCAGGTGGCGCGTCTTCATGGACCGATCGAGCTCCACGATGCCGTGGCCATAGGCACGAGGCTTGAAACTGTCGAAGGTCACGCCCAGGCGAGTCATCAGGGGCTCCTGGGCGATCTCCTCGGCGACGCTCTTGTGGTGAGGCGCGGTGGGCGAGCCATGGCTGTCGTAGCTTGGAGGCAAGACATCGCCTTCTGACTTTGAGATGGCAGGTTGGGTGGGCGTGAGGCCCTTTTCTTCGGATGTCATGGTGAGGATCAAATCTGAGGTGGTATGGTCGATGGAAGTCGTGATGTCTGTGTTTGAAAGGGAGCCGCAGTCTGCAATTTGAAGGTTGAGGTGTCAGTTGCCCAACGGCCACATTCACCGGCTACTAGATCTGGTGAAGAGACGTCGAGACAAGCAAGAGGAACGCGTGAATTCGTAGACGACTGCAAATGAGGGGTCGAGACTGGACAGCGGCTGAGCACGGCCACAAGCAGGAAAGGCAGGTAGGCTGAGCCAGTTTGTATGCAGCTGTGGGCTGTAGCGTGTAATATGCGCGGATGCTTGTTCTCGATGCAACCACAGATTCAGGAACGAAGCTAGCCGTGTTTTGACTGGTGGTGGTCCCGCGGTGCTTGAGTGGACTGGCTGGCTGGGTCACGAGCAGGGTGAAACGGGTCGAAGACTTCTGGAAGCTGAGGGGACTTTTGCCAAGTTGCTAGCGAGGACAACTTATCGGCCAATTGGGGACGTTGACACTGCCAGCGACGGTGGCAGGTTGGCAGGCTGTCGAGTAGATCGAGGGCCGGGGGCGCCGGGGTGGTGGAAGGTGTGACGTTTGGGAGTTTTCATGTGTCAATGGTCCTGGCGAGTGAGGAGGGAAGCCAAGAGCTGGAAGAGGCAAATAAGCTGGGGGCGAGCGATGCTGATCATCTAGGCTTGATGCGGAGGAGTGATGAGACGACGAAGACAGAGTACGAGGCCCGGCGACCAAGCCAAATGGGCAGTGTAGCCGAGGAAAGGCAAGGCAAGACACAAAATAAGGAACTGACAAGTGGCACAGCAGATGAACAGAGAAAGAATATCGGTGTTAATAAACACGCATCATGCAGACAGCAGCGTCTCAGATACGAACCCAAACTCAAATCATTTCATGCCAGGGAGCAAGGCACACATCTGTCCAGATCAAAAATGATGCCCAGGTCATTTTGGACCAGCCACTGCCTGTCCGACACGGCCAACAGAAGGAAATGGGCGGCTTAAGCGACTGTGCTCAGGGCGCAGGATCCGCAGCGATGAGATAGAGTTGCACGGCGTAGCACCCGGAATCAGACACGGCGGGCGATGGCACGCAATGTGAAGAGATTTGCAGGGTGGGATTGCGTGGGCAAGAGGACGACCCGTCGCCCTGTCAATCCTCGCCCGCAATGTTTACGACCATGGACCAACAAGTCCGCGTCGACATCCACGTCGACCATGAATGACATGACCCTCCGCAAGCTGGGACAGGTCGGGTCAGCAATGGCACCACTGATAGAGGTCTCACTCACTCACTGGACGACCTCCCAGCCCTCGACTCGATAAGCGGACACCAAGCCACGGGCAAAAGGCTTAGCGCGGCTCGGCAAAGCTTTCCCGGACGTGCTGATGCGCCGGGGGCGTCTTTGGGCTGCTGGGCATCAGCACGGGGCCATGCCGCCAAGTCCACCAAGTGCCGAGGGGCATCGACGCTGTCGACGGTGGATCTGGCTGCCCCATGGCCTGCATGGGTGGTGATTGCCCACCTGTTCGTCCTAGAAAGGGTCCTGCGCATTGAGTTGAGTTTGAGATTACATGCGTTGTGTATGTGTGTCAGACAACGGACCAAGTCAGCGAACACATCTCTCTGCCTTATCACTGTGAGCTTGGAGAGAGTGGGAGGTCAGAAATGACGGACGTTGGTCGCCCGGCTCCTCTGCTCCTTCCCCGGTCCCGCACCCGGCAATGCTGCAAGGGTAGGGGCAGGTGGGGGTGCGCTAGTCCCGCTTTACCCCAGACTTGTTTTTTGGGGCCCACTCCACCTTCCTTCCTCCCTTCCTTCCTTCCCATGACATAATGACAATGCCTCCGTCTTTCTGCCTCTTTGTCTCCGACCACCCGACCATCCGACCCGCCTTTTTCCGTCACCAACAGGTAGTACAAAGGGAAGCAAGGTTGGTAGTCAATGCTGGCACCCTAATCACGCCCGGAAAGACAATCGATTGTCCTGTGGTGGTACCACGAATCCTGCCCCAGACAAGTCGAGTGGCTCAAGTTTAGTTCCGTCTAGAGTGCCATTCGCTCTGTCACAGGATCCTCCAACTAGCGATTCTACGATGGGCAAAAACACTCAGGGTAATACATGGATGTCAAACTACCTGGACCTCGTAGGACTGCATAACGCAGCTTGTCTTTCACAACAGGAGCTGGTCACGTGTTGCACGGAACGCACATCAGGGGTTGACATATTTCAGATGACAAGTAGAATTACACTTGTCCCTTAACTCCAAGGTCTCTCGCAATGTGCCAAGTGCGCACCTTATGGCCCGAATGTCACCGGGAGGGATAACATTAGGACCTGAGGATGCGTGTTTGGGCCGAGAGGCGCATCTTGAACGGTAAAGGTTTTTCATGGAGTTCTCTTACAACACTTGAAAATTTCATTCAGTCATTACTACATAAAGATGGAAGACCTCTGATTGCGCCCAGAACAAGCCCATCAACACCATAACCTACATCAACAAACGTTCCTGAAGACCGCAGATAATGCCTGGAACCCTAGCCATCCTATCCTACCTCGACACGACCTGTATCGATTCCCTTCTATTGCCATCTCCTTCATCATTCTCTCTTCGCATCGCACCATTCGTATGACTGAAGGCTCTTGTAACATTCCTCATCCTCAGCGGTCCACTCCCTGTGCTCCTTCAGGAGGCCTGCAGCTGCAAAGTGCTGATTCTGTTCGGCGTGCACAACAGCTTTGATGTACTGTGCTCTGTGAAGCCCGTCCGTGCAAGCGCCGTGGTTCAGCAAAAGCTGGACCGTGTCGATCCGGCCATGCTCTGCTGCTCCTTCCAATGCGGTCCGGCCGTTCTTCCGAGCCCCTCTGGCATTGACATCAGCACCAAGCTCCAGCAGTCGGAGGCTTATTGCAAGATATCCATGGATACAGGCGAGCTGTAACGCGGTGGCGCCAGAGTCCTCTGCCGCTGGTGCATTGATGCAAGCTCCACGCTCTATGAGAAGGGTTGTGAGACCCAGGTTTCCATTCTCTACCGCAGCCTGTAATGCAGTTCGTGGCATGCAATTTCCAATGGGCTCGCTTGCTGGGATCTCGTTGACGCTCACACCTGCGTCGAGAAAGAAATGCACCATGGCATCGTTCTCGTCTGAGACCGCCACTTGCAAAGCAGTGGGGCACCAGGGAGGCCGATCTTGACGATCGATTCTCACAATAATTTGCCAGTTCTGTAAACATAGAAGTCGGCGAAGGAGACGTAGGTTTCCCCTCGTAGCTGCTACCACAACAGTGAGGGCATCGAGCTCGTAAGAGCGGGCCAACAGACGACTCAACATGTCCTCGAAGGCTGGCCAATCGACACAGCTGTCTCGAATCGCGGCTAGACCTATCAATGGAGAGCATGCAACCCGTCCTTCACATACCAGAAGTTGCGTTGGGTCCATCTGAGCAAAAGGGTTGGCGCCGTATCGCTGGTCCAGGATCCAGGAGAAGACTTTTTGGGGGAGTCTCGCTGTTTTCATCGTGCCAACAGTATCCGGCGTGAGCAGGATGCGCAATACTTCAGGGTTCCCGAACGTTGCAGCGATCAGCAGGGCTGTGTTTTCTTTCTCCCATTGACAGTTGCTGATTGTCCGTCGACTTATCATGGTCTGGATGTCCTCGATGAAAAACCCATCTCTGGGGTACACATCATTCTGCAGCGCTCGCAGCACAGTCGCAGAGAGCGCCCCAGAATCATATGCTACAGGAAATCGTATTAGAATCTCCCTCGCTGCAGGTCCCAAGAACTTCAGGAGACAAATCTCCAGCAATGGCCGCCCGAAAAGTCGCCGCTGGTCCAGATTTGGCGTCGCGAGGATGAGGTCCACCTGTGTTTTGATGGGTAAGGCTGATATCCCCGGATATTGTAAGGCGTCTATCAAGTCTTGTTCGCCGAACTTGACCCCCTCTCCTAGGAGAAACTGCACAATCGCATCATGACCCCATCTTAGAGCAAGCCGCATAATCCTTCTGATGCTTTGTCCATCTGGTTCCCACGAACCATGATTTAGCAGTGTTCCTAGAAGGGATAGAAGCCTGAACTTGACTGCTAATAGGATCTCTCGACCTGTGAGCTGGCAACCCCAGCTAACAAGGTCAAGCGCAATGTCTTCTTTACGGGCGATTATGGCGTATTCCAACGGGCTTTCGACCCTGGCTTGTGCGATACAATCTCTAGTTCTGGTGTCTTGTGATGGCTGAAACCACAGAAAGTCTTCCCTTTCCTTATTCAGTTGCGAAGGCGAGCATATGTGTCGGATGCGATAATTGATGTTTCCACCTGACTTGACGAGCAAATTGAGGATTCTCTGAAGCAAGAAAGTCTCGCGTCCACAATGCGCAATTTCACGTGAACATAAGGAATGGATTGGAGAGTCTTGAGAGCCGAATGCGTGGTGGGTCTGAGGGATGTCGATAGTTGCCCCCAATCGCAGTAGTAGGTCGAATACGTCGTACTGCAACTGCATCCTCATGCTAGCTGCGGCTAGACATGAGAGACCGAAACGATTAAATCCGCGTACATCTCCACCATGCTGTGAAAGAAACTCAAGTGTGGTGACATCAACGCTGAATGAAGCCAGAATCATGGTGTCTAGGTTTATCGCAGCTCGTTGTTTAAGAAGATACTCCAGCCTGGTGATGCACTCGTTCACTGCCAGTGGACATCCAATTTTGTGGTTCTGCGAGGCCGAAAGGGTTGCCTCATAGCGGTTGCAATAGCTGCAGAAACCCATATAATAGAGGCACACCAATCCCAGTAGATTGACGGTCTCGAGCTTCAGGGTCCAAAAGCGTGACTTCATAGATAGTTCCGGGTCATTGACGTAATTGAAGTTGAGGTCCAGAGATGGATCAGACTTCAGCAGGCGATCGGCGGTGTGGAAGTCGCCGGATAGTACGGCGCGCTTCAAGCTTGTTTGGCCATAGACTGCTCCTGAATCCAGTAGAAGGTTGCCGAGATCATTGTATCTGTGTTCAATAGCAAAGTCGAGAGCGGAGACGCATATTCCACCATCCCTGTCATGAACTCGCTGATCTGGGTTTCTGTCATGAATGCGCTGGTTTGGGTCAGCCCCAATTTGAAGCATCATCTCCGCCAAGGTCATATCTCCGCTAGTGATGGAGAATTCGAAGAGCTGTTCGATTAATGATTTCGAAGTGACCCCTTGGCCCGCAATCAGGAGGCCTTTCCATCTCGAGCTGCTCATCGCCAAAGTTTTGAGTGTGTCGCCGAGTCTGAACAAACGTGTCTTGTCATCATGGCTGTTGCCTGTCGAGAGCTTATTTGATATATGGAATATGAGAAGGCCAAGATCGGTGACAATTTGAGGATCGCATGGGCTATTTTCATGAGAGGCGGCGTCCCTCTTAACATTCTGCTCTCTTTCTGGCCATTCTGACATGAGGTAGGGTTCTTCAAGTTGCTCAACACCCAAAGGTGGCTTTCGTACCCTAATCTGGTTTACCAAAGTGACTGGGAGCTGGGACGGTGTCGGGGGCTTCACACTGGTCAATAGCAGAACGCGATTCTTGAAGCCCACGGACGTCAACACGAAGTCTGTAAAGTAACGTGTTAGCATTTGAAGAAGTGTCCATCTTCGAACTTTGGCTTGGATTCCAATGTTCACGATGTGTTATTTTCAAGACATCCAATAGAAGCTTTAACAGGCTGAGGCAGGTTACCTAATCCAAAGTAACCTCAGAAAACCATAAAAAGGGTGATTCATACTACTTCGTAGTTCACGGATAAAGTCCAGCCAAGGCAATGATGAAATTTCCCGGCCACAACCAAGCAAGGTATGTTGCGCTTCTGGCGATGCATTCCGGGAAGGTGAATCCACAGAAGAAGGCGGTGTGCAAATCACCAAATCGAAACCTTCGGGACATTTAGGACTATCTGTTGGACAGCATGTTAGCCAGTGTTTCTACCCGTGAAGAAGTTGACATGAAGATTTCAGAATCAAACTTGCCACCAGGTGCAGAGTACTTGTAGGACAGGCTGGGACGATCATGTCTCCTCGTTTCTTTGACGACTTTGGAATGTGGTATAAGAGTGCCATTGAAGAAGACTGCGCTGTCTTTCTTGTTTCTCGCCCGCTTTTGCACCTTGTGGTTCATATACCTCCACGCCTTTTCCGAAAGTCGGGTTCGCTGGCCCCAGCACTTGAGCCGGTACTCAAGTTGTGACTTGCTACATTGAATGTCATCATTGGATGGAGCAAAATGAATAAGGGTGCAAGACTAACGTGATACTGGAGCCGTCCCTTGAGAGTTCCTCTATCACCTCTTTTTGAGTGCTGCCTTCAGACAAGAGACACAGTATCTTCGGCTTCAGCTTTTTCCAGTCTATAGCTGATGGAACTTGTGGCATGATGCCCGTGTATAATCCGAAAGCAATTATAGTTGTCTTGAGTACGAGAATTCCTTGAACAGAAGTAAATCACAAGGCTTTGAGGAGAAAATAGGATCAACCAACCTATTGACGCGAGGGTGGGAGAAACAGGGATTTAAGTCTTCTCTTCTGGCTGCCTTATCAGGCAGAAGCTGAAATTTCGTGGTAACGCAGATCATTATCTGGCAGGTGAACTGTAGTTAAGGATTCCGATTGGACGAGACCATAATCCGAAATCAAAATGGGGAGAAAAGCAGGATGACCAAATGTGTAACATATAAATCATACCGATTGGCTCTGCCCAGAGCCTGAAAGCCACCCTGACAGCTACCTAGGTATGTCTCCGGGACCGGAACAAAGTACACTGATGCGGCTGTGCCCAAGAAGCCATCGTCTAGAGTTTCACCTTGTCAAGGCAGCTTGCACATACTGAGATCGTCCATCATTGGTCCTCACCATTCTCTGGATACATCGGTACCCCGAAATTCTTTTGAAACAGTTCTATTGGCCATACCCAAAGTCGGAATCCAGTCGTGGAGGCTCATTTCAAAGAAGGACTGCAATGCCTCGTCCTACTGTCGCTGGCATGGGGCAAACCCTGCTACGCAGCACTCCCTCATGGATCATTTAAAAAAGGTCGATTTCATCCACTCAAATTTTCAATCAAATTCGCGCCACTCTTCCCAAACTTTCCCGTCCCAACTTGCATACTATTTAAATTATACTTTTTCGACTGACAGCAATGGCTGTGTCAGCTGAGTTGACTGTCGCCATCCTGGGGGTCATTGTAACAGTGCCCTCCGCAATCATCGCCTTCGTTAGGTGCAGGCGAAATCGACATTCGAACGTCTTGCTGCCCATCGCTTCCGGTTAGTATTCAGTCAAGCTCCAATTTGGGCACATAAGCCTTCACGCATATTTATTTCACTGCAGTTGTACTGAACTTTTCTAGATCAGTCAAAACACAGAGAACAAGCATACTACGTCGTCGCAGACTTACGACTCTACCCAAGAAATTCTTGAAAAACGGTCAAGGGATAGCCTGAGCATGGATCAGATGGGTAAGAGGTCTGAGAAGCAAGGAGTACTCATTGTCTTTGTTGAGTTCACACTTCCTGTTCCTGAGCACTGCTACGAAACATTGGAAGGTGGGATTTCTGTTGGAGCTGTTCTCTTTCGTTCTGTGCTGGTGGGAGGCAAGACGGCCATGGGCTTTTCCATTCACTCTGCACGTTGTCTGAAATCACGGTTTCCATCGTCCACATCCGTAGAAACGGAATGCATCAGCTCCCACAACGACTTGTTTGACGTGGTTATCATACAGACTGTTTTATAATCTTTACTCCATCCTCTTCTACGTGGAGATAGTTGAGGAGTACGTCGCAGTTCCTCGTAAGGTGTGCTGAGCTCCACGCGAATTCTCTGCGTTGGTGGAATCAGCTCGCCTCCTGCCGCACAGCCATCGACAAGACAGCCTTTAAATATGCTCTGCACTTGTCCACATCGTTGACATTAACATCTATATGCTTCGATATTTGCCACATCCGCAGGAGACAGAGTGCGCCTGCATAAATTCCGTCTCCTCTGAGCGACAAAACTCCCCTCAGATTTGGAAAGACACATTTTTTCGTTGGCACTATGGCGTTAGTTGGGCCAGGTGACAAGCCCTAGACTCTTGTCTTCTTTCAACTTGGTGCGCGACGAGGCACAACATTGTAAGCCGAGGCGTGAGCATAGCGCACAGCAGGAATCGAACCAGCTGATCAAACCGGAATATTTCGAAGAGTGGGCATTCCTAGGTCAGAGCTAGCAATCTGGTCCAAACATTTTATCGGACGGTGTAGGCATGCCGCAACGCAACTAAGTTGAATATAACTTATCATATTTTCCACTGTTGAGCGCCTGGTAATGCGCTACAATACGGCTGGGAAATGCATTCATGCATCAAATCATCAGCTTGAGGGAGACCTATTGAGGAACCCCATAATGGGGATAGTGACATATGTGTCGTGTTACGACGCCTGGTAGGGTAATTCAATGTTTCAAGTGTTGTGTCATTACTATTTTCGCTGTGTTACCGCCTCAATATGTGATCCGGCCTCATCGTGGGCTTGGGATACTTTGACGGTAGCGCCTAGCTCTGTCTCCGTCTTGAGGTGGATATAAGTCGATCTAGGTGGTGTATTGAGGGCGCATCCCTCATAACACCAGATGATTGTCCGTGACTTGCTGTCCCAAATCCGGACGCGAACAATGCAAGTGTTCGTCAGGTATCTTGGGCTTCGAATCTCGATTGAGTTACATTTGTCTCTGCCTCGGACAATTCCCGAGGTTATCAAATCAGACATCGCCATTTCTCATTTGTAGTCTCCGATGGAAACAAACAACAGAATGATAGACCAAGTCGTAACAGACGGTGGACCATGTTGACATCAGCCTTCAGAAGAGACCGTGTCATCGAAGCTTCTGGTTGTACGCCTTGAACGACCTCGTTGGCGGCGCACAGCGTTTTGTCATGTAAGATAAACCATGAGGAAGCCCTCAGCCCCCTCGTTCAACACGTCTGAACTTCATCACGTTCTAATAAAGTTGGGTACTCCCCACAGATTTCACGTTTGTGAAACCGGGGATAAACTGGGTGCACTCACATTGTACCACCTTCCCCACAATTCGTCACTAACATGTATTCCATGCTTAGCAGCCTAATATCTTCATTGACGAATTTCTCAGCAGAATGGAAGCAGGCTGGAAGAATGATTTAGATTCAAATATTAACTTGATATTTTCCTCAGGGTCGAAATGCAATCGCAATCCACAAGCCGTCAATTTGGGTTGTAGGTGTGGTTTGTGAGTGCGCTCCTTTTTATCCCCGGCGCGCATGCGTGCCATCGACCAGCGTTAATCGGAGCCTTGCGACCAGCCAAGTGGCTCGTAATAACACCGAACGTCGTTTGGTTCGGCCGAACGGCTCTCTGCGAAGCCAAAATTCACATGCATCCAAGTCGAACCGCAATTTGCTTCATCATGATCATCCGGAGACAGGTTTACGTTGATATGACGTTGCCCCTCCCCTCCCATACGTTTGCACATGACGATCGACTTTGAGCATGATAAAGCGCAGAAGGTGCCTGTAGAAGATCTTCCTTCTCCTCAAATACCAGGTCCTCATTTCACTCAGCGACGCCCATCTGATTTCCACGCTTCGACAAAGTAGCACTGTCTAGCAATTCAAGGTATAATGGCATCAGCACTCCGACCTGCCACCTCTGCAATCCGCAGCGCAACCTATAGAGCCTGTAGGGCACCTTCATCACCCTTAGAAACACAGGCACGCAACCTATGCAAGACCTCAGCAGCCCTCTCTCAACCCAAGATCCTTCTTGAAGACTCCGCCAACGGCTACGGCTTCGTCCGTCACAACCCCCTCCCGCCCAAGCCGCGCTCCAAAGCCGTCACCGAAATCCGCGGCCCCTATTACACGGTTATGGGAAGTCGCTACCTGAGTGATGTTCTTGAGACAATGGGTGCACACGTCGACGGGCTCAAGTTCGCAGGTGGCTCGTTCTCGCTCTTCCCGGAGGACAAGCTGCGTGAGCTGAATGACATGGCCCATCAGCACGGCGTGTACGTCAGTACAGGTGGTTGGATGGAACATATCCTCTCTTCAAGTGGGGGAGATACTGTCGGTGCTGTGGACAAGTACCTGGCGAAGTGCAAAGACGTTGGCTTCGACGTCATCGAGATCTCTACCGGGTTCCTGTCCCTCCCAGGGGACGATTGGCTAAGACTTGTCGACCGAGTGCAGAAGGCCGGGTTGAAACCGAAGCCGGAGCTTGGCATTCAGTTCGGCGCTGGTGGTGACACTGAAGCGGGCGAGCTTGAGAGCATCGGCACTAGCGATCCGAGCAAGGTCATCAACATGGCCAAGAAGTTTGTCGACGCCGGCGTGGAGAGGATGATGATCGAGAGTGAAGGCATCACAGAGAACGTCAAGTCGTGGAGGACGGATGTCATTCAGTCCATCTTGAGAGACATTCCGATGGAGAAGGTGATGTTCGAGGCCGCCGATCCGTCGGTGTTCAATTGGTAAGCCCAGTCTCAACCTTCGCTTAACTATCATGACAACTGTCGAACGTCTACTAATATTAATTAGGTACATCCGTGAGTTTGGCGTGGATGTCAACCTGTTCGTCGATCATTCTCAGATTGTACAACTGGCCGGTCTTCGAGCTGGGATATGGGGCAAGAGTGACACCTTTGGCAAGATTACTACCTTCCGCCCACAGTAACCATTCAGATGTCCTTTATCCTGGGGCCTTGACGGACGGAGTGCTAGCAGTCCAGGAGGGAAAACGACTGGACATAGTAAGTAGGGGGTACGTTTGTGAGAGCATGAGCTTTGATTTCGCCATTGCAAATTTAGGACCTATCCCGAGGTTTACCACCCAAACTCAATTGAAATTTGCACGAATCCACCGTTCAACTCCGTGGCTTTTCAGATGCGCAGTGACTCACGATGCATTGGAAACTGTGTCATGTAAACTCGTGCGGTCCTAAGGCTAACCGGTATCGCGCAATCGGTGATTCAGCCCAATGCGCGCCCTTCCATTGTCAGATCTGCGCTATACCAGCAACAGGCGAGTAGAAGTATATAAGAGGTGATGCTATTCAACGATCTCTTCTTAACATATACCTTTTAATGTCACCAACCAGTCCCTCGTCTTCATTGTATTCATCCCAATCCGCAGCAATGCCCGCCGAATTCGAATACACCCTCGTGGGCTTCCCAACCCGCTATTCCTCATGGACAGCCCGCGCCGCCACGGTGCTAGAATATTTCCAAATTCCTTACAAGAATGAAGTCTTCCACCTACAAGAGACGCCCTATTCCACCTCGCGACCGGTCCAGCCCCCTTATAAAGGTGCCCTCCTTCCAGCCATGGTGGTGCATCCCACCGGACCGGAGTCACCGGACTTGACCATCCACGACTCCCTCGCCATAGTCGAGTTCCTCGCCGAGACGCACCCGGAGCTCAATCTGTGGCCAGAGGACAAGCAGCTGCGGGCCCTGGCGCGCAGCGCTGTGGCCAAGATGCACTCTGGCTTCACCGCGCTGAGGAACGAGTTCGCGACTAACTTCATCGCGAGGTATGAGTTTGCGGGGCGGGTTCCCATGAGTGAACAAGCGAAGGGCGACTGCGAAAGGATGGTGAAGTTGTGGGGCGAGTCCCGAGCCGCCACGGTGGAGAGGCTGAAGGCGCTGGGAAAGGAAGAGGGCGACGAAGGCTTTCTCTTTGGAAAGTTCGGAATCGCTGATGCATTCTTCTGGCCAGTTCTGTGGGTGAGTAAAGAATCTTCACACGAGTGCCTCGGATGATTCGGGCCAGCGACACGTAATTGGCTGCTGATGATTGAGGACAGCGCTTCCGCACATACAACCTCCCCCTTACGGGCATCTCTGACCAGGGGCTGGATTGGATGGAAACGGTATGGAAGAACCCGAAGTTGAAGAGTATCGGAAAAGATTACTTCGCGCAGACCGAGGATACGGCTACTAAGGTGGATCATTACGACGACATCTTCAGCGGAAACCCGAGTGTGAAGTATGGATTCTTTACGGAAGACTGGGAGTTTGAACGCCCAGCTGGTCGAAAATTGTGAATGGAGGTGTCGCAAGGTATTTTATGGAGCAGATATAAGGCAGTCCATGCCGTTCCCCAAGAAAGCTTTCTTCTAGAGCTTGACAGGGAAAGTAAAGACAACTCGATCTGCTTGCTGCGATTTGACGCGGAACGCCTATGGAGGAGTGAAGATCGCTTTACTTGCTTCATTGAAACCTTTTGCTAGTTCGATCAGCGGCGAAGATCCGACATTAGAGGCCACGGAATATGCGATCCGCCCAGTTTGCTTCTCTGAGCATCTTCGCCGAGGATGACGCCTGAAATGCCAAGGTGAACAGCTTATGAGGTGGAGAGCTAGGCAGGTGAACCGCTTGATGATGTTGAAAAGCTTTACAAGGGAGCTACTGAGGGGGCCTCTCCCCTGCATTTATTGTTCAGCCAGTGGCTTGAGCTCAACCTTGGGATGGTGTCGAACACTCGGTCTGATTTCTGGTGCCACCGAGATCGGCAGCCGCGATTAGCTTCTAGACAGTGTCCTTGCCAGTGAGTAGTGGAAACGCCTTCGCATGAAAAGAACACTCTAGCCGTCGATGGAAAAGACCGCTACTGGATGGGAAGAGCACGGCGTTGAAAGCGGTGTTCCAAGTAAGCCCCAAACCCAAATCGGAGCTGTACAGTCAGACCTTTGATTGGGGGTCTAGTATCATTGAAACACTCCCAGAGGAGGAAATGCGTGTGGAAAGGTCCACATAGTTGAAGAGAACATTAAGTGCGAAGAATAATTACAGATGATGAGTTGTGTTATTGGTATAACTAAGCTTCTGCAAGTGGTGACATGAGTCTGAAGTGACTCAAATAGAGCTCCTCGCTTGCTATTCATCCTTTGGACTCCAAAATAGTCGACCAAAGCCCGAAAAAATGTCGATGATCGATCAGCGAATGTTTTGAGCCCACAGTAGTGGTCACCACCTGACGCTCCTGGCTTCGGGCGACGTAGGTCTCCAAGGGAGACAGATGGTGTCCCGGTGGGACGGTTCGGCTGGCCGCGAATGCCTGATATTCAGTCGGAATGTTCTGGTCGATGCCGGGCAGTCTGCAGAAAGGAATCTGACGGCGGTGCTGAGGGAAGAAACCTGTGCCTATAGGCTGGGTCTCGAGAAAGGGGTCACTCAGGGCAGCCGGAGGAAGAATGACTCCGGGCTGCTGGTAGGGCCCTGAGATAGTCGAAATAGCAGGCGGGCCGCCGTTGGTCTGTAGAGACCATTGGAGACGTGCGATGGTGTCCGTTACACACTTTGATGTCGATGGGTTGAGATTGTGAGTGAGTGAAAGCGTATTGGTCTCGATTCCTTTGTGTAAATGCGAACGCCTCGCGTCAAGTAATTCTGGGGAGTCTCAGGTTAGCTTGAGTGGCTTCATAGGAGATGAATCATGCAGTGCTTACCCTCTGAATTACGCTACGCTTTCTTTGCGAACAGAGAAGCAGGGATCATGGAGTCGCAGACTGTGCAGCCCGATCCGAGTGCTGGGTCCGTGCGGAATCGATCGCGAGGCTTGTATCTTGAGGAGCAACCTTGGTCAAAGGCTTCAAGGACGCGTGGCGAGCGTGAGAAGCTCGTGACATCAAACGTGGAGTGATCAATTTTCCTTTGACACTGCTTGATTTCGTATGTATGGCGAAGTCTACGCGTCGCACAGTTAGCAGGCGTTCTCATGGGCGCTAACGGAAAAACGCACGAGATGGAGTATTCTGATACCTGATGAAATAGCGCAGAATTCCATTGCTGGAAGAGTCATGTCCATGATAAAGAAGCTGGAGCTGAACCGTAAGAGAATCTCAATATCAATCAGGGTGTGATCACGAGACGTGACCATGTGCCACTGGTGGGCACCGTTGTGATGGGAATGAAGAATTTTGGACAAGGAGGATGGGGACGGAGGTGGGGGGTTAAAAGGAACCCTTGAGCTGCAGTTGCTACAATGGCTCTATTCTGAGGGATTCCGTCGAGTTCCGTAGGCCACGAAAATTCCGAGCTGTTCGGAAAAATGATTGGTCAAAACATTGGCAAGAGACTTGGGATCGCGAGGTCTACAATTGCTGGGCACCTCAAGTGCCCACCTACTGGTTGGAGGTACGGCAATCACAGAAACGTCGGATTTTTAAATGCCCCAGAAGCATAATTTAGCCCCAAACACGGCCAGACTCTGTAGATGTGACAGACATCGCCGCGCGCTCGTGCTGTGACTGAGAGCGGCCTGAGACCTGCCCAGTTGCACCAAACCTCGTGGCACAGCAGGCTTCCTTACACGGCTGGTTCCTGAGAATGATACTGCTACAATTAAGGCATGACGCAAATGTGCCATTTCTGAATGTAATGTATTCGATTGGCCTGCACACGGGTCAAAGGCAGCCTGGTCTGACTGACTGGCCACTGACCGAGTCTGGAATAAGGTTGAGCGCACGGACCACCGCTTATTTGGACATCACCCATATCTCCAACCTGAGGACTCACACCGGCTAAACCTTGGCGGAAGCAGACAGTGTGCACACAGCGTTCAACTTCGTTAGCTGCTTTCAATGCCTTGAGTGCAAAACTGCTTACTTTGCGGTGCTTTTGTTTCTGCTGCCTGATCTAGGCAGCTTCACTCGTGACAGGAGCATCAGGCTCGGGCCAGACTGTCGAAGAGATCTTTTATGCAGCTGCTAGCCTAGCATTCATTGCATCCTGAATGGGACCTTCTGCAATGCTGCCAATATCCCACAAGTACGCCAGATCCCGCCAAGTGAGAGGCAGACACGCCATTGTTCGTCTAACGACCCACTCTTGCATAGCAATGGTGGTGATCACCATGGGCAACCCAGCCCACTCCGAGTTTTTCCAGGCCTAACATGCCAATGGCATCTATTAGAGTCTGATGTGGCGAAGTCGAGAAATTCGCAAGGCAGAGAATTTTCTCCACAGTCAAAAGAGTTTCAACACTACGTTGCAGTGCCTTCATACTACTGGTCTTTACCAATGGCACTGGAATCACGAGCGCCCGTCAGCAACTTCGAGGTGAGTTACCTAGTTACCTGAACTAACGATCTGGTTGATTGCCAACGTCTAAAGGAGCCATAAGACGGCTCTCTATTTCCAGAGGTCAAGTTTGTACCACTGAACAGATCACACGGCAGACGTTGATGGGATGCCGTACTGTAGTCCATGGCCCCGTTCATAACTGGGGCCAGGAAAACATCCAGTTTCTGATCCCCGGCCGTTGGTGGGGCAAACGACAAGTTACCAGATCCCATATGGAATGGCTGTATCTGAGATACAAATCTGCGTGGCAACCGTCTCCAAGGGTCATTTCTATGGGATTACCGTCGGTGGGAGACTGTCATGGGACACCGATCTGTGGGATAACCTCTAGAGAAGGTTTACAACAGCATGAAATTCTGTGGAGTAGCTTCATCCCAGATGGAATCTTACGGCTATTTATGCATGGTGTATTTGCTTCAGGTGAGTAGCACGAAAGCTCTTTTTCATACAGCCTACCTGAACGCATTGCCTGATAGCCCAAGGGCTGTCGGATAGCTCGAGCGTTAGAAGCTCAGCTGGAAGTTTTAGCAGCTCCAAGGTTGGCTGTGACTTGGCAGGAGCTCTTGGGACTTGCCAGAATGTCTATTTAAACCCGCCGACTGACTTTCGCTGCTGCAAGACTTTTCCTTCCCCAAACCACACCCACTTTCACCTTCCATCTCCCAACCAACAACCAACAACCGGAAGCAAAAAGCCAAAAACACTCACTACTACTCAATCCATCGCGATCAACAGACTCAAGAACATCATGTCTGACAAAAACAACAACACCGACATGCCCACGCTCAGTGAGCGCGACATACAGCTCCTCGTCTACGCCCTGCGCAGCGTCGAGGGTGGTTTCCCAAAGGCAAGTCATATCCCTTCATCTTTTGCTCTGCGCCCTTGACTCCACGTTTAACCATCAATTCCCCATCCACCTCTACCGCTGTGTTTCACTGGATGTTACCATTGTCGACACTTCCCTGCTCCCACTCACCCGCAACCCAACCGACATGCGTCCACCAATCGCGCTGCCGCCCGAGCTGCAATGGCTTCGGTGTGTGCACAAGCAAGATCGAAGCTAACAATCTAACGACTTAGGTCGAGTTCAAGAAGTTTGCCGAGATGGCTGGCTTCAAGAACGCGCATTCCGCCTCAGTCTCCTTCATTCCTGTCCGACGCAAGGTCATGGGCGAGGCCGGCTCCGCCAAGCCGACCCCCAAAAAGTCCACCCCGTCCAAGCGCAAGCAGGCCGCTCCCGCCGCTGCTGATTCTGACGACGCCGACGAGTCCCCTCTCAAGAAGGCCAAGATTGCCTCCAAGAAGACTGTCGTCAAGAAGCAGCAGGAGGCCAAGAACGAGTCCGACGAGGATAAGGCCCATGCCTTCGTCTAAGCCAAGCATGGTTCACACGAATTTGTAAGTATCTTGCACTGCGACTTGATCTTGTCAGGCTTTCACCCTAACTTTCATGTTCTGAGCTCCCCCAGGCCAATTTCGATCCGGAGTACCAAGTCTGCCATCTCGTTTTTCTTGTGCGGGTTGGTCTGGCCGTGGCTGCTTTGAAGGGATGGACTTTTGACATTGGAAGTTGTGTCTGGTCTTCTCAAGGGGAATTGTACATATCTTTAGGGTTCTGGTAGCTCGGGCCTTCAGTGTTGGATTTGACGCGCATCTTCGCCGTGTTGCATGCCTCACAGCTGCACATCCGGCAAGGCTTTGATGATGGCCGAGCAGATAGGAATACGTTGATATCAATCGGAACAACGGGCCGACCCTTTGAATGCTCTGTTTCGCCGTGACATCTCTCTGGGCCGAAGGATGACCCAATTTACGTAGCCCGCAGCTTACATGGCTGAACGGCACCACCGTTGAGGTTCCACGCGTCGCGGGTCGAGGTATTGGCTGACACCCGAGGAGTCAGCGTACGCCCACCCAGCTTCTACAGTACGCCCACCCAGCTTCCAGCGTTGGCCCACCCAGTACAAGGAAAATTAGCTGCATCCGCATTAAAATGCAAGTACTGCGGGGTTTTTAATAAGCCAGGGTAGCTATTTTTCAATTTAAGCAATACTTTAAAAATACAAGCCTAAAAAGCCCAGAGGGCCCCAGAGCGCCCAGAGCGCCCAGAGCGCCCAAAGCGCCCAGAGCCCCCAGAGCCCCCAGAGCCCCCAGAGCCCCCAGAGCCCCCAGAGCCCCCAGAGGGCCCCAGAGCGCCCAGAGGGCCCCAGAGCGCCCAGAGCCCCCAGAGCGCCTAGAGGGCTGCAGAGCGCCCAGAGCGCCCAGAGCCCCCAGAGCGCCCAGAGGGCTGCAGAGCGCCCAAAGGGCCGTAGAGCGCTTAGAGGGCGCAGAGGGCGCAGAGGGCCGCAAAGGGCGGCAGAGGGCGGCAAAGGGTAGAAGTAACTTTTAAGTTGCAAATAAAGGGGTAGCTATGGGACCCCTTTAGGGTAGCTATGGGACCCCTTTAAGATAGCTATAGCTATGCTTTATTAATAACCCCGCAGTATTAATATTTTATAGCGCATGCAACCAATTTCCTTATACTGGGTGGGCCAACGCTGAAAGCTGGGTGGGCGTACTGTAGAAGCTGGGTGGGCGTACGCTGACTCACACCCGAGCCACAGGCAGGAACGATGCCGTATGCGGCTTAGTCCACCACGTTCAGCCTACAAGCTCACACCACCGTGCTTAGTCTCCTAGGCTCTATTGAGCGAGGACTAGACCAGCTGAACGCTCAAAGTGTAGAAATTGGTCTATGATATAATGGCGCATCGCCCGAATCCTGGCGAAATCATCTTGTGAAGATAGAAACATACAAAGCCTGTCCATTCCGCATTTTGTGGAAGTCGCGACTAGTTATCTTGAGGTTTCTGCCTGGACTAAAAAGAGGTGGTAGCCTCCAGACCGCTTTGTACGCGCTGAACTTAGCTACAATGCAGCGAAACTCGTCACCATGGCAGGGCTCTGTCGTCTATGAGTACAGAAGTCACGAGCAGCAAACACCCACCAGAGACCATGGACTGAGGTCACCGCCACCACCACCATACACACCAACCACCGACCAAACAACACCAACAAAAATGTACGATCTCACCTCAAGCACATGGTCCACAGCTGATGATTTGAGTAGCACTCCGAGCGAAAACGGTACCAACAACGAGCACCCGCAGTCGGTGCCCACCGGCCTCTCCGGCGAGGCCTACACCCGCGAGCCGCCCATGTCCGCCGCCGCAGACAATCCCTGGAGCAAGTACGACGACACTCCCGGTTGCTGCTGCAGCACCACCGGAGGCTGTTGCTTCAGCAGCCGTGGAGGGTGCTGCTTCAGCGATACAGAGGGCTGCTGCTTCTCCACCACCGAGGGATGTTGCTTCAGCAGTGACGCTGCATGTTGCTTCAGCAACCACAACGGCTCGCTTTTCCCCTTTGGCAAGGTATGTCTGCTCTTGCCCAGCACCCGCAAGGAGTCAAGATGCTAAGGGGCTGCTACAGCAGGCTCGCCGTTAGATAGCCGCCCCTGGGTGGACAATGTGAATTGGGGGCATGGGCGTTTTGGGAGTACATGTGCATTTTGGAGCACCGATGGATGGACATTTGCCACAGGAACAATGTTATAGGATACGCAGATATAAGGACGTTTGAAAATCCCGAGTTGAACCGGAGATGATTGAGATTCTAAACAACCTTGTTCTCTATGTGACATCGAATCTGGACTGAAGTATGGACAAGAAACAGAACATCTAAACAACACCAGCCTAGGCAATAGTCGCGCCGATCGCATCACCAGAAGCAGGAGCCAAGAAGCTGCTAGCCGGGACCTTGCCGTTGGACCCCCTCTCGCCCTGGACGAGCTTGACATCCACACTCTTGAAGCTGGCATCGGTCCACTTGGTGCTGGCATCCCACGAGTTGCCGCTCGACGTCGCGCCCTTGAGGCTGGTCTGGTCGGCCTGGGCGGTGCTCCCGTCCGAGTTGAGCGCGGCGACGTTCTTGGAGAACTTGCCCGTGACGCCGGTGGCGCCGGTGAGCTGGAACCCGACGCCGACGTTCTTGTAGGCCGTGTTGCGCGTGAAGGTGAAGGCGCCCGGCTGCTTGTTGTCGGTGAAGCCCTTGGCCGAGTTGCTGAAGGCGATGCTGTTGGTCACGACGTGGTTGGCCTTGGTCGTGCTGCCGCCGCCCAGCTTGTAGCCGTTGCCGTCGCCCTCGAAGGGGGTGAAGTCCCAGCGGTTGAAGCCGTTGCCCCAGGAGATGGAATCCTCGATTGTGATGGGGGATGCGAACTCCCTGTGTTGTCTCGTTAGTATTGGTTCTATATCTTGGTATTGTTGCATCGTCTGAGTTGATGATGCTTGCGTGAGTGTGACTTACCAGAGGTCAAGACCGTCATCGACGTTGTTCCAAAGACGAGCCCCCTTGATGATGTTGCCCGTGCCGCTGCCCTCCTTGCACCCAAGGCCGTCCGCGCTCTCCCCGTTCTTGCGGGGGTCGCGGTTCATGTACGAGTCCAGGTACAGGATCTGGTTGTTGCTGAGGCTGCCCTGCATCTGGAACCCGGTCTCGTAGTTGTCGTGCGTGACGATGCGGTCAAAGATGTTGTTGTTGCCGTCCTGGAGGTAGACTCCGTAGGGCCCGTTGATCAGCGTGATCTTGGACACGTTCCAGTAGCTTGTGCCCTCGAAGTGGAGCACGCCGCGGTCGGCCCGGTCCAGCGACCCGTTGAGCTCGGCCGGGGTGCCGGTCAGGGCCTCGCCGTCGATGGTGACCGACTCGTCCCCATAGGCGGTCAGTGTGTAGTAGGCACCGGCCGTTCCACTCTTCTTGATTGAGATGTTCTTGGTGGGCTTGTAAGTGCCACCGCGGAGGGAGATGATATCGCCTGCAACGGCCTTGTCAACAGCTGTCTGGATCGACGCGTAGGGGCTCTCCAGTGTTCCGGTTCCGCTGCTGCTGCCTGTTGGGGACACGTAGAGGGTCGCAGCCAGAGCAGCTGGCAATGAGGCCAGGAGAACGACGGGAGATGGCATGGTTGCGGTGATGAAAGAGCCGGTTGAGAAAGACAAGACAATCTGGAGGGACACCGATCGACACCAGCATTGTTGATGTCTCTTCCCTGGCCACGCGACATCTTATACCTAATTCGCAACAAGCATTCCATCACGAGCTCCAAAATGTAACTGAGCGCCATACTCGGCCCTCATTTCGTCTTTGTCGCCGGGGGAGCTCAATCTTACTGAGAAGGGGCGGGCTTGGCATCACGGGAGATCTCCATTCGTGGGATTTGCAAACCCGCTCATGTTGGCGCACACCTTGTGGGGAGGCCGTGGGTCCGCCGGCCGCCCTTTCATGTTCACCCACCGGCACATCTCCTGAGCCAAGACAAGCCAAGACTACGGAGTGCAGGGTTCCCTCCGAGGACCTACACAATACGCGTGTGGCAGGTCGTTCGTCTCGGTGCGCCATGTGCCTAGGTTGAGATTATGACAGGCGCACAGACATGCCAGATCACGCAAAGTATCAAGGAATAAGTCTGGTCTAACCCAATGCAACCAATGGCTGGTGGAGAAATGGGCAAGAGTTATGGCTGCTCACCGCAAGCCCCATGAGAAAAAAATGATAGGGGCTACAAGTGGGAATGAGGTGGGTTGCCTGCTTATGAATACACAACCGGCTCCAGCTTTCACCAAGAACTGACTCTTACCCTTGCGGGAAACGGGACCAAGTCAGTTTTGCGGGACATCGGCGGTATCGATGTGTCCTGAATGGTTACATAGTACAAGAGCCTATTTCCGAGAAAGGCAGCAGAACAAGTGTCAACGGCCTCCCTCACACAAACGTCACCATCTCGTGCTGCCAAACAAACCCCAGCTCCTCTACCAATGCTTTCGGCCACTCTTGAAGATACATGTTGCTGGCCTCAGGCTGAGGTCCCCTTTCTAGAAGGGTCTCCACATCCTCAGACACCTTTTCACCAAATGCCACTAGGCATCTGTAAAGCCAGCATAGTCTCATTTCACGGATGGCCTCGACTATTTCCTTGAGTGGCATCTTTGCCCTCACAGGCATCTGCAATTCTGTTGGCTCTGCGGCGCACGGCAGCCAATAATGCAGCCCTCTATTCCCTCCATCCTCATTGTCTTCATGTCGAGTGCAACATGAAGAGTCTCGCTGCCCGTTCCAATGACCTTTGCCGATATCTGGTATCTGTAGGTCAAACCAGGGAGGGAAGAGGATATCCCATGGCAGCCAGCTCTTGTTACAATTATAGTCCCTCTCGCTCATATTTGTCCAAGAACTGTACTCTATCAAACCATCCCAGAAATGCTCCAGATCATCGCTATCGACGAGTTTGAACCACACATACTCATCATCGAGAATGGGATTAAATTCTGCTGGTACGAACTGCAGACAGGCTGCGTAGGCCTGCCTGAAGTCTTCCGTGACCGTAGTCGGCTCCCCCGTACGAGCTGCAGCAAGTGCGAGTTGTAAAACGCAAGGTGGAAGCTGGAACATGTCGATGAGTCCCGATCCTGGGACGATCTGATTAAACAACATGACTTCAGGTACACTGCTTTCAAAAAAAGTACGGCTGTCACGACGGGGTAATAAGTATTGCTTCCGATGCTCGTAGTTTAGAGTTTCGTAAAGCATTTCGTAGAGGCTCAACGCGCTGCGCCCATAAGAGCTATCTCGCGGAAGCAATGGCGGAGGTAAGGTCGTCATGGGGCTCTTGGAGAACAACGCCGCGTCGTCAAGGCGGTCGCAGTGCATCAGCATCAGCTCGAACATCCCGGATGCCTTGGCCTCTGTGGCAAGAAGTAGACAGATGTCAGAGGTCGGACGTCTTGAGTACTGCGCGGTCGTTACCTCGCCCTCGGCAAACACCCAGGCACGGAATGCCAAAAACATGTGGCAAGGCTGTGCTAGCTCCTGGGGCGTCTTGGTGCAGGTAAAACAGGCCGCGGTCGATGGTCCGCCCACGCGGAAGCGGTTGCTTGGCCCCATAATTCTATGAGGTGTATCGAACAGACGCACAAGCCTTAAGGTTAGTGCTCCACTGTCTGAGCCTATGGAGGCATCCTGATACCAAGGAAGCCGGGATCCAACCCAGTCAATTTGAAGCTGGGAGTCCTTGAACCAATTGTCGTAGTCCACATGGTAATAGTCGTCGACAATAGAGGAGGCTTGATAGTCCTTTAGTTGTTGCAGACCAACGGCCATGGCCCATTTGCCTGGCACTTCCTCAATCACTTCAGGCTCTATGTTATAGATGAAATGCTCATCAGCCTCGGATGCCACAATGTCCAGGCTAGGCACCCATGACGGATATCTCAATGCCTTGTTGGAGTTTCGTGCAAAGAACAAGGGCCAGAACGCTTTTGAAACAAGTAAAGTGTGTCCCGTTACGCCAATGATGCAGTCCTGCATCGAAAGTGAATATTAAGCGACAATTTCAGAGTACTCAGGGCTTAACGCAAGTATACCAAGTATTCCGAAGATTCTGTCCCGTGGGTCTGTGGCTTGACTGAGCCTTGTCATTCTCAACCCCTCGTAGAGTGTCCTTTTGCGCATTCCCCAGGACTCCCCCACATATTGGAGCCATTCTCTGCCTTGAGTGGGATTGATATGAGAAGGAGGCTTATCCGGCGGGTCACTGTAATAACTCGGTGACAAAAGGTTGTGGTCAATGTATATGTCGCAGTTTTCGACGGCCAGAATAGCACTTGGTGCGAGAATGAGCTCTTGGATGATCCATACACGGCGCACATACTCGGTCTCCATGACCTTAGTCCACATCTCGGGAGACATGGAGCGCTTGCCTGGTGCACCAGTATGCCTGATTCTTTCTCGGAAATTTCGCTCGTCCCTATGAACGATATGTTCACCCGGATATACGACGACCCGCATGCAATTTCCGTAGATCTCTGGCATCAAAGATACCTGCGCGCCGCGCTCTTGGATGTTGTTCTGGTTGATGCAAATGGCGTCGACCCAAACGATTCGAGTCACCATCTGGGAGCGTAGGTACTGCAACAGAGACGAACAGTTCCGAGTGATGAACAGCACATCCCAGAAATCCCCAAAGTAGGCTGGCTTGCACGGTGTGGCGTCGCCGTCTTCCCCACCCCATGTGTAGGAAGCTGTCTCGTATTCGGGGCAATCATCTAGTCCATAGTCCACCAAGTGCACGTGAATAGGGCTGTCCGGGGTACTTGCTGCAGACAAGTAGATCAGTCGAAAGCGGTCGGGCCCAAGTGTGCAGGTGTATATCTCGGACAAAGATGGGTCCGAGGCATGTAGCGCGAGACTGGCGGCATCTCCAGATGACGCTGCCGGCGGATTCCTAGGGGCGCCGTCACGTATATATGGCACACCAGGCGGCCACCAAAGGTCCATTTGGCCGATGGGCGCGTCCGGAGGGAGTCTGATTCCACTGTAGCTTGGAGCCGACTCTTCGGCGGCCCGCTGCAGCAGCGCCTCCGCACTGCTACCGCAGGCTCGGCACTCGGATGAGCAAAGGTCAAAAGACTCGAAGCTGCATTGATGGAAGGCCTTTTGACTGCGGCGCTGTAGCTGGTAGGATGAGGTTGTCGACCAGAGCCCTGCTTGCCGGCCCAGCGTACATGCAGCCGCCAAGCCCTCACATGCAGACCCACGCTTCTGCCTAATGCCAGTGAGGATTTGCGGGTCCGTATGCAAGCCAATACTAAGGCTTCTATGGACGCTGTGGAACGAAATGACTCAGAATCACGCAAACTAAGCTGCAGTAGTACATAAATCCTCTATCTTGGCATGGTAAAAATATAAGCAGAAAGAGCGGCGTCACGCAACCACAGCGCTTTGTGTTGCTTATCTTCCTTGCCGTCTATTGACGCGTCGTTTCCTTCCTAATATTATAGCCTGCTCCAATCTTTTCTCAACTGTCTACCCTCTTACTGCGTCTTTGTTCGCTACTCTGAATCATCATTGCGTGTTGTTTGAATGGTATTGCTTCGAACATGAATAACCAGTTGCCAATTTGCCCTACCTACAGATTTTCTCAACATGAGTAGGCTCAGCACTGCACATTGGAGGAGGCGAGGGCCGGAGCGCCACCCACGCCGAGTTGCATCGGTGGATAACCTTCTCATGATTGATCATGTGGACAGCACTGCGTGTGAACAGTCCGATAGTGTTGAAATGCATGAGAATATCGTGGCCGCACGAACATATTCTGACCAGAACTCCAACGAGGGTCGCGGCACGACACAGGTTCACGAGCAGGGTGACGAGCTTCGGGAAGGAGAGGGGTTCCAATCTGGCTCATCTTCATCGAAAACACCCCCAAGCACTAGAACGGTTGGACACAGCCTTCTGAGGGGCTGGGCTTCCGAGATCACAGCCCTTGTGGTGGCTTTTTGCTGCCTGGCCGCCATCTATATCATCCTAGCAAAATACAACGACCAACGGCAGCCCAACTGGCCATACGCCCGCACCCTCAATCTGAGCACTCTCATTGCATTGATTGCTACCATTCTCAGATCCATGCTGGAGGCGGTACTTGGTTCAGGTGAGTATCCGCTGTTCAAAACCTGCATGTGCCCAGCTCAAGTTGCGACTTCAGCTTATTCATTCCTATTTTCGGCACAGGTATCGGTCAACTCAAATGGCATTGGTTCCGGACTAACTCACGACCGCTCGACCATGTACAGACTTTCGAGGATGCAAGTCGTGGTCCTTGGGGGTCGCTGGTTTTCGTTTCGTCACTTGCCCGTTTGTAAGTAGCCGATGAATTCTGACAAATACACGCATGTGTCTGATGTGACTACTGACGAGTGCTAACGTTAAATAAGTAATCTAGCGACGCTCGGTTCAGTAATAATGGTCCTCTCTGTCGTGGTCGGCACCCTCACCCAGCAAGCGATCCAGACTGTGCCATGTCAAAAGTCTAGCCCCAACGAAACCGCATCAGTCCCTATCGCCCAGACCAGCCTCAAGGGTGTTGAGGCCACCTCCGCTAGAACTCATCTACTCACCAAGGACTTGAAAGCATCTCTTATAGCTGGCCTTGCTGGAATGCGACAGCCGAACTCCATCTCGCCATTTTGCCCATCGGGAAATTGCGCTTTTCAGGCCAGCGATGGATTTTCATACTCTACTGTTGGAGTAAGCAGCGAGTGCATAGACGTCTCTTCACTCATTACTCAGAGTGAGGTGGATATTGATACTTGGGTATACAAAGAGAATATGAAAGTCTCTCCGGCGGAAATCACCAATTATACGTTGCCGAACGGCCTAACACTCGGCTACATGTTGGTCCCGGGAGCCCATTCAGCCAGCGGATCCAGCCGATGGACCACAGTTCTTGCTCAGGCACAGGTTCAATTTGACGAGCCATGGCTGCAAAACATTACAATGACCGACCGCCAAAAACGTATAGTGTTCGATTCGCCTTGGGTCGACGCCATTCTGCTCTTCATGCCAACCATCAACCCTTGTCAGAACCCCTCGGACTACTCCAACTATCTTGATCGAGATGAGACTTTCGCAATGCCACCAATAAAAGCCAACTCGTGCCCAGGTCTAGACCTACCCGGCGTCGATACATTACCAGGCTACTTCTCGGTGACCGCAGCTGCTTGCTTTCTATACTTCCTTACAGCAATACGAGAGCTTGGTGGTCAATGGGGCTCTGCAGGAAAAGGCTCTCCAGGACCCAAGTCCCTTTGATGCTGTATCTTTGGACGCTGGGACAGAAGACGATTCGTGCACGTTTTGTGCAATTCTGGACCCTTGTGTAGTTGACCGCGTGGTCTACAGCAACACTAGCGCCAACATATCCAGTGTGCCCGGGGGTACCACCGTTGTGGATAACACAACGGTCCCATTACGTTGTCTATATGGCTTCGCATTCCCCTGGTATAGGGCACTGATGGTATCAAAACAGTTGTGGAAGACCATCGGCAGCAGTGACGAAGAGAACAGGTGTGTTCAGATGGGTAATTATACCTTCATGGTCTGCTCCGGTACATGGTGGCTCAACGGTGTATTCAATGGCGGCAACGCGTCCATCGCCAGCATCAGCGAGTTCGTGACACGCGGCTTCGATAGCCTTTCAGCCCAGCTACGCATGATCGGGACTGACTGGGATGGCAATCCCACCAATGCTCCCGGGACCGCCTACGATACTGCGGTCTGCGTGCTCTTTCGCTGGGAATGGCTGCTGTACCCACTTGCTCTGGTTATTGGTGCATCAGTGCTCCTGTTATTGTTGCTGGCTTCTAATTCAGGTATGGCGGGATCCACAAAGGGGGTCATATGGAAATCATCCGTGCTCCCCTTTCTTCTTTACGGCTTGGAGGATCAATTCAGGGACCAAGCTTCAGAGCTTGCGCACCAGGAAGAATTGAAAGGTGCGGCAAAAGCCCTACGCACCAGATTCAGCCCTGGGGATGATGGTTGGAGGTTTCATAACTAGACATAGAGAAATGCCTTGAGACTTCGTAGCTAATTGGCAATTCTATACAAGTCTATGATGTGCAGCTGATTCCGACTGGGCGTGAAGATCATTGGATTAGGACCCGCAGGCATAGGACATGCCAGGCAGCATTGGGCACTTCAGTGATGATGAAATTTAAGCGGCATGACTATCTTTTTTGTGGATCCACATTCGATCTCATCTGGAGCTCATTTTAGAAGGGTAGAGGAAATTCAACGTTCTGGGCCACGTAAGAAGTCATGTATACGCCTCGACTTTTCGTGAAACAATAAGTGCACCACGTATGGACCATGCTTGGGCCAGGGACGCCCCCAGAGCCGCTGAAAGATGTCAGTCTGCAATGCCAATGTCAAGGAATTGGGATCATTCAGACTTACAAAGTCGTGTTGAAGAAATCTGGGTATCCTTCGCCAATTCCACTGTCCCAAGCCCACTCTCCCATTACATCGCGGTCCCGGAGTCTTGTGAATATCCGGTCCAGGTTCTCCGCTACGGCTTGGTCGCTCCTGTGGTATAGCCACATTGGCACATAGGCTTTGATATCGGGCAGCTCCACGCCAGCCCTGATTTCATAGGAGACAAATATGCCCGGGAGTGCATTAGCCAATTTGTTCCGGGGTTTATTCCAATCCGCGCCGATGCCTTCAGGTTCGCCAAGAAGCAGGTGCCAGATGTCCCTCAGGATTTCCATGCCTTTCATAGTATATTCGTCGTTGAGCCTACCACTCAGGGTCATTGCTGTGCGTATGAAATCAAAGCGAGCAGTGTCTGTTGCCATGTAGAGCTTGACGCGAGCCTTACTGGGGTCTGCACAATCGATCCCGATGAACTGGTTGTCGAGATAAAAGTCCCCCGTACGGGTGGACAGATAGTCTTCCAACAGCTCCACAGCCGGGCGAAGAGCTGACCCGCCTGGTTCCAGGTTCTTGATCGCATCGAAGACGATTTCGTTCTCAGACTTGCCCGTCATCGCATGCTTGATGAAAGGGCTCAGGTAGACCTTGAGGTTCCTTCGAGACCCTTCAAAGTCGACACCCGCAGCCAAAGCGACCCGCCTGCTGTAGTTCTTGTACAATGACGAATCCGCCGCCACATTTATTTCATTCGGGCTCGGGTACAAGGCCATAAGACAGTCCAGCCAACGCAGGTCCACCCCCGCGTCCTTGTCCTCGGCAAAACGAGCCAGAGCCTCGTAGGACGTTTTCACACCGAGAGGGTCCTCAGCAGTGAACGACTGCGGCCCGTTAATTGCGAATCCGAAGCGGGCCAGAGCCTTCTTGGCGGTGTAGTTGATGCTCGGGTCGCTGGGTCCGCCGTGGGGAGCAATCGCCACCCGCGGTTTGACGACGGATGGGTCGGGCCGGGGTCCTATCGCAGGGATGACATATTTGCGAATGAAGTCCCGATGGGACTCTCGTTCTTGGTCCGAATACTGCCCGGCGTCCAGCAGCGGGTCAATATAGCGCTTGCAGTAGTCGTCCCAGAATGCGAAGTCGTCTGCTGTCGAAATATCGTGCTCAACACTTCGCATGGGCGAATCTAGATGGGTGCTGTCGTTGATCACCATGTTGGGAGATGTAATCTTGCATAGTGTCCTGTCCAGTTCCTCTTTTTGTTCAAGCCAGAATATCGGAATGTCATGAATCTCGAGTGTTGTCAGGTTGTGAAAAGAATGTCGTAAAGGTATGCGTTCGCGAAATACACGAAACGAATGGGAAAGATTATGATTTTCTTGCTCTCTGTTCAACGTCTTAAGCCTCACTCCTCCATGTGGCTCGCATCAACTGTCTTCCCAATAATAAGCCGAAGTTATTGAATGTTACCCTGGGTGTGATTATGCTCATTCATCCAAGTGATGCAAACTAGCTTCGACCGTAAAGTCATCCCTTTTCGAATTTATGCCGGCACTTTCGCAATTTTGCAAAAGTGAAATGCGGACACGGGTAGTTGTTTTGAGTCAATGCCTCTAAATTGGCTCTTGCGAACAGAAACTCCGAGATAGCTGTTCACGGTCACATTCGGGTAGACTACTCACCCGCATCAAAAACTCAAAAACAGCTTGGCCCTATCCGCCAATCACAATTGGTGCCCGTTCCATCTGCCGTAACTGACCGAATTACCTTTCACCAGGCAAATCGCTGATCTCTTCAGCAAAAGCTTTTCCCCAATCAACTCAAAATGGCATCTTCAGTTCGCGTTTCACGATGACACACTTACATCGGCCCAACATGGCTTCATATGGGTTGGACTTCTGGGTAAGTGTGCTCATTCACCTCAGCATTTTGCACGTCCACGGTACTGGCTCTGTACTGATCGCCACGGGCAGTTAGTCATGGCGGCACTCAGTGTCACCTCACTCCTGTCAGCCCTGGACATTTCCGTCATGTCTACCGCACTGCCAAGTATTGTCTACGATTTGGGATCCAGCCTGGCATACTCCTGGGTCGCGAACGGCTATTTCCTCACCTCAACCGCGTTTCAGCCACTTGCCGAAGCAGACCAGGCCATTGCGACAGGAGCATGGGGCTTTGTGCGATCCTTTGGGAGAATCTGGGGTGTGGCGATTCCGACTGCGGCTTTTAATTCGGAGGTTAATGCTCTACTTTACCGCGTCAGTGACGAATCGGTCAGGAATGTGCTCGCGGATGGCGGGGCATATTCCCTAACTACTCGGAATTTTATGAGAGGCCTGACCTCGCGGCAGACTGTCAAAAGCCAGGTTCTGAGTGTGTATGTTGACAGTTTGCAGCTCGTCTGGCAGGTGGGCATTGGTTTCAGTCTGTTGGGATTCGTCATCACGCTCATTGTTAGGGGCATGCCCCTGCGTGAGAAATTGGAGGGGGACTTAGAAGCCATTGAAGAGGAAAAAGACATGGCTCTCTTGCTGAACAATTCGCCGATTCTAGAAGATGGAATCATTGCTTCTCCCGGACAAACTAAAGCCAGAGGGATTGTCAAGTCTTTTCGCTACATCGGGCCTCTTCATTTCAGTGGGAAATGGGGTATCGAGGCTCTGGAGCTTATGCAAAATTTTGAAACCATAGATACCCCCGAAATTCGCCGTCCATACGGTAATTGGATATGACGTTTATCATGAATGAGTCTCACAAGTCTTGGGACGACTGTGTATTAGTCAAAGAGAAGTGTTGAATATGATGTATAAATAGGCGTCCTTGAACCTTTAATGCGCCCCACGGCTTCCAAAATTAATCGATGCATAAATCTGGGGCCGCATGGATTCCGGCCGTTTCGCTATCTGTTCTAGGATCTCTGGACTTCAGTGAGTTCTCATGCCTTCACCAACCTTACAATAAGAACGATTAAGAATAGAATGTATGTGTTTTAAGGGTTTGAATTGATTGGAATAGAAGTTCGTGAAAAGCGATATGATTTGCATTAGGTGTTTGCAAAACATTAAATCATCCCCTTTCTTATTCATCATTTCTAAACTTTGCTCTCCAACTAAATGTTGAGTCGGGAGATTCAAACCTCCACTGACAGTTAGGTAACGATTGAGTATTCGTTGGTGTGAGAGTAAGAACTGAGCTGCAACCTTAGAAGCTTTACGAGGAGTCAGCGTATGCCCACCCAGCTTCCACAATACGCCCACCTAGCTTTCAGCGTTGGCCCACCTAGTATAAGGAAATTAGCTGCATATATTATAAAATATTAATATTATAGGGTTATTAATAAAGCATAGCTATAGCTATCTTAAAGAGGTTTTATAGCTACCCTAAAGGGGTTTTATAGCTACCCCTTTATTTATAACTTAAAAGTTACTTTTGCCCTTTATGCCCTCTGCGCCCTCTGCGCCCTCGCGGCCCTCTGGGGGCTCTGGGCGCTCTGGGGCCCTTTGGGGGCTCTAGGGGCTCTGGGGGCTCTGGGGGCTCTGGGGCGCTCGGGGGTGCTCGGGGCGCTCGGGGGCGCTCTGGGGCCCTCTGGGCGCTCTGGGGCCCTCTGGGCGCTCTGGGGCCCTTTAGGCTTTTTAAGCTTGTATTTTTAAAGTATTGCTTAAATTAGAAAATAGCTACCTTGGCTTGTTAAGAACCCCGCAATACTTGCATTTTAGTGTAAATGCAGCTAATTTTCTTTATACTAGGTGGGCCAATGTTGGAAGCTAGGTAGGCATACTATAGAAGCTGGGTGGGCGTATGCTGACTTCTTTACGAGCACTGACTTAGGTCTGATACACATGGGTCTGACAGGCAGACAAGTCCCACCATGCCCGGGAAATGATTGTCCCAGGCGGAAAAAAATAGTCTGTTCGGAAATAAAGGTGTGTTAAAATCAAGGGCCATTATACTCTCATTTGCAATTAAACATATCAAAATGGCGCTAGCAACTCGCATATAACATACCATATCAAAAATTGTATGCACTTATTATATCGTGCTCTTTCTAACTATTAACTATAATTATTTATTTTATAATCCTTATTACGCCATGCCTTTTGCTATGCTATATATTTTAATTATTGCGAATTAATTTATAGTAGTTTTATAATTATATCCCATTGCCTAACCCCTTTAAAGCTTTGTATAATTTAAGGGTTGCTAAATATTAATTAAGCAAATAATATTATTATTGTAAGGATTATAAAATGCTTTAAGGTGTGGATTTATAAGCTAAGGAAAAGGAATTTAATTATTAGCATTATCATTAAGCCTAGGAACTTATATAGGGCTATTTAATTAATTAATTTCCACCGTAATATACGTAATTTAAGTCCTAAATATCTATCCTTTTTAATATATTATTTTATTGCTTAAGCCCTTTTTAATTATTTTGCTTTAAAAAATAATTTATATTAAGATAAAATGCAATAGTGGTTGCTAGAAAACTTTAACTTATTTATTTTTATAAGCATTATTAGCTAAGCACTTAAGGGAATTAAATAAAATAAAAAGATTATAAGTATAATTGCTACTTAACGAGACTACCTTATTTAAGTTAATTAAATCGTTAAAACTTAAAAACTTTATATAAACTAGTTTATCTTTATTAATAAGTTTAATATAAATAAAAGAAATGAATTATAATATATAAAATGATTATTAAAGGGCGTTAAGCTAAAGAAACTTATACTTAAAGGTAGTAAAGATTGCGGCATGCAGCACTAGGTACTTTTAGCACTTATAATTATGGGCATACTTAATTTATTTATATATAAAGGTAATATAAATGGTTAAAGCTTTATTAACTTTATTAAGAGTAAGGTTTTACCTAAGAAATTACTATTCCCAGGGTTTAATTTAATGCTAATAATAAATAACGTTAGTTTTTACTTTTATAATAACCTTTAGCAAGTATATAATTAAGCTAACGTTTAGCTTAAATATCTATCTTTATACTTGCTTAATCTTAATTTAATTAAGATATTTTTTAATAATCTTAAGAAATATATTTATCGCTACTTTTAATATTATAAAGATTAATAGCATATATAAAAAGATTAGCGGCAATTTCTTATTAACTTAATGTATAAGGTTGCTTTAAATATAAAAGTAATTTAGGGTTACTTTTAAAAGGCTATGGTTTTTAAATTAAAGCAAGCTTAAACCAACTAAATAATTAATTAATTATATACTTTAATGCATGCATTAACAATATATATAGTTTTTAAGCTTTAATTACCACTATAGGCGTTATAATATATAAGTAACTTAAATGCTTTTAATAATGTGTGTTATTATGCTTATTAATTAAGTTAATTATAATGCCTTAGTTATAACTTAGTATATATTAATAATTATAAGGTATATATTTATAAAAAGTATATTATAAAAGAAAGCTTAATTAAATGAATTAAATAATATATTATTTATTTTTAAATGCTTATTAAAAGGTTTTTGCCTTAAAAGTAATTAAATGCATTTAATGCATAAGATAATAATATATAATATTAACATACTTAGCATTTAAATAGTTAACTTTATATAATCATATCTTTATTAAAAAAAGTTATATATATAATGTAATTTCTATATTAAATAGCCCTATTTCTGCATTATTAAATAAGCAATATTTTATATATATATAATGTTAAAAAGGTGGTTGCTTTGGGTAGTTAAAATAAGGGATATGTGCAAAAAAGTATATTAATTGCAAGCCAGCTTAATGCTTAATTGGCATACCTATAATCAAACTTATAACCTTTTTATTATATACTGAGTTTAATTATAGCTATGCTAATTAGCTAGCAGATTAACTTAATAATTAATACATTCCGTTGGGAAGCAGTGGCCTTATAAGTAAGGAAAGGTATGGGTTAATATTTATGGCTAAGTAGTTATATAGGGGCTAGCATTAATATGCAATAACTAAGTTAAATTAGCTTTAATTTAAAAAAAAAGTATATTAGCTAATTATTAAGTATTAAGGCTATTTAAAGGTTATAATTATATTTTATAAAATTGCTTTTTTAAGTATTAATAATATAAAAAGGTATTAAGTAAATATTATTAAGTAATAAAAAAAAAGGTTTAATAATAATAACCTTTTTAATAATTTAAAATAATAGAATTAAACTTATAACCTTTTAATTATATAATATATTAATTATTATTACTTTAAATTATTAAAAGTTCTTTATTATTAAATAAAAGGTAGTAGGAAGGGTGGTTTATATAGCTAGGAAAGGTATAAGCTAAGGCGGATATGTTATATATATACATTAATTTTAAATTGCTATAATATTATTAAAAAAATTTTTAAATGTAATATAATTTTTATATTAAATAATTTAGCTTTTTATCTTTTTATTAATAATATTATTATTATAATTAGCATTAAATTTATAAAGAAAATTAATATTTTATATTAAGGCATGGTAAATATAAGTAGGTTGGGCTAGTTTATAAAACTTATTATGTTATAAGCATTAATATTAACTTTACTACTTTTTACTTATTATCATTATAATAATAAAAGTAATCTTTAAAACACCCTTTTACATATAATTAATAAGCTATAATTAATTACTTTTAGCAGCAATATTATTTCCAAAGCTCTTAATTGCCCTTAAGAGTATTAGTAAACTTAATATGCCCTCCTTTAGCATATTATATTCCTATATAAAGTCCTTTATATATTAATAAAGAAAGCTTTTTAAATTCTTTTTAAATTAATAATTAATAAATTATTTATTTAGCTATATTAAAAAGTTTTTAAGCATGCTTAAGCCTATATTTTAAAGCTTTATAATTAAGCAACTTATTTCCTGCTTTTCTTAATAATAGCGGGTTTTTTAATAATATATATATTAAAGAAAGTTATTTAATAGCCCATTATCCTTAAGGCTATTAAGCATTATTAAGAATAATAAAAATATTAATGGATAATATAATAAAGGCGGCATAACCCTTATTATTAATACTTTAATAAAAGAAGGGGTTATAAGCAATATATATGCATACTTAGCTGCTTATAATGCTAGCGGCAGCAAAGCTAATTGCTAGGGCATTAAATAACCATTAAGGGCATTTATAAGTATTAACGTAAGGTAATTGCTATTGCTATTGCCTTTGTTAATATTAATAATATTCCTATTACCTATATTACCCTTGCTTAGCTTAGGTATATTAGCTTTACTTAGGCGCCTTAATATAGTTAAGAAAACATTATTATTTAACCCAAGGATTAAAAAGGCATTAAATACTTTAGCTTAGCTGCCTTGCTTTTAATTAATATAGCAAAATAATACTTAATTATATATACTCTTAAAAATATAATTTAAAGAAGCTCTTTCCTGCTTTTTTTTTAATTAAGTTAGCTTACTTAAATAAGTTATTATATATAAGAGCTAAATATATTTTATTCCCCTTAATAAAGCACTACGCTATTAATTTTACTTTCTTTTTATAATTAAGATAACATTCTTTATTATAATACTTTAACTATTAACTTAATTAAGTAAATAGCTTGGTTTTAGCATTTTTTTAAATAATAATAGCTTTTTATATAGTTATAATTCTTATAAACCTTAATAAAAAACTTAATTAATTGCTTAGCTAAGAAATATTGCTAATATTAATATTAAATTGCTTAATTTAAAATAAGTTATTTTTTTTATTTCTATAGCAGCAGTTTTTTAATTTTATAAGATTAAATATTAATAAAACCCTTAAATATTAATAATAGCATGATTAAACTTTATTAATGCCTTAAGATAATATAAGGCGTAATAAATATTTAAAATAAGTATATAATATTTAAAATAAGTGCTGCTTTGCTATTAACTTACTTTATAAGGTTATATATTAATAATTAAATAATCTTAAGATTAATATTTACTACTTATTAATTAAAATATATAAGTTTTAATATATTGCTTTTTCTTAATTAAATTATTATAATAAGAAAGTTATACTTTGCTTAATAGCCCTTAAGGTTAATAATAACTTGCTTTTTAAAATTCTTAAGCTACTTATTAAGTTAATTAATAAAAAAACTATTAAATTTATTATATTACCCTTTTAAGTATTTCATTAAGAAGATAAATAAAGAAATATTCTTAAATTAATTAGCTAAGTTAACTAAAAAAAAGAAAAGATTATTTTTATATTTATATATATTTTAATCTTAATATTATTATAAAGAAAGCTATTAATAATAACCTTTTTAATAATCTTTTAAATATTATTATTCTTAATAGCAAAGGGGTTAGCAAAAAGGTTAATAAAGGGGTCTTTATTAATATAAGTAAAAGCATTTAGCTCCTTTTTATTATCTTTAATAAGGCTGCTTTTTAATAATAATAATAATAAGGGTGGCTTTAAAAGTATTTTCTTTAATAATAATAGCTTCCTCTTTATTAATAGCTTTTAAGTAGGCTTTATTAACGGTAATAAAGAAGGCTTTGCCTTTAGCTTAATAATTATTTAAGGCTTCTTTATAAAAAAATTGCTAAATATTGTAAATATAATATTCTTCTTCTTTATAAATATTATATTTATTAGCTTTAAAGGATTATTATTAAAGATAACATAATATTTAAGCTAAGATTATAATTAATAAGGGTTATAATTTAAGGACTTATAATTATTATATAAAATTAATTTTAAGGTATATATAATAATAGCTTTACTTAAGGGCCTTATAATATATAAATACTTTTATTAGCTATAATTATATATAAATAAATAATGCTTAATATTAATTATATCTTTTTAAAGCTTTAGCAAAGCATTAGCGGCTTTTATAAATCTTAATGGTAAGTTAAAAAGCAAGAAATTATATTTAAGGGTAATCACTATATACAGTAGTTAATATATAGGCGTTTAGCGGTAATAATAATTTTAATAAGTGCGTGAATTAATAATATTAAGGGTATTAATTAATGGTATGATAAGTGCATATGATTTTTGGTGTAGTGTGTTATGTGCGAGTCGCTAGCGCCATTTTGATACGTTTGATTGCAAATGAGAGTATGTGACCGGAACGTGGCATGCTCACAGGCGGCTCTCGGATCGTATCATGGTTTAACCCACAGCACACCGACTCCGGCTGTAGATCAGATGAACAGCTGACCACCCACTTCCCGACTGTGAGCTGCCATAGTCTTTTAGCTTAAAAGCCAACAGCCGGATACAAGGTCCGCTTTCCTTTTCTCATTTCTCGGAGTATCTAATGATTCTATTTTCTCCTACCGTGAAACAGCACTAGAATCTCACGTTGTGACACGATGATGGCTGAGTCGTTTTATATCCTCTTGCAGACAATCTGTACCTTACGAACCATGAATAGAGTCCCAAAGGGTGATGCAACCGGATGAATTAAATTCAGAGTGGTGCTATGCGGCGAGTCTGCTGGTGCAACACAGCATTACAGACTTTTCAAGTTTAGGTCTAATACAGGAAATGTGTTGAGAGAACAATGTGTTACGACGGAGAACTGTACAAATCTTGTTAGATGAGAACGCATACACTGGCTCTATGTGTCAAAATCAGAGAATAAAGCTATTAGAAATTGTATGCATCTCATGGCGCTACACGAATTTCACTACTCCACCACAATGGCGAGTCTTCCAACTCTTGACGTTTCCAAATTTACTCATGACTCGTACCCTAGTGTGGTGAGCATGCGTGAGAGTAATGACACTGTCCAGTCGGTTCTTATCTGCGGCTCCTCGATCGGGAAATACAACAGGAGCCCGAGGACAAAACCCTGATCAAAGACCGAAATCTAGAATTAAATCACAGTTTCTATTTTATGTATCATTTCACATAAGACGTGTGGTTGACCCTTACACCGGGTGCTTCTTACGGATGAGAAGCCGATACATGCTACCAGCAGAATACTGGACATATTGACGGTCAGAAAGGGACAGTGTAATTTATTCCAGTGCCCTGGTTCAACTCTCGATCAACGCGTTCCATTCGACCATCTACAGCTTCAACTTCTGTACACCGTGGATCTTTCCCTTAACTGCTTGAGTTCTACTGCTGGGTTGGACACTGTCCTAAAGTTTGACTTGTTTTCCATGACAGCCAGCTCGCAAGCTTGCTCGACTCCGCGGCTCTTCCGTGCCCGTCTTTTTATAGCCAAACAGGTAAGCAGCAACCTTGCGCATCTGAACCTCCTCACTCCCTTCCGTGATTCGATATCGCCTGAAATGCCGCCATATATGCTCAAATGGATAGTGCCTCGAATATCCATCCCCGCCGTGGATCTGAATGGCCCGATCGGCAGCCTGGCAGACCATGCGATTCGCATAGTAGTTGCACATGCTAATCTTGTGCCCAAGTTGTTTCTCGATGGCGACCCACGGCGCCTTCCCGGCAGCCTTGGCCCTCGCCGAGACCTGGTCCATCTCTACGGCCGTGCGAAGAATCAACAGCCTCAACATCTCTTCCTGGGTCGAGAGTTCCACCAGGGGCCACTGAATAGCCTGGTTGGAGGACAGGGGCGCCCCAAACACCTTGCGCCTGTTGGCGTGCTCGACGCTCCGGTCTATGCAGTATCGCGTGGCCCCACAGCTCGAGGCGGCCTGGCGGATCCTGTTCTCGTGTGTGAAGGTCTGGGCAATGGCCAGCCCGTCGTCGAGCGGGCCGAGGACGGCCGAGGCTGGGACGCGGACATTGTGCAGCATGACTGTCGCGTGGTCGGTGGGCATGTTCAGTGTCCACTCGTACGAAGCAACGGTGAGGCCCGGGGAGTCCCGGGGGACGAGAAACGCGGTGATTCCCTTCGCGTCGCCCGCCCTGCCGGAAGTCCGGGCAAAGACCGTGCAGTGGGTGGCGGTGTGCATGCCCGTCTGCCACTTTTTGTTCCCGTTGATCTCGTACCCGGGCTCGCCTGAAGAGAGGGTGACCGGCCGGGCCGTCGTGTTCATATGAGTGGCGTCGGAGCCATGGTCGATTTCGGTCAGCCCGAAAGTGGCTCTCAGCTTGCCGTTGATGCTGGCCGGTATCAAGTCCCTCTGTTGCTGGGGGGTGCCGTAGTGATGCACCATGAAGACGAAGGGATGGTTGCCGACAACACTGTGTTCATTCTGTATATCGTTGGCCAGGCTCACACCACCGCCGTACACAGGATGTGAGGACAGGTGATACCGAATCGCGCACATGTGGAGGTTGAGTGAATCCGTGCCAGATCCGCCGTATTCCTTCGGGCACGCGAAACGGTAGAAGCCCGCCCCGTCGGCGAGCTTCTTGGCTTGGCTAAGCAAGCCTTCCCAATCCTTTGTTGGGAGGCCTTGGTTGTTCCATTGCGTCCTTGAAGCTTCGCGACGGTGGTCAAAGAAGCGGTTATTGTCGTTGCTATGTTGCAATGGAAGGATGGTGTCGGTGATAAAGGTGTCGACACGTGACAGGTATTCTTGGACCTCTGCAGGGAGCTCGAAATTCATGGTGGTTGCTTTGGAGTGGTTTGACGTGGACCATCTGCCCCTTCAGATAATCAAGATGGCCCTTGCCCCGTGATGATATGAACTCCAGCGCGCAGGCCTCGGCTTCGCACATTATGCAGATGCTAACTGACCCCCTCACGGATGAAACCACTGGCGAATTGCTGTGCCGCACCTCGGCATCGACTATACCCCGCAGTGGTAGCAAGACTGGTTCAACATACTTAGTCACATACCGACGATCTATTGTCGAACACTTCATTGCCATTGCCTAATATCGACTCGAACGTCCAAGGATGAGTTCAGGAACTGTGTCCATGCCTGGCTTAAGCCATGACCTTGATAACGGCGCTCTCGGGCATTACCTCGTCAAGTCTGGGAAAATCCCTAACCTGCAATTACCTGTTGTAACCACGAAGATCGGATATGGCCAGAGCAATCCAACCTACTTTGTAGATGATGCAACGTAAGTACAAGTCCTCTGATACCCATGTGCTTCTCCTGCCTACATTACCGCATGGATATTTGACAAGACAGCCACAGCGGCGCCCGATTCATTCTAAGGAAGAAGCCGCCAGGCCCGGCCATCAGTCCCGTGGCGCATCGGATCGATCGGGAGTATAGAGTACTCGAGGCACTTGGGTCGGTGAAGAGTTTTCCTGTCCCGAAAGTCTTCGAGCTATGCGAGGATGCTTCAATAATCGGAACGCCATTCTACGTAAGTCGACGGGCTATCTAAATATCGCAGACAGATGCTCACTGCCAAAAATAGGTGATGGAATTTGTAAAAGGCAGGATCATAACCGACGTGGACCTGGGAGAACTTTCACCAGGCGATAGACGAAAGACGTGAGTCGTGGTATCCTCTGAGGCCAAGCGCACCCATGGGTAACAATCTCCCGAGAACTAGTTGGTTCTCTGCCATTGAGACTCTCGCATGGCTTCATACACTCGATCCTGACCGAATTGGGCTCTCGGATTACGGCAAGAGGAACGGATTCTACGCTCGTCACTGCAGGACGTGGAGTCGTATCGAGGCTCAACAAGCCGCGGTCAAAGATGTCAAATCGGGAAAAGCACTGGGCCGAGCCCACGAGGATTACGACAAGATCGTCGAGTATGTGAGAAACAACTTGCCGGACGATCGATATGCTATTATGCATGGGGATTTCAAATTTGACAATCTGGTACGTGGGGCATTAATCCTTGACCCCCCGGACGGGCTTTATTGAGAAGGCCGTTAATGTTTAGATCCTCCATCCTACCGAGCCAAGGGTCATTGCAGTCCTTGACTGGGAGTTGTCAACCATTGGACATCCCTTGATGGATCTCGTCTACTTACTCAGCCCCTTCTTCGAGGACTACCACAAAGTGGGACACGCAGCATCATCTCTGTCAGGCTCACCTTACAACACGCAGAGTCGCAAGGAGAGCGGCATCCCGGAGCCGCAGGAACTCCTGGACCGTTACGCCGAGATTGTCGGATTTGATCTTCGCAAGGATGGCGGCGGGAGAGACTGGGACACGGCCGTTGTCTTTCACTACCTCCGAGGCGGCACGATCAGTCACGGTATCCAGGCGCGCACCATTAATGGCCAGGCGAGCAGCAAGTTTAGTCATGTTTACTTCGGACAAACCAGGGCATTGCTAGACGCCGCTTTTGAGCGAGTGAAGAAGCTAGAGTCGGAGGCGGCTGGAGGACCCAAGCTTTAATTATTCATAGCAATGCCAGCTGTAGATAAAGGTGTCCATCGGAAGGGGTGTTGGCGCTGTCTGCTGGGTCGCCGACCCGGATGACGTGAACCGCCTGGCTGGCCCCTGTTGGCGCGCCCGGCGAACTGCTCATCGAAGGCCCTTGCCTCGCTCGGGGCCACCTTCGCCAGGATGACAAGACGGCAGCGACTTTTATCGAAGACCCAGGCTGGACAAGGAAGCGTCTGCCGCTATGGATTTACCTTTTACGGGCTCTCTAGACCTTCACAAGTTAATAAATTTGGAATTGCACAGCGACTGTAATTTTCGATTTGGATGGCTTGTAGGCAAGGGCAATGGGCCGGCTGTGTGGACTGAAAGGGGCGGTGTCCTCACAATCATGACAATAAACTCACAAACAACTTGCGCTAACATTTAGCCACATTGCTTGTACCGAGCATCTGACTGTACCATCAGTAGAACAGTACCAGGATAATCCCATAGACCACTCTACTAAGCTATTTGGTACACAAGCTTCCGACCCTTCACATCCCCAGTTCTCAGGTCTTCGATACCAACCACGATGGCTCCCAAGCCCCCTGTTTGGACTTCAATTGGATGCGGCTTGATGACTCCGTCCCAGATCAAGCGTTCAGCCATCGGGAAAAAGACTGAAGCAAATTGGCGATCCTCGGGGCGTCCGGGTCTTCCATAGGCGCCTGACAAGCGCACCGGACTCCCAAACAGTGACCACGTATTTTGCCATTCAGCTTGAACGTCCCTCCTGGTGTACTGTGTATGGATAGAAAATGGCTCCAACGCTACGTATTTCGCACCACCACTACCGATTGCTTCGTAAAATATCTTCATGGACCTGTCCTGCGTGACGCAGTCAAGTACGTGCCGCAAGTTGTTCTTGGTGTAGTTTCGAATCTCCATGCCACAGATTGGGGAGTTGTAGTCAAATGTTTCTTCGGCACCTAAGGACATTACAGAGTCCCTGCTCTTGGCCGAGCATGTTGCTATGGGCATCAGTCCAGATCTAGCCGAGGTCAGCCGCCGAGTCAGTTGAAGAATAGATCAAAAGTGGTGTTCTTACGATTTAAGTAGTTGGATAGCTATGGTGCCAGTCGCCGAGGCTCCACCAGAGACCAATACGTAGGATGGGTCCTTGGAAACCTGAACAGAGCCAGGCAAAGGAAGATCCAAGGATTGATATAGTGCGCTTCCAGCTGTCCCAACAGGTACGCTCAAAGTAGACGCCTCTTCAAAAGTCATTGATGGCGGTATCTTGCACGACAAATCCTCTGTGGCCAAGGCGTCGCAGCAGAATGCTCCAGTCAGCTTGTCCGACGGATTCAGGCCAAACATCATTCCGAAGATGCGATCTCCTTCTTTGAATCTTTTGACGCCTTGCCCTACTTGAACAACTTCTCCGGTAAAATCATTGCCCCCTATTGAATCTTGTGTTGCAGAGAATTCGATCATCTTCCAGTCGGCTGGGTTCAGCGCAACAGCCCTAACTTTGCAGAGCATCGTACCCAGCTTCAATTTCGGTATTTCAACTTCTGTGGAAAGCTGATACTGTCTACCATTACCAGCTACAAGTGCAACTTGCGTGATCATGTTGCATTCGTTCAACTGGTAGTTCAAGTTTTGCAGATCTCTTGCACGTCAGACTCGAGAAATGATGTATGATGCTCTTGCAAACTCGCGAGCACCCCTCGCCACAATCATAGACCATCTCAAGGTGCCAAGGTCCGGAACCCACCATCCTTTGTTCCAGGTCGCCCTCAATTACCGGCAGGACAACTCCACGCGGTCTAGCTTTGGAGATGTCCCTATTGAATGGCTTGATGGCACCAACCTTGGATACCCGTACGATATGAAATTTGACGTCAACGACACACCAAATGGAACAAGGTTCTGTCTTGTGACACAGAAGTATCTCTATGGCACGGCGGAAGCAGAAAGAATGATACGATGGTACGAAGCGACATTGACCGCATTTCTCTCTGACCCCAATATCCCTATCGTCTCTTGTCCTCTGAGCAAGCCTGAGGACGACGCGAACGCCATCTCGATGGCCAAAGGACCTCGGCTTGCTGTGGATGCGCACCGCACATTGGCACATCAAATCCATGAGATGGCAACTCTGTATCCTGATTCGCTGGCGATCACAGACAGCATTGGAGGTCGTCTGACTTACTCCGAAATGATGGCTAGATCAGAGCAAATCGCAACCCTCTTGCAACGCACAGTCAGAATTCGGACTGGTGACAAAGTCGCTGTACTACTGACAGCCGTTCCCGACCTGGCCTGCTCACTGATTGCTATCATGCGCCTTGGGCTTGTCTACGTCCCTTTGGATACTTGCAACTCAACCGAGCGTCTTGAAGCAATTCTCTCAGAGTGCCAACCGTCTACTATATTATGTCATGGTGCAACTGAGGCGCAGACTCGTCACCTGGCTGCGGGCGGCGTTCCTTTCACGAACATCGAGGATCTCGGTAACGCGAACTCGGTCAACGCATTGCCTCCGGGGATCCTCGCAGCACCTGATCAAGTTGGCTTTGTGATGTACACAGGCGGTACTACTGGACCACCAAAGGGCATTCTCCTCACTCACTCGGGACTAATGAATCAGATATCGGGCATCACATCTCAATTCGGAATCGGCCGAGAAGTGGTTCTGCAGTCAGCCTCACCGGAATCAGACTTTTCACTCGAACAGATGTTCGTGTCCCTCGCCAATGGTGGAACTCTGGTCGTGGCACCCCAATCTGCCAAGGAAGACACCGCCGAAGTCGCCGACATCATGCTCAACGAAAGCATCACATACACGAGTTTCACAACATCGGAGTACCTGGACCTTCTGAAGTGCGGATCCAAAGTGCTCAGCAACTGCACGTCGTGGAATTTTGCATTCGCCAGTCACGAGAAGGTCACAGCGAGATTTCGACGCGCGATGAAGGACCTGGAGCTTCCCGGACTAGAGCTCGTCAGCGTTTACGGACCAGTTGAGGCGAGCATCTCCTGCAGCAGAGTCCGGCTGAATTATCAGGAAGCCTTTGAGGACTTTTCAGATGTTACCGGAGAAAGGTTTTGCGGACCAATGATGCCGAACTACTCCGTTGTGATCGTGGATCAGGAATTGCGGCCCGTACCCACTGGTTATCTTGGCGAGATATGTATCGCAGGCCCGGGACTGGCGAAGGGATATCTGAACAACCCTCGGGAAAAGTCTCGAAGATTTGTGGCCAATACCTCCCAATCAACTGACGAGATCAACAGAGGACGGTCAAGGCTATTCCGAAGCGGCGACAAGGGTCGGGTCCTTGAGGACAGTACCGTGCACTTCATTGGACGACTGACTGGTGACAGAGAAGTCATTATTCAAGACAAGCCTTTCAATCTTGGTGAAATCGCCGAAGTCATCATCAGAGAAGCGAGCCCGACTGTTCTTGATGCGGCCGTCTCGTGGCGTGCGGACACAGGAGTGCTTATTGCCTTCGTCACAGTCGAAGACGAGGCCATTGGCGACATCGACGTCTTCTTGCACCGGCTCAAGGCCACCGTGCCTCTTCCAACACATATGATACGAGATGTGATACTCCCTGTCCGTTCCGTTCCCAGGACTCTCGACGGAAGGAAAGATTTGCGCGCACTTGACAATTTACTTCTTCCGGAATGTATCCCGAACAGGATAACAACAGAGACCTTCTCGCCATTAGAGCTGAGAGTCAAGAGTATTCGGGAAAGCTTGATTAGGACAGACTCAATGGCCAATTTGAAGCCCGAGACGGAGATCTTCTGCGCGGGAGGCAACTCCGTGCTTCTCATTCCTCTCCAAGCTGCGTTGCAGGCTGATCTAAGGAGCAGTCTCAGCCTCCCTGATCTCTTCCAGTTTAGGACTATACGATCAATAGCTTCGTGTATTCAGGGGAGGGCAGGAGATGTGGAAGGCCTTGTGGGTGGACGAGAAATTTAGGCTGAGTCATAGAATGCTCCCTTTGTACACAATTGACAATGGTGCATCTGATGAAGACGTGTTGCCAACGTTCCAGAACGCCAAGGAACACGTGGCTGCAGGCCACCACCAACCCGGGAGTTGTTTGTGACTCCAACACAGTTCCAACCGAAGAGATGAAGCGCCTCCCGCAGGAGGTAGTGGACAAAATAGCCGGACATCTTCCTGCCCGACACGAGGGGAAACGGATTCTACCGATTCTGGCTACGTTTTCAAGCTCCTGGCAGCATGCCATTGAGCTTTTCACATTTCAATCCCTCCACGTCACAAGCGACGGTCTCGACGACTTCTATGCAGCCTTTGTGGGTCAAAAAACGCGTCGCCGATTCCTCAGGGACCTCCACCTGGACATTGTCTTGCCGCGATACAGCGATGAAGACTGCGCCAAATACGAGACGGCACACGACAGAGCTGCAAACAGCGACATTTTCAGTCATCAAGTATCAGCTCTACTACAAAAACTATCGCAGTGGCCCGCTGGCGGCAGGCTTAATCTTGTCATAGGCATGTACTCGCCGATGGACGGTGTCCACCATGGTCCAGACAAGTTCGACTGCGACCAATACGAAGTTACCTTGGGGAGGCGGCAGGATATCTTCGGCGAGCGATATGCTTACTCATACCTCCGCTTCGCTGGCACAGTTTCAGTTGTTCCCTGTGTCACGGAGCCAGAATACGCCCACCCAGCTTCCACAGCTGTAGTACGCCCACCCAGCTTCCAGCGTTGGCCCACCCAGTATAAAGAAATTGGCTGCATGCATTAATAAAACTAAGTATTTTCTTAATAAGCAAAAAGCTACCTTATATCCTTAAAAAGCTACCTTAGCTAAAAAGGGCTTTTAAGGGTAAAGAAGGCCCTTAAGGATAAAGAAGGCCCTTAAGGAATAAAGAGTTTTTAAGGGTAAAAAAGGCTTTAAAGGTATAAAGAGCTGCCTTATAAGGTAAAAAGGGCCTTAAGCAATAAAAAGGGCCTTAAAGGATATAAAAAATATAAAGATATAAAGGGTATAAAGGGATAAAGAGGTAAAGGGATAAAGGGGTAAAGGGGCAAAGAGGTAAAGAGGCAAAATCCAAAGTGTACTTATATTTTATTAATGCATACAGCCAATTTCCTTATACTAGGTGGGCCAACGCTAAAAGCTGGGTGGGCGTACTGTGGAAGCTGGGTGGGCGTACACTGCCTCGGGAGACACTACTACTTAATAGTACACTATTTCCGCGTGGAGAATGACATGATGTAGGTAACAACATAGGAAACCCAAGCAATCTATGACAGAGATAATTCCAACAAGTCGGCTCGGTAGTAGCACTTGGATCAATAATGAAGATGAATCGAACAATACAACAACAGGCACAGTCGAAACTGGAATTGGAAACCAAGACCAGGAAGAAGGAGCCAGGAACGCCTGGGCAGCGACGTGGAGAGGTCCAAGTCTGGACCCGTGTCTTCCATGGGACTCGCTCGAGCCGCTGGTCAACTGTATCTACGCCCTCGGCGAGATTGAGACGTTCAAAACGTACGGCCAAGCCTCCACCCTACGAACAAACCTCCTGTGCAGTTCGCCACCGTCGATGGAATTCTTTGCACCAAGTAACAGTCGCGCAGTCTTGGATCCTTCTTGGGAAGGCCAGATGCATCATGACGAGACATCCAGCGCGAGAAAGATGCCGAGTAGAAGCCGTGGAGTCTCACAAAGCAGCTCGCATACGCGCTGAGTGTCTTGAACTTATGGATGCACACCATCACATGACAGACCTATACGCGACTCGCTGTCTGTTGGGATGCTTCAGAGTTGGGTGAGGAGTGAGCCCTGGACAACGCATCCATACCAGCCATTCTATTTCTCACTGTGTATATCAAAACTCGTGGCACAATCCCGCAGAAACGACAGGCCACCGTGGCATGGATATGATGCCGACAAGCTCTCAGGTTTCAGAATTAACCGTAGGCATTGCTTGAACCTTGAGGGGGCCACGAGATGCCATCGAGACACCACGTGCTTGTCGAACACACTCGAGAGCTGCAAGCAACCCAAGACACATAATAATGCTGTGATACTATACCTCGTCGTTGCTTTTCAAACAATTATTGGGTAGCAGTCTCGTGGCATGTAGTCCGAGATTAACACAGTCCTACGTCAGTCATCACTATAAGTCGCCCTCCCAAATTCTTGGAAGCGGGGATCTCATTGGAAGACAACCTGCCTACGTAATTACCGGCCACACACAAACAGGGTAGTGTTTCTCATCCCCGGGCATGGCAGCATGCCGGCCAGGTCATGTTACAATTGCTGGGGAAGCAAAGTGCCGAGGCCACATGCAGGCACACATCTCAAGATTATTAAACCCCCAAGACAGCTGCACTCCAGATCAAGCAAGGGCCTACACGACGTTTCAAACCCAGCCTCGAACCCAACCAGGGGTATCATCAAAGAAACCATCTAGAGTGCTTCCATCGACACGGAGTACATGACTCCCAAACTGTGACAATACACTGTATACTCCCCTTGAGAACATGTACAAAGAAGGACGACACCAAGTAAACCCAGGATCAGAAGGCCACCGTGCTGCGGTGTGACAGCTGCATGCAGGCAGAGTAGCCCGGCGACTACTGCAGCGTGTGGGAGGGGAGCATTCGGTGGGCCACACCCTGAGTCCCCCTCGCCTCGCTCCGGACCAACCACCTCTGACATAGCCGTCTGCAACCGAAATGCTGGGGCGGCCGGGTTCTCCGGCCGTGAGTGCCGAATGCGGGACCCCTGCTCACGGGGCACAGACCGTTTTAGGGCAGACGTGTCGGCAGTGTGCCAGTGTCTCTCGTCTTGACAGTGATAGTCAGTGAGCATGATAATCTCCCAGCGGAGGTCTATATAAGTGCACATAGGAAAATAAACAGAGAAAGCGAGGCTGGGGGCTGACAGTGGTTCTGGAAATGCAAGAAGTACTTAAGTAGGCGCACGTCTAGGACGTCGGCTTGGAGCCCTCATTCGGCACGTATTCACCACAATAGCGTCTATCACATCAACCACCGGAAATACGTTCAACACGCTGTAGCCCAGCGTTGCGTTCAATGTCTCCCATTGTGACGCAACCGATGCTACTCTTGTGAGTCTCCCGGATACTGTGTCCAAGCTCATCAACTCGCGACGGAAAGGGCGCCATGATTCGAAGTGACAGGAACAAGTTCAATCCGGCGAAGAGGTCCTCGATGGGGAAGCAGCAATAGCAACCAGTGACCATGAGCATGATACGCAGTGCATTACACAGTACGCATCCTATCATTCCCACCATCACTGAGGTCGCCATGTCCTTGACGCAGCTGCGCTTTCAACTCACACGCGTGATGGCATCCCACACTCGGGGACAACCCACATGTGGCGATTCCTGCGAAAGGCGAAGTGCCTTGCCACACTCATTGAGAGATCGGGTCCTGCGCTGAGTAGGTAACCACTTGAAACCTGTGATGGAAGCTCGCGATCAAGCCGTCGCAAGATGGCGTGATGTAAGATGGGAAGCTGCGGACGGTTTGCCTCTTGCTCGTTGCGCAAACAACCCCCAACGAACATTTGAACGCAGGCATTGTCAACTCATCTCATGGATGGGCGGAGGCAGAGACTTCCGAGACACCTTCGATCAAAATTGCAATGAATTGAGCCACTCGGCCCAATATTACCGACCCGGGCTTAATACTGGGGGTCAGACGGCACGGCACGATGAGGCGCGCGTGGGCACATGCATTGCTCCTTAGGTCACTTGACCAGGTTCGTCTGACCGTGCCGTCAATTGAACGGCTGGCGGACTGGTTCTCTCGCTCATATCGAAACGACCGACAAACTATGCGCAACCCCAGATTAGCTCAATTTCCGATGGAAATAGGTTTGGCATGAAAGCAGATGGTGCCGAACCTCGTACGATTGCTCATGGCGGATAGGACCGTGGAGGTATATCTCGTCCTAGTATTAGTGTGGGGACGAAGACACTTTGGACAGTACAGTGCTTCACGCGCCCTCGCCGCCCTTGTATCTGATAAAGGGCAGCTGATTAGGCTTCGAACGGACATGGCCGGTAGGATCTAAAGCTTAAGCTGTTGGAGATGGTCTGATCTCGCAGGAGCATACTACACAGTGTTCCGAGAGTTGGCACAGCTCTACTTTGCGTCAGTATTTGCAACGCCTTGAAGATCGCAGATGAACTTCTCGTTGCAAAAAGTCACCCTGTGCTGGCATCTGTACAAGACTATGCCCACACCGACGAGGACGTGCCATATAGTCGGCACTTGGGCCCTGGATCGATGCTTCAAATCAGGTGTGGAGTGCTTGGCAAGTCGGTTTCGGAATGGAGCAAGAAATGCACGTTGTTGGTTGGAGATGAGGTCTAGCTGCGCCAGGAGCCGCGTCGAGTTGCAATTGTAGGGATCCCTGGTCTCGACCGAGATGAACTCGGCGACAGTGAATTCCCCACCCGATCATCCATCGTAATCTTTATGTAAATCAAGATGCTGCAGTGTTGATTGCTTGCTGTCTCGTAGATGCTCAGACGCACTGATCGAAACACGGTGAGAAGCTGCGCAAAACAAACAAGAGCAGGGAAGTGGGACGTGACGACAGCAAAGCCTGGCACGCGTGGCCTGCTGGTGGGCGACGGCGGCGAGGATCAAACCGGGAGAGCATTGTTTTTTTGATGGTCGAGAGGCGGACGCTCCCGGGAGCTAGCTAGTCTACTGTGATACTCCACAAGCGGCTCGCGGATCATCTCATGGCGAGCACACTATGGCGGGACTAGGGTGTAATCCGCGGGCGGGGAGATGGTGTCCCAAGGAGCCGGGAAGAGTCTAGCCACAGACGTGAGAAAAAAAAATCTCCGTTGGCAACAGTGCCCGAACGAACAGGCGCTGTTGTGAAAGCATCCATCGCTTTGGTGGGACTCAGACAGTTCAGGTCAAAATGCTGGAATACCGTAGATGCGTCGACGACAACGTTTTTTCTTGGAAAGTAGGGGAACTGATGTTCAAAGACCCGCTCTTAGGGCAATATGTGCATGCTCGACTGGGTCGTGAAAAGATGGAGCTTACCTCGCCTGGCAATCCATGTGACAGAGCTCGTGGTGAGCCCACCAGCCACCGACATGACGAAAAGCGCACCCCCCGGGCGGACGGATGTGATGAGTCGGCCCAGAATAGCTAGCGTCCCCGCTTATTTCTTTCCTCCTTCAAAAAACATATCTTGCTTATTTTTAATGAAGGTAAAGAGTACCGGGTTGGGACTTAAGTAATGCTTGGGCAAGGCCTACTGGCCACTCGCTAACGCTCAACCCAGCGCCTTAATCGTCCCTTTCTTAATTCAATTGGTAGCCTGGGAAAAGTGAATTTAATTAGGAGGTTTGGGGAGGGTTTGAGTTGTGATTTGGAGTATTATTAATCTTAGCCGTTTTGGGCGGACTCATCACATCTGTCCGCCCGGGGGGTGCGCTTTTCGTCATTCCGACCAGCCACGCCAGCCCACCCGACTGATCATGGACCCTGGGGGGTGATCCGGGTGCCGAGTCAGTGTTCCGTTCCATCACAGATTCTTTCGGGTCGATTGAGCGGCTCGTGTGCAAGTGCGGTTCCTGTTTCGTCGGTGGAGGTGGAACAAGATGTCGGATCTCCAGACCGTGTGCCAAAAACCGCGAGGGCAGTGTAGATCGGAGGAGCAGGGCGGCCAATCAGGCACCAGAGGTGCCTCTGGGGGAAAGCGTGGCAACGAGCTGCGCCGGACGTTGGGCAGCGACACACAGTTGTCCTGTTCTCTGCATGTGTGCTAATCGTGGTTGATCCTCGGGGTGGTGCAGTGCCTGAGTGCTAGAGTGCTTGGGACGGGGAGGCTTGCACGGCTGGACGGATGTGATCCGGACCATCAGCCATCGCCGCCATCACCAATGGTTCTGTGTGTGTGCCGAGCCGAACAAGACTCGAGAGTTGCGCTCATGAATGGGTCGCTGTCACACACGATGTGTTTGTTCTCTCGTGATGCCATCGAGTCTTGGAGGAGTGTCTAGTGGTAACTCGGTTCGAGGGGCTCGAGCGTGGTGATCCCAATGATTTGACTGCCGCGATCCTCTTGAGGGTTTGCCAAATCCTAGGTCCGTCACGAAGTGTTTGCTGCTCTGCTCTAATTTTGCTTGGACCCGAGGGGGAAGAATTGGGGAAGGGTCCCTTCGGGCCTGAGGGACAGAGGAGGGGGACGGAAAAGGGAGGGCGACAGAGCTGCGCACAGGCCGTGGGTCAGTCGCGCTAGGCGTGCTGCCCCTTGTGCCTTCCCAGCCTGTCCCTGCTCTTCCCTGCCATTCCCTGCTCTACCCCTGCCCCGTTGCATGGGCTCTGCCACACTTTCCCCTGCAGTTCTGCCCTGTCAGTCGAGACTTCCCGCAAAGTGCCTGCAGCAGCAGCAGCACAAGCTCAGGTCGGAGGAGGTCGAGCTGGGAAGGAGGGTGGTATTGGGATGCGCTGCAACTTCCCCCTTTGCCCGCTGCCAGGGGTTGTCACTTTGCATCTTGGGAGAGGAGACGAAATGGAGATTTGTCTGTGCAGACAGACTTGCGATCTTCCAGACTTTACTTCTACGTACTATTGCAGCATTATTGCCTACCTACATATGTAATAGATACGTACCGGGCAGCCAGGTTTCTCAATCAGTCTCCATTCCCCAGCCGTCAGTCTTTAATCGTCAGTCCAGCATTCTCCGTTACATCGCCGTGATCTCGTTTGCTCCCTCCTCGCGTCGCCACACACTGTCTCGGCCAGTCTGTCTGCCAGTCTGTCTGCCAGTCTGTCTGCCAGTCTGTCTGCCAGTCTGTCTGCCAGTCTGTCTGCCAGTCTGTCTGCCAGTCTGTCAGCCTGCCAGCGATTCTCGTTCTCACTTGACATCATCGCAGAGACAGGTTGAACAGCAGTGACCCACGGCATTCGAGTGGACTGTGCGAAACAGCCTTCGCCTTACGCACGCGACAGAGTCACTCTCTGCTCTTGCCCGCATATCTGAGACATCTCACGCAATTCAAAGACACCATCATCATCCCGTCCCAAATCCTGTCCTCTCGTTCCGTCAACTCACTCCACTCCTGTCTCGACTAGTGCGCACTTCCTCGGTTCACCGCCGGTCGAACACCAGCGCAGAAGCTTGGGTTCGTCTGATCGCGCTGCTGTCTCCCGCGTCTTCCCTGCCTTCCCGTCCGCCATCTCATCCCATCTCATCCAATCCCGGCCCTGTCACAACACCACACAGCACAACGCGAGGTCGCCGTCGCATCCAGTTTTTCTCGAATCTCGTCGTCGTTGGCTTCACTCGCCAATCTGGTTTACAAAGCCAGCCTGACCTGGCCTACCATCTGGACCCATTGAATTAAATCGGCCTCCAATACCACAGTAACCCGGTCCACCTCTCGGCACGCGGGTCTGGAAATAACTGCCCGCCCCGTCAGCCTGCGTACGGCACACAGACAGTACCCACCGCATCGGCTTTTGTTCCAATACCGTTTCTGCTACATACACTCCGTAACATCACCGACCAATTGCAGCCTCGCGAGTCACGGGCCTAACAAGGCGCGGCCAGACCAGGCAAGGCAGCGCAAGGCAGCGACCGCACAGGGGCCAGGGGCTGCAAATAAACCCACGAGGGTCTCTTCCTGCCTGTGTCGTATTCCCCGTCCCACGCTGTCTGTCCCGCAGATAACGCCGCCTCCCGGACAGGCATGATCCCGTACCCTGGTGCGTGTGTCTCATTCCCTCCTGGCTGCTTGGCCCATTCCCATCACTCGCCCGCCATGTAGTAGACTAAGACTGACTTTTCGGTCAGATTTCAGCTCCGTTGATCTCGCTGGCTTGTTGTGAGACCCAGCCCACGGTTCCTGTTCCTGTTGGTCACATCTGCGGTGACGCCCCTTCGTCCCCGTCCGTTCCGTCATCATGGAGGGACCTGCTGTCCAAAGTCCGCGTCGAGAACGCCGCCGGCCTTCCTTCCATTCACCAAACAGCTCTCGCGCCGTCTCGCGATCAAGTACTCGCAACTCGTCTGCGCGGATGCCTCCCCAAACCAACAATGACTCCTCGTCAAACATCACCCCGTCTCCTAGTCTGAGATACGCACAGCCTGTCGGTTCTCGTTTGTCCCACCGCAGAGGCTCCATGGGGTCCAACGCCGACCGACCTCCTACCCCGGTGTCCAAGAGCTCCGTTAGGGGCTCCCAGTCAAGTACTCATCAGGAACCTGCGTCCACTCTGCTGCAGGAGAAATTGCAGCGTGAGCGGAGGTCTGAAATTCAGCGGAACCTGAATAGACTGGCCGGTGACATGAATATCACAGCAGTGGACACACAAGTTACGGCGTCAACCCCCGTACGGTGCGCCACAGCCGATGGCAGACGTCCGGGGTCCAGCGACGCAAATAGCGATGCCGGGAAGAAAAAGGGCTTTGCCCTCAAGGAGATGGAACAGGTACTAATGAATCCCTCGCCTCCTTTTCCTACAGCATCCTGCCCACTGCCGCTCATCAGCATACGCTCTTGACCGTCTATATCCTCCCTGCCATCGTTGCTCGTCTCTTCTGGGGCGGCGCTTCACATGAGCCCCACTTAACCCTCATTGCAGGCGCCGGGGATCAGACGCTGCTATCAGATTTGCTGACAAGATTCTGCACAGGCAATGTCGACGCTGCACAAGCAAAACTTTGACCTCAAACTCGAGCTTTTTCACCGTCGGCAACGGCAGTCTGTCCTCGAGGAGAAGGTCGAGACGTTGGAGGCAGAGAAGTCGCAAACTCAAGAGACCAACGACACGCTAATACAGGAGCTGGAAAGGAGGGACAAGGCGGTCGAAGAAGCCGTCACAATGATTGTCACCCTGGAAGCTCGCATAGAACTTCTGCTGCGTGAAAGGGAGATGGTTCGGCAGGTCGAGGCCGACAGGGCTCTTATTACCAAACTGGCAGCTTCACAAGCCGCTTCACAGGGGGCGGCTGGAACCAACGGACCCGACACAACGAACGCGCAAGATAGTGTGTCGAATGACTGCGGAAGAAGCCTCGCGCGGATGCCCAGCTTCCTTTCAGAGCGTACAGAAAACACCGAGAACCTTCGCAATGTTTACCTGGGAGCGCAAGGAAGTATTCTCAGCTTGTCAAAGACAGATCCGAGGGCGGACAATGGTGGATTCGTCAGCCCAAACATGAGCATCTTGAGTGAGAGCTCGTTTATCAGTGTTTACGGCACGCAGACTGCTCCACATGGGCTCTCGTCTAACCATGCTGAGAACGATTCTCGGCCTGACGATGACGTCGGTAAAGGTGGCCGCCGGAGTCTGTCTCTGTCGATGCACGACTCCACCCCCACCAGGCCAACCGCAAAGGAGGCGATTGAGAACGGAGAGACCACTTCGCCGCTGCAGAAGCTCGAAAAGCTCGACTCCTCACCGGCTACACTGGAGAACTCGGAGGTAACGCCCCTGGGCAGAGATATCCAGCGGCCGGTCACATCCATGAAACCATTCAAACCACAACCTATTCTTCGAGTAAGGAAAACCAGGGACAAGCCAGCGGCAACTCGCAGAGTCATCACGGACGTGCCTACCTCTCGCGCGCATGCGCTGCCTCCCACACCAGACACCATGTCGAGCTCAATGAACCAGAGTCTTTGCTCCGACGAGACCGCGCAACACGGCCGAGATGATGGGGAAGCAACATATCCTGTGATGACACGTCCGACCCTGGATCAGACAGATGAGGCCGAGCCGGGGCACTGGCGATTCAAGGGTGCCGGCGCTGCTCAGCCACCTTCGGTCACAGCATTTACAGGCAGGAAAGACCACTCGGCTGTCAACTACGCCGACATCCCGCTAGCTCTTCCGAGGCGCCCCCGATCGGCTGACGAAACCACAATATCTCGTCATAAGCTTGACTGGGATTCAGGAAGCGAACTCGACGATGCGGCTTCAGAGGTGTCCAGCTTCGATTACTGGATGAGAGAAGGTCTTCGACCCAGCCGCGGTGGCCAGACTCAGGCGCAGAATGGGGCGGCGGTATCACAAAGACACGCCAATCGGGGCACTCCTGATCTCTTTGGATTCCCATCTGACTCTAAAGGCTGGCAGTCGAATGACATGTTCGGAGCACTTGGGGGGAATGGTTATTTCGGTGCAGCGGCTCCTCTTGCACCAGACTTGGATGCTATGGGAGATTCACTGCCAGCACCGGAAGTAGGCCTCTACGGCTCAGGACTCGCGGGAGCAAGTTCGCCTCGGCCAACTGGCAATGTCGCAGTGCCGCCACCAGCACCTAACCGCAAGTCTAGTCTGCGAGCTCGAACATCGGCGCCTGGAACCCCGATGACCACACGTCCGCCGAGACCTTTTGGAAGACATGGAGAATCTGAGTCGAGTAGGAAGAGTTCTTTAACAGGACAGGCGCAGAGTAATTCAGATCGATGGCCAGCACCGAACTCCCGCAGTATCACGCCGACTCCGCCGGATCGTCCTCAAGCTCAACACCATGAAGAAACGGCGGCCCAAAAACGCCATTATCCGCCCACTGCCAGTCACCAACAGCAAGCACCCGCCCGTCCTCGCAGCAGAGGAATCACCAGCCTGTTCCGCCGTTCCCTGGGCTCTGGTCATATCCAGCCCTCCGCCTCGGTACCAAATAACCAGTCGCCCTTCCCCCCTCCTGCGAAGGCCGACCCTGCGCCAGCACCTGTCGGGGTTCCAACATGGGAGCGGAGAAATGACCGGGGTGACGAGGAGATGTCGGCCACCCCACCGCCAATCATGCGCAAAAGAGCCCCTGCAAACGATACAGGCTTCACTGACACTGCAGGTGCGCAAGATATCAAGGGTATAGCACGGGCGGCCAAGCCGCATCCTCTCCGATCCTCCAGTCCAGGCTTGGGCGCTGGACTGAGCAGCGTCTTGGCCACGCATGACGGCGGCGTCCCTTTGACGCCTAACAATGGTGGACAAGATGAGGAAAGCGTTCCAACTTCGGCCCCTGCGTCTGGCCAAAGCATCGGCCACGGACACGGCCATGGCAGAAAGTGGTTTGGCTTGGGCCGTGCCTCAAGCTCCAAGCATTCCGGAACTTAGACACGGTACAGAGGCTATCTTCGAGCATTGATGTTGGTGCGAGCCAGTTTCTACGTCGTATCAATCCACGGGGTATTTATTGACTTCTTTGGGTTAAGATTTTTGTGTTCGCATTGGATTGGGCTATGGCAATGTGCAAAAGTCGACGGGTCATTTGAACTGAAGCACTCGCTCATTTTCCGGTTCATCAAAAAACACCGGTAGCAGTTACCCATGTACAACTGGCGTTTATCAGGAAACTGTCAGTTGGGATGGAGTTCTTGGGTACTCTTTATCAACGACCTACACACAAGACATTGGGTGATGTAGTTGGCAGTACTATGGCGCTACGTATCGGCCTGTGTAGATCGACAAGGTTTGGGTCTGGTTTATTGCTCAGGAAAAGCGCATCATTGGGAGTGAAGGTGTAATGAGATTGACATAAAAAAAAAGACAATACAACGTCCTGCGTGCATTTGTTACAGTTCTGCAGCGTCCTTGGAAGTCGCTCAAGTCAAGCTTGCATCACCAGACTGATCTGCGTCATGCGCTTCCTGAGATTCTTGAATGGCAATGCAAAAGACGGTTTATAGCAGCAGCGGAAGGATGGGCTTCACAATTATGGGGTTGGTGTGAGTTTGATCACGGAATCACATTAAGCAAGGATTTTCTAGAGGACAGTGACTTTACTCATCAATATGTCGTTCTGAGCCCCAAGCACTGAAGTTTCACAAGCTTTCTTGTTGCACTGTCCGAAAGTCTTTCTTCTCTCACTTCGCCTCAGCCGGCTCAAAAAAGTCCAATTCTTTTGGAAGACAACGTTCCATGGCTATATATCTCGCTGGAATCAATTTGGCTTGTTCTGTGTCGAATTTGCTCTGCTAACCAGCTCGACTGTCCATATCGAGGTCGCCTTGACGGACATACAGGTCGACCTTGCCATACCGCCCTCCAAGTCAACGCAACCTTCCAGCGAACATCTTACGGCTTTGCCGTCTTTTCTATAAATTTACAATTCAATTGCTTCGTTTGTAAAATCGTATAGGGAGAGGTATTCCAGGTGGCTATAACAGACAATAAGGAGTCAATTGCTATCTTATCCCATGAGCACAACACATTGCATTCCTGGTCTCATTACCGCTGCACAAATCACCGGCCCAATGCCTCCCGAGGATGGCGATCCTGGCCGGACATGATGCGGGTGCCTTTCGTGTGGGGCTTTTGGACATGTTGTTGGACTTCGCTTCTGCCAACACCATTCTCAGATCGTGCAAGAACACCAGCACTGCAAGACTTCGCTCCGCTGAGTCGAGCACCCTAGCCAACCTAGAGACCCCATGGTGTCCTTGCAGCCGGCCTCAGCCGTCGCAAGGCATTCCGCCTGGCAGTTCCTGCGGCCACCACCGAATTGACAAGGCCCAATCCTCCACTTGGCTGTGTTTCTTTTGTCGTGTTCCGCCGGGTGGGAACCCCCCGTGTAGGGTCTGGGTTTAGCAGGGGACTGGTCGGGGTTGTCGTTGTTGAGGGCGGCGAGGGTAGTAACAGAGCCGAGTGCTAGGAAGAGGACGGTAGTGGTGAGTCTCATGTTGGAAACTTGGTTCACTGAATGAATCAACGGGATTGGGTCAAATGCCCGGAAGGAAATCTTGATGCTGGATGGGGTGGAAGCGTGATGGTGTTGGAGGTCGAGGACACCCGTAAATGCGCTGCATAGAATGTTTTGTGGGAGGCTTTTATACCAATTTCATTCGGACTGGAGCATAGGAATGTTGTGGTACGAGACAAATAGTGAGAGGCGGTGTCACCGAGCTAGCACTCAGCTCCGAAGCATCGCATCCCAGCCTCAGCTCGTGTAGCAAGAGGCTTTTTAGATGCCGCGCAGAAATTAATGGGAGCCAGGACCATAACAGAAAGCTCTGACCAGGCTGTTATTGGTCGTTTTGTCGTCGACAACTCAACGTGGAACTCAGATCATGCCGTCCTCGCATCCGTGGCCCAAGTGTACAGTGATATCCCACTTTGCATCATCTCAAACGCCGCCAACTTTAGGATATTGAGATTGAGCCTTATTCGAATGGTAGCTACGTTAGGTAGGTGTAAAGTAATGCAGCATATTGATAGGCGTTTCTAGACCATTTAATTATGACAATTGTCAACTCGAGGTGAGAATGTGGTAGAAAGTATCGTGGTGTCTGGGTGATGCCGAGGCGCAAATGCCTACTAAAGCTATGCGCTCAATCCATGATTTCAGGATCTCTCCCCGTGTCAACAAATTCTCTGATTGCTCGAAGACCTTGCAAATCTCCTTCGATAGTGCCTGCTTTGTCACGGTCAACCCATCCCTCCGTGTGACCGCCTCCAAAGTCAGTAACCCACGCGTCCCCAGCGGTATCTACTAAAACATTGCTTGCCTTCACGTCGCCCCAGACGATGCCAGCCTTGTGGAGTGCCTCCACTGTGCCCGTCACCTGTCTCTTCCACTTATCTTTCAGATCGCTGCCGGAAGATCCTAGGTCAATGACCTTGTCGTGCAATGTGTCGTCAACCTGGATATAGTGCAACAAAAGGCCGATAACTTGCGATTTGTCGTCTTCGACGATGCCGTAGAGACGCGAGGTGCGCACCTCTTGCTGGTTGAACCTGGCCTTGAATATCTTCTCAAGAGTAAGGACTTCGTGGGCCCCAATGCTATCGTCTGGATCCTGGAAAGCCTTGAAAAACAATTGTTTGCCCTGGACCCGAACTCTGCTCGGCTCGTCAACGAGGATGTATGTTGGATCGTCCGAGAGAACTTCCACCTCTGCTGTTGCAAATATGGGGCATGTTGTCTTCCACAGAATTCCCGCGTTGCCAACAACATTTTCCATCTCGTCCCTCGCAAGGATGTCGCCTGGGACCAGGGTATCGTCTACGGCATTTAGGCTGGCATCGAAGCTTTCGCCGCTGAAAAAGTGCTGCAGGGTGATGGTTGCACCATCACTTGGTCGCGGGGCAATTTCCTCCAACGATGGCAGAAAGGGCCTGACGGCCCACTCATAACAACCATCCAGACTCAAGTCTAGCATCGGGTGTTGCGCGGGAGATTCGCCGCCTCTGTGCATATCGTCGTCGTCGTCCTCCTCTTCCTCATCTGAAGGCCATTCTCCCTCTGAGTCTAATTGCAGCATTTCAAGGTACTGATTGAATTCATCAAGTCTCGTGGGAGAGTTTTGGAATTCATCCGGACAGACCGTGATTGTCAGGGTCTTGCCGTGTATCTTGACGTTGACCACGAACCATCGCGTGTCTTCGTCTCGGTTACAAGGTGTGTGCCCGCATTTTTGATAATGCGGCCTCTGCGAGACTGCTTCGGGATTCTCCATAGTCAAGGGCAAAGATCCGACGTGCTGGGTTTCGGGTGGCGGACAAAAAGGTGAGAAAGAATGATCCGGAGTTGATGTTTGCTCGAAACCATCCAGTACCGAAGCGTGAGGATCACTTTAAAGTTTGGTGTTGGTGGGATGCCGGCCAATGGAAAATCTCAGCAGCGTTCCTTGCCGACCAGCCAAATAAGCAAAGGTTCCCAGGCAGGTCTGGCTGTATCAACCAATCACGTCTTCTTCTGCGATGCGCTAAGCGTGAAGCTAGGCCTGAAACCAGGTCCTACGTGGCTTGGGTGCAAGCCCGCGCAACTGGTCAAGCATAGACGCGCCTCGCCACCTCTGCCAACCTTCTAGACCAGAGAGAAGGTCGTACCTGGGGCCACCCAGGGATTCATATCCAAGAACTTCTAATTTTAAAGGAGGCAGTCTTCGGTCAACCTGGACACAGCGTTCCATCAATTCTACCAACACCTTCCAAAGTCCAAATTGATAGGGCACCAGTCCCTAATGCTACCTTGAAAAGGTTGGCCAGCCCTAGGGAGTACTATTTATGTTCGTAGGTGATTTTTCAGGTGACCCTCAAGGAGGGCGGTTTCATCGACTTCTCTATTTCTTGGATGCAGCCTATTCCATTGCAACAATGACTTCAAGACTCGCCTATTGGGATGTTTCTATCGTTAGAACCCAGTGGGAGTGCCCTGCATTAAGTGGACGTTTACTCCGCACGTGGGCTGGACGAAGTTGGAATCATCCGCCATTTCCATCATGTGCAATCGGAAGTCCGCCAGGATAGGCTCTTGGCTGAGGTGTATCTATGACCAGCAATTTTGGCACAATATGCTCTCACTTAAGGACAAGCAACATGGTTAATCCTATGGCCATTTCAACGGCCACTCACAGGCGAGTCGCTCCGTAAAGGATTTGTATTAGCAACCAACAGAATTTTGATGCTACCATCTCTCGCCAGCCTTGACTGAACTAGAAGGGCTCTCGACCCGGCCCTTTGGCCGTGACCGGTGTCATAGCATCATGTCTCGTCTTTGGACAAGATGGTTTTCACACATGTGCCAGCACTGCTCAAGGCCTCATGACTGGATGGAAAAAATCGGTGTTGGTGGTCACAGGTGCCCTGCTGTTTCTTTTTTCGAGCACAGAGACCGCCGTTAGAGGCCATCCCTTAGAGAAGGCCACCTTCTCCAGGTCTTGGATCATCAACTTGGGGGCTTGACTTTGACGTCAAGAATCTCGAGCTGAACTCACAGTATAAATGACTGACAACCTTCCCATGTAAAGAGAAAGTTAGCTCTCAACAGAGGTAACCAGTACTATTCTCACTTTTCTTTTCAAATTTGAAGATCACAGGATTCTTGTTAGCGTGCTGTCTTGAGCCTCGTCTTGTCCCATTTTACCATCCTTTCCTATATTTCTTTTCCCAATGTGCCATCGTACGACCAAACAATACTGGTGCGGTCACCAGAAAAGCCGCTTGTCAGACGCACGAAACTGCGGAAGAGCTCGCCGGCAGAACCGCAGGGGCCGGGACGGCAAGCTCCTGAACTGCCGGGAACGGACCCGGAACACAACCTTCGTCGTCGACAACTCCAAGACCTGTGGGGCCAGGGCATGCAGGGAGAACTTCGCGCGCAGCCACACCAGCAACTGGTATTGCTGCCGGTGCCGACAGCAAAACAGGGGCGACTACGATTGCTCTGGTCCTCCGGGCAGGCAGACCCACAGCGTCTGGGATGTCCCTGTGACGCCTTGCAACCATGAGCGTTGTGTGCGGTGCTGGCCACGGGTCCAGTGAATGGGATCCATCAAGTACTGTGCCCGGGAAGTATCAATCACAGCAGCGGGCGTACACGTCTCATGCTGGCTTACGTCGCTACAACGAGCAGACTGGATCCGCCGGACGGAGCTATCTGGTATTAGTTGTTGCTCAGTTACAGGCTCCTGCGGGACATGGGCCTGTGTATTTCGGCGGGGCGCGTTGCAATGCAGTCCTACACAAGCGGAGAACCCCAAACGAATCAGATTCGCCCGACGATATCTGGTCGATTGTTTTTGGTTTAGAGACTTTTGTGTTTGCCTTTCATTTTCGTTCATCGGTATGTTGTTCTTGTCGATTTGAGTTTAAACTCAATAGAATGCAAGAGATGTCAGAAGTCAGGGTTCATACAGTGGCGATCATCGAATCAAGCATCTTAGATGGTAGTCGGCTGTTTCCACTCTTTATTCAATACTAGCAATCTCGGTACATTGAGACGTCTTGGTGTGTATGATTCCTGGTTCATAGTTAAGAGGGGTTAAAAGCCCTTTCTCTTTCTTTTTTCGTTTTAAAAAAAAGAAAACAAAAAGAACTCGTTAAAATTCTTGTCTGATCTCATGTAATCTCAAACGAAATTTGATTGTCCTCTAAACTGAGAAGGAAGATGTGTGTGATGGTTGCTGTGTATTACTTAAGACCAATTCGTACAAGCCCTCTGGGCCTTCCTTTCCACAACCTCCGTAGTTCAAAGCAGACGGTCCAATTTGTGCCAACCCACAAGGCGATGTATCATGTCACAATGTCTGCGGCTAGGTGTAGAGAGGTTTGACAAGGAAAAAGCGTGGTTGTACAGGAACCACAGAGCACAAGCCGAAAGCAAAGCATCACACGAACAAGAGAACCTGTAGAAGTAGGAACAGTCGGGTGGCATCTGGGAAAAAAAGCTCTCGTCGTCTATATTCGTCTATATTCCGATCAATAGTCATTCACTGCCTTGTAAAATGGTTTGGATCCGGCTGAACCCCAGTGCACCTTCTAGCCGTGAGAGGTCATCCAGCGGATATCAGCATTCTGATGGGGAGGGCTCGAAAGGCTCGGCAGTTCCAGAGTAAACTCCTTAACAGCTTCCCGGGAAAGATTGTAACCGTTCCACCCAGCAGATGGAAGGAGACGCTGGTGCCTATCAGCACTGCCGCGGCACAAACTGAGATCTTCAGGTGCGCATGAGCGGTAACACAATGGCGGTTGTCTAGGCGAGCTACACTTGTGGGATGCAAGCAAGGTCAGCTTGGTTGGCCCTCCTCCACCAGGCATGTGCGTTGGTTTCGTGGGCATCGATGCAGCTAGCCAGCTGTTGGTAGCTTACACTGCCCCCCTCCCCCAGCCTTCAAGTTCTTGGATTCCATGGGATGACAATGCAGCTTCAGTAAATGTTGTGCATGCATGCCGTTTCATCGCCAGGTTTAGAAGAGGACAAGAAATTCTTCGGATGTTTGTGTGGCGTCCACATTCAAAAAGCAGTCCTGGTTTTTTTTCCCTCAAAGAATCAGGACAAGTGAAAGTGTATAAATCCCCTCTCATTCTGTGGCCCGAACCTTTACCCCTCCGTTGCTGCTAGACTCACTCGCCTTTCAACGGGTTTCGCGGAATGAGGCCTGTTCCAACGCTTTGAGACGAGCTTGCATTATCTGAATTAATTCGTGGCGCTGTGAAGGAAACAGCGTTAGCGAGAGTCGCCACCGACATAATGCTCCATCGGCAAGAGCAACTCAAAACCCGAGGGAAGTGGAGCATCGGAATTTGGGACCGTTTCAGCAGGTTGACCGGCTGGAGAAAGAGTGCTTTCATCAACACTATTCTGGTCTCTATTGTATTGCTGGTCCTGGTTATTTCTCACATTTTTCTTTGGACAACATCAGGCAACCCGGTCGGATATCACATCATCCATTCTGGCAGGTGTGCTGGGAACGGCGTCGGTCGTCTAAACACGCTGCTTCATTTAATGGTCAACGTTCTCTCGACACTCGTGCTTGCATCTACGAACTTTTTCATGCAGGTCCTTAATGCACCCAGTCGATCAGAGCTTGACAGTGCTCATGAGAAGTGCTCCTGGCTCGATGTTAGTGTGCCCTCACCTCGGAACGCCTTCAGCGTCTGCCGCTTCAAAACAATCATGTGGCTACTTTTCTTCCTATCATCGGTCCCCATACATCTGCTTTTCAATTCGGCTATTTTCTCAACAGACAATCGCGGATCCAGGTTTAGCTACTTTGTTTTTGACGAATCTGTGCTGAATGGAGGAGCCGTATATGCTCCCGGTGCAAGCCTTTCAATACCTTACTACTTCATGGACTTGGAAGTCCACGATTACTACAACCATAGCACGAGCACTTGGACAAACCTATCAGCTCTGGATGACATGAAGGAGTGGTATTTGGACAAGGTATATCGGAATCGAAGCCTGGATGTTCACGCAGTCGTGGAAGATATACGCAATGGTCGCTGGCACAAGCTTGACAACAGCAACTGCAACGCCTTATACAACACGACCTATTGCTCGGGGCTTCGAGCGTATCGAAGCGTCGCTCTCATCCTGTGCGGATCTTCTGGGTGGAATCGTTCGCATTCATGGGACCTACCCGCGAATGAATCTTCCTTCTGGGATGCATATGTGCCGAGAGATGTCAACAATTCTTTGTGGATTTCTCATTCGTCAAACTATTCGCAATATTCTTGCAGGTTGGTGCTTAGGTCTTCTTGCATGAACCTTTGCAGCTCCGCCATGGGATTCGATGACAGTGATTCGGACATGTGGAACTATTCTCTCTTCCCCCACGCCAACCTTGCCAACCTTGCCCAACTTGTTTCAATCCCGCCTGCTCCAGATTTTGCAAGCTCACGCATGAGCGTCGAATACTGCATGGCAGAACCTCTTGAAACCGTTTTTCAAATCGGACTAGCTTCGACTTTGCTGTGGGTCGTTTCTATCTGGTATTCTACCCGTCTCGTTTTGTCTATTTTTCAAATGCGGAGTGTTCGGCTGCTAATATTAATCTGTTGATAAGCGTTTCACTGAAGTTGGTTCTCTGCCTGGTTGTCATCACTAAATTGGGAACCGAAACTTCTCTCGTGACTCTCGGGGACGTGATAGAATCGTTTATCAACCACCCACCGCATTACTTGCTAGGTTCCTGCCTCCTCCACCAAAACTTGTTGAGGTCGCATAAACCTGACAGCGGGCATTCGCTTGTCCCTGGACCACTACAGTGGAGAACCAAAGTGCATCGAAGATGGCATGCCGTTCCAAAACGAACTTGGCTGTCTTCCTACTTCACATTTGCAATTGGAATTGCGCTATTGATCTACTTCTATAGTACTCCGTATCCGGAGTTACGCTGGTAAGTGGCACTGAAGTAACTCAATGTTCGTCCCAGGCTTAGTTGTGGTCTCGTCTTTAGGCAGGGTTCTTTTGGCCAGGATGTCGAGAATGGGACGATATTGTTCCCAAACGGCTTCTCGCCCACTTTTGAACAGGCCATCTTAATTGCGAACTCTCCACAGCTTTTCTTATCTTTCGCATACCTCGCATTCAATGGCCTTTTCACCAGGCTGCACATGGCCAAGGAATGGTCTACTATGAGCATCCGGTACAAGGCGCTACGAGTAACCAATCCCCAGGGTCAGCAGAGTTCGACTTACTTCCTTCAACTTCCGTACCGATACAGCGTGCCATTGCTGATCATCAGCGCCTTGCTTCACTGGGTTTTGTCTGGGTGTATCTACCTGCTCGTCATGAAAGGCGGTTACTTCGACACATACGGGTCGGATGGACCTTTCAGCTCAGTTATGGCTGTCGGACACTCCATGAAGTCACTCTTCACAATGATGATTTTGGCCATATTCTTGGCATTCATACCACCTGTATTCGGCCGCATATCCCTGCCACCCAACACCGTCGTGGTGGGCTAGCAACTCCCTCGCCATCGCCGCCGCTTGTCAGGTCTCGCTACTTGTCGGCCAAAACCAGCCCCGGCCAGAGAAACCCTACCACGAATCTACGGCTGTACCCGAAGACGACGAGATCGAGTTGCGCCGTCTCATGGCGCCCAGTTCCAGCGTCTTGACCCGTGATGACCAGGCATCGGAATCCCGGAACGACGAGGAGGTGTGGAAGGACACGCTGCTTCGTGTCTCACAGAGTAAGATCAGATGGGGTGTGGTGAAGATGCCATCATCATGGGAAGAGCAGTTCAACAGGCGAGACATTGCAGTTGAGCACATCAGTTTTGGTCTTCCAGAAGACGATGTGCAGCAGCCTGTCGTGGGGCACTGGTATGCATGAGCACCTGTGTCTTGACTTTGGCAATGGATATTCCATGAAACCTGTGATTATAGTTTTTGTGTAGCCACGGAGTGCTTGTTTTAGGATGAGTGGATTGCGGACATACCTGGAGCCAATTATCTCGGCCATGCTCCTGTAGCTGATAGCCCGTGGCATGTTATGCAGACCGCGTCGACCTCCCTGCTCATTCCTTGACCTTGTTCGTGTGAGTTTCAGAAGCCTATGATGTCCGATTGCAAGTTTGTTTGCTGAGGCTCTGATTGAACAGAATTCTCTCGGCTATCAACGGGAATACCAGCACTTTAAGAACAAAACTTTGAATTAGTTTGGTATGTGCTGAGTATTTGTGATTCTTGTCCTCCTCGAATCTCTCATTGCTTAGATTCACTGCCGTTGTGGGCTTTGGCAGTCAATACATCAAGGTCATTTCATGTTAGCTTCACACGCATTGCAATTTGCAGACACAGAACTATTCAGAGGTTCATTTTCCAGCGACATACTTCGCCCTCAAAAGTACACCGGGTTGGTCTTGTCATGTTCCCTGAAATGTAAATACACTCGCACCGCAACACCTTTTCGTCTCTTGGTTGACTCATCTTGCGACCAGCTAATCACTGTCAACAACCACCGCACCCTCAGTGGGGACCTCAGCTCCCCACTGAAGCAGCGCAGTTTTCACCCTCTCTCTGGCATCCTCCATCAGCTCCTTGTCCGAACTTGACTCAGTGTGGTACCACTTAGGTGTTGTATTCTCGCAGATTTTCAAGGGAGCCTGGGTCCAGGTCCAGCGGTCATTATTTTCAATCTGCACTTCGTCACCAAATGGATACACCCCATTGGTCGTGCCAGTGGCGTTGGGGTTGGCTCCCTCGAAGAGCAAGTCATGTACCCAACGGTCTTCAAGGTTGCTGACGGCGAATTGCAGCGGCGTGAAGACATAGCCAGGTACCTCGGGCCGCACTCCACGCTCGAGGAGCATCTTGAGCATCTTGCCCGTCTTGGCGCCGCCGTCCTGGTCGTCCAGGCTCTTGTGGCCATACGCGTGGTAGAAGAGGTCCATGACCAGCTCTTTCTCGCCCGAGAAGTCGGCCCTCGCGTCAATCAGGGCCTGAAGGAAGTCAACGTCCCGTCGCGTTACGGACAGTTGCATCACGCTCATTGGTTCGGTTCCCTCGACTTTGAAGTTCCTCGTCAGCTCGAACTTGTCTCTCCAGATGTCCCTCTTGGTGGACTCTGAAAGGTCTGCAAGGTACATCTTGGCTAGCTCCGGCCACTGAAGCAACATCAGGCTGACTAGAACACTTGTCTCGGGCATTTTTGGCTCATTCTCTCGCTCGAATGGAGATGTCTTTGTCCAGTTGGGAAAGTTGGCTTTGGTTTTCAGGTTTGGAAAAGCTCCGGATCTCGGTAGATTGTGTTTGCTGTTCCATTTCAAGCACTCAATCACATCTTTCCAAACTGATTTGTCTTGAATTATGAGGTCCCTCCGCTCTTTGAGAGCCTTGTCGGTCATCTTTAGGCAATATTCTTCGTAGCGGCTCGGGCATCTCGCCTCAGGGTGCCGGAAGCTGCCAAACTGGCGCAGACCGCCGAAGATGACTCGGAGTTCCAGATTCTCGATCAATTCTTTCGACAAGGCGAATTCCTTGACCTCTCCCAGTGCAGTTTCCTTGTCAAAAAGGTATTCCTTGACTGTGTAATGGGCCACTGAAACTTGTGTCTTGACACCGACACTCTCCTCGGGATCGTTTGGATCCAACCGGTGATCCCTGACACGGGTGTAGATAGTCTCGGGGCGCCGAGGGAGGGCTGACACCGTGATCAAGCATCCAAGGATCTTTTGAAGGTGAGTCAGGCCGAAGTTATGGGCATTTCCATGTGGAACATCGAATCGAGACGCCTCGACGAGCACATCGGCGCATGGCACTGCTGAAGATGGACTGCAGATAAGTGCCAGCGCAGTGCGCGCGAAGTTACGATTGTGTTCATTTTGGCCCCGACCGTCCGGGAGCAGCTTTGTTATCATGTGCTCGTAAGTGCCGAAAATGTCCGGGGGTATCTTTTCGAGCATCTCGGAGATCGAATCCAGGTCGCATAGGTTCGACCGGATTATGATGTCGACTTGGCATGCAGCCCATCTGAACCTTTCGCAACATTAGCTGGATCTATAGAATGACAGGGAGGTCCGGTGACTTACATCCCCTTTGCTCTCTTAGCAATGAGACTGATGACTTCCTGTAGACCTTCGTTGTTTAAGCCTGCATACGTCTCGAACGTCCCATTGGAATGTAGCTGGCTCGCTACGAAGATGCGGATGGCCTCTTTGACGTCTGGGTTTTCGTCCATGGATAGAATGGTGCAGCCCGCCTTTCTAACACCAGGAAGACAATGGCCGACAGAATCGATCTCCATGGGGTCGAAGCCGTATGACTCCTCAGCGGGGCTCATGGATATCGATCGTACCGGTCCGCTGTGGTAGGATGGCACATCACCTGAAGGAGCTCTGATCTCCGACCTACTTGTTCTCTGAGAAGTAAGCGAGAACTCGGAGGCACCCCCCGAGGGTGTCCGTCCGCGCTCCCACGGATTTCCGACTGGTGCAGGAGGGGGCATGCCATCGAATCCAGACAAATTCACGCCACCACGTTCCTTGAGTAGATCTGATGGCCTTTTCGGAGTCAGGAATACACGGTTCTTCAGGGTTGTCGGTGTGGGGTGCTGGCCGCGGCGGTCCTGAGGGGGCTGAATCGCCATAATGGCAGTGGAAATATCGACCTCGTTCCTGCTTGTGAAGCAGAGTGACACATGCTGCCATTCGGGATCCGCCCCAATGGTAGTCAAGATGTTGAGCAGCGCATCCCGTGGCGCCGGGCTCTCGTCGACAGCATCAACAACGATACATACTTGCTGCTTGAACTCCTTTGCGATGTGTTGCGTCACAGCCAGGAGGCACTCCAATAGACTCTGGACATTGAGATCATGCTTCTCGTAAAGGTCCTCCAGCTTCTTCGGGATTGTCGCTTGGCTTTTCGAGGTTCGCGTTTTCGGGCGACTGACTTGAGCGGTCAGATCTCTGATGACCCATCTGAGGAATGAGCATGCCTCTTGGGATGAGGTGTGGCCCTGTTTCTGGCGTTCGTGAGAGCAGTAGTAGTAAGAGACCCCTTTGTGCTGGTATTTAGATATGACGTTGTCGATGGCAAAAGATGCTAGGACAGTCTTGCCGGCGCCGGGGAGTCCGTGTATCCAAAGGAAACGAGCGTTGTTGGCCGAGCCTCCCCTCCACCAATCGTTCCATTCCAACGAATTTGCAAGCCAGTCACAAGTGCCCTCCTCTCGTAACGCTTGTTTCTGGCGGTGGAATTCGTGGGCATCGATGCCTTCAGGCTTGAGCCACTGCAAAATGTTTCGTCTTTCGTACTCGTCTGTCGCAGATGTTAGCTCTAGTCATGAGTGTCGACGTGATCTGTACTTACTGGTTTGGGAGGTCTGAATCTGGCGAATTTCATTCTGCACGTCTCTGAGTTTTACACTATAAACTCGTTAGAAGGAGAACAAGAACAATGCGGGGATTCTGGCCACCCCACTCACGCATGTTCGATTTGCAGGCTGCTGATAATGACTTCCATCCCCTTCCGAAGTTGAGTCAAAAGCTCATTGACCTGGTTTCCGGCCGCAAAGGTCCAGGTGAACCTCTTTCGGAGACTGGGCGTCTGGAATGGCTGCAAGACACGGTTCAAGTCCTCCACGATACTTTTGACTTCAAGCAGCCCTCCATTCTCAAATTTCCGCCTCAGACGGTCAGCAGATTCATCATCGTCCTCCAGGAATTCTGAAAGAGTCTTTCGCGGATGTCAGTGGGCCGCAGCATTTTGCGCACTCCTCGCACTAGGTTTGAACTCACCTGAAGTTGCGGTCGCCAATTACATGCCTCGGCGTTGAGTTGCTTGATCTCCTCTGGTGCGTGTGCCGCTCTCCTGATGATGTGAAAGCAGAATTTTGCCGTGTTTCCAAGCCCCTCTACGATCGCGAGGACGGTTGCAGGTTCCGCCATGGTTGCTGCTGGTGTGCTGCTGGTGTGCTGCTGGTGGATGGTTGGTCAGGGGGTAAAAAGAGGCAAAGGGAGTTGGGTGAGGAGACCAAGTTTATAACATCAAGCCAAAACTTTTCCCTTTCAATGAACCGCTCCTAAGGATCATGTCAACGTCATTGCAGCATCCAGTGCCAGGTTGCCATGGCAGCATTCAGCACCACCTAGGCATCAGTACATAGTACGCGAACAAATTCTACGACTTGACAGTGTATGCAAAAGTCTCAACATGTTATCTGCAATGAATTCATCAGCTACTGGGTCTCATTTTTGAGACTAGGAATACTGCATATGCTAGGGAAAGTTACTTTGTCAAACAAATACATCTAATCTACATACTATGAACTCTGATGATCTACATCACTCTCGTTCGTACAGTATCCAATGATTTCAGCAGGGTGCATATGAAAGACATCCCGCCAGGCGAGAGCTTTCGAAGAAAAAGGCGGGGATTATCTCTTTCTCGAGAAGTGGTAGCCGTCACTAAGCAGCTTTGATCATCTAAGTCACAGGCAGCAGTATTTCAAGTTTCTGCACAGGTTCTACCAGGCATCTCGGCCTAGCCGACTCCGGCCTGAAACAAATCACCACAAAATGTGTAAGACAAGACGAGCCCAGTAAATTCCAGCCTGCGCCTTCCCAGGCTTGCATGCAAATTACTACGAAGGGAGCAGAAACAGAAGCAGAGCTTCAGAATCATAGCTCAAGACAAACAAAGTCGGTGGGAGGCACCCACAGATTCAGCTGTGTATTAGACAATGCAAAGGCTGGTGGTGATGGAGGAGCAGTCGATTCATTCAAACTCCACGTACGTCAGGAAAATGGAAATGATTACTGCGACGGTATTGGCAGAGCTTATCTGCGGATGCCACTCACTCAACACGTAGAAAGGCTGGAGTATGTGATTTGACATGTGTAATCATTGCTATATACAGTTTAACTACACGTAGTTAAGCTACAGACGCCCGCGGAGCGCCGGAGCCATACGTCAATTGCTCATCAATATACATCAAGAAACGTAGATAAAGCCGAACGCCATTAATCCATGCATGCAGCACGCGCGCTCACTTATCCTCTCCACTCCGCTCCATCAAATGCTCACTCCCAGCTCAAGATGGACTTAAGCCTTGAAGACACGACGAGCCTTGTCCGAAGGGGGCTTGTCGCTGTCGATGGACTCGAGGCCGGGGATGTCCTCGTACGTGCACAGGGTGCCGCAGTCGAAGATTTCGCCGGCGCCCTGGCGGTAGTTGCGCACGGTGAAGCTCTTCGCGTCCGGGCTGGCGAGGTATGTCCAGCGGGGGGCGACGAGCGGGGTGGACTCGCCCGAGACGGAGCCGGGCGTGTCCTGGTTGAAGCCGATCCACAGCTGGGTGGTGCCGATGTAGGGGCCGGAGCCCGTGACGAAGCGGCCGCCCAGGTTGTTGTAGTTGTAGACGACCTTGTCGATGACGAAGGTGGGCAGGTTGTCTCCGTCGGGCCATGTGGCGTTGGTGATGAAGTCGACGGTCGCGCCGTACTCGGACGCCGTGGACCGGAAGCGGATCTGCTTGGTCACGGCCGGGTCGGGCAGCTGGATGAGGGAGGAGGCGTCGCCGCCGTCGCTCTGGGCCATGACGGAGGGGAGGCTGGCGGCCATGAGGATGCCCTGGAAGACGGCCGAGGTGACGCTGCTGAACTGCATTTTGGGTGTGGTTGTGGTATCGAAAACGACTGATGTGTCAAAAAAGAGTGTCTAGACTCGAATAAAGAGTCTCGCCGGCGAGGATTGTAAGAGGCGGCTGGAAACGAAAAGCAGTTGGCAGTTGAGAAGAGACAGGATGATGCTGATAGTGAGAGTCAAGTCCTGCCTGGAACCGTGAGAGACCTTGCTGATCTATATAACTTCCGTGGATACCTTGTGGAAGCTTATCGCAGTCTTGCCGTATCAACCGCGAAATATCCTGTGTAGGGCGCCGAGTCACCGTCGGAACCGGTGTGGTCGGCGCAGGGCTGGGGTGGTCATGACTCGGAAGGGTGGTTCGTACAAGTCAGTCAAGCCTCCTTTACAGGGAAGCCAAGCATTGCAGCCACTCTATCGAGCGGCTGTGATTTGCCTATGCCCGTTTCGATCTCCATCGTTCGTCTCATCCGCCCCAGCTCACCATCCCTTTCATCAATCCGTACCTATATTTATAATGAGCATCTTCACACTTCCCCTCTGCGGCTGAGTCGAGCAGGAAACGGCCCGCCGAAACGTGCACGTGGTTGCGCCTGCAATCAGAAAACCGGACTTTCGTGCTCACACGCAGGCTGAGTTAAGCTTATCCCTGGATAAAATGTTAACAAAGCTTTCCACCCTTGAGCTTGTGTGGGGCGATCCAGCCCATGCACCTAGAGTGCTGTTCCCTAAAAAATAAATGGTTTTCGATGCGCTCCCTGGACATACGGCATCCAAAGGACGATGTCGTGATGGTTGCTTACGACATCTGGATACTACGCTGGATCCTAGCCAGGTCAGCAACAAATGGAGCCAAAGCCTGCCTTTCTGTTTTCATGCTGTTCAATCCAGCATGTTTGCGCTCATTCAGAGCCTGTGTCTTGACCTAGACAACTTGAACATCACTGCACACAGTTACGACTGGAGGACCAACTTGAGAAACCAGGCTTAAATACGGTGAGAGCGAGAGAGCAAAATATCTTTTAGCTTGATTTCTTTTATCGGTCGCCAAGTTCGCGATATCCGTGGTCAGATGACGGATAGACTATCTCCTTTTGTATCGCAGTGGGTTGTATCCGATGCACGAATACAACGATCTGGTACACACGTGCGGGTAGCAAGTAGGCACCGACGAGAACCACGGGACATGTTTATAATTTGGATCCATCGATAACCTAGAGATTACGATGAAAGGATGGCGCTCCCAGCTGTTCACGCCATCTACGACCCCTGAACATGAGGATGACCACGCCAGAGTACAATGACAAGCCGCAGATGGCCACAACAGCCCAAGCGATGCCAAAGGTGGTCTTCTCCGCGAAAGGGATCATGTAGAAGCCCAGAGTAAACGAGAACACCTGACGGCCAAAGTTGAGCAAGGTTGAAATCTCAGCCGACTGGGGCTTGTAACACTGCACAAAAGAGTCCAGTCAGTACGCTCCGAGGCTCAAGGTCATAGGAGGTGGGACTTACATCCGTGATGTAGGCATAGATGTTAGTCGTGACGATCTGCAAGCCGACTGCTGCAATTGCAATTCCCATGACAGGACCCATGTAATGCGTCTTGAATTGGAAGCAAAGACCCTCGATGATGACTCCGATGGGGATGAGTATGGCTCCGGGAATCGTAGCGTACAGGCGACTCTCCGGATTAATATCGCCATTGTGTGCTTTTGCATGCAGGTATACAAGTCGATCGGATACAGGACCTGCTGAGATCTCTCCGATGAGGGTACCGATAAAAGTAGATAGGCCGATCGCGAGACCTATGCCGACAGTATCCTGTCCAATATAAACGTCAGTGATCCCCTTTGCCATGCTTTGCTCGAATCGTGGGTGGAAAGAAGCCTTACAAAATGGTAGATGCCTCCAAACGCTGCTGCGCCGGTCACAGCAAACAACACACTGCCGAGTCCGAAATGAATGGCGTAGTACAGCGCTGGAAAAAGCACGCTCGGGTATCGCAGCATCAAAAAGACATGTGTAAAGTCCCATAGCTTCAGCTTTCTCTTGGCTGTGCCAGCCTGGGATCTGAAAGTGAAGAGCCCCAGCCAGCTGCCAGATTCCTGCAAGGACTCTCCAGTAGCGTTGTTGCGATGGTATAGTGTCTCCGGAAGGGCGAAGAGCAGCAGGACCCAGGCGGAGCCAAGAATGATAGCGGGAATCCAGAAACACCACCTCCAGCCAAGGTATTTCGCGATGGGCCCGCCGATCATGCCAGCGACATGTGCGCCGTTGGTGACAAAGACGGTGTACACTCCCATGAACCTGCCGCGCTCATGCATGAAGAACATATCAGCCACGCAGGCCGCACCGATACCCATCCCAGCCGAGGTGCCCACACCGACGAAGAACCTGGCCACGAGGACACCGGACCACGTGGGCGCGGCGGCCGACGCGGCATGGCTGGCTACCCCGACGGCGGTGACGACGAGGAAGACGGGCCGGCGGCCGTAGACGTTGGCTATCGGGGCGAGGAATAGCGGCGCGATGCCGGCGCCGAGGATGGCGACGTTGGTGCAGTAGGACGCAGTCGTGACGGAGATGTGGAAGGACTTTGACACGGGGACGAAGGCACTGTTGATGACGGCCTGGGTGAATGGCCCGAGAAAGGCGAGGTAGGAGACTTGGAAGAGCACCCAGAGCTTGAGTTTGAAGGGCCAGTTGAGAGGGTCCTTGGCGTCGTCTGAGTAGAGGTCGGTTAGATATAGTTCGAACCCTAAAGATCGTATCATGCAGTCCACGTACTTGAAGGCTGCGGCCTCAATGGGAGCCCATGAGCATCAAGTTTCAGGGAGCCGGTCTCCTTAGAGGCATTGTGAGCTTGATCTTCAAGGTGGGAAACATCGTGCTTGGCCGAAGCCTGCACCTCCGATTCTCGTTTGGTCATATCTGATGACAACTGGAGAAAAGGAACAATATGATGCAAAGAGACGAAGAGAATTTCTGGGCGCGTACCGTGTTTGTATGCAGATCATTTCGATCTGGTAGAGTGATCGAACCGATGCTACCTGCCGATACACTGAGACGGTTGGTCGGATACAGTGCGGAGTAGACTAGCCGTAGGCTAAGTCCTGAGCGATGGAATTAAGCCTTTATGATTGGCATTATACCGTTGCATGGCACGGCCTGTAGATGGCGTACGCCACGTGAGGCTCGCGAGACTCGCGACGTTTTAACTGGTGGGAGCCGAGTCCCGTTGTGGCGGTAGAGAAGGTGGGTGAGGGGGTTTTCCACGGTTCTCCTCCATCTCTAGGCTGATGAATCATCCGAGTTTGAGATACCACAGGCGATTTAACACGGATATCTGGTGTGACACCGCCGACTAGAACCACTAGGTATGTGGTCGATTGGCCCATCTACAATATCTACCTGGGTACCTTGCAGAGTATCGTTGCTAGGCCAGGATAGACTCACACTTTTCCACCTGTCTTCATTCTTAGTACATCTTCCGTCACTTTCGCAATCAACATATCCCGAAGTAGCACGATGGCACCCCTTCCCATCGCCTTCGCCTCCGGCTTGTACGACCGGATGATCCCACTTGCCACAGGCGAGGTTCGTCCGACCGGCATCGACCTCAACTTCCTCGAGCTGGATCACCCTCGAGATGTCTTTGACCGCATGGTCTCAACCAAAGACTTTGACTGCTCAGAGCTATCAGCGTCTGAGTACATCACCATGTACGCCGCAGGAAAACGAGACTTTATCGCCATCCCCGTCTTCCCCTCCCGAGCCTTCCGCCACAGCTTCATCGCAGTCAATAGCGATCGGATCAAGTCGCCCAAGGATCTCAATGGCAAACGCATCGGAGTGCAGCACTATACCATGACTGCTGCGGTATGGCAGAGGGGTTTACTGCAGCACGAATACGGTGTGGACCTGAGCTCCATAGAATGGGTAGAAGGCAAAATAGAGGGGCCAGGATCGCACGGAAAGCCCTCCAGTCTTCCAGCCCTGAAGCCAGTCAAAATCACGCAGAACACGAACCCCGAGAAATCACTCAGTGATCTTCTTCGCGACGGGGAGATAGACGCCACGATAGGGGCAGATCCGCCGGAGTGCCTGGGCAGGGCGCCGCATATCAGGAGGCTGTTTCCGGACTTCAAGCAGGTGGAGAAGGACTACTTCAAGCGGACGGGGATATTCCCCATCATGCACCTGGTTGCCATCAGTCGGGAGCTGTACGAGAAGAACAGATGGATAGCAACGAACCTATTTGAGGCGTTGGACGATAGTAAGGAGCTGGCGAGGAAGAGAATGTTGACGACGAGTGCTCTCAGGTACATGCTACCGTGGCTGCCGGAGGCGATTGATGACATCAGGGAGACATTTGGCGATGATTGCTGGCCATACGGGCTGGAGTCGAACAGGAAGACGCTCGAGGCGTTGGTCACGTACTTGGAGGAACAGTCGATGATTGACCGGAAGATACCCATTGAAGAGTTATTTGCGCCTGTAAGGCCTGCCAACTTCAGGATCAGATAGATCGACTACATTGGCTGGACAGATTGACCGATCGCCCAGTGTATTCAAGTTTAGCGTGGTCAAGAGCGGTATTGATTTGCAGGAGTTCTCCTGGCCACGGCATGGCTGCTTGGGTTGGATTAAGAAAAGATTGATGATTGGATTGAACAAAAAGCCTTAAACCGGCGAGGCTGTGTCTGCGTACATGTAGGCCTATCAGGCTGTCTAGCACTGTTTTGCTTCATTCGAGGTAACCGTGAAAGGCATTCCCGTGACATGAACTTGCCACAAACCGTATATAAAGTAACCAAGAGCAACATAAGACCTTGAGCCATTAGGAGAGAAGTTGGCCCGCATTATTCAAGGTTTAAGATGATGACTTGAACACCTCTCGAAAGAGCTGCGAGACGCACTGCACCAAGTCAAGTCGAATTCAGGAGAGCGCAATGCAGAGAAGTGATGATCTTTGGCACAAGTTTGCATGCACGTCGGGCAGACACCATTCCCCCCTCCCATTGAGCGTGATACCGACACCACAGGGCATACATTTACTGCTGCACAGCCAAGATGCCTGGGCTGTGTGGAAACCCAAGATAACAGCTCCCCCAGGACACATAGTGGCAATAACAAAGCATTCATGGAGTATCAGAGTTTTGTTATGCTAACTGGCGGGAAATAAACATCTAACAAACCGAAGTACTTTGCCGGACACCACAAGTGGCCTCCACGAAAGTTACCCAGGTAGTCACACCGAAGGCTTATATTCGACATGAAAGAGTTGAGAGTTTTCGTCAAGCAAGTCTGTTCTAGAAGGTTGATGGCAGCTGCTATCAGGAGAGAATTCATCACGCAAACGTTGAACGAGTACATGGGTCGGGATGAACTGGATAGGGCCTTTCAGGCGTTTTGTCAGCTTGAATTCACCAACAGTTGCATGAGAAACACAATCGCCCGAGCATTGCGACGATGTTTCGTGCCGATTTCGACACTGGCGTTCGGATCAATGTAGATTGTGATTTTGGCGAACGAAACTTTCCTGCCCGGGTTGGATTGCCCAAAGTTCATTGTCTAGGCGATATGCACTGTCAAGTCTGAGTAATCAGGTAATACAATACAATGCTGTGGTCATCGGACTGCCGGATGATCTCTTCTTGAAGCCGAATAAACGCCCTTTCGCCCTCGCCGTATAGGAGTGGCTATTATATAAGCGGCCAGCCTTTTATTTTAATTTATTAACTTATTATTAAACCTTTATTTTAACGCGTTATTATTCATTCGTCTTATCTTTTATCATTAATAATTACTTATTTAAAGCAATTTTAATTATAAGCAATATTAAAGTTTCTTATAATTTATAAATAAGAAACTTAAGGAGCTAATAATTATAATTAATAATATAAAAAGAAATAATATTAAAAGAAATAATATTAAAAGAAATAATATTAAAAGAAATAATATTAAAAGAAATAATATTAAAAGAAATAATATTAAAAGAAATAATATTAAAAGAAATAATATTAAAAGAAATAATATTAAAAGAAATAATATTAAAAGAAATAATATTAAAAGAAATAATATTAAAAGAAATAATATTTTAAGGCGGGTTAGCTAGTTAATTTAATAAGTAAAGTAATTAATGTACGGTATGGCACAGCACTGAGGCTAATGCAGGTTGGAAGGTTGATAACCCGTTGGTCATGCCGAGACGAGCAGGTATCCCCGTTTGCCTGGGCAAGCGCGCTGGCGTCTGGAAGCAAACCCCTTTCCCGAGGTCCATTGGAATCGGAAAAGTCATCGGGGCCGTCCCACGGATTTAGATCCCGACCGGGTGGTCCCCACATGCACTGTTATGCTCTGCTCCTCACAGCTCCACTGCTCGAAAGCACTGCCAAGAAGGTCAACCTTTGAGCCAACAACAGACGAGCATGTTGATGGTTGACACTACTTGAATAGCTGAAAATTAAAAGTCGTCTTCGAGTGTCATTTTATCCGTCGGAGCTTGACTGTCCGACGCGATATGGTCGCGAACGCTGACAGCATAGCGGGCATCTGGGCGAGTACTTGAGGTCGAACGAATCGTAAATCCGGGGGAACAGCGGCTAAACGTTTCGCGCTCCGCAGCGATCGTTGCTTGTTCTCCACAATAACACAAGATAGGGAGCCACGCAACACTCCGTGGCAAAGCTGGTTGGCCCTTCGTCCTGGAGCACACGCCAAGGACGACCCCTCCTACTCATCGTGTCGATATTCGGTCATGCTGGCTGGCTGGCCGATGTTCTCAAACCACAAGCTGTATTATCTCAGACAGCTCAGATCTCCATTCAAACGCTCCAGTTTTTGGGGCCTGAGCTTCCTCAGTAATCTATATGGCTGGAATGGCAATTGTCAGATCCGATGAGCGGTAGATATACCGTGAATATACCGTGAATATACCGTGAATAGCCGTTCCCCGGAGAATTCATCGTAAATTTACAGTAAATCTATCTAAATTAGTAAATTCATAGGTAATTTATAAAGGCTATTATAATAAATGCCTTAAGTATTAAGATTTATAAGTTAAAATTAGCCCTTGTTATTAATTAGCTTTAAAAGAATAATAATTAAGCAATTATTATATTAATAATTAAAAATAATTATTAAATATAAGGATTTTATTAAAATAATAATATAAAATTTAATAATAATGTAAAATAAGCTTATTAAAGGGAGGTTTAAATGCATTGAATAAACATTTAAGATTAAAATATAAAAAAATTAAGACTTAAAAATTACTTTATATAATATAATAAAGATTACCCTTTAATTATTCTTTAATTATATTATTTCCTTAATTAATTATTTTAATATAAATAAGATAATAAATAAAAGAATTACTTATATTTTTTTTACTATATTTTTTTTAAATTTCCTTTATTTTATAAAATATAATTATATTAATTAATTAATTAAACCTAAATATATAAAATATTTTTCTTAATTACTTTTATTTTATTCTTTTATTTTTAAGCAAAAAAAATGCAGTTTATAAGAAAAGAATTAATAACTATTTAAATAAGACCCATTATTAAGGACTTGTAAAGAAATTAGGGGCGTACCTTAATCCTTATATAGGCTATAGTTTGGATATAAACCACTTGCGCTCCCTTAATATCCCTGCCTTTAACTCCGCCATACTTAGGTGATCGCTCTCAAATGCGGAGTCAACCTCAAAAAGATCAAGGGTGCGCAGGTGGTCTGTGGTCAGAGATAAAAGCTGTGTATAGTTACCTATACGGCACCATCGAGTTAGTTCCGAAGCCTAGGTGCATTCGTCCCGTCGCTCGGCTGCACGACCTTTGATGTTCGGGAGCAGACCGCGGCAGCTGCATGCATGACACGTCGCCCTGCTCGGCGAAGGGAACCAAGCGCAGACGAGATCCACACCACGCCCATCGTAGCTGCACACACCCGAGACATCCCGGCTAGAGTCTAAATAAGCTCAGTATAATCATTTGGTAATGGACGTTTCCTTGGTGCATAAAGAGGCACGGCACGCGCCAAATAAATAACCACTTCAACATCCCAGCTGTGCCCCTTGCAGCCATTCAAGGGTCCATTTTCTTTCGACGACGGTATTCGAGCTCGTCAAAATCAACCACTACAAGAACCAGCACCAGCTCAACGCAAAGACGAGCCGCCACCACCATGGGTAACGAAGACATCGTCAAGACCGACCTCCTCATAGTCGGCGCAGGCCCCGCCGGCGCCGCGCTGGCATGCTTCCTGGGGTCGCACGGCCTGAAGGGGATCATGATCGCCGCGGCGCCGGGCAACGCCGACACCCCGCGGGCGCACATCACCAACATGGCCGGGCTGGAGTGCCTGCGCGACATCGGGCTGGAGGGCGCGTGCTTCGACGCCAGCACAAAGGGCGACAGCATGGAGCACACGCGGTGGTGCCGCAGCATGGCGGGCGACGAGTTCGCGCGCATCCACAGCTGGGGCAACGACCCGGCCCGCAGGGGGGACTACGCGGCGGCGTCGCCCTGCGCGCACGTCGACCTGCCCCAGACGGAGCTCGAGCCCATCCTCACGCGGCGGGCGACGCACGCGGGCTGGACGGTGCGGTTCAACACGCGGCTCGTCACCTTCACGCGGCCGCAGAGGGATGTGATTGTTTCTGAGGTGCACGACGACGTCCTCGGAAAGACGTACAGGATCCAGTCGCGGTTCCTGTTCGGGTGCGACGGCGCGCGCAGCCAGGTCGTGCGGGAGCTGGGGATCCCGCTCATCAAGAAGCCCGGCCAGGGCCTGGCGCTCAACATCTTTGTCGACGCCGACCTGTCGCACCTGATCCCGAACCGCTCGGGGAACCTGCACTGGGTGTTCCAGCCCGAGAAGGACTACCCGCCATGGGGGTGGGCGGTGATCGTGAGGATGGTCCGGCCGTGGAAGGAGTGGATGTTCATCTGCCTCCCTGTGCCGGGCGCAGACGTGTCGGTCGACCAGTTCAGTCCTACGGAAGAGGAGTGCATAGTGCGGGTGAAGGAGATTATTGGAGACGACTCGGTCAAGGTTGGCATCAAGGACGTGAGCAAGTGGTGGATCAACGAGATTGTGGCTGAGTACTACTCGGACGGCAACGTGTAAGTGCACCCAGTAATTGCCGTAAGAGGCATCCCGGCTGACATCTGCAGCTTCTGCTTCGGCGACGCCACACACCGGCACCCGCCATTCAACGGCCTCGGCTCCAACACCTGCATCCAGGACGCCTTCAACCTGGCCTGGAAGATCTCCTACGTCATGTCAGGCAAGGCAGGCCCGGAGCTCCTCGACTCGTTCAGCACGGAGCGGCAGCCCGTAGGCCAGGATGTGATCACGCGCGCGAACCAAGGGCTGCGCGACCACGGGGGCTGGATCCACGCGATGGGGATGGACCACCCGGACAAGGAGGTCCGCGCCAAGATGCTGGCCGAGTTCGAGGACCCGGGCCCCGCGGGCCGCAGGCGCCGGCAGGAGTTCCAGCGGGGCATCGAGAACACGGCGAGCGAGTTCCACGCGCTCGGCATCGAGATGAACCAGCGCTACTTCTCGGGCGCCGTGTACCAGGACGACGAGGACGAGGGCGCCGCGCCGCCGCCGCCCGCGGACCCCGTCAAGGACCTGCAGATCTCGACGTTCCCGGGCAGGCGGCTGCCGCACGCGTGGCTCAACGAGCGCACGCCCGTCAAGAAGCTCTCGACCATCGACCTCGCCGGCCACGGGCGCTTCTGCCTGCTTACTGGGCCGGGAGGGCAGGAGTGGAAGGCCGCGGCTGAGAAGGTCGCCAAGGCGCTCGGCGTCGAGATCAAGGCGTACTCGATCGGGTGGAAGCAGGACTACGAGGACGTGTACTTTGACTGGGCAAGGAGGCGGCAGGTCGAGGAGGACGGCTGCGTCCTGGTGCGCCCTGATCGCTTCGTTGCTTGGAGGTCTCAGGAGGTCATACCGGATGCTGCAGCGAAGCTGGAGAAGGTGATGCGCAAGATTCTGTCCCTAGAATGAGTTCTACATTATAGATAGATTGTCACTTGTACGTGGATAGATAGAGGCTACCCCAGCGAGACGTCATTTGAGCCGATCAATTTATTTCTAAATATTCATGGCGATCGCTGCCAGAGGTCTTTCCAGAATTCCTTAAAGCCGTAATGAGGTGCTCTAGAGTCGTAAACCTTGCTGGACTTACCCTCCATCACAAAGTGATCCAGCAAACTGCCGGCCTGGGGCCCAAGCTGGCCCTGAGCTGGCCTCGATGGCCGTCTAGCGCGGTCCTTGATCTCGTTGGCGACTAGTGGTGCGACATCGGCAAAGCAGGCCTTGAGCTCCCTTTCCAGGGAGAAATACGGCTTCTTCGCCAGCTCAGGAGCCATCAGGTTATACGCTCGTGTGAGCGTGTTCATGTTGTTGATGGCTAGCTCCATGTATGATCGTTCGGTAGCCTCCCAGTCGGCGTCCCGAAAAGGCCTCGTCAGCGTGACCTCGGGCTCGGACGTGGCAGCTGGGGATGGGGCGGGAACATCGGCTGGTGACACTGGCAGGGCCTCCTGCCGCATTGCTACCATCACGACGTCGTCCGTCGTATTTGTCGGCACGGCCACCTGGTCGGAGTTCCTACGCCGCGGGTTGTGCACCTCCTCCGCCCGAGCATATTCTTCCGCAGTGCGTATCTGATGCTCCAGGGAGCCCCCGCGGCTTGCGATCATCCGGGCCGCATGTCGCTTCCAGTCATTGCGCAGCCGCGCTCTGAAAACGGTGGCGGCCTTGACGACTTCCTGCTGCTTTTCGATCCACGGTGGCACCATCTCCTGCTTCTTGATCATCTTGTTCATGATGTACTCGGTGGTATCTATAAACGGATTGTCGGCCCTCGAGTCGCGCTCGACCCCTTTTCCGCGTGGTATGTGTCTGAATTGCCCTCGTGCGATCGCATCTTCGATTCTCTCGTTTGCTAGGGCAGAGAGACCGGAGATGGTATTTGGCAACGCCCGAGCCGCCGGCGCAAAGCGATCGCGCAGCTCCTTCTTCATGGCTTCTCTCTCCTTGTCGCTCAGGCCCTTCTCTTTGTCTTTGCTGGCCATTCCAGCGTATACAGAGGCCGCCTCCTTCGCATTCGCCACCTTCCTGCCAGCACTGACGACAGGTTGCTTCTTGAGTCGCATATCCACTGGTATAGGGATGTTTGGCTTGCCCCGAAGCCCGGGCTTCAGAGGCTTGTGCGCATCGCTAAGCATCCGCAGGACTGCGTCGGACTCGGTCTCTGTCCCCGTCCACGGCTGCGCAGTCGCGACGTCTCGGGTCCCCCGGCCGGCTGCTTCTGGTATGTTGCTTGTGAGGCCGGCCTCTCGTAATGACGCGGCATGTTCTTCGCGGAACTTGGCGTCGGCGACCTTGTCTAGCAGGCGTTGCTTGAGTTCCTCGTTGAACCCGGCGTCTTCGACGGCGCGTCGTCCGGCTCGTCCGCCCGTAAAGAGAGCTTCTTCTGTGGCCTCTTCCAGCCGGCGGGCCATAGGCCCTGGTTCTTTTTGGGCTGCATTTGGGCCGGATTTGGTGTTACTCGAGGCCACTGGGGAGTTGGAGTCAGGATTGGGCGGTCTGGTCCCATCGGAGTATGGGCGCGATGCGTAGTGAATGACGGCTGGCGGTAATGGACGGGCAGGCCATTGATGAAGGCCTTTCAAGTAGCGCCCGGACACGCGACAAGAAAGAGCCATTCTGTCATAAAGGTTGGAGAGGCCTCATACGAGCGAGGCATAGCAGCAATGCGTGCTCCTGGAGAAGCTCAACACCGCCGTGAGACGGGTCAGTGTCGATGACGATCTGAAGCTCTGGTTGCCACCCGCGGACTTGACGGCGGAGATAAGATAAGGAGCTTTTGGGTACCTAGGTACTTGGGGACTTGCTCTATTTGGGTGCTTGGGCCCCTGACTGCCCCAAGTCCTGCCTGCCTGCATACCCTACCCCTCCCTTCTCGTGTGCCGGTATGTGGGAAAGGGAAGGGGCTGCGCGTGAGTGCATGACGTCCTGCTGATGAGGCAGTGAGGTCTGCCATCCCCCCCAGCTCCTTCAATCCAGTTCCAAGCACAAGTGCGGCACAGCGGTTTAATCTCCATATGCACGCAAGCTTATGCAGACAAACTGCCATCCCCAGATTCTCTGGCGCCACAGTCCGCTACACGGCACGCGGTTAGCCCCCAAGCACCACGTTTATGGACTCGGAAAAGACCCGCTTTCACGACCAGGCACCAGAAGGATCGGGAAGTCTATTGATCCCTCGGCGTTGCGGGCCTGCGAAAACGAGGTCATGTACCGGCTCCAGTCTCAGGGCTCAACAATAGACCACCTTATTCCCGTGGGGGGTTGATCTGCTGCCTTCGGTGATGGGACGTGCTACTTAAGCCTCAGCCGGCTATGTTTCAAGGTTTCTATTAGGAGGATTCGACTCCTCCTTTCTCGACCACATAATGACGACGGGCTAACAGGCAACCGTAGTTGTATCCCCTCGAGGACGTCAAAGTAGGTGATATATCAGTTGATACCACGCGGATCATACCAGATTTAGCAGTGCTCCTGACAATGGAGCTCGGGCACAGCCAGAATAGTTCGGGGCCGTCGGGGGACCGTCCAGTCTGCCAGTGGGGCTGCGACTCTGTCGACTGCATGGTGCTCTTCTTCATTCCATTGGGATCCAGGATGGAGTTTGTGTCACCTCAAAGGTTCTCCACAAGACCGCGCTTGATGCAACGCCTCTTTCGTGGACCAGTCTCAACAGCCAAAGTAGTGGGCCTGTGAAACGCTACCAGAATGTCCAGCACCGATTCCATCCGCTCCTGCCGCTGTCTCCAGAATCTTGGCCCTACATGCAGTCCGGAAGACTGGAAGGCATCCCGCTGCTGGTCTTGATCATTGGGTCACCCACCGGTATGGAGTTTCTGGTTATAGGGCTGCCTTGCGAGTGGACCCGTGCAAAAATCACCCCTGAATCCCAGCATTCAAGGTGGACTCATCGATTGTAACTCTCGCTCAAGTTCACTACCTTGAAATGTGTCGCAATGGCCGTCGTCGGAGCATCGGGGCCCAAAGCTCTCAATTTACCCGTCTTGCTAACTACCCCATTGCGGCACCGAAGCATTGTCAATGTCTGCACGTGAGAAACTTCAGATGGAGACCACCTCCGCTCCTCACGCACGTCGTATATCGTCAGTTTTGATTCGAGGAATTTGCTTGCACCTGATTGATCCATTGGCTGACCCGAACAAGATGCAAGCGATGTCAGAAGCGAAAGGTGCGACTCCCGAGCGATTGGGCCCCTCCTCTATCCACTAAGAACCGAGGGGACCTGAACTGAAGTCTTTCCCCATGCAGATAAAATGCACGAGGACGTATCCCTGTTCCAGCTGCTCTGCAGCCAACGTACGGTGCGAATTCCGCGAAGACGACTTCAAACGACCACCGGTGTCCCGAGAGTACATCGCCGCCCTTGAATCAAGAGTCGCAACCCTCGAAGCCGTCATCGGGAGACTGAAAGGGGCTTCATATGAGGAGCGGGATGAGATCCTGGAGGGTGTCACGCTCCAGGAGCACACGCAGTCCTTTGCTCCCGAGACAGCAGCCGATACAGACGTGGACGAGATTGCGCTGAGCGATGCTATTAGAAAGGCGACACTTCATGAAACCGATGAAGGTACCCCAACAACCCACATGAAACCCCCGTCCTTCCCGCCCAAATCGAGGAAACATCTAACGTAAAATTCTACCAAGGTGCATTGGCGTATCACGGCCCAACGAGTATATTCAACAGCAACCTTATCGAGCCACCGAGCCCCATAATTTCGTCGGCTGTTTCGTCGCCCTTCAGCAAAAGTGTCAGCGCCTTGCACACTCCAACCATCCGTCTCTGCATTGGACTCTTCTTCAGGTGGCAATACGAACAATTCATCTTTATCGACCGAGAGTACTTCCTGCAGATGTTCGAAGAAGGCTCTACCGGGACTGATCTTGGCTTCGTTCCCCTCACATACGCCTGCTGTTCAGTAGGCGCCCTGATGTCTCCAGATCCGGAGATTCGAGCACAGGCGGCGTCATTCGCAGAGTACTCGGAATCGCTCCTCAAACTAGACAGTTTGAATACACCAAGCACCACTATGGTCCAAGCCGTACTGGTTTTGGCCGGTTTTAATATTGGATCAGGCAGGATAGCCAAGGGCTGGATGCTGTCAGGTATACTTCCCGCTCCAAAGCCTTGGTTGCTTCAGGCATTGACTTGTGTCACCATAGGGCTCTCCTTCCGGATGGGACAGGAGCTGGGGTTTCAACGGGATCATTCCCACTGGGATGTTGCTCGCAAGCCATCCAACACGCCGTCTGTTTATTTCAACAATGAGCATTGGCGGAAGCTGTATTGGGGCTCATTCCTGGTCGATAAGTGAGTAGACACCAACGAAGTGTGAGATGTCGTATCTGACACTGCTACCTAGAATTCTGAGTCTTTTCCTGGGTCGCCCAACGTTTATGCAAGATACCGATGCAGACGTTGATATCAGCGAATCTCCACCGTCGGTCCTCCCAAGCACCTTTGGTCTGGCATGTCTAACAGTGACTAACAGGGACGACCCTCATACCTGGGAAGACTGGCTGCGCTCTCATGATCTTGGCTTTCTAGGGACAGACAGAACGGCCGGTCCCAGTCCTACATCGCTGTTGCACCAACAAGTCGAGCTAGGCCGCATCATCCATGACATCCTAGCCACAACGTTTGTGCCGAAACGAAGTGAGAAATCCAAGGCCAGGCGGTGGACCAACGTGCTGCTTAATAAGCTTAATGCTAGGCTTGTTGCATGGCACGAGGCATTGCCGAACGACATGAGGTGGAAGAAATGGCTCACCGCGAAAGACAATCTGCTACCAGACATCTGCATGCTACAGTACGAGAAACCCAGAGTCCGTTCATATTGTCTCGTGCTGACTTTCTACTTCCGCAAAGCACCTTGTACCATAACACTCGCATGTGCCTCAACCTTCCCTTCCTCGTCTCATCCATAGACCGCGAGCCCAATTTCTTGGACACAAAGCAAGGCAATGAAGGCTCAAGCGAGCCCAACGCTGCTCGGATGCGCTACCTCACCGAGTCAGCCAACATATGCAAACTATCCTCTGAGAGCCTTGTAGACATCCTGCATCGATTCAGAGCACAGCACACCCTCGTGAACTCACCAATTATCCTGGTATACGGCGCCATCGTCGCAACCAACGCAATCCTCGTGACGCTGAGGCACCAGCAGAGGAACACGAACGAGCCCCCAATGCAGATAAAGGATACTGCCCTACCGGCGCTGGACACATATCTGCAGGAGCTGAGCGTACCGTGGGCCCTCGCTGGCGAAGCTAGAATCAAATTCCAGCGGGCGCTGCGCACATGGTACCGTCGCACCCCAGCTGGAACAGGGCAACCAGCGGCCAGCGAGCAATGGGCCACCACCTCAAGCCAGCCGCCCACTGGGCCAACCACTGGGCCAGATATGCGTTTCATGGATCTGTACCCCGTAGATCCCGCCCTGCAGGCTTCCCTGGATCAGAACCAGTACCAAGAGCAGCCCCAAGGCTGGTACCAAGAAACCCATCCCGAGCACATGCAACCGCAACCTCAGCAGCAGAGCGACGCCGCCACCGGGACCGGATCTTCCCCGGACGTCAACTTCGAGAGCCCCGTGCCGTTCGTCTGGGACCCGATGAGTGTGCTGGACGGCGAGGTGGCGCTGTGGGCGACCATCGGGGGTGGTTTCCCGACCGGGATCGATGCGGGCTTTGACGCGAGCGGGATGGCGTGGACGGAGGAACAGCCGCAGCCAACGACTCTCTGATAGGACGACGAGCTGCAGGGCGTTAATTAATAAATTTTGGCTTCGCTTGTTTCTCTCATTTTCCACTATGCTGATTATAGCCGGTGCTGAGGCAGTTACTGTGACGCAGCAAATCGGTCTTGCCCAGCTTCGCCAGGGGGTCGAGGCATGCGAAGGGACATGGAGACCCCTAGGGCAGACTTCCATGAGATAGGATTGTTTTCGGGACTTCTGGTATTTAATGCTCTGGATCAACCACGTCGAAATGCTTTGCCTCCATCAGACCACATTATCAGATGGCCTAAATCATACCCAAGTCTGTCAGAACCTTGGCCGCAAAATCCTTTCGTACGTAGACATCGGGAGCTTGATCAAAAATGGCGTCGGACCAGGGTCGAAGTGTGTCATTGCACGGAGTAGTAACATAGCCGCGAGCCAGGTACTCTGACATCTGGAGCGGCCACTGGAATATGGCCCGTACGGCCCTCTTGGTTGGACTCCAGCTTTGATATCAAAGGGTTCGCACACGCTTCACGCATGAACTCGTACTGCATTTGAAGAGTGACCGGGTGAGCCACTCCAAGCCTTCGCCTGCAGGGGCAACATTGGGATCTCGGCCATCTCCCGCCTGGTAATGCTGACATGACCCCCCGAACTCAAGTCGTGGGTCATCGATCCATCGTGGGCCGAGGAGCGTGGGGGGGGGGGAGGCGGGGGAAGCTTGATACATTGGCGGCCGAGGCCATGAACGCGGACTGATTGATAAAGTCTACAGGGCGGGTGGAGCAGCGCGGAGACTAAAAGTTATACATATATGGAAGCATCGGGAGGATCATGGAACGCAACGCGGTTGATGATTCCTCATATGGAAGGACGTGTCTTATTCTTGGTCCCGCGGTGCCTTCGCGGTCAGTTCCGCTGCTCTTCTTGTGGGTCTATGAAACGACTTGTTCATCATTCAGCCGGTTTACCGAAAAGTAGGATGCTACCATAATTTATGAAAAGGCAGGTGTTGCTCCGTAGCTGCATCACGCACGGAGTCCCGCCAATGAGTCCATGTCGCTTAAAACGGCATCGTGGGGCACTTTTCAGCTGTGCGATAGAGTGTTTGCCTACGTACACTGTCCAGGAGACAACGCCATCCGGCTTCAGGGGCCAAATAACTCATCATGTTGATTCCACGCACAAGCAATTATCCGCCAGCACCTTCTTCAAGTCCGCACAATCTTCACATCCCTGCTCTCCGTGGCAGCTGCCCTGCCCTCCTTAGCCGCGCGGGAGCACGAGACGCATGACCTCGAGACGAGAGACACGAGGATTCTGGACCTCACCGTCGAGACCTGGCCCACCGAGTCATACATATACAACAACCAGTCCTATGCTTTCTTCACAGTCACACCCAAGGATGATACGCACTACACCTTCGGATTCTCCAACTCCGACCCTGCCAACACCGGCACCATCAACGTCTTCGCCGTCACCGCGGAGGGTCTGGAGACCATTGTCGAGAGGCTGGGCTCGTCCAAGTCGACCTCGCGTGATGTAAAGAAGACGAACAAGCCTTTTCGCATCACTATTGATAGCAACTACCCATAAGGCTGCTTGAGCTTCATATGAACTTGTTTATGTTGTAGCGACGGTGTGTTGTCTGGAACAAACGTCGTTTGGGTTCATACTCATGGAGATGGATAGTGTCCTGGCTTTGATGATTGGAGAGGAAGGCTGATCGACTTAAACTTCTATGAATATATTGCTATTTTTTGATCAGTATTAATCGTCATTAGTCGTGTTTTTCTATTTGCTGGTGACTCCAGAATGCGATTGCAACCGCGCACCTAAACAACCCTTCTCAGCAGTTTGATGCCATGACAAGCACTCAACTCTCAAATTCCTTGGGCGTTCTTGAGGTTTAGCTCTGAATGCTCTGCGCATCTGATTCTGGAGTCAAGTACTCGAGATGTACCTGAAGCGAACTCTTCGTAAAAACATGAGAGCCGCCCGCCCTGCTTTACTTTAAACGGTTGTGTAGTTCCAAGGATCACGTTATTGCCTCTAAATATACAGTCCTCTCACAATCACGCATCAAGACCAATACCCCGCGTTATATGTCCATATTATTGAAAGCTTTAATGAGAATTCCAGGCCTCGGAATTTTGGACGTGGAAACAGGCACTCGGAATCTTCGTCGAGAATGGTATGCCGGTCGAGCATTCCCACGGAGCAGCTTACCAGAACCGTGAGAAATTTGGGGTGCGGTGTTAAGAGGACTGCCTCATCGCAGGGTCCTGACGAATTTGCAACAGGCCAACCGGCACAGGCCCTACTTTGAGACCTCGGGGGAGATACGACCCCAACTGGGCATTTTGCAGTACTGTCCGGGCCTCCATGACTTGTAATCCATGATCACATTGTATTTTTCAACGTCTGCTATGTGTGATTATACCATAAAAAGTATAGAACTTTCTATTCAAGCTTTCCTCACATAGCAACCCTACTTAGCGACCGGCTCCTCATGCTTATGGTGGCATCCCGAAGCCTTTGTCTTGGGGTTATACGCATCACGTCGCACAATCCTGGCGCTGCGAGGAGGGAGAGTGTCAAAAGAGGTGGCATAGGTCGCAACCGCGTGAGCAATGGCGCGGCTGTTGATCAGGAAGGCCTCCAGGTTAAGGTTGTCCACCGTGTCGCCGACCTTGTGGTAATTCTCGTCAAAGGCGATGCCGGCCGTGCCGCCGTACAGCGCAGCCTCGGCCTCGGTCTTGATCTGCTCCGCGCCGGTGAACAGGCCGCCCGCGGCGACGCCGACCTCCAGGAAGGGCCCGTAGTCGGAGCGGCCGTTGAACTCGGTCGGCTGGGAGGGCAGTCCCTTGCTCTCGAAGTAGTTCTCGAACAGGGCTTCGGCCTCGGCGGAGCCGGGGGGGCCGCTGAGGTTGAAGGCGGACCCGTCGCCGTCGTAGATGGAGAGCTTGTAGTTGGGCGAGGCGATCATGTCGAAGTTGAGGTACAGGCGGATCTTGTCGAGGTCCTCGGGCGTCGACTGGTTGACGTAGTACTCGGAGCCCAGCAGGCCGAACTCCTCGGCGGACCACCAGGCGAAGCGGACCGCGTTGGTGACCTCGTACTTGGCGAGCTGCAGGGCAACCTCGAGGATGCCCACAGTGCCCGAGCCGTCGTCGTTGATTCCGGGCCCGGCTTCGACGGAGTCTGCGTGGGCACCGACGAAGATGACATTGTCGGGGTCACCGGACTTGGTCTGGGCGATGACATTCATGCTGGTGGCCGTGAATTAGTGGTATACTTCGTGAGGGGATCCAGAAGGACAACTCACGTAACGCGATCTTCGATGATGGAGTTCACATTAAGGTCACCAATGACCTCACCTGCGGCGAGAAGCGACACAAGGGCCTGGCCAGCCGCTTGGGAGATGGCAGCCGTTGGAGGGTAAGGCCCCTCTGGCCGGCTGGGAGCCCCGAGCGTGCCACTCAGCGTGCCGGCGGCATTGTTGTAGATGACTGCTCCAGCAGCACCGGCAGCCCCAGCTGGGACACAAGCTCATAGAGATATAGAGCCGTGAAGTTGTGGCCTGGGCTGCCGAAGACACGGTTTCGCCCGGTAGTCTGGTATGCTATGGCCTGGAGATCCTCGGAGCGGTCAAGCAGAGCTTGCGACGTGATGTCGTTTTGAAGAGCATCCTTAAAGGGGTCATGTTAGAATCTGAACAGGTCTGATCTGTCAAAACGCGGCCCGCCTGGTCTAACCTACCGACGTTACAGGCGTCTTCGTTCCTGGCTCGATGCTACCCTGCAGTGAGGAGGCTGCGCTGATCACCTCCGGGATTGGGCCCCAGTTCTCAACATCGGGTTGCCAATCAGGCGCGAAAACAGCTGGACCACGACGCTGCAGGTGCGAGGACACAGGTTCCACGGCATGCACGTGGCCTGCAGGAGTCGAGGCTTCGCCAAGGGCCACGAGGGCTGCCAGGGGCGCAACAGCTTTCAGGGACCAAGTCATCTTTGATACTCCTGCTGGACTGGAAACGAGAGAGTCGATGCAGGAAAGAAGAACCCTGATGGCACGGTCGCCGTGTCTCCTCACACCAGACCACGCTCTTCTTATACCACGTCCTGGTATCTAGCTGCAACGGCGCTTACACGGTCCATCCAGCCCCTCATTTCAACTGGGGCCCCAACAGAGAAAAAAAGGGCATCTTGGCGGTGATGGTTTTCGCAGGCCATTGTCCGCGCATTGCTGATAGTCGATTGCGCGATCCGCAGGAACGAGCAGGAAACGATGCCCAAAGCGGCAGGCGACAACAACGTGAAGTTGTATTTCCAGGATTCGTCCTATCAATTCATAGCAGGCCAAGAGAACCAAGACTGAGCCAAGTGCGGGTCACGGCCTTGGTAATGTGGAGTGATGTCGTCCACTGATTAGTCCGTTCTAGTGTGGTCATCACCTTCCCTGACGCGTCTAACACGCCGTACTTCAGCCAACGTCGGCCTACGATGCCCAGCTTCTTCCATCTGCCTACCCAGCTCCTTCTGGCCACCCACCCAGTACAAAAGAGAATTAGCTGCATATGCCACCAGAAAGAGAAAAAAATGTAACTATGACTAACCTTTCCAACTACAAGTAACTGCGGATACTTGGGGCTATGTGGTAGTACCAACGCAAAGCCTGCCCGAATTTCATATTAGAAGGGACGAGCATAGTAAAAATGCCGCACATATGGTCAATACACCATATACAGACTGTTTAGCTTTGGAAACTTGAAACCTCGAAAGGATCTAGGCCTCTGCACACTGCTTTTTGGTCTCAGTCTTTGATCGTCTCAAGGCTTTTAAAGGGTGTGGTTCTTGACATGCTTACAACGATGCATTCAATTGTGACGTGTGATTATAATCTCCTTTAGTCACTCTGTCACCGACTTCAATTAGGCAGAATGAGCTGCTCAGTTTGAATCCCCTTGTTGAAGGATTCGGCAAGTAAGCACCGATTGCCGGTCATGAAATCTGACAACGTATGCTCAGTGCTCTTTCCCCGCTCGTCTCATCACGTCTCGTTGCCTTTTTATCATAAAAACGTTCAGATGAGATGGCGGGCCCGGCATTCTCATCCCCTGAATGGTACCGCAACCTCAAGGACACGGATGTCAGCACCGATATTGGTCGGCTGACCATCTACCATCTGGGATTCAAGCAAGCCGCGGGTGGCACTCTGATATTCCCGCCGTTAGACTTCTCTACCGCTCCACGAGCCGTGCTTGATGTTGGGACAGCAGACGGACTGTGGATGCGCGATGTCCAATCCTCGCTAGCCACGCCGCCTCACGGCGCACACACCTTTACCGGTACTGACCTGAACTCCTCATTCTTCCCCAGCACCACCCCCCCGAACACGACCTTTGTCAAGCAAGACATCAACGCAGCGCCTCCATCATCCTGGCAGGCATCCTTCGACCTCGTGCACCTGCGCATGATCCTCATCGCCGCCGGGTCCGGCGCGAAGCAGCGCGCCGTCGTCGACGAGCACATGATCAAGCTCGTCAGGCCCGGCGGCTGGATCCAGATCGGGGACTGCGACCGCGTCTGCCCGACGCCTGAGGAGGAAAACCCGCGCTACCACGACATGTTTGCGTGCATCCGGGCGGTGTGCGAGGCATCTGGGGCGGCGCCCCTGGAGGCGCCGAAGATGAGGACGTGGTTGGAGGAGGCCGGGCTTGAGGACGTGCAGGAGCGGACGGTGATGCGGGCAGTGGGGAAGAGGAATGTGGCGGATGAGGTTTTGGGCAGGAAAGGCATTGCAGCAGACTTGATCATTGCGCGGGCTTTTGCGGGGGCTGCAAAAGGTGAGTAGTTGTACACCCTATTACATTGTTGACATCTGCAATAGTTATGCGAACGACAAGCTGATTGTGGTACATAGCTTTGGATCGATCTCTGAAGCCTCTGCCAGACGCACGACTGGATACGTTGGAGGTAGACTTGGAGAAGGAGTTAAATGAGATAGGGGCTTTCTTCCCGATGCGCTTTGTCTGGGGTAGAAAACCGCATTAGTCCTCCGGTCCTTATAACACCTACAATCATGGCAAAGAATATACCCCTTTATATTAAAGAATTACTTGGCATCTTTACTTTTTCCAATGTGGTGATATCTCTGAGAGACGATAACTACCTTCGGAAAAAGCTATTCTCAGGGGGTACAAGAGAGTGATCCTTTGCTGCAAGGAGCTGCAAGATCCGCCTTATGCGTCTCCTTGCTGATTTTTTCCTAACTACGTATGGCCCACAGAATACCCCTCTTTCCCCAGCCGTATTTCCCTCTCTTCAATCTCATTTTGGCCTCCATATTCAGGTGATCAAGTCTCTCAAATATACTTACTGTCTTTGTCTCGACCAAGGCCTGAAATCCCAAGGCAAGCACTCTTTTTCGCCTAGGGAATTGGAAAATCACCTTTATAACTAGGTAACGGGTCTTGAAGACCAGCCAATAGTGGTGCCATCAGACTTGGAAGATATTTCTTCCCGACGTCCGTCCTCCCCAGAAAGTATGGCTGGCACAGATCAGCCTAATGGTGATGAAAGCCGCGAGTCGGGCTTCGGGGTAAGTAAAATACCACCGCCCCTGCCGTCCTTTTTCTGAGTCCGTCGATGTACCAGCAGAATTTACTCACCTCTCTCGTAGCTATGCTCCGATTGTCAAGGTCTGGATCTCCGCGAGGACAAGTTTATTCTCCGATCAGTCGATCCCACGGCTCCCATTCCTAAGCCGCACCATAAGGATACGCCAGTTGTCCGGCCCTCGAAAACGCATTTGACGTCAGGAAACGGGCAAAGTGTCTTCTCGAACCTGGAGACCATGTCCGAACGGAGAGATATTTGCGTGTTTTGCCAAGTCCTATGGCGAGCTGTCAATCGGTATAGTGGCAGCAGAGCCCCGATTACGGGTCAACGTGATGAGTCGGATACAGCCACTAGGTCTCAGAAAGGACTGGGCAGTACTCCCAAAGACTATTCAGGTACTTACTGCCGAATTGATAGATCTTCGATATGTTGACTGAAAATGAAACCGATTTAGGACGCTATGCTTTTAGTCAGGGCTATTGGGCAACGCTACCTCTGGGTGGACTCGTTGTGCATTGTTCAAGACAGCACAAGCTCGTGGGAGCTCAATGCAAAGGCAATGCATCTCATCTATGGCAACGCCTATTTCACCACGTGTGCTGCTGCTGGAGATGCGACGACGGGACTTCGTGCTGTCAGACCCATCCTTTCAGTGGTCGGAGAATATGTAATGAGGGCAAAGACGCACCACCAAGGTCTTTCTCGCCCGGCGGCTTATTTAACCCCTGAACGCCTCCAAATGATGGCCAAGGATCCTATTCGCGAGGCCATTCGCAACAATATCGCCATCAAGCCTCAAGGGTTTGACTCGTCAAATCCTACGTCATCGTCAAGTGAGGTTCTTGGAGGCCTGGCCGAAGATGACGAGAGATACAAGCCCTTGGTCATTGATTATTCACCAGCAATCAGGTTGCTGGTATCAAGATCCCCCGAGAACGTCATACAGGGCTCCTCCTGGGACGAACGTGGTTGGACATTCCAGGAACGCCCACTGTCACGAAGGTGCCTCATCTTTGCCGAGGGCCAAGCATATTTCCAGTGTCGCTCGACTGTCATGTCGCAAGACAAGCATTCTGACTCTAGTCAACGCGGGTGGTCACTTGATTGGACCAATTCGCCGTTGCGGACACTGGGCGAGTTGAAGAAGAGGGCGTTCTGGTTTTACATGAAATGCGTTGGACTCTACACCGGCAGGCAGCTAACAAAACCCACAGACATATTGACGGCATTCCAGGGAAGCGCATGGCTGCTGGAACAGTACCTGAGGGCTGGGCTCCACTCCTATATGGGATGCCCAGGTCTCACTTCGACCTGGCTCTCCTGTGGACACCCATGTCCACTCTGTGTCGGAGGAAGAGAAAGCACCAAAACAGCCACCATGCATCAGCGACTTCTTCAAGCTGGGAAAACCACTTCCGTTGCGACGAGTGCTCATCAGCAGACACCGACTTTGGGCCAAATGAATTCCCAAGCTGGTCGTGGAGCGGATGGATGCATGGCAAGTGTGAGTACGAGGCTGGGATGCTCGATGGATGTCTTCCCAATGTGCATTTGTGGCTGAAACATCACACGTGGATCCTGTGGTACGTACGAGACCAAGATGGGAACTTGAGGCCTTTGTGGGACAGAAGATCACTCCAGGAAGACATTAGCGAAGATGGCCGCTGGCGAGGCTATTCGGGACATGATAGACCCCAGGTCTCCCCCCTTGCAAGTGTCGAACCGCCCTCGGCCGGTCTCGAAAGGCCGAAGTCACGAAGGCATGGCTACTCAGACGATGAAAGTTATGACATTGACCCCGAGTCGAGCTATTCGAGTGACACTGAAACAGCGGCACAACCATACCAAGATAGACGTGCAGGTTTCGCAAGCCCTGCACACAGGCCGATGAATACATCCAGACAGGCAGCGTCGGGAATAGATGGCTGGGCACTTCGTTCCAACCAAGCAGACCTAGCAGCTATCACGCCTCAGTACTATAACGGGACTGCTCATGAGGACATGTCCCGCGCAAGTCGGTTACCGGGAGAGTCTGTATCCTCCCCACAGCAGCATGGGGACTTCAGGCTTGATTATGGCATGCGGCCCTTCATGGTGTCTCCACATAACTTGAACCCTTTGATGCCATCCATGTATTATAATCCTGACTATATGCAACCTCCACCTCCACCTCCTCCAGTCGAAGCTTCCAGTCCCTATCCACGCCGAACACTAGACAAACGGGTGTCTTTTGACGATGCACGTGTCCCCCAACAAGACGCGAGCCGGCATTTGGGGGAAAGAGCGCCAAAGACAAACCAAATGACTCGGACCGAAACCTCCTCTACGACAAGCTCCCAACAACACACCCACACATCTGCCGTACCAGGCGTAGATGTCTATGGCCGCCCTCCCAAGCCAGGCGCCAAACCCGGGAACGAATTCACACGGATTCTGCCCGACAACCCGTTCGGGGTCAACCGCGGACCATTCAGCGCACCTGGCCATGGGAACGCGGGGGCAATGCCCGTGTTGCAGTTCTGGACATTCAGGCACTTGCTGTATGTGAGCATCCAAGAGCCTCGGGATCAAAATAGCAGCAGCAGCAGCAGTAACCGGCCGGGCGCCGGCCTCTGCAACTGTGACATCCGCGACAGCTCCGGCGGTTGGTGCGGAGTCATCAGACTCCCTCGGTCGTACGCCGAGTCTCGCCTCAACAAGCAGCTCTTTTTTTGTGGCACTAGCGGATGCGAAGGGCTTCACCGCGGAAGAATGCCCTGTATGGAACTACTACATCACCAAGGAGAGGGAAGACTCCGAGTGTGGGATGTGTACTTTGTCTTGTTGCTGGAGAGGAACAATGAGAAGGCACTATGGGAGCGTGTCGCTCTTGGAAAGGTGTCCAAGGCTGCTTTCAGTGATTCAGAGTGGGCTGAGATCAAGCTTGGCTGAATAAGAGCCAGCACTAGATCTTGGGACGTAACACACAAGCTGGGAGAGATCCAATGATGGTGCACATAATTTCTATAAATGTTGAATATAGAGACGCGCAGGTATTCCTAGAATGTCACATGCAAGCTTTCCTGCGGTTTCCGTTGTCCCAAGTTCTCGTACCAAGGCCACGCAGCGAGCCCTACCGTAAGAGAACGTCTCGAGTCTGGGCTGAATGTCGATATGGCGCAATATTCGATGATTCATAGTATCGGAGACCTACCAAAATTCTGACTGAAAAAGTCCTTTCGCTTTTTCAGAAGCATTGGGGAGCATACCATACCCCCACCCTGGTTGTGGACAGGCCAGTGGACAGGCCAGTGGACAGACCAGTGGACCCTGGTGGACCCTGGTGGACAGTCTGGTGGTAAAATGGCGAGTGGGCAAGTCGCAGTTCTAGGCGCCTATGCGCCCGAGACTCGTGGAGAAAATAAAGTCACCGTATTACAGTATGCCTGTTTAGATGGAAGAGAACGTAAAGGGGTTATTTTCTGAGAGAACGGGGCTGTCTGAGTGTATTTATGTCAAGCCCTCTCGGCCCGAAGCGAAGTATATGGGGTTCTGGTCACCGCGGCCACTGCTTCAGTGGACAGGTCAGTGGACAGGTTAGTGGACAGGTCAGTGGACAGGTTAGTGGACAGGCCAGACCTAAATACAGATAACCGTATTAACACCAAGCCGTTCCTACATCACGTCGGCCGCCCCAGCCTTGGCAACAACCAATTCACCAACGGCGTTTATCGACTTCCCACTCGTCATATCGAACACGGTGACGTCGGCCCCAAAGTCCTTCCGCATCCAGCTCCGCAGCTCGACAGCCATGAGCGAGTCCGTCCCATAGTCCGCCAGCGTCTTCCCCCCGTCCACGTCCTCGACAGCAACGCCCAGCGCCCGCGCCACCTTGGCCCTCAGGGCGTCAGTGACGACGGCCCGGCGCTCCTCCGCGCCGCCCGCCTGCCGGAACAACAGCGCGGGGTCCGCGTCCGGGAGAGCATCGGCGCGCCCGGCGCCGGCGGCGTCCTGGTCCCGCGGGCTGTTGAAACCCGCAAAGAGGGGCCGCAGCGTCGCCGGCATGGGCTCCTCGCCGCGCGCGGCGTAGTCCAGCGCGGTGCGGGCGCCGACGAGCAGCTGGCTGTGCGTCTCGCTCAGGGGCGCCGGCAGCGCAGGGTCGCAGTAGTGGCCGAGGATCCCGAGGAGCTCCCCCGTCTCGATGGGGGCCAGCCTGCGCGCGTTGGCGCGGATCGCCTGGCTCTCTGCGCTGCGGCGGGCGACGTAGCCGGCGGAGCGCATGTAGCCGATGTCGAGGGACACGGACGCGCGCATCCCCTGGGCCGAGCGGAGGCGCGCGAGGGTGTCTTGGAACACGCAGCCTGCTGCGTAGTTGCTCTGGGAGGGGTTTGCGTAGACGCCCATGAGGGACGATAGTAGGATGAAGAAGTCCATGTCCTTGGGCAGGAGATGGTGGAGGTTCCAGCTCGTGGGCACCTTGGACTGGATGTTGAGGGACCATTGACTGTGGGTCATGTTTTCGAAAACGGAGTCCTGAGAAATTATTCAGATTCAGACTGACAAGGCAGGTTGGTGCAGGGGCTCAAGCTTACATGAAGGACCATCGTGGCATTGAAGCATCCCTTGACTGGAGGCATCGTGGCTGCGCAATCTTGCAGCATGGCCTCGAGGTCAGCAGACGAAGACACATCACAACGCGGCGCAACCACTTGGACGCCTCGCTTGGTGAGCTCAGCGAGTGTGTCGACAGCCGCCTGCGAAGACGGCCCAGAGCGTGAGGGCACAATCAAATGCCGGGCACCCCGATCCACCATCCATCTCAGTATGACCTGGCCTAAGCCGCCGAAGCCCCCTGCGACGAGGTACGAATGGTCTTTGCGAAAGCTCCAGTTACTCTTCAAGGTCGTGTACCTCTATGCGAAGAGTTTAGCATCCTGGCAGTAATCATCACGGGGGCTCTTCTTTGACTTACCGGGACGACCTCCTCCGGAGACAAAGAAATTACGACACGGCCTGTGTTTGCTCCACTTTGTATAAGTCGGAACGCCTGCTCAATCTGGGCTGCTCCAAATAGCTGCAAAGGCGCCGGGCCTCTATGCCCGGCCACAAGAAAGGCGATAATCTTCTCAGCCAGCTCTCGCGTGAGCTGATGGTTCGTCTGGGCAATGTGAAGCATGTCCACAGCGGTGAAGCTGACATTCTTCGCAAAGCCGGACACGGCAAGGGACGAGTTCGCTTGGACGTTTCCCTTGCCAATCTCAATGAAGTGGCCATAAGGTGCGACGCATTCCCAGCTAGCCTGTAAGCTTGCAGCGGGCAGGGAGTTGACAACCACGTCAACACCGACTCCTTTGGTTGCACGCATGATGCCCGGAGCAAAGGTCGTATTGCGACTGTAGAAGATGTGCTCGGTCGGGAGTTTAAATCGCTCGACCAGAAATTCCTTCTTCTCCTTGGAACCCACAGTCGCGAACACCTCGGCGCCCAGCATCTGGGCAATGGCCACCATCATTTGCCCCGTTGCTCCAGCAGCCGCGTGGATGAGTACCTTGTGTCCCGGGCGTACACGCGCGACGTTGACCAGTGAATGGTATGCCATCATACCCGGAACAAGGGCAGCAACTGCCTCACTGAAGGACAACCCATCAGGTATCTTGCACACGAGCTGTGCGGGAGCCCGAGGGTGGCTGCGCATGCAACCCGGCACGGCAGCGAGCACTCGATCACCGGCTTGGAAGTCTGCACAGCCCGCTCCGACGCGCACTACCGTCCCCGCGCACTCGAGGCCTATTTCCTCGTCCGCACTGAGTCGTCCGAGGGCAATCTGGACGTCGCGGGAGCCCACCCCCCATGCCGCCGCCTCGATCTCCACCTCGTCAGCTTGGAGGGCTGAAGGCCTCGCGTCTTCGACAAAACGTAGGGTGTCCAGCATCCCCGGCGTGCCGACGTCGAGTGCCAGCCCCGGGCGAGGGCCGGACGGCCAGCGCTCCTCTCGCTGCTGTGGCTGTGTGCAGGCCATGTATTGGTTTTGGACGTCGACTGCGCGCTCGAGCCGTCCGATGGTCAATTGTCCTTTGCGGACGATGAAATCGTCTTCAGAACATGAGGGCGAGTCTTCAAAACACCTTTGATGAACCTCAGACACAAACCGAGCGTCGCTGGCGTCCTTGAAAGGAGACTGATAGACCAGCGTCACCAGGTGCTTGCCGCCTTCTTCGGAGCGAAGCGTGCGCAGGAATCCCACCGCCAGGGCGCAATGCGGATCGGCTTCATGCTGCGGTGCCGCCACCCATAGCAAGTTTTCCAGTTGGGCAACGAGCGCCTTGTCCCGCAAATTCGGTTTCGGAGACGGACGCGAGAAATGACGAACCAACTTCGAGGAGGGAAATGACCTGGTCTTTGGGAGATACATCCCAGTCGTGGCTGGCCACGCTGCTGAGATGGACCACCTCTGTAGTTTGAATGCAGTGGCCTAGCTCAGATGCTAGTGACTGTTGAATGTGCGAGTTCGGGTCCGTTAGCAGCCACGTCTTCTTGGCTTTATCTTGGGCGTCGATACTCGACCCCCAGGGCTGGCAGCGTGGCCTCCGAAATTATAGTGCTGCATATATGGCTTGCCTCGCTTGGGTAGTCCCAGAGGCTCGCATCGATCCCCGAGAACCCCGCCTCGCGTAGGACCTCATGCCATTGCTCCTCCGTGGCCAGGGGTCCATGTTGGCGCCACTCCTCGGTCGCCAAAAGCCAGCCCTCGAGACAGCCAAATCCAACATTAAAGCACGCAGAGTTCGGGACAACACCCTCTTGGAAGAGCAGGCGCCCGCCCTGCCTGAGCAGCTTGCGCGCATTTCCCAGGGTCCGGCTCAAGTCTGAAGTCGCGTGGAAGACGTTCGAGGCGATGGCCATGTCATAGCTCCCGAGCTCGAATCCTTGTGAGGCGGCGTCTCGCTCAAGGTCTAACGTCTTGAACGAAATACGGCCCTTGAACTCGGCGAACTCGGCGCGCGCTGCCTCAAAGAAGGCCGGTGAGATGTCGGTATACGTGAATTCGTAGAAGCACTCCCGCCCCGTCTTGGCCTCGATGTCTCGGAAGCAGGCCATGAACGCCCGCGTCATGGCACCCGTCCCCGCGCCGACCTCGATGACGCGCAGCGCGGGCTGCTCGTGGGATGCCAGACTGATGAACTCAAAGAGGCGGCGATCAAGCGAGTACGTCCTGGAGAGGTAGCCGTAGAACTTCTCGGCCGCGCCGCTGTTGAATAGCAGCTCCAGGGGGTCCGTCTCGCCACGAAAGAGGGAGGGCAAGGCTCGTGCGACAAGGGGAAAGATATGGAACCCGGCCTCGGCTGCCTCGCACTCGCAGAGGCGGCGGTCAAGCTCCTCGCCGCCGAGATCAACCTCGTCCTCGTGGCCTTGCTCAACGACATAGCGCTGTTCCAGCAATGCGGCATACTTTTGCAGATGAGTGGATGCCGCTTGGCGCTCTGCAGGCGACACCTCTCTCAGCGCCTTGCGTGCCGCGACACGCAATAAGAATTCCATCTCCGGCATCAGCGCCTCCGAGGCGGCTTCGTCGGCGTCCCCAAATCGCTGGCGTCGAGATGCTCCTGCAGTGCCCTGCCGTGCAGCGAGCTCAGCTGCGGCTTCCATGCAATCTGGTACAGAGATTTGCCCGTTTGCTCGACCAGCGCCCCGTCAGGCCGTGAAACCTCGGCCATGACGACCTTCCCGACGGAGAACAAGGCGGAGCCATCATCAGCTATACCATAGGCCGACGCCTCAAACTGCCCCGTCTTGCCGTTGATGTTCTTGGCAAAGCTGCCCAGCTGCACCGAGTCTGTGGCCCTGTCCCAGACCCTGGCCGCGATCCACATATTCTCCACGCTGTGTGCCATCATGGTCGGGCATCTGGTTCGGGACAGGCCTCTCGAGATGTTGGCGAGGTTTGGCTGGACACAGGAGTCCAGGACGGCAGGATGGACGGGGCTGTTAAGTATCTGATAGTGCTGTGATGCCGAAGCAATGTTGACACGTGCAGAGAAAGTGCCATGGCCGTCCCAGTCTAGATTGGCGAGGTTCTGGAATGATGACTTGAAATCGAGCCCGATGTTCTCCCGATTGAAGGAATAAAAGCTGTCTGTGGGCAAGGATTCCTTACAGATCGAGCTTGCGTCCTTGACGCATTCCCGGATTCTCTCGTGAGCCAGGAGTTGCTCACGGCCACCGTCAACAGAATCTGTTAATTCGGGTTCGAAAGAGACACGTATTGTCGCATGGAAGCATTCTGCCCAGCTGTTTTGGCGGAAAGTGAAGATCCGCGTCTCGTACCAGATGGCGTCTTCCTCCCCTCCGTTCTCCATGGGCAGCACATGGAGTTCAGTCTCTGTGGACTCTTGTGAAGTCTCTCCAATGACAACGGGTGACAAGAAACGGGCCTCTTTGATCAGAAAGGCTGCTACAACGCGGTCCTTGGCGCTCGCCATCTGCTGCACGGCTTCAACTGCCATGACAACCATACCTGTGCCTGGGCATACAGCAACGCCATCGACCTGCCGAAGAAGAATTAGGTACTTTGTAAAGCCTTTCGTAGACAAGTCGTGGGATAAGACATGGGGAGACCTACACAATGATCACCGAGCCAGGGGTGTGTTTCGAGGCTCAACCAGTTCCTCCATCTCGGTAGAAGCTCATTCCAGTCATGAGCACGTCGCCCCAGTAAATACCCAGGGGCGGACTTCCTCATTCGGTAGTCTCTGGCGATGCGAGACTCGCTCCAGTAGCGTCGGCTGTGGTCGAAGGGATAAGGAGGGCAGTCGGTAAGAGGTTGCAGTTTGGTACCCGTGTGGCTATTTGCAGCTGCCGCCGAAACTGAGTGTCCGGAGCAAAACAAAGAACCGACTACAGAGAGTAGGGTCTGCACATTTGGCTTCGACCGTTCCAGAATAGCATGATAGCGGACCGAAGGGACTGTGTCCTTCAGTGGCCTCCGCAGAGCTGCATGTGGTCCAACCTCAATCAAGTCCGTGATTCCACCGGCCACGAGGGCGAGTATTGCATCCGGACCCTTGTTGGTGAGTCGCTTCATGGCGTCCACGAACCGTACAGGTGACACAAGGTTGTCGACCCAGTAGTCAGGCATTGAAAGTAGCTTCGGTGCGATCATGTTTCCAGTAACAGAGCTCACCATGATGGTTGCGGGCGAACGGGGGTTGCCTGTTGTATGCGGTATCTTACCGGGCTCCAGAACACCCATTAGGGCACGATATTCCGTAGCTATAGCTCGCATGGCCTGAGATTAATTCTTAATTAGTTTCTACTCAAACATCATGACGATAATGCCCCAGTCAAAATATCATGAAAATCTTGATTAGTGAAAGATGGGGCGCTTGCAACATGATAGCCCATTGAAAGTGTGAAGTCAAACAAAAAGAGACTCGAGCATTTGGGACTAAGAAGGACCAAGGGGACACATACCGGTGAGTGATATGCCACGCCTGTATTCACCGTCTTCGCAAAGACGCCCTGCTGGTCCAGATGTCCTTGAATGATCTTGATGGAGTCAACAGGGCCTGAAAGCGTGACGTTCGTCGGGCTATTAACACAAGCAGTGTGGACCGTATTGTCCTCGGTCGTCAACCCAAGCTTCCCGAGCAGACTTGGGACTTTGATCTCGTCCAGATTGGCCGAAATCATCGCGCCTGGATTGGCAGTGGTGGCCGCGAGTTTCCCAGCCAGCTGCCCTCTGAAATATGCCACCTTGCAGGCCGATCTCTGAGACAGGGCACCGATGGTGTAAGCGCCCGCGATCTCTCCACTGGAGTGGCCAATTACCCCGGCAGGAGAGACGCCGAAGTTGCGGAGTAGGTCGACCAGAGCGATTTGCAGTGCTGTACATAGTGGCTGGCTGCGCTGGGGAAGATCAATGTCTTGACCATCGCGAAGTGCATCTGGTGATTTGGGTTGTCAGCCTTATTCACAACTAAACTTCATTTGCTTGTGCGGTGTGGACTACTAGCCCGCAGCGCTCTTCAAAGTTGTAAGGTCGATGAAGAAGACGTGGAGAGAGATTTCCACTTACCTAACAGGGACCATTCAGCACCTAAGCTTGCAAATATCTCATCCGATTCTCGAAGACTGGCCTCGAAAACAGGGTACTGCAGGAGCTCAAGCCCCATTCCCGCATATTGGGCCCCTTGGCCGGTGAAGACTAGGCCAATTGACGCCTTCTCAGGCGAAGCACGGACAGGGGGCGCAAAAGTGAGCTGATGTCGGTCATGGTTTCCATATACACCGTCTGCCACGGCAAAGGTCCGCCAAGGCATGATGCTGCGTCTCGTCCCCAGGGTGTAGGCCAGCAGGTCGAGCTTGCGGGGGTCGTTGATGTGTGCCTGGTAATAGCTCTGGTAAGCCTGTACCATACGGTTCGCAGCTCCGGCGTCGGCGGCAGAACAAATGAGAAGCTTCGGGATTGGCTTTCTGATCGAGGTTCCGTTGGCAGAGGTGCCATTGGCAACATGTCCATTAGTAGCAGTATTGCCGTTGACGGTCCCTCCTGCACGTGCTGTGGAACTCGTGTCGCAGTGGTGAAAGCCCGACAACCCATGCTCTTGCAGGTAGTGAAATGCATCATCGAGAATGATGTGCGAATTTGCACCTCCCACACCAAATGAGTTGACTGAAATTCTTCGCAAGCCGTCTGTTGGCCAAGGGATAGAACGGGTGGGGACCTGGCAGCGTATGAGGCATGTATACCTATGGGGCGTTGATAAGAGGGAATGCTTACCTGTATGTTATATGACTCGGCATCAATTCTGGGATTAAGCCTCTCAAAGAGAGCGTTGGGTGGAATAATGCCTTTTTCCAATACCAGAATGGCCTTCACGATGGCTGCCAGGCCACTTCCACCCTCTAGATGGCCAATGTTTGCCTTAACGGAACCGCTGCGAGAGGGAAAGGGGAGTCAATTCAACATATCCTCTGAGATATATCCGGAGCCCAACTTACACGAAGAGAGGCTCTTGAGGGGATCGGCACGAAGCAAAGACCTTCCCAATCGCCGATGTCTCTATCGGATCGCCAACTGGCTGAGATTTGTGTTAGCAACAGTTCATCACTGCCCTCAGGCCGGGAATCCTTATCATTTAGGTCCTCTCTCTGATGAAAACTTACAGTTCCTGTCCCTGGAGACACGAAATAGTTCCGGTTAGCGCACTACTCTTCGTGCGCCATGTGATAAGTAAGCAGTACGAACCATGAGCCTCAACATATCTCGTGCGTTCGAAAGAAAGGCCTGCCTTTCTGTAGGCATCGCGAATAAGAGCCTCCTGCGCCTCAGAACTCGGCTGGGTAAGGATCGGTGTGCGTCCGTCATGGTTTGAAGCCGTGGATCGCACAACCGCACGAATAACATCGCCATTCGTTAGAGCGTCAGCTAGCGGTTTGATGACCACAGCCAGCACGCCTTCGCCCCTGGAATAACCATTAGCGCGATCGTCAAAGCTGAAGCAGAGACCATCGGGCGACAGGAAGTTCATGTTGGCCATCAGGGCCGAAGTCTCTGGGCTCAACATGATGTTGGATCCAATCACGAGTGCCTGCTCAAGTTAGAAAGAGTTAGAAACCACTTAAAACCATCAAAACCTAGACTAAAACTTTGCACAAACCGCGCTGGCATTGCCCGTCATGATCGACTGACAGGCCATGTCCATGGCAACCATGCTCCCCGAGCAAGCTGTGTCGATATGCATGCTTGGTCCGCGCAGGCCGAAGTACCAACTGATCCTGTTTGGAAGCATCGAAGGGGTGCTGCCCAAAGCGGCCTGTATTGGTGCCGCGTCAGGATCCTTGGCCCCAAGTCGGGCAAAGTCATCAGCAAAGGTTGCGGAAAACACGGCAGTACGGCTCGAGCGAAGGTCCTCGGCCGCAATGCCCGCTGAAGCAATAATTGGGATTAGCTGATGGTCACGAGACAACTTCTCCATAGCTTGGTGTGAGGGACCCCACCGTTTTCGAAAGCGTGGTAGGCGGCCTCTAATGCCCAACGCTGTTGAGGGTCCATGGATGAAGCCTCTTTGGCCGTGATGGAGAAGAAAGGGGCGTCGAACACGGCCGGGTCTCCGCTGAAGGCATGAGTTCCTCTTGCGGGAAGCTATTCATTATCCTATTAGCGTCACGATATCAAGTCCGTGCAGTTTTTTGGCTCTGGAAAACGAAAATAAATAATCAGATACCATATTTGGCTCCTTGGGCCCTTCCTTGTAGAACCCATCGAGACAGGCCCGGTCTGATGGCCAATCAGTTAACAGGCTTCGCCTCTGCACCATGATCTCCCAGAAGCTCTTCTCGTCGACAGCATCCTGGGGAAGTTTGAAAGACAAGCCAACAATGGCTAACGGCTCGGCTATCTTGCTCGAAAGGTTGCGTTCGGCGGCCATGGGTGCTCGATTTGGAAAGTTGCTGACAGCGTAAAAGGAACAGAGTAATCTTTATAGGAAATAAGAGGCAGCCCCCTGTGAAAAAGGATAGATGTGTCTGATGTCTATGCTTTACTACGATGGGGCACCCTTTGATGAACCGAGTGGGAAATCAGCGCCAATTTATAACTTTTCCCGACATACGAAATCTCCTTCCAAGTACAGTTTATGATCGGGTTATCCACATCCTGTTGATCTTCTGCCTCGCCCGAACATCTTCCGAATTGCCAAGCTGTCGAATGACCTAGGTAACCTTCGAATGACGGTGTCAGAGGTAGTTGCCTGCCGTACCAGTGCCTCTGCAGACCAAAAGATCAAACAATGACAGGGCTCGCCCATCACCGGGCGGGTCCGCCTACAAGCCCTAGAGTGAAAAGTATACGTGACACAACGGCTGTAACCCACGATCCAGAAGCTACTCGATTGCCTCATATACTGCTTTTCCTTTATATGATATATTATGAATCATTGTGATGCGACTCACCGGTCTTCCTTTTTGTGCCCTCGCGTACGGAAAAGTGGGCAAGTCTGGTGCTTTCCGTGTGAGATCATCGGGAACTCAGGCCATCTTTACAGATGACATGCACTTATTGGTACAATAAGTGGTGCGAGCTGCAGTTCTCCGAGGGCAACTGCAGTCAGCTCTGCAGTCATCCTCTCGGCTCCTTTGTCTCACACACTAGACCACAATGATTAAGATCCACTTTAATTATAGAGTAATTACTAAGAAGAAATTTAATGGTAGCATCATTATCCTGTTTAGCTTATCTTTGCTCATTGCAATATCAACATTAATTTTAATATTCCACCACTAGTAGACGAAATGGCCTTGTGGTCTCTCCTTTGCTCCTCAAAGCTGGAGCTAGATCAATTGTATCCTCATAGGATCGTGGAAGAACAAGGGATTCTTCAGTCTGAAAGATGAGTTGAAGCAGAAGAAAGGGATGTCAAATGTGGCTGCATATTCATTTGAGGACACCATAGATTTTAGCTTGTATTTGGCTCGTCATCAACCGAAGAGTTGCACATTGCAGTACATATGGTCTGTGATTACAGACCAAATCCGTATGTGCTAAAATTGAAAAGCAGTTTCGCAATCTAAACTGATAGCAAGGCTGCACACCTCCACACAGTGGAATCAAACTTAACACATTCTGAAAGTAATGATCAAGATGGACATGCGCCCTATGTCCTCGAACGTAAACAATCCAGCATTACAGACTCTGCAGAGTAATCAGTTTGTACATTTCTCGTACACAGAATATTTCATTTGTTCCCAGCAAACGGGCATGTTTCATTCCAACAGATCCGGTCTCCTGCATGCATACACTGAGCTCGTCCATACTTTCAAACTTTCAGAATAAGCATTCGGTTAGGTCTACACCCCCTCCTTCCATGCTACAACACCCGGGTCCCCCACGACGCGGATCTTGCGGGAGCATACCACTACCCATTGGATCACGATACCATCTGCGGCTGGGAATAAAAATGTCCAGCTGATCGAGCGAACATGCTTTGTCGCTATTGAGCCCTCGCTTCAATTCAGGTGGCCGCGCGGACCGGTTCGGTCAATGTTAGCAGTCGGAATACGACGATTACGAAGAGGCCGTAGTCCGCGGACGGGCAGGTTCGGATCCACGGATATGCTCCATAGGAAACGTCGGCTTTTCATCTACTTGGGTTTGTTTTTGAGACGTGAAGGGGCCTCAGGCATGGCTTGTGCCGTGGTGGCTTGGCCCGCATGGCACATAGGTCGTGCGTCTCGGAGAAGATCACCCCCCCGAGGTCCTGTACCGCGTGGACTCAATTGCGAGGCAGCTGACGCGGAGCGAGGCAGCTGGTTCCGGGGAACGCAGGCTCCCAGGTGCATTGTTGCATACGTTGGGTGCCAGCGGGCTGTGGCTTATGCACGGGGTGCTGCTGCACGCGCTGCGGCACTCCTGGGCTTTGGCAGGGGCACCACCGCATCTACGTAGTATGCAGGCGGCTGACTATACCCACCAGATCTGCATGAGACCGGAAATCCTTGCGTCTATCCCGCAGGGAGGCGGCCTCCGCCTGACAGGACAACTATCGGACGAATTGTGACCGGGTGCAACGGCTGGTCAGATTGTACGCGGAACGCATTGATTCGGGCTTCTGCCGTTTTTTTTTGGACCTGCCCCCTTGGTCAGTGCCTCTTGATGCCCGGCAACTCTATCATCTCAGACCACCATTGCAGTCCTCGCCCTCGCCCTTCCAGACACAGGGGAAAAAATGAAACTTTGTATTTTCTGGGATATGCCTTCTTTGGAACACACGCATGTCACATTGGAAAGAAAGTTGGCAACTCGCGTAAACGCAAATGAGTTCGCCCCAATCTGGAACCCGTGGTAATTATCGCTGCACGGCAACAAGGATCGCTCCCATCTGGATATGTTTTATGTGAATTTCGAAGTACATTGCATCCAAAACCATACCCTGTCATATACCCTCTGAAGAATCCGCATGAATGAATCAACTCCGTCGCCGTGTGGGAATCATGCTGAAAGCTGGAGAGCTCAGCCCACATCCTACGGCTCTTCGCCTAACTACCCAGTACCCTCTCTTCATCTAGCTGGTCACTCTGTTCGTCGCTAGGGTAGTCGACGTTGGGCGGGTTGACCTTCCTCACAGTGATGAGCTCGGCATCCGTCACGCCGGCACCGGTAGCGTTCCAGCCGACGCTCCACAGGCCGTCGATGCTGGTCTCCACCGCGTACCACTCGGTGTAGAGGGTGCCATCGAGCTTGAGCATGGCGGTCGTGCCGTAGAAGGTGAAGCCCGTGGTGACTATGCTGGACTCGGTCACGTTGCTGATGCCCGACTTGTAGAAGCCGGTGGGGCCGTAGGGGGTTGGGACATAGAAGAGGGACTCGGTCCAGGTGGTGTTGCTGGTCGTCAGCGGGCTGGCCACCCACTGGGTCGTGTCATCTGTGCCTTGGGCTGTCATGCCGTGTCAGCGGTGAACGGGGGTCGTGGTGTTTACTCATTGGGTGATCTTACTGAAGAGGACATATTTGTCGGTGTAGTTCACCTTCGCGGGGTTGGCGATGTAGGCAAATCCTGGAAATTATGGATCAGTCTTGTGTCTACGTGGTGTCTCTAGAAGTGGGGGAGAGTGGTCGTCTTTACCCTCGTTGTAGAAGATCGGATAGCCACCGATGGCACTGTCTGTATCGGATCCGTAGGCAAAGAAACTGAAATTGCTGGATGTGGCGCGGCTCTGCAGAGTGCTGGGACGAGCTGTCGCGCCGACAAAGGCGGCCGACAGGGCGGCGATAGCCGTGATGATCTTGGACATTGTGGGAATGAATAAAGAATGAGGAAATGGGATGATTGGGCCGCCCTCAATATGCGTCCTGCCTTCAGATTATTGGTTTGTAAAGAGCGTTAGTTAGAGAATGTGAGGGGAAATCGAGGCAGTAATGAAAGGATCGGGGGAGACAAGTAGGTGGAACAACGAGGCGTTGGTGATGTGAAGCAGGACGGCAGGCCTCGTCAGGCGTCTACTGAAGTCATATATCTAGCGAACAATACGCAACTGGCAAAGCCTCACTCACAGCCTTGGACGAATGACATGGTCATCCAGCTGCTATTTTCATGCCTCCCACATTCCGGAGGATAATGGCCGACGTCCGAGTCGCCGATCACATAGAATAAACTTGGGTTTTCTGCCCCCATGGGAGATCGGTAGGCGGATCCATGATAGGGATGACGCCTAGGTGGCTGACTCGTCGCAAGCACAACGCGCAAGCATCCCTTGCAGATCCCTACGCGATCCGTCATAGCGGGAGCGGGAGAGCAAAATGCTTGGCGCGACCCACAGGGCGATGCTTGACCCCATCCGAGCCTCACCTCAACGGGTTAAGAGTCTAGAACAGGACTGCAACCACGGAATGTGTCTCTGGAGCCTCAAGGTAGAACCCAGTCGGTAAACCACCGCCGAATGCCCCGGGCCTGAAACAAAAATAGCATGTCAGTTTGCAGCATGGGGCATTGTGATGGGGTGGATTGGGCCTAGCGTCTGTACGTAGAGCTGAACGTGTGCGTTGCACGTGGTCCTATGTTGCGCATACAGCCGCCATTACGAAGATCAGCACCTCGTGGTCTGTTGTACGCGTGCCACATGCAGGGCTAGACTGCACGTTGACATGTAATACGCGGCACGGTTTGCTAGTCCAACATCAAAGTCGAACATCACAATTCGATAGGTGAATGAATCCCTCAGTCAGCAAGGATCAATGGACCAAGATTCGGTCATTGAAAACCTAATCTGAACTGCCGTGGCACGCTTCGACTTGAGCCTCCAAAATAATCATGTTTAAAATTGCGGGGCGCTGCGGTAGGACGGAAGATCGACTGAAAATCATGACCGGATGGCCAGCGCATCCTTCCCGTGAATCCCGACAAGGCAACCTTATTTTGAGTTGATGGATACGGGTGGGCGTCCACCTGCACTTGGCGGCTCAACCGGCCCTGTATAGATTTTTGACAGTGTGGGGGGACTACCTCCTTAACCCAGCCTTGTTTTCATAGCAGGACACCTGAATGCAGGCGTACATGTTGCATGCCGTTTAAGCCTTCATCTCTTCTCAACTGTTTCGAGCACCGGCCAATCCTGGGTAAAGCATTCGCCCAACCCCTGACAGCTTCATGCGCTCCCTGCCGCCCATGGATGCGCGCACTTAGAGTGGAAGGCATTGTGGCCATACCATCCTTAATCGATCCACAAAATCACATGGACATCTTTTTCGTGCAGCATAAACAACGAGGGCGAAAAGGGAATTGTCTTTCGAAAGTCGAGTTTCTCGATCACCGTTGATAGTTCAAACTTGGAACATTGGGGGCATGAGCATACTACACAATCCCGAGCGGCGGGAACCCGACACTAAGAACATTCGATCAAGGATTCACCATTGAGTGAGTAGTGCAATGGTGTTAGTTCCCCAAGGCTTGATTTCAACATTGCCATCGGGATGTGGCGGGGGTCCACTATGGTCCAGCCTAGAAAATCATGTGCACGGATCCTAAGCGAGAGACGCGGGAGCATGAGCCTCAAGTGCGAATAGCCATCCTGAATTTTAGTGTGGGTCACGCCATGGGTGTGTTGCGAGTAATTCCTCCGCCCACCCCCAATTCCCGGTGATGGTTCGGACGAGAATAGCAAAGCCAGAATCAGGAGTAAACATTCAGGCATCATTGTCGGCCGAGCACAGATGGAGCGCCGAGCAGAGGTGTATCTAGTGTCTAGGTAGGACATATATCTAGTGACTCGATTCCACCACAGCAAGTATGTGTTCATCATCATCGCCATCATCACCGCTCCTCAGCAACAACCCTCATTCTCTGTGGTTGATTGTTTTTTCCTTGTCTCCCTTCTGCTTCTCTCTATCCCTCACACACTCTTTTCCCTGTCTCTCATTTCCAACATGCTGTCCTCCCTGGCCGTTGCCACCTCTCTGGTTGGCTTGGCCGTCGCAAACCCTCTCGACTCTGCACTCTTGCCCCGAGCCGCATGTGACGGTAACACAGCTTCCACTCGCTCTACATGGTGTGACTACGATCTCAGCACCGACTGGTACAACATCGTTCCTGACACCGGTGTCACTCGAGAATACTGGGTACGATTTTCTTTCCCCCGAACCACCTTTTCTCCGAGGCCGTACTAATTAATTCATCATCACAGCTCGAGTTGTCAGACCCAACTGTCTCCCCCGATGGCGTTTCGCGCTATGCTATGGCCATCAACGGGTCAATTCCCGGACCAACCCTCTACGGAGACTGGGGTGACTACTTCAAGATCCATGTGACGAACTCGCTCACCCAAAGCACCAACGGGACGTCAATTCACTTCCACGGTATCCGACAAAACTACACGGTCCAGAATGACGGTGTCGTCTCCATCACCCAATGTCCCACACCACCCGGGTCTTCTATCACCTATGAGTGGAGGGCGACTCAGTACGGGTCGACATGGTACCACTCCCACTTCGCCCTGCAAGCTTGGGAGGGCGTCTTTGGTGGAATCCTCATCAACGGACCTGCCTCTGCCAACTACGACGAGGATCTCGGCCACATGTTCCTCAACGACTGGGACCACTCCACCGTTGACGAGCTCTACATCTCTACCGAGATACATGGCCCTATTACGCTCGACACTGGTCTGCTCAACGGCACCAACGTCTACGGTGACGATGGTGACGCCGACCAGACCGGTCACCGCTGGAGCACCACCCTCACTGAGGGAACCAGCTACCGCATGCGATTGGTGAACGCCGCTGTCGACACCCACTGGAAGTTCTCCATTGACAACCACACAATCGGTGTCATTGCCATGGACCTCGTTCCAATTGTGCCTTACAACACCACCACGCTCAGCATCGGCATTGGTCAGCGCTACGACATTATCATCTACACCGAGGGCATGACTGATATCGCTACCGACTTCTGGATGCGCGCCATCCCCCAGACAGCCTGTTCCGACAACGACAACGCCGACAACATCAAGGGGATAATCTCCTACGGCACCACCGTGTCCACCCCATCCACGACCGCCTACGACTACACTGACTCCTGCGACGACGAGCACGTCTCCACGCTCGTCCCCTGCCTCTCCAAGACCGTCTCGGGCTCCACCTGGGACATCGACGAGGCCGCCACGGTGTCCAAAAACGACGACGGCTACTTCCGCTGGTACCTGAACTCGACGACCATGGAGGTCAAGTGGGCCAACCCGACCCTGGCGCAGATCTACAACGGCACCACATCCTGGGACAACAGCTCCGCGGTGGTGACCCTCAACGGCAAGGACGAGTGGGCCTACGTCATCATCGAGACGACCCTCGCCGTCCCGCACCCCATCCACCTGCACGGCTTCGACTTCTTCGTGCTCGCCCAGGGCTCGGGGACCTACACCTCGGGCACCACCGCGCTGAACCTCGACAACCCTCCCCGCCGCGACACGGCCATGCTGCCCGCGAGCGGCTACCTCGTCCTCGCCTTCAAGACCGACAACCCGGGCGCCTGGCTCATGCACTGCCACATCGGCTGGCACACGTCCGAGGGCTTCGCCATGCAGTGGATCGTCCGCCAGGACGAGGTCACCGACCTGATCGACTACGACAGCCTCGAGGCCACGTGCGACGCCTGGGACGCGTACGCGGCTCAGTACTCCGTTACCGATGACGACTCTGGCGTGTAAATGGGACTGTGGTTTTGAGGGTCTACGGGGCGGAAAGGTTGATACCCTCCTGGGGCGGTAGTTTCTTTTGTAGCGGGTCCTCTTATGGATCGGAGGAATCATTCATTGAGGAGCTTGACACCTGCCTGGGCGAGCATTTGGGTGGTGCATATAGCATGATGGGGCTGGAGTTAAATTCGGAGTTTATAATCTTTTTCAAGGCAATATAACATGATGCCATCTCACATTTATCGCTTGCAACCTTGAATTCAAGTGCCTCTTGGGTTCCCCGATGAATGTCTCATACACATGAGCTGTGTGCTATTGACATTAGCTTTTCTCTCTTTCCATACGAGATGACTAGTTTCTAGTGTTGGCTTCCAAACTACGCCTGGGTCAATGCAGCACGGATGAATATTTCTGATGTACAAACAGGTTAGACCAGTATCGGCTGGAACTCCATATGTGGGATTGTCACATTTCATAGAGGGATCGCGTCGAGACTATTGTAGTCTTCTTCGTATGAGTGATTGCCCGACTATTAGTCTTGGGCCACTTGTGTCGACGGTCTATAGCGCCGCCAGAAGCGGTTCTTGCTAGCCTCGTCTGTGCGGCTGTCACAAGGCTGTCACTGTTTTCTGGGACACACGCCATAGATAATTGTGTTTAAAACCTACGGCTATCGGCATTGTATTTCTTGTTTTCTTTTTAAAAAAGAAAAATGCTGGGTTTTTAAGCGTTTACCACTGTATGAAGGGACTGGATGCATACTGCTTAAGAAGCATATGTGTACTTTTAAAAACGAGATCACTTAGATCAGTATTATGCGCAACAAGTTACTTTATCGCCATGTCGGTTAGCTCTGATTAACAAATACTCATCGAGAATCCCGAATTGGTGTTTTCTGAACGGCGTCTCAAAGACCACTTGTTCAAAATAGGAGAAGAGGCCTTCAAGCTATGGCAGAGAGTACTCAAATGGCCACATCTCGTAACGACTTGAATACGACAGTTCTCATGGCTCGTCGATAAAAACCGGTCATCCCAGATTTGGTCCTAAACAACGCTCCAGCCAACGGAAGCCGATGTACAAGGCAGCTATGTACAATGTACTAAGGACGGTGTCATACTAAATGCCACGGCCTTGAGAAACTTAGCGGCAAGAAGCTCTTGGCTCTTTAAGGAGTCTTAGTAGCCAGCCATGGTCGAGCAACAATAGTGTAGCCTAAACTGTACTTAGAAAGCAACAAAAGCTTTAGCAGTCGGACGGGGCATCTGCTGTGAGAACGCGGGCGTGACAAGGCCCTATTCTGGGGTGAATCCCAAGCTTTCAACTGATCTGTATCAGACTGCATGCGAAGCCAGTACGTACTGGCCATTACCGAACTTGCTATCATCTGAAGCTCAGACGTCGCCACGTAGGCTTTGGTTGTCCCCTGCAGCCATGCAGTGGAGCTAGGGATTGATTTATTCCTTTTCTGTGTTGAACGTGCAGCCACTGATTCTCTGGGTTTCCAATTCACCACATCTTCTCAATTCCTTTCTGGCCACTGCCTGCTCCACTTCCACTTTCACTACACCTCTCGCTCAGTCGTCGAGCACTGCAGCACGCAAACACGGACAAATCCACTGACATCACCTCGACTGTCACAAGATGCTTCCCAACGGCAACCCCTTCTCTTGGCCCTCCTAAAGGCCTACTGTGCCCTGGCCTCGCCTGTCAGCACCCAGCCCGACTAGGTGCAGGCACACCAGGTCCAGGCAGTCGTCGACGCCCTCAAGGCCCAGCTGGAGGCTGACAATGTAACCGACGCCTCCGCCGCGGTCGACGAGGCCGAGGCTTTCCTCCGGGCCAACGAGGTCCTCAACGACGAGATCATGGCCAAGCTCGGGCAAGAGATCGTGGAAGCAGACGCTCCCACTTCTTCGTGTCACCCCTTGAGCTGCTACTCGAAAGTCTGAACCTTTGGCGGTACTGTATTTGATTGGCTAACAAACGGTTCGTACAAGACCCTGACCGTCGAGCGCGGCCTCAGCGTCGACGACATCGCCCAGAACACCCTTGAGTACCTCAAGACCAAGGGCGCCGTCCAGAAGCGCGACCGGGAAGAGGCCGCGAACGACACCGCGGTCCCCGACACTGTGACGATCATGACTCTTACGCATCTGATGAATTACCTAGGAACCCGTCAAGCCCCATCCTCAGTCGTGGAAAATGCTGACCGCTCGCTGAAACATGCCGCATGGTTTTCTGTGCTCCGTCATAATGCTGAAAGTGCTTAGCACTTAACTCAGTCTCCAGCCTGGCCAGGAATGCATGTGCGCTCCCCTTCCCACCAAAGTGTGCGCCCCATCAACACTCCCAGCGCTGGAAGCAGAGCATGCGATGATGTGGGACCCGTCAGGTTTGACCTTATCTGGCTGGACTTGGCGTCCCTGCTGCCCGGCAATGCGAATTTTACCAGGGCTCACTGTCAGGGAGCTTTGACCAGGAAAGGCAGCGTCATCCTTCTCTTGATAATCGCCAACCGTGTCAGTCAGACTTTAGGTACACGTGATTTCGGCCGTCGACAAGCTTTCCAACCCAATCCTTCAAGCATCGAACGCAGCATAGCTTCCCAGAATCAGTCAAACGCGCCTACCGTTCCGCCAGCATCGTGGTAGTGTCCTGGCCATTGCAATAAGTTGACCAAACTCACGTACAAGCATCTGTACAAAGGAACAGAGTCGTGTTTCCAATGACACGAGCACACGTAAATTGCGTTAATGCTGCTGAGAAACCATCCCACCATCTCTTTCGACACGGCAGAGTATCTGCAGTTGGGGATCATGTAGGTACCCCATCACTGATAATCATGCCGGCTTCCTGTACTCAGCAGCCACTCTGCGAGAATCAGTCCATTCGAATGACATAGGCATCAAGATCTGTGCGATCAGGGGCATAATAAGGTCCGAGCGGTGGATGAGACGAGGCTACTGACTAGAGTAGCCTGAATTTTAGGGCGAACCCGACAAGCGAGGAGGGCGGGACCGGGACGGGATACTGTTGGTGATGTGCGTACTCGGAGAGGGCCCAACAAGGGAGTTGAGCAGGTGACGAGTCCTCACTGAATGCATGTGAGATCAGGAAGGCTTCTAATCAGTCACACTGCTAAATCCTACCCCGCTCCCCTCTGCTAAGCCCAGAGGCTATTCTACAGTCCTGCCGGGTATTAAGCTTACTCTATGGACTCAGTATTCTCATGATGCAATATTCGTGATACACGACTCCTCATGCCCGACAGATGTTGACTCATGCACTTGTATTCGATCATCCGAGTCTCATCTGACAAGGAAGACTTGAGCAGTGGTCTCCATCCACAAGCACATCGAAGCTGCAGCTGAAGATGCGTTGTTAGTAGTTAGGGCGTAAACGTGATATCGCGAACATGTGTTGACATTTGTGCGATACGATTTTCCAGCGTTGAGTCTAAGGTGAACTACAGATTTGACTTCGGCCGAGACAATCCAACGAAAGATGAAAAATGCCGCAGGCCGAAATACCACTTCGACAGGCGCAGTCGGGCCCAAAAGTCAAGACGGGAATGCTTTGGATGAAGTCTGATTCAAGTTGGCGCCCATTGAGGGCCGGCGCCTCAGCCTCTTTGACGTTGCCTTAAAGGCGTCTCAACGCTGTCAGTCAGGGGTTACAGCATTGCTTTCGGCACTCTTGACCTACAGCACAGTGGTCACTCAGGCTGGATTTGACTCAAGCTTTGATACACCAACAAGGATGGGCCGAAACCGTGCAGTTCATGATCGGGTGAAGACTTAAATAAGCTTTCTCGGCGTCCAGACGTAACCGAGAGCTTAAAGCTGCCCTCTGCAGACATCGCTTCTGGCACCCGCGCGCCTTGTAGGCAGACCCTCAGACCATTTCCGAAACGCTAGGAATTGCTGCCCCAAAAGTCGCAAGAAGGCAACGTTGGGACCTGCAGGGGGCACAGACCCTTGCTTTAAACTTCGAGTCCAGATGTCAGGCGGGTTTTATATACCAACGATATTTTCTAGTCAGTCCAGCAACATTGAAACGGTTCGCATCCACATCGGGTGTGAAACTCCTGAGGGCTAAGCACCACCCAAGGTATGATAGACCGGAGAGTTGTTCGTGACAATTTTATATATCCCCGGGGTTCTCCACGATGCTTGTCCTCGCTTGCTCAGGATCAGCACCACCCACCAGTTCTTTCTTTTCAATAGCCCCACAAATTAAAGACCGGCAGGGCCGATTTGTAGACATTCCGTAACATTCGTTTTGCGCATACACTGCTCCAGTTACGCAATTCTACAATACCCCCTATTTTAATTTCTATCCAATCCTTTCGTGCGCAAAAATGAGGACCACCCAAGCTTTCATCGCAGTCTTCGCAGCCATGGCCTACGGGCGCGTGGCCAGGCGGGCCAACTTCGCCGACGGCGACGGTTGCATCGCCGCACAGGCCCTGGCCGACGGCATCCAGAGCAACATCGACCTGCAGACGGGCGAGCAGGCCAGCGTCGAGAAGGTCAAGGCCGCCGTGAGCCAGAACCCGGTCGACACCGCCGCCTTCACCGCCGCCAAGTCGCAGCTGCTCGACTTTGTCAACGCCGGCATCTCGGCGCGCGAGAACAACCAGGCCATCGCGCCCCAGGGCAACGCTGCCATTAATGGACTCGGAGTTGTGAGTGTGATGACTCTGGTCGGGCGTATTTCCACGGCCATGCTTTAACCCGATGGACTCCTCGCTGACGTGCTCCACTTCTCCAGGTGCAAAACGCCCAGGCCGAGGAGCTCAACCTGGCACAGTCTCTCGTGGGAGCAGCTAGTGATCTTGATATCGTCTCGAAGCTTGAGACAGACTTTGCTGGTGGCATCAAGCAAAACCAGCAGAACGCCGCCGACGTGAGTGCCCCTCTTGCTTTCCTAACTAATCCAACCCCATCGTCTCATTAGCCTCGGAGTTCCGGCCTCTGAATATCCTCCCGCCTGGCGGCATCACACCACGGAAACATGGTGGCTCAAGCCTGTGTTCTTTGTGTGGTATTCCGTGTCTGCCTGTCTGTCTACTCGCGTGCGCCTTGCGTACAGAGCGTGGTGCCAACTGGCTCTGTCTCCCACAGAAAAGAAAACGACAGACGACCGAGGTCGTCACCCCGCAGACGGGCTGGATATTCGGGGCCGTCATGATCTCCCAGGCGCTGGTGGTCGTGGCCACCCTCCCTCCGGAAGAGACGGCATGCGAACCTGGCCAGGGCCAATGAGGGTTACGAGATGAAGTCTCACGAGGACGCGCTGACGTGATTCGACTGTAGGCGTTGAAGGGCTGCGCAAACGCGAATGCCAATGCCGGCGCTGCTGCTGCCAACGGTACCGCCAACGCCGGAGGTGGCAAGGCTAATGGTGGCAAGGCCGGTGGAAAGGGCGGAAAGAATGGTGGTGCTAACGCTGGAGCCGCCCAGAAGGGAGGAGCCCAGCAGAACGGCGCGGGTGCGGGTGCCGCGAAGGCCGGACAGGACCAAGCCGCACAGGACCAAGCCGCACAGGACCAAGCCGCACAGCAGGAACAAGATGGTCAAAAGGCGCAGGATGATCAGAAGGCACAGGACGGGCAGCAGGCACAGGACGGGCAGCAGGCACAGGACGGGCAGCAGGCACAAGACGAACAGCAGGCATAGCAGGCACAGCAAGCACAAGCTGGACAGGCTCAGGACAGCAGCGCACTTGCCGCAGCGCTTGCCGGAGCACAGAACACGGTTCAGACCCTGAAGTTGATCAACGTCGTCTGATAGTCGTGCAAGCTGGGCGGGCGTCAGGGTGTCACTGGAGGAGATTCCGGGAGAAGATGGGCCCAAGGCAGTGACAGGTTTGATCTGGCATCGATGGTCGTTACGGATCCTTGAGTTTTTGGAGTCCAAGGCGTGGATAAATGTTTTCCTGTCACGAGGTCAATGATACCTACTTCTGTACCACCGAAAATGATAGCAAAGTTTTACGATGAGAGTCAGCCGCGATGGATGCGAGGTGATGAATGGTGGATACTAGACTTCGCCCACAGCACACATTCATGAGGTCTCCTTTGTGTTGAACAAGTTCAGACTACTAAGTTTTGCTACGTCTCTGGCTGTTGACCTTTCGGTTGTGGCTGCGTCATGCAACCCGCAACCGTGATTTGCTCGCTGGCATTTACAATGGTTTCGTTTACGTGTATCAATTAATCACCGTTGCCCATGGGAGATCGCTGCTGCTGAAAAGGCCGACTTCCGTTTGCTGGCGGGTGAAGATCGACCACAGGACCATTCTCGTAAACGATGCCCACCTGCACGACGGACAAGACTTCCATTTCCATCAAAGTCCAACAATAATAATGTCCGCGGAAGTACAATTCGCCAGCATCCGGGCAGGTAAGGTCCGTCCTGAGCGCGAATCTTGACCAAGTAAAGTATGATAGAGCTCCTTCATGATTCCCGCTGGAGTTTTATCAGGGGGAATCAAGTCAGTTTTCAAACAGGCTCCTCCCTTGGCGAGGACAACCAGCCATGGAGAAACTTGAGCGAGGTTCCCAAGAGGCTGGGCGCCAAAGGCTCGGCACTTTATCCGAGTGGAGCTGCCGAACCGTCAGTTTGTTTCACGTCTCTGAATCGCCAATGAGCTTCGAGCCCGACTGCATCCCCCTTTTTTTGTTTGGAGACCTGGGGGGGCAGGATGCTTAAGCTTGCAGGTCGTTACATCATGGGGCATCCACATTTTTACTTACTGAATCACGCATACATCTACGAAGCATAGAAGATTTCGCACGCAGGACTTGTCGCGTTCTCATTCAAGACACCCTGTGTTGCTTGTCATACAATACCATTGATTGAACATGGTACACTGGCAGGGCTCCGATTAATTGGATGTTCTTCCGGTGCCAGTGGCAAATGTGTTCATAACAACAACTTCAAGACTACTCGTGCGCTGGAAATGTGTTGTTCCAAGCCAAGCTCGGCTAGCCTTTGAATTAGCACAAGACCTGTAAGGACCACATGCAGGTCATCGTATGCGGTCTCTAGGTGGGGGCGTATCGTTTCGCCGAGGAGTATGCCCAGCCGCGCTTCGCAAACCAAGCTTTTGCTCTCATGTGTTTCCTCCTATCATGCGCCGTCCACGGAAGGAGAGCGGTTATTCGGTGTGAGCATTGATTCGGAACTGGATGAACGGATTGTAGATCTGGACGGAACGAGAGCCACACTCAATCTATCTGAGATTACCAACGGAGGCTCCAAGACTTCGGAGTTTTCGTTCAGTAGGCCACGATGTTGAGCTTCACGGCCGATATAATGCAGCTCTCCTCGCCGTGAAGAAAAGCGAAAGAGGTCAAAGGCGTTACCTCACATTTCATTCTCTATCCACCCCATTAAACACATTCATTTCACAACATCGCACTTACCGTCACTATGAAGTCCACCACATCAGTAGCAGCCCTCCTGACAGCGTTCTTCGCTTCAGCAGCGGCCTTCCCTACCTACACCATCAAGAGGCAGTCCAACGGCACCGCGGTCGGCCCAATCGGCTTCGGCGCCGGAACGACGGGCGGCGGCTCAGCAGCGGCTGTCACGGTCTCATCCTGCGCTGACCTCGAGGCCGCCATCGCCGGCGAAGAGGCAAAGGTCGTGCAGATCGACGGTGTGGTCGCGGACTGCGGTACCCTGGAGGTCGGCAGCAACACCTCGCTGCTTGGTGTCGGGGCCGAGTCCGGAGCCAGCGGCACAGGCTTCCGGATCAAGGACAGCACCAACATCATCATCCAGAACCTGAAGATCGGGCCACCTCCTGCTAAGGCTGATGCCATCGACGTTGAGTCGAGCACCCAGATCTGGGTTGACCACTGCGAGCTTTTCTCCGTCGGCCTGACTGGCGGCAAGGACGACTTCGATGGTGAGTACCGGCACATGCGGGACTTCCGTCCAGGAGCATGGAATATTCGAAGTCAAAAATGCTGACATTATGCACAGGACTTTTCGACGCGAAGCGCGGATCCGACAACTTGGAGGTGTCGTACACCAAGTTCTACGATCATTTCAAGGTAAGCCCAAGGAATGGTCCTTACCATTACAAAAGCGAATAGACCATCGGCTGACACTGCAAAAGGGGAGCTTGATCGGACACTCCGACAGCAACGCAGACCAGGACACCGGCAAGCTGCGCATCACCTACCACCACAACAGCTTCGTCAACGTCGGCTCCCGCCTGCCCTCCCTGCGCTTCGGCACCGGCCACATCTTCAACTCGGTCTTCCAGGACTGCCCCACCTCGGGCATCAACAGCCGCATGGGCGCGCAGGTGCTCGCGGAGAACAACGTCTTCGACAACGTCGACCGCGCCATCGTCACCAACCTCGACAGCGACGAGCCGGGCTTCGCCTGTGACAAGGGCAACGTCCTGAGCGGGACCAGCACCGTTGAGATCACGCAGGAGTGCAGCTTCGCGCCTGAGTACGACTACACCCTTGATGGGACTGATGGGCTGATTGCTGCTATTGAGGCTAGCGCTGGTACCGGCAAGATTTGAGGGATTGAGGGGTATCAAGTAATATCGCTTTCGATATGAACTTGGCTGCTTCTTCTTCTACGTGCACATAACTTTAGTTCGAGATTGGGCAGGCCCTGCCCTTGAATATACATACGGCCATTCTATGGCAATTCAGCTTCTCGTGCTGTTTCTCTAGAGATTGGTCTAATGCTGAGGTAGCCAGAGTAGTCGTATCCTTCTGTGGATGTGTTCGTATTCATCAAACCTGTATCAGGCTAGTTGCGAACACCATGTGTCCATCCACTGACTGCTGGTGATCAGCCGGTGTTGGTCCAGGCTCACTGTATAAACAGTCAATAACTGCAGTCCCGCCATTGCCATGTCATGTCGTTTGGAGGACAAGAGAAGACATGAGCAGAAGTAGGGCGGCAAGGATAAACTCCGCATGCGATTCAAAAGAGTTGGCGCTACCAAGCTGCGGCTTGCGATGCAATTTCAATCGGAGCAAGTCGCCGACCAGATGTACTCATTTCGCTCAAAAGAGAAGACGGGCTAGCCGAACCTTGATGAGTGTTTATGATCAGTGACCAGATGACCCGGGTTGATGTCCAGCATGATCTCTTGTCTACTGTGTGCCGACGAACGCGTCAAGCTTCTTTTGGTCGTAGACTTCTCCCTCGACCAGCTGAGACCATGTCTACACGATGGTTAGTAAAGCCGACAGACTGACTCAAGAACAAGCAAGTGAGGACAATGGCAACGTACTCCATCGGGCGTGACCTTGTAGAGCGTAGGCAGAGCCGGAACGCCAAACTTGCGCCACTCGTTCTCAGGCGATCTCCATCTACTCGTTAACACTGGTCAGCCACACAGGAGTAGAGAAATAAATGCAGAGCAAATGCTAGCTCGACTCGGGGATCGGAGGGAATCCACATCTGTGCCCAGCCCGGGGGGGGGGAGCGCATATCAACTCCCGAGGCCGAAAACCTACGTTTCCCGGTCGCCCGCGTACTGGACCGTCAGGCGCGTCTGCTCGCCGGCGGGGAACTTCTCCTGGATCAGCGGCTCCGCCCGGACGCAGTCGCCGCACCAGCTGCGGCCGTTGACGATGCTGGCGTAGACCACCAGGAAGTGGGGGGCCTGGTTCTTGGCTGCCAGGGCGGCAACGGCGTCGGCGACCGCCCTGGGCGCGTTTGAGGCCATGCCGGAAGAAGAACGGTAATCGCGGCGGGGAGGAGAGGACGGGGGCTGCTTGCTAGGCCTCGTATGAGCCACAACTGGGATAGATGGTGGAGAGGATAATTGAGATTGCTGGTGCTGGATGATGTGGTCTGGCTTTGTTCCCTGTCGGTTTGAAATCAATCTGCGAGCTGTCAACATACCAGGTGGCTTGGTGGGCTTGATTGGATAATCAACTGATTACCGAAGGGTTCGGGTTCTGCATGAAGAATCGACCGCAGTTTTAATGGTCAAAACAAAAATGCAGCCTGGCCAAGTTGATACACCACATAATCTAGCAGTGAAATGGAACAGAGAAAACATTTTTTTTTTTTTGGCTGCTGACGTCACACAGGCGCAAAGGGCCCTAAGAGCTTGTGTTGAAGCCTTGGCAGGGGCAGTTTCGAGCCTCATCTTGAGAGAAAGGAGAAGCTGAAGTCGGATCTGACCGGGGGACGGTGAATGACTTTTCAGGAAATCGATGCATGGATAGTTGGCTTATCAGGTACAGAGTCACTTCAATTAAATTGATACATTCGTACAGCAAGTCGAGCTCTCTCCGAGACGGTCTTGACCGGGTTGTTAAGATTGCTGTAACGCCTGGGAACGAAAGGAAGGGCTCTGTCTGAGAAACATGGTAAATGTTTCATCTCCTCTCACCCAGTGGTCAATGAGAATGGCCGCATTTGTAGCTTTTATAAGCCCCATACTCCAAACCATTTCCGCTTGAGCTGGCTGCCGGATATCATCGATGAGGACTGTGTCCTGGTCCAGGCAGGCACTTGTATACATGTTGCCACTGACTGCCCTTTTTGACCCGATATATCTTGTCAGGTCTTACTGAATTGCGAACAAATGACCTTTCAAACCGTCACCTCTACTTTGCTCTCACAAAAAAAATCATACAAACAAAGCGGCAGTAATCGGGACCATGCTCATGTTATGTCAACCTCCTGATGCCCCCGGCCGAAACTTTTGTAGAATGTCACAAAAACTTCAAAACCATCCCACAGTTTGCCACTCTCAAATGGTGGATGCTCCAAGTTTTGTCTTGATTTTTGCCAGAATAGAGATCTGCTGACGGAGTGTGCTGAAAGTAGACTGCACTTTTGGTTCTCTTCCAAACAGCCCATTGTGTGGGATTACAGGGCGAGCCTGCCGGAAACCTGAGCCACGGTAGTCCCGTGCAGAGGACTTGCATCGGACCGAATTTCATTGCTTATCTTGTTCTCTGCTTTCCTTACCGAGAACCCTTACCCATGACAGTATGTAGACGCGACGACGTGTTGCCACAGACCGAGCCATGCATCGGGACGGATATTCGGCCTTCCCGGCATCAAGGCTGACGAATTTCAATGATGACCACGGACACGACAGCGAAAGGGAAATGCGTGCGAATGACGTACCATGCTGCAGCATGTAGCGTCTCATCTCACATGCAACATCGCACGGAGGCTGACGACCGCGGGCCAGCAAAATGAGAGCCTGTTGATCAACTTTCTCAAGCGGAACTCACTCCATGGCAAACAAGAAGGTCAGGCTGAGTGAAATAGGCGGCGAGCAAGAAGTGAATCAAGAGGCTGCTAGGTGCTAGGGTCCAAGGATCACATTTCACCACGTCCAGAACATGAGAGGATTGGGGCTGGAGGACATTTGATTGTTCAGCGTTGGTCCTTCAGAAGGACCTTGCTGCTTGCCAATCAACATAGTAGACCGGGGTAGAATACGCATTAAAACCGGTGAAGATTATACGGCGACGCACGGGTGTGCAGTACTCATGAGTTCTCAAACCAGGCGAGAAGATCCGAGCGAGGAAACATCCGAAGAGAGAGAGTTATGTTCCGAAACAGCAACCAAACTCTTCTCCACTGCACAAGCTCATGTGAAATCATCCACCGTACACGACACAGGAAATGAAGTAGTAAGAGGTAACTTAAATAACTGGCATTTCCATGTTTAGGGACTATCTTCTATAGTCGACAGTTGCTGAATGGGCCAAGAAGGACCTTGCATTGCGTGATGTGCTACAAATCGATAAGTCATACCACCTCGGGAAGGCACACTCAAACGGTGAGGATGGTCTGCGGCTTCTTATGAAGATGAAGATGACCAGTCCGACATCGCCAATAGGTCATACGGATCTTGTATTCTCGGCCTCATGTGTCCTGCTAGCCATTCTCACTCGCTTTGAGCGAATCGTTGAGCTACAAGCGGGAGACTAATTTGGCGTGCAAGGCGGTGAGCTCATGACCTTCGACCATGAGGTCTCTAAGGATCTCTAATGATTGGAAAATATCGTCGATCTTTCACAGTCGTCGGTGAGCAAGTAGGTCATCAACTTGGACCAACTCATGTGATCATCGAGTGTTCAGGTATCCACTTGATCTGACTATAAACGGATGCATATTGGTCACTGCCGGTCACAACGCATATCCCGGCACCAGGAACACTGTTGGCAGAGCCTGCTCACCGCTCTAAGCAGCTTCAAGGAATTACTTACCTGTGCATACATGTGAAACTGGTACCCAGAAGACTGAATCTCTCTATCACAATCATAGAATGCTGCTCGGCTTTTGGTCAGCTTCAGGCATCATCACATTAGGGGACGGCACGGCTGCACAGCGTGAAGGAAGACGGAACTGACGGGCGGACTCACTCTCCCGACGACTCAAGAGCCAGGAAATTGTTCGGTATTCAGTGCATTGCCATATTTACAAGCCAAGCCCGTTGACGCCATATGACTAGCGCCAGGGCGACACTTGCCACCCGAAACGGACCTCTCGTGTGATCTTGTCACCAACGGCGTCAACCAGAAAACGGCCTCTCGTTGCTCCTCGACGATTAAAATTTCCAATCGAACCGGTGAGGAGGCCGCCAAACCCCTCATCGGCGCGGCCGCGTTGCTTGTGGGACTCAATTCCAGAACCGCTCCAAATCCTACGCAAGAGTGCAGGTAGCGAGCGGCATGGGTTGACTCCGTGGGCGGCGACAACAGTCACGAGGATGGCCAAAGAGGGGCGGCAGCAGCAATTTCTGCGCGTTCTGGCTGCTCGGCTGTGGCTAGCGCCCAGGTGAGGAGTGAGGCCGTCGTGATCTAGGCAGGCCGTCGAGGTGGGCTCGAATCCATTCCTCGTGGCCATCGTGACTGCAGCAGCAGCAGTAGTGGGAACGCAATCGGATTGCGGGCTGCACGGCGGGCTCTAGCCTGCCATGTGTCTTGGGCGGTCCAGACCTTTCCTCTGGGTGGATCTGCGGCCAGGTTCGCCCCAACCTTATTACCAACCAAAGCTTGGGCGGGGACCAAGAAACCCCCCTGCCTTCCCTGATCACAGGATTTCGCAAGCAGGCGAATGTCCGTTAACGGTCCTCCTGACGTTTGGCCAAGGCCGAGCTAGAATGACGGGCATTAATGCGCCGACCTTTGGGTTCGTGGGCGACTGACACTACACTACCGGTACTGTACACTCGGTAGGACGTGCTCGCTTGCCCCCTTTGACAATGGCGATCCGAGTGGAACCGCCCGTTTGCTACGTGTTTCGTTGGGAGATGGCAAATCAAGGCGCCGTTCTCCGCCTCCCGGGAGACCCGCGCTGCAATCGCTTGGCATGTCAGTATGGGATGCTGCGGGACGAGTCACGTCTCCTTGGGGACAAAGGGGATAATCAGGACCCGGGCGTGCTGTGACGCCGAGGGGAGACACGTGCGTGCGTGTGTGCGGTAGTCCAAGGGATGCATTTCATTTTGGCCGTTCGGTCGGGGTTGACTGTGACCCGTTATCGGCGCGCCTCCCCTTCTCCTTTTCCTCGGCTTCGTCATGGGCATATACTGGTGCAGTACGGGAGTGACGGACGGCTTTTTCGTGTTTGTGATGGGGTCTAAAAATAGTGACGATCTCATAATTTTTCTCTTGCCCTAACTTGATAGACGCCGCCAGCACACCGGGACGACGTGATATTGACAGCTACCCTACCACCCCACTCGGGTAGTTGCAGCCGACGGGTTTTCGTATGGGGAGACCCCATAATCTTGGCAGCTCCGAGTTGGGACAGGCAGGCTGGAAGGGTGCAGGCGGCAGCTGCATAAGGAGGTGCGGGAGTCCCCGCATGGACGGGTGCTATGCAAGGAGGGACTCTGCTGGGAGAGTGCACGAATGTGGCTGACAGGACGATCTGGGTGATCTGGATCTGGGCCGAGATTTGGATGCTCTTGTGTGATATGACCCTCTGTATGCCTTTCTATTTACAGTGTTTGTTCTGTGATATATCACATGTTTCCGTCTCCTTTTTTCTGAGCAAATGGCCAATGCCTCTAAGCTAGAATATTCCATTGTTCTTCGCATCTCCGTCTTCCACACCCGAGACATGACACACAAGCAGCGGGTGGTTGTCGTGATGATCACTGACCCGGTCGTGGTGAATACATCGTCAACCAGCCAACCAACCAAATTTTTTTTTTCCCGCACCAGCACCAAGTTCTATGCGTCAGGCTCTGACCGGGCCGGGCGGCCACAGCTCCAAACAGCCCCAAAAAGTTCCATGGCCCATCCAACCAGCACAGATCGACGGGCTGGGCCTGCCGTCGACAAGCTGCTCGGGCCAACTTCGTCGTTGCTGTTACCTAACAAAATCCTCACCTTGGCCCCACAATGATGAATGTCGCCCCGGGGATCACGATTTCACGGCCCAATACTGACATCGACGAGAGACACGCGTGTCTGGTACTTCCGTCGATACCTATGCAACCGCATGTCAGTCTCGCAGCGATCGCGGAGCCCCAGCCCTTCTCCCCAGACATCTCTCGGTCTAGCGCATACGGACAAACGGACAGGCGGAGAAGATGCCCGGAGGGACTGAAAGTGACACAATGCAGATGGGATCTCACCGTAAAAACGTCAGAGGCTGGGGAGATATCCAACTCTCCGCCAGTTGGAGCAGCATCAAAAGTGAAGGCTATGCATAGTAGATAGATAGAGTGTTCTCCTGAGGAAGGCTATGCTCTCCTGCACGGCCCATTCACATTCGAGCAGGTTCCACAGAAGCTTCATCAGCCTGGACATATAATCGTGAGCCCAGGCATTAACACGGAAGGCGCCCTGTAAAAACGGTCCGACGTCAAAATCAGAGGGGTACGAAGGTACTTGGGTACATATTTACGCGGGTACCTGGTCAGGTCCCGCGCCAACGTCCGCCAAACGGAACGGAGCCATGGCCCCTGCCACTGCCCAAAGTTGACTGACCGAATCCAGGGCATCTGATCCCGTCCCACACATCCACCCACCCACTCTTATAACCCGACCTGATATGCCCCTCCTGCGCCCTGTCCTACACGTTCATTACCTTTATCTCACATAAGAATACCCATCCCTCCCTTCCAGAACAATCAGTGTCGGTTGTGGGCACCTTCCCAGTCACGACACTCGGAGAGATGGAGCAAAGCCCAACTGATGCTGACCACGATCCTGGCCCTGTTCCTGGGCCTCGCCATGGGCATGGGAATGAGCTCGACCTCGAGCTCGAGCAGCTGGAGCTACAGGACGTATCATCTGGAACACAGTCGCCCGAAGGCGAGGCGGCCGTCGCGAGGAATGACGAACAGCCGCCCGCGGCGTCGCACTCAGGCTTTGCCTTCCAGCAGAGGAAGGAGAAGGGACGCGTACGGTTCAACAGCAAGTCTCACATGACATCAGAGCCCAGCACAGCGGCATCGGGATCCGAAAACAGGCGGCCTTCCGAGGGCGCCCGACCCCGACCGTCCCTTGTGCGGAACCCGAACTCATCGAACTCGGTCGTCTCCTCCGAGCCCGACCCGGATGTTTCCGATCCAAAGAAGTACAGGTCCGCCGTCGAGGCCCAACAACGGGCCAAAGCCCTCGCCGAGGATGCCCAGCGAAACCCGCTCAGCCCGGGGAAACCTTGAAGATGAAGACGACAGGCTGTTCAACTGGGTGCGAGGCAGCCGCAGCCCGCCGAGTACCGCATGGTCGGAGGACCTGGAGGATGACAACAGAAACGATCTGGTCCCTCTGACGACACTGGAAAGTAACCCGCAAACGGGGGAGCCGTCCGGGACCAAGCCTGATGAGCCAACTGCCGAGGAGCAGACTGAACGGCGCAACTTGGAGGCCCAGGAACTTCTCATGGCACATGGTTTTGGAGCACAGGCTCAGGGCCTGCAGCAAGCGACCGCAGCCCAGGCAGACGGCGTGGTCTCCCCGAGGGACTCCGTCATGAGCACTCGAGGGAGTAACGTTCCTCGAGGTGGTGTTTTCTACCAGATCTTGCAGGCATACCGCAACCCCGACCTCACATTCCATCCGATGCAAAGCATCGAGTCTGGCCTGACTGCCTACGACTCACCAGCGGGTGCCCAGGCGACCGTCCGGACACCAAGCTCATCTGGCAGACAGACACCCAGGAGGAAATGGCACGAGAAGCCCGAGGCACGATCGACCGAGACTCTCGCCACGCTGGTCGGCGCGTCGACCAAGCTGGCAAACCCGAACGCCAAGGAGAAGACGCGGCGCCCCGAGACGTCTGCGAGCAGCACGAGACCCAATCACCGACGGAAGACTAGTGGCTCGCGCATCCTGTCTATGATTGGGGCCAGGGCGCCTGAAGATGAGGCCCGAATCACCATCCACGTCGCCGACATCCTCCAGAGGCAGAAGTATCTGATCAAGATGTGCCGGGCTCTGATGCTGTTCGGCGCGCCGACGCACAGGCTGGAGGAGTACCTGTCCATGGCTGCCAACGTCCTCGAGATCACCTGCCAGTTCCTGTATATACCTGGCTGCATGATCATCTCGTTCGATGACGTGCTCACCCACACGGCCGAGGTCAAGATCGTTCGCACGCAGCAGGGCGTGAACCTGGGAAAGCTCAAGGACATCCACGACATCTACAAGGAGGTCCTTCACGATTGCATCGGCCTGGACGACGCCGTGGCCCACCTCGACGAGATCATCTCGGCCAAGGACCGCTTCCCGCTGTGGGTGGTGATCCTGACGTACGGCTTCGCCAGCGCCGTGGTGGCCTGCTTCTTCAGCGCGCGGCTCATCGACCTGCCGCCCATTTTCGTGATGGGCACGGCGCTGGGATTCATGCAGCTGTACATGGCGCCCATGTCCCGCACCTACAGCAACGTGTTCGAGATCGTAGCCGCGGTGCTGCTATCCTTCATCGCGCGCGGGCTGGGCAGTATCCAGGGCGGCGGCCTGTTCTGCTTCTCGGCGCTGGCGCAGAGCTCCATCGCGCTGATCCTGCCGGGCTGGATGGTGTTGTGCTCGGCGCTCGAGCTTCAGTCCAAGTCGATGGTTGCCGGTTCGGTCCGCATGGTCTACGCCGTCATCTACTCGCTCTTCCTCGGCTACGGCATCACCGTCGGCACCGCGCTCTACGGCGCCATCGACCCCAACGCCGCCAACGAGTCCACCTGCCGCGAGCCCCTGGCCTCCCACTGGAACTTCCTCTTCATCCCGCTGTACGCCTTCTTCAGCACCATCATGGTCCAGGCCAAGTGGAAGCAGATGCCCGTCATGATCCTCATCGCCACGGCGGGCTACGCGGTCAACTTCTGGAGCAGCCAGAAGTTCAGCGCCAGCGCCCCCATCGCGTATACATTTGGCGCCTTCACCATCGGCGTCCTGGCCAACCTTTACAGCCGTCTCAGGCACGGCGTTGCTGCTGCCGCGCTGCTCCCTGCCGTGTACTGTCAGGTCCCAGGGAGTCTGGCGTCCTCGGGCGCGGTCACGAGCGCGATTTGCATATCCCAGTCCCTTGCTAACGACATCGGGTCTGAGGCGTGCGACACCTCTAATAACCTTGTGAGTCTAAACCTTCCCGTCCGCCGTCAGTACCAATAACTAACCATCCTTTTCCCAACTCCAGGTTTTCAGCGTTGCGGCGAGCATGATTCAGATAGCGATTGGCATCACCGTTGGTTTGTTTCTCAGCGCACTTATCATATACCCCCTGGGGAAGCGACGGAGTGGTCTGTGGACTTTGTAGGGGTCCCGGGAGGGATTTTGACCCGGGACGGGGGACTGCGATGGATTGATTGATTGCATTAGATTTGGAGTTGTGGAGTTAGTTGCATGGTAGAGAGAGAGAGAGAGCGATGTCTTGGTAGAGGCGGTCATCTTGTCCGCTTGACTTTCGTTTGGTAGTGGCTAGCATGTTGATGAATGCCACCATATCGGTCCCAGTTGGGGCTTGAGTACTGCCAACTTGATTCCCATGAGATGTGACTGCAATCTTTTAAATTGATCGACATGTCATATTTCGGACTTCCCTTCAAGCCGTTTTCCGCATTGACATGGCGAGCTCTTGGCCCGTCCTAAGCTTTGCACAAGCAATTACGAGCTATACGAAACCCCCATCGCTAATCTTGTCCAACCCTACAAATCCACCACCGCGATGATCGATTGTGGCGCTTGGCTAAATCCTTCCACACGTGTAAGCACCAATGACAACGGGCTGGGGCGGATCTGCACCTTTTGCGATCCTTCCCTCAAACAAGCCGAAGCTGCGCCACGCGGCTCACGCCAAGCCCTGCCCATTTCGACAAAGAAGCTTAGAAGGACTGGGGCCTGCTGACGGGCTATGCTGCTCCACACTGCCACACGCGACTGCCTCTTGAGGCGCTCACATATGAAGGCTTACCCGCCTCGTTAGTGTTCCTCCCTTTGATGACGTCCAAACTTCATCTTGCACCTACTTATTCATTCATATACAACCTAAGTCACCAGTCGCATGCAACCGACCTCTGCCGTTTTTTTCAACTCACCTACAGCGGCGACTAGACTCTTGATACACGTGATTCAATTCAGGCCACCATGCCACAGGCAGGACGAACGACAGGTCCACATCTGGACATCCACCTCGACAGCACCGGCCGTCCATATCAGCCTGGAGATGTCATAACGGGACGGGTTGTGCGACGGGCGCACGCGGTCAGCCCGCAGGCTTCGGTGACGATCCAGTTGTTGGGCCGAGCAAAGTCCAAGATTGTGGTCACGAGACACAATGGCAACAATACTACCCACAGCTACTATCGGAGCCGCTACAATTTCGTAGGAATTCACTGCACCACTCCCTTTCTCTCATCACAAGATGCTGACACGATAGACCGGCAGTTCGATGCAGGATACATGCAAACACGCCAGTACCTGCACCAAGGGCCAATACACGTCCCCTCCTCCGCCGAACCGGTCTCGTGGGAGTTCGCGATAGAGATCCCCACGCGGCCGTCCCCTCGCGCAGTAGTGAGCGAGATGAAGGACCCAGAAGCCTGCTACCTGCCTCTTAACGCGGGCAATGTGGCCGACTACCCACTGCCCGCTTCCTTCGCCAACAGCGGCCGCAGGGGCAGCACGCGCTTCGACGCCTACGTCGAGTACCACCTCGAGGCCACCCTCGTGCAGCAGGGCGGGAGCAGCCGCCACGGCGACACCATCACGGCGACCCTCCCCATCCGCATCCGCGCCCCGCCAATGCCCTACCCGCTGACGGACTTCGACCTGCGCCGGCGCTCCGCCCAGTTCGCCGCGAGCTCGTACCGCCTCGTGCCCGGCATGGAGACGGTCGAACTGTCGTTCAAGCAGAAGTCGAAAAAGTTCTTCGGCTCGTCCAAGGTCCCCATGTTCGGCTTCACGCTGCAGTACGACGCCCCCGCCGTCATCCAGCTGGACAACCCGGCCCCCGTCCCGTTCCGCGTGCGCGTCGTCCCCGACGGCAGGAGGACCAGCGAGGTGCTCCAGGGGGTGCCGCAGGTCGTGACGCTGGGCTCGCTGGAGCTCGTGCTCAAGGCTGACACGTGTGTGATCGCCCCCGGGACTTTTTCGAAGCATACTGGGGACGACACCGTCAAGCACAATATCCACTTACCTGTGGCGTTTGCGGGGGATGTGCCGGCTGCTGTGCTGAGGACCGCGGACCGCGGGGTGAAGGGGGAGGAGCCCGCTGGTGGGAAGGAGGCGGCGAATGCAGGCGCGGTACACAGGCCGGGTACCACAGATGGAAAGCAGAGGATAGAGTCTCCAGGGGAAGAGCAAGGCGAGTCGTCAGCGTCACGAAGTACTCAGCCGCCAGCACCAGCCTCCAAAGAAGAGCGTGTTGTTGAGCAGGTCCCAACACCAACCCCGGAGATGGGATACCAGCCGGCAGCCGAGTGGTCCTCCCCACCGACATACCAACCAAACACCAGCAACGAGTCCCCACCACCCGCACCACCAGCCTCCGAGCAGCCGCCCGCGTACCAGCTGCCCAAGGACCTCAGCCGCCGCGGCCCGCTCGTCATCCCCAGCGCGTGGGGCGCCGACGGCCCCTGGCTCGACGTCGGTGAGGCAATCGGGCTGCGGCTGCACGAGACGCACGCTACGGCGCTGGCCCGCTCCGTCGCGGGGACCGTGGCGGACCCCATATGCCCTGGCTTCACGACGTACTGCATAATGCACTCGCACCGCCTGAAGTGGAAGATGGCTGTTGCGGTTGGGGGCGAGACGGTCAGTCTTGAGGGGGGGGGGCCTGTTTCTGTTTTTGGGCCGGCTGAGTCTGGGTAGGCGGGAGGACGCGCCGGTGGGGATTTCTTTGTGGGAGGGGGATGGATAGTATGTGGTGCTTTTGTGAGCGGTGGTTGGACTATACCCTGAAGATACCCATTTATACAGAGTAGCGTTGCACAGATTGGTCTTCGCAATTGGTAAGAGCGTCTTGCTCATGAGGTTGATTGCCTCGCACTCTTTGTCTCACTTGCAAGAGTTGACCGAGGAGGGTTCATCGATGGCGTTCTGTGTTCGTTCGACGTTGGCATCAACCACTTCCCAAGCTTCACGTAATTCTAACTCAATCTCAGCGCAGCGTCGAAGCTGTATAATAAGGGAAAACATCGGTACAGCAATAGAAGGGCTCCAAGCACCGGAATGCTAGTTCTGGCTTGCCGAATTTTGGTGGCGCGTTTGATCGTGTTTTGCGGCCACGTCTATGATTCGTGTAAGGCTTCCCAAAGTTTGCAACGCAACCAAGATCTGATAACCAAATCGGAATTAATCGTATCTGCCTCGAGAAATCCTTACGGAAAGCTCTCGACGAGACGACTCTCTGATACCCGACAATCTGTGATCAGCCAAATATCTCCGTCCCAGGAGCCATCCATGGATTTAGTAGGCTGATGCGCATTAAGTGATAATAATCGAGGGTGTTTTGTGGGTGTGGTGCACTTGGTTTTCAGGAATCAGAACAAACTCATCGGCGGCGTCATGTCACAGCACCACGCTGGATGCTTATGGCTGTGACTCTCCTTCCAGTCCTGTTATATCACCCAGATATGGGTTTCACATCGGTTGTCGTTTGTTCTGAGTCACGGTCCTTTGCTATAGCTATAAAAGACGTCTCCATCTCGAAAGGCAAAGGCCAACAGACTCTGTTCCATAACATCAACTGTCGGTGAAATTGCAACAGCAGCAGATCCCACAAGAGAACACAGAACTCCCACAGCTATGGACATAGCACTGTTTGCTCTTCAATCAGACATCAGTAGCCCAGGAGGACGCATTCCGAAGAAACTTCCCCATTCATAGCAGCAGTTTCCCGGTGATATACGAGGTATACAAGCATTACACGACACATCGACACAATGCTTGGGCGGGGGCAACGACAGAGGCCAATCAATACAACGCCTGAGTTCAGCGAGGGTCAACGGGTAGTGACATGGTCCAAGGAGAAACAGGCATGGATGCGAGGTGAAATCGAGGAGATCTGGGAAATGTTCCGGCCCATCAACTATGTCCTCACATTTACCGAGATATTCGTGCCGCTGGTCATGTAAGCTTTTCTCGCTTTGTTCTTCAGCCCTCAGAAATCCGACTGACTGCCAGCAGCGAGGGCCCAGATGGTGGAGTGACGACAAGGAATACATGGTGTCTGCTCAAAAAACCTCAACTGGCCATCGTTGAGGAGCAGGATCTGGAGACCGGCATCCCCGATGTTAAGTCCTCAGATGCATAAGTCGGGAGACTCGACGAGTACTGAGACCTCGTACTACCGTGCGGTTGGAAGGGCATCAGACTGAGTACATTGCAGAATTGACTGCGGCGTTGACCTCACTTGAGAAGCGAATTTTGAATTTCGTGAGTTTTGTGACAGAATAACGTAGCTATCCTAATTCGTATCCAACGGCCACTCTTTATCTTAAGGTGTTTTGTGCAGAAGTGCCACTTACCGAATCAAGACTGTCCAGCATTCCTCAGTGCTTCGCGGCGGGCTCACCTCTGGTTTCCTCAGGGTTCAGTCGTCAGGATATAGCATGAAGCTGCTGAGATAAACTGTGATGCGATGCTGCTCGCCTGAGTGTCAACATGGTATGCTGAACTCATGTCGCATGTTGCGAGGTCATCCATCCCTACAATCAATTGTAGCGCAACAGCTAAACTGCATAGCCAGCCGGCGTACAACTTTGCGTAGTAGACTCTGCCAGGGCGATCCAAGTAGCGCATGCGGAATTGACCGTTTCTGTTGTCGATTTCCCGGCACCAGGCCAGTCACGAATGAGGCGAGAGGACCGAAAGATCCGCTGTTTACTTGCACGGCATGATTTATCACTCATATCATTGCATCACAGGGGACTCTATCAAATGAGACTTCACAGTCACTGTCTGAATGCGCTCTTATAAATATGAGGCACATTTTTCCTGTCCATCAATGGTTTTTTTTTTTTCTCGTACAGCGCACATCGCAGTAGGCAGCACCACAGCAAGCATTCAACGAACTACGCAACCCATACAGGCGACACAAAAGTCCACAACCAGAAGAAACGGCACAACCACCAGCACCATGGGCAGGGTACCTCTCTTCTATGAGTTCGAATCCGTTGTGGTTTGGATTGACAAAAATTTGTACAAAGGCACCATTATATCCAGGAACGACAACGACAATCCTTACAGCTACATCGTCAATATTCAAGACATGCTCGGAACTATTCAGTTGTAGGTTATCCTCATAACACCACTGGATATGCTCGAAACTCACTGTTCTCATAGTATAGATGAATCCGTCATCCGTAGATCAAAGGAGGCATGGATCACAGGCACAATAAAAGGGCCAACCTTTTTCTGGGAGGAAGCAATATTCAAAGATGAGGCCCCTGATGCTTTTGCAGCGTAGCAGACTGTACGGCGCGGCTCACAACGGGTGTTATGTTTTTGGAAAGGACTGGAGCTGAAAAGCAAAAGAGTTCTCAAGTCCAACATTGGACTGAGTGGGTGGGCTTCAGAATTTGCAAATGGACACTGGGGCAATCCCTCCAAGTGGCAAAACGATCAATCTACCATATCTAATTCAATGGTCACATGTGTCACCCTTCATTGCCTCTTTCGTGTTGCGAATTTTCATATGCCTTCTTGTTATCAGGGATTGAAACATCCGCAGGAAGGATCCCTCTGGTGGAATTTCTTTTCCCTCTGAATCTGAGGAGTAACGTGGTTTGTGCCGCCAGATCCGACGGGTTTCCTTATTAACCAAACACACGAAAAATGCAGCCAACCGCACGCTTCGTCCCTCTACGACGATTTATTAAAGCTGAATTTGTCTACTGTTAAACCAGTTGTCTAATTCTAAATCAGCTTTTCCAACATGAGCTATGAGCTGCTGCCAGACAGTCCCATCTGCATTTTCTCACCAACGTTGGGTCTGGCCAAGATTCCACCTCTATCGTCGCCGCTAGAAATTAGCTTTTATCATCTCACCACCCTGTGCATGAATCTGGGGTCTAGAATGGCGTGAATATTACAGGGGCAAATACGATGGTGGCCAGATGGTCGATGTTGGTGACAAAAGCCACGAATCCGACTCGGCTGCGCCCCAGGATATTTCTAGTGCTGGAAAGAGTTTCATGGTAGAATCTACATGAAGCACCGAGATCTCAAGGTGGGCTGTTGCCATAACTATCACACCTGGCAATACGCCGATGAGTTGAGTGCATAAATGGATACATCCTTCACTGTGCTAGCCCCAAGGTCGTACACCGGCAGCAAATCACGCTCTTCTAAGTCTAGGGGCCTTCAGAACGCGAAAATAAGGACAAGAAACACCGCATACCCCGACGTGGTGAGTCGGTTGCAGGCAAAAGCAGGCTTGAGCTTTCCGATGAGGTTCTATGCCCTGGTGCTGAGTCCACCTCCTGCACCAGGAATTAGTTGAGGATCCCGTCCAGCGGAGGGCGAAGCTACCGTTTGACAGCAACCTCAAGAGCGAAAACATTATTAGGAATTCATGTATGGGGCTTTGGAATAGCCAGTCGAGTCACAGCAAAGGCGAGTGACTGTTCCTTTGCTCACTCTTGTTGGATGCCGTAGGCTCCGGGGGGCCGGAGATCTTTCACCACCAACTTGAAGGTGTTGTTGAGGTCGCCCATACTTCTCAAGGCGAGATCCTTGGTGCTGTCGAGCAGCGTCGCATGATTCTCCGAAGTCGTGTCAAAATCGGCTTCGAACACACACTCGAGCTCGCAAGCCATGGTGCGGGCCCGAGTCTTAACAGTAGTTTGCCCCCACCACGCAGCCACTGGAGCACGTCCGCTGCCCACCGCTTACCTGTAGCCTCCCCCTTGCGGAGCCAGTTGACGGCATCATGTCCATTGCTGCTCAACCAGGGCACCAGGCGAGAAGACAGCACAGCTAAGACCAGCAAATCCTTCCTCTGGATGCCTCAGGTCAGCCCAGTCACCAACCCTTCCAAGATTGACGGAAGAGGCGAAGGGCTCAGATGCGTGCACGAGTCGCCAATGTCAAATTGATAGTTTTGGTAAGTCACTGGGCCCTTTCGTTCCTGCCAAGCTCACGACTCACCGTCTCCCAGACTTCTACATAAGGTCCCAATTCTTTTGGCTTCCAACTCCTCAGTCCCAGGTCGAATTCCACCAAGACCAACATCGCTACAGCAGCCATTCAAAAGCAGCCAACAGGAACAACAAGGACGACAGAGAGTAACCGGAAAGTCTTCCACAAGCACAAATCATGACGACAGTCACTAAAGTCGAAGTTGATGATTATGTGCTTGTCCATGGAGACAACCGCAACAAGAAGTATATAGGCCAAGTCAAGTCTATGGATCACTTCAGGGGGCAGACCATGTACCATGTCGAGCGAATCTTTTCCCGAGCAGCGGTTACCGCGTGAGTTTCGATTCAGGCCCCTACCTAATCCCTTCAAGCTTGCTCACTGTCACTAGAACTATAGAGGGCGAGAATCAGCACTGGGGGTGGGTTCGAGTTTATGGAAGTGACAACGTGGATGAGTCAGAACTGGAATGGTGGGAGCGACCTTTGCCAGCGAAGCGAGCTCGAGCGTGATCTTGTAGACCACGACAGATTGGCATGCAGGGATATTCTGAGCTCAGTTTTGGTACGGGCGACTTACTTTGGAGGTGAAAGGTAATGGAGCCAGAATTCAATTTATAAATTGAATTCATTTGATTCTATCTTTCCTGGCGTCAAGACATTGAACATCTGATTCAGGGAAATGCTCCATGTTGCTTCTGCTTTCAAGACCAGCCATGAGAACAATTGAAGTTCCACCCACCCCAGGCGTGAGACCCGTCGCTTTCTGGTCGGAGCCGCAGAAGAGCATTATGAGGCAACACAGTGATATCGGTGATTTGGAGCAAACAACATGTTCCCTATATCTGAGCCCCGACATGTGAATCGAGGTGACACTCGGGCAGATATTAGCACACCAGCATGTGGTACCATGTGTTCAGATGCCAAATGGCTACCTAGAACGCGAAATGCCCGTGGCTTACATACCACGAAATAGCATATTTATCTGGTCGCAGAATAAAATTATAAAAATGTCATGAAGGGGAATCGAACCCCTGCCCCAGGCATGGGAAGCCTGGATTCTACCACTAAACTATCATGACTACCAGAACAGTGTGGTTTTGAGAGTACATAAGCTGTTTTCCGTCAGCAAGAGGTGGGAACCGTTGCGAGGGAGGCCTCAAGGTGGCAGGCATTGTGCGGAGACGCTGTCACGAGGGTGGAGACGGGCATTCCACATGTAGCCCCCGCGCCCCTCTCTACGACTGCACAATGGCTGAATCCGTATGGGTGAAAGGGCGGAAACCGCGGTTGAGGAAAAGCAAACATCTTTGGGCGTCTGGAACACGGAAAAAGGCAGACGCGGCATACTTCGCACAAGACATGGCGGGTCACATCAACAGATTCGAGCGCTTTAGGGTCAGACCCTGGTCAGCAGTGAGGATAAGGCATAACGTTTTGGATTGGTGTCAAAGGGTCTTGAGGCTCGAGGAAACTTGGGATGCAGTGGCAAGTAACCTCGAATGCTCCTCTGATACTACCAGAGATACAGTACATGTATAATGGTACTCGAGTTGAATTGTTAAACCGTCTCCTCTCAACGTGCAAAGAAAACCAAACATCGTAACAGTGTCACGTTGCCTCAATGAGCCCACTCAACAATCTTAGTAATAATACGATGGCGATAAGTCCAGCTCCTAGCCCTCTTGCCAAGGATATACATCGGGATGGTCGTAAGCACCACCGCCGCCGTGATGCCGCCGATGACGAAGAAGCAGTTCCGCACGCCTTGGACCATGATCCAGTCATTGGAATAAAAGGTCAGCCCGAAGGCGAACATGTTCTTGACAAAGTTCATGATGGCGAACGCCTCGGCCGCCTGCTCGCGGTGGCAGTCGACGATGTAGGTGACCACGCCGGTCGTGCCGAGCTGGACGCCGAGGTTGATCAGGCCCAGGCACACGATGACGGGCACGGGCCAGGGGTCCTGGGCGTAGAGGGACTGGCCCCAAGAGAAGAACCCCACAGCGGTGAAGACTAAATATGTGGTCATGATGGGCAGTCGGAATTCAGGCTCTGGGGAAAAAACTGTCATTAGACGGTTGGTCGAGATGAGAAGGGATGATGAGCAAGCCTACCGAAGATACCCTTGTTCCTCTTTGACATGAACTTAGCGAGGCCATCAATGAGAGCACCAGCCAGGGCTGTGGCTATTAGTGTGGCCACAAAGGAGGAGAGGTTCGAGGCGCCGACAGCCGTGATGGAGAAGTTGTAAGGAGGCGCCGAGAAGATCTGCGACAGCGTGATGGAGATGAGCACCAGCCACGAGATGCACGTTGTGAACAGCAGCGTGGCCCAGCAGACCATGGGCGAGCCGAGGAAGAAGAACGGGCGGATGAGGGTCCGCCAGAACGATGTCTTGTCCCAATATCCGCTGTACGGGAGGAGCTCGCGCACGAACGACTTCTTGGGCTCGTTGCTTGACTCTGTGGCCGGGCTGGAGGTCGTCTTCTCCTCGGTGTGCTCGAAATCGGATTTCTTGTCGAGCACCTGGCTGAAGGACTTATCCGTGGTGTCGATGTCAATTGCGCCGTGGCGGTGGTAAGCTGACTCGGGCATGAAGAGCACAGTGAGTATCAGCTGCAGGACAAACGCCCCGCCCATTGCGTTCAGGCAGATTCGGTAGGACCCGTATTGGATAATGGAGCCAGCTATCCGTATTTAGCCATCTTGCACACATTTGGCTTTTGGTAGGGCCATCACTCACCGATGGGAGAGGCGAGGTTGATGCCGCCCAGAACGCCGAGGTTGAACACAGCAGACTGGAAGCCACGCTCGTGTACAAACCAGATGTCGGCGATGGAGGCCGGTACGAGGGCTTCCATAGGAGCCATGGCAAACCCCTGAACCGCCCGTGCCGCGGCGAGGGACCCGAACGACTTGGACTCGGCAGCCCAGAAACACGAGACCATGAGCAGGATAGATGTCACGATGTAAACCGGTCGCTTCCCGATCTTCACGGCCAGGGCATTGCAGACCAGACTAGACACGGCGATGGCAACGATACAAGAGCCCTGGAGGCCGAGGGTGAACTGCTGCAAGGGGATGTCGAACTGCTCGGCGAGGGGTGCCAGGGCGGCTGTGAGCAATGGGCCGACCGCTGTGTAATCGCGTCAGTGACGTGCTTGGATCAGTTGTAGTAGAGTATGGACCGAATAAAGTTACGTACCTCCTACACATCCACAGCCATACGCGATGGCAACCGTGAACATCCTCTTCTTCCATTTCGGCCAGTTGTAAGGATCATTGGGCGAGTCAGACGGCTGCGGGACCAGCACGATCTGCCCGGTCGGGTCGTGCTTCAGGAAGTTGGAATCGATGCCCGCCGCCGTGTCCTCGAGCCCGACATGGCCTAGCTCATTCAAGGGCGACGTCCCGGGGACGTGCTCCAGTTCGCGGTCCTCGAGTATCCCCAGAGGCATTTTTTTTGCTTGTCAACGGTGCGTACGTCAATATTTTTTTTCAAAGAGATGAGGACACCATTTGCTTGGAGAAACCTGCCCAGCCGCGAGATGCGTTGTTCGTGGGCGCCGGGCCCCAGGTTATAATCCCGAGAATCACACCCTCCCCCACAACCACGGGCACGTCAAGCAAGGTCTGCGGGCAGGTGTCACCCGTGTGTTTCAGCGCTCTTAGACGTCGCTGTGTAAGCGATTGCTCAGAGCAAGAAACCCAGCTCCATAGCCCATTTTAGCCGAATTCAAGCAGATCTAAGCATTTAGGGTGCGGGGGAATGGCCGGGCGTGTGGATCTGGGGTAGACGGGCATGAACCACGTATGCATGGACGCGCCCGGGACAACGTTGTTTCGCTGGTACCGCCGAATATCGCTTCGCCGGAAAGGGTGTGTGATTGCTGTGTTATCTCGGGTGATATGTTTGATGCGTCTTTTCTTCCCATCCTGGTTGGCCTGCGGCTCGTCAGGCTGTTCCGTCTTTATGTGCATCTCGTACCGAGCACGCCAATTAGGCCCAGAGGTCCTGCATCCGAAAAGCTTGCTCGGGGACCGTCTACAGAATATAGTCTGACCTCTTCATTTATTCATCAGCGCCAAGACGCTGACGTCGAGCTGTGTGGATGAACTCAAATAGAACCTGCAAGGGAATGGTGACACTGCGTGAGGGGATTGAGTATTGAGCCGCTGCAGTCATTGTTCCACCGGACGATGCAAGTCAGATTTATATATGAGAGACACATGTCAGATTCCCTAATTGCTTATCTCGACCACCGTGCATAATCAAGCATAACCTAAGCTCCAAAACCTCTGCAGGTTCTTCTTACTATCCTCATCAACATAGTCATGTGGTGGGCGAAGAGTGGCGTTATCCCCATGAATTTCGGCCAGTTCGCCATTCAAGCTTGGATCGTCCACAAACTTTGTAACACCCTTGATCAACGTTGACATCGGTGTAATGACCATGCTCTCGAATAGTGCCTTGTTTGGTGCGATATTCGTGACTAGCGCGATATTGTCAGCTGGAGGCTCGGAAGAGCAGGGGAATGGTATGTCCGACCTAGTACTGCAGGCGCCAGACCATTGATCTGGATCTTGTGGCGCTCGACTATCGGCGCGGTAGAGCGAACGAGGCCTATTACGCCTGCCTTTGCAGCTGCGTAGAGTGGTGAAACCGGGAATGGGTAGAGCCCGGCGTTGGAAGCTGTGCAGATGATCGAACCTCGAGAAGGGCCTGTGGATGGGTTCTTGTTCATGTAATGTATGGCGAGTTTCACAGCTGCGACTCAGGTCAGTTTGAGTAACTAACTCGACATAGCCCATGACCAAGACTTACAGTAGATAACGCCAGAAAGGTCCACATCCATGATCTTCAAGTTGGGCTCCTTGGGCTCGTCCTCTTCGATGCTTGCTAGAGCGCTCCCGCCTTGCTCGGAGATCCCAGCGTTTGCCATGACAATATCGATTCGTCCGAACTCCTGGAATACATCTTTGAAAGCTTGTGCTTGGCTTTCCCACGACGAGACGTCGCACTTCTTGAACTGAATTTTGGCTTCGGGGTTTTTCTTCGCGACGCCGGAGACAACCTGGTTTCCGACTTCTAGGTTCACGTCGAAGACTGCGACGTTGTTCCCCTGCGAAGCAAAGTGCTCCACCATAGCAAGACCGATGCCGCTGGCGCCCCCTGTCACAATGACAGTCTGACCGTTGACTGGCTCGCTGCCCATGATAAGCACCTTAACTCGCAGACTTTGTTGATGGGGATTTAAGAATTCGTTTTCAAGCAGCACGCGAAGTCGGAATCTGGATTTGGCCCGTATGTGCTGATGTTTTCGTCTGCTTAGAGCTCTCTTGGCTGGGCGTCCGGGGTCTCTCCTCTCTCCAACAGATATAGTCGACCCGGGCTCCACACAATGATGTCGAGCTGCCGGTCCCGCCGGTTTGGGCGCCAATTTGGGTGCCGGTTTGGGTGCCGAGACTTTGGGGGTTTTGGCTTTCAATGCTTGGATTGATTGTCACGAGGACAACCCCGCAGCCACGTCTCGTCTAGTATCGTCGTTGCGGGTACCTAGTGCCCCTCGGCCAACAGATGATAAACCGAGACCTATTCCTCCATCCTCCATCGTCGAACGCGTAGTGGTTCGAACAAGATTGACTCGGTCTCAAGATCCAAATCCTACCGTCTATACCAAAACTCAACATCCCCCGCACCGCACTGCCATAGTAACGCATCCTTTGAGTTCCAATTTTGCTATGGCTGAGATACACTTTTCTGAGGAGGATGCCAGGGCATTAAAGGGCAGGGTTGTTGTGTTGACAGGTGCGAGCTACCCATACACCATCTATCTGCCTACCCAGGAACACTGACATCGAATTTCCTGCAAGGCGGAGCGCAAGGCATTGGTGCAGCGGCCGTAGCATTGTACCACAGCCAAGGCGCACATGTCTACTTCGGAGACTGGGACGAGGCGAAAGGCAAGGCAGTTATGCGAGAACTGCAATCCAAAAACACAGGAGGCTCGGTGCATTTCCAGAAGCTCGACGTCCGGGATTACGACTCGCAGCTAGCCCTCTTCGATACGCCATTTAAGGACCACGGCCGTGTTGACGTCGCCGTGTCCTGTGCTGCCGTGAGGGAGAAAGGCGGGTGGTTTGAGCCAGAAGATTTGGACTTGGCGAGCGTCCGGCTTGTGAGTGGAGATCCTCTGGAGAACGGAAGAGTGACGATTTGACCTTCGCCCTAGGAGCCCGTGCCACTCAAAGATCACATCGACATAAACTTGGTTAGTGTTTTATCATTTTGCCGGATCGCCCTGGCGTACATGAAGGCCAGCCATCCTGCAGGCGAGGAGGGCACAGACTTTTCAAAATCCATCGTGCTCGTCTCTTCAATAGCCGGCATCACCGAGGCACCCGGGCTGTTCGCCTATTCGACAGCGAAACATGGCGTTATTGGTCTCATGCGAGCCCTCCGGCCATGGGCGCCCCTCAAATACGGAGTTAGGGTGAATGCGCTTTGCCCATGGGCCACCGACACTCAACTGCTTGGTGTGAGAGAGAAGTGGGTTAAAGAGAAGATGCCATTGAATGCACCGACCGATGTCGGGAAGATCATACTCCAATGCTCAGCCGATCGGGGTCTCAATGGGAAAGCTGTTTTCATCACGGGAGGAAGATTCTTCGATACTGAGGAGGGTGTCGATAGAACACTGCCGCAGTGGATGGGGGAGCAGAACGCGAAAGATTTCCTCAAGGGCCAAGAGCTCCTTGGGCTGGTGAGTCCAGGTCATACCTCTACGATGATATCTTCGTGCTAAACAAATATGTCATTACAGGGAGACGTCTGGACAGACTAAGCCATCGAGAAGTTGACTTTTCGGATGGTGCACGAGCAGGGAAGCTCTTCCGGCCTTGTGGTTCATCCGACAGACTTCAAATTATAGCGAACAAAACGTGAGTGTCAATTCATCTATAGTATAAACCAGAATAAGACGTGATTCTATGAAGCGGCGCCATGTGGTAAATTCACCCGCTTGGGATCCATCCTCAGATGCTGCTCCTCCCGGGCTCCTTTGTTTTGTAATCGTGTGTCAGACCATCTAAATTCAATATGCATCATGCTCCTTCAACGATCGCCTCCCGTTCCTTTGTAGTCGCATGCACTTCCGCAACACGAGCCTCCTGTTCCTCGATTTCCACCTGCTTCGCCCAGCATGTCCCGCAATACAGCACCTCGGGCCGCATTCCCATGGGCTTGTTATCCAGACCCTTCCGAAATGCCTCCTGAAAAGCAGCACAATGTGCCTCGCCTTCGGGGCCGCGGTGTTGCTCTGCCGCGCGTGCCGAGATGGCGGCTGATTCTTTCTGGGTGATGTATGAGTTTGGATCCTTGGGCCACCAGGTCTTCCCGCCCGGGTCGGTGACGGTGACGGTTGGGACGCCCGGCATCGGCTCCGGCGGCTTTTCCGTCATCGGCAGCAACACCCATCGCCGGCATTCGTTGTCCCTGTGAAAAGGTAGTTCGCGCTGCCTTTCACGTCGCAGAAGAGCTCTGAGGCTGACTCTGAGGCGGTCCGCTTTTTCGATGTCCCTCGATCTTATGGCATTTTTCTCTCGGTGGACGAAATCCCTTGGCGGCACTGGGAGGAAGTCCAGGTCCTTCGCGTGCCTCGTGATGATTGTCTTCCAATAGTTTACCTCCTTCTCTCTTCTGATCCGGCATTGAAGGCATTGTTGTTTTGCTCCATACCTGGGTGCGACAACGGGAGACGGCTTGATTAATGGGTGGATGCCGTGCAGCCGACTGTTTTCACCTTCTTCCATCTCGTTGATGGGTGTGCACACAGATAGGGCCATGATGAAGTGGTGGATGAGTTGGCAAATGTCGTGCAAGAGGGTTTTGGTGGTTGCAAATTTGATTAATGTAGCAGCTTTGCCTCCGAAGACGGGGCTCGAATACTGACAGGACAAATTAGCAAAGCTTCACGAATCGATATCTGGGCGTATGCAGTACTCACTGAGGACAAGCCGTATTGACAGGGAAAAGAATCTTGTGGATGCGAAGACCGGTCGACTGCCATCTATCGACTCAGATGTGTGATGTTTGTAAGTGTGATGTGACAGGATGAGTGGACAGATGGTGTGTTTAAGGGTAAAAGGCGAAATGTATGTCAGAGTTCGACAATCTAGTTATTTCCAATAAATAACTAGCAACTACGTTATGCAAGTTGGTATTTTTTTCAATTAATGGTCCGCACCTTGACGGCGTACACCTTAATGAGCACACTATTCGAATATAGCGTGAACTTAATAGAGCACACTATGTACAACATTCCAGAGATTTCAGGCAATCACACATGGTCAAATCACTCGAGATATGAGATACGTGTAGGATTGTAGGTCAGCATGTTTTGGGCTGACTCGTTCACTCAACCGATTGTGTTGAGTAAATATATAAGACTAATCACATGGTGAGTCTCATATAATAGGATGTATGTGCATAAAGTTGTGCTCATGGCAGACCCTTGAGGCTGTGCGTCTTCCGTCCGAGCAGCTCATGTGCACCAGTACTGCTATCCGATCTCCTCCCATCGCTGCCTCCGCTAACATCCATCCTTTCCTGCCCACCTCCATCCGACTTCTCCACCATTCCTGCCGTAGACTTTGTTTAGTTCTGGGCGTTGAAGTTTGCCAACGTCTGCATGTTGGCTGCAAACTCTGCGTCGCCAAACAAGTCGTTATTCAAGTCTTGCAGAAAAGAATCGCCCGGACCAGACAGCGGCTGGCCAACCTGCGCCTGGTGCTGCTCTTGGGTTGGCTGCTGCTCCTGAATAACGGGCTGCGGCGCCTGGATGGCGGGCTGATCCAGACCCATGAACTGATTGATGAGATCCGCGGAGAAGGAGTCAGCGGGGTCGAGTGTCCAGTCGAATTCCATGTTTTCTAAAGGCTGGTCGTTGCCGAAGCCAAAGTCCTCCCAGCCGTTGGCCATGTTGAACTCAGCTTGAGTCTGCAGAGGTGCTCCAAAGGCGTTATGGCTCTGGTCTGCCGCCGCAGTAGGTGTCTGGTTGTTGGCGCGGTCGGTTTGATTTGGGCCGGCGTTGTTGTTGACGAGGTTGGTCGCCTGGTGGTTCTGCTCGGCGAGACCGAGGTTCAGGTCGTTGTTGGTAGAGTTGTTCGCCTGCGAGGTTTGCTGGACGAATCCGTCGTTGAGGTTACGACCGTGATGAGTCTGGTCGAAGACGCGATGGTTTGGGTTGGCGGCGCCTTGAATCGTGTCGACGGGATTGGCGTTGGGCTGGCCGCTGGTGAGGCCTGTCTCGGTGAGCTGCATTGGCTGCACCTGTTCCTGTCTCGGAGCCTCGCCTTGGTTCTGGGCTTGAGGCATCTGAGTAGACTGCTTTGTAGTTCTCGGGCGCTTGGTGGGGCGGCCCTGAGTAGAGTTCGCTGGGTTGCGATTGCCGTTGGCTTTCCTGACATTGGCGTCCTAAGCCGCTGTCTGGGTTGCTCGAACGACATCAGAGACCTCAGCAACAGCCTCGTTTTGGGTCTCAGCCTCGGTATCAGCCGCGGCTCTCTTCCCCTTGCCCTTTCTCCCTGTTCCCTTCTTCGCGGACTCGGCGGCGAGGACCTTGGCTTTGCCAGAGTTGTTCCTGATGTTGGTGGTCTTCTTGCGGCGCTCACCCGCAGGATCAGCAGCAATGCGAGCGAGCAAATTGTCGGCTGTCATTGCGCTGCGGCAGAGGAGTTTGTTGACCTAGGCGAACGATCAATATTCTGTCCCGCACCAAATTGACACTTGTTATATCGGGTTAATTCGTGGGGCCACTGCTTACACTCAGAGCTGCCACCACCTCGTTGACTTTGGCCTCGAAGGTTGGTTCTTGCACGACCTTGAAGTCTGGCGTAGTCACGGGCTGTCCTGACTGGACTTTCAGAATGTACATCTGTGTTAAAAAAAAATGGGTTAGCATTGGTAACCTTGACGCAGGTTCGTCGCATCAAAAACTAACCATGAGGTCGTGGGCCAAGAGCTCCACCTCGATGGGCGACAGTCCCTGAACGATCTTCACAGCCAGGCAATTGGCGAATTCACCTGTTTCAGATGCGGGATCCTGCTCGCCATCGAGGTTGAAGAAGGCGTCAAAGATTCGCTGCCTGACTCTCGATTGACCAGCTGCATCCTTCGGGTAGTCCTGAGCCCTATTCTCATAGCTGCCGCCGCTGAGCTTGGCCTTCCAGACTGCTTGCTTGTAACGGCGGTAGTCGGTATCGTTCTGAATGTAGCCAACGAAAGCGTTTCCCTTCTCCCCAACAAGGGCCTTGACGCGGGCCTGAAATTCCTCGGGGCTTTCGGTCTTCGTTGAAGGCTGAGCCACGCCAACATCAGGAGCATTGCCAGCGTTCAGAGGAGAACTGGCATCAGGAGGTGAGCCGGAGCCAGTATGATGATCGACGCCAGGCGTAATGGGATGAGGGAGAGAAGCAGTCGTATTGTTGGCTGGGTGAGGGGTTTGGTTGGTAGAGGGACGTGCTATGTCGACATTGGGAGCATTGTCGCCAGATGGATTCGCGTGGGTAGCAGAATCAGTGGCCTGGTTCTGGTACTGCTGTGGAGTTCCGTACTGCTGAGGAGTCCCGTGCTGCGGAGTTCCGTTCTGAGGAGTTCCGTACTGCTGAGGAGTCTGGTATCGAGGAGTCTGGTACTGCTGGGGACTCTGGGACTGAGGAGTCAGGTACTGCTGAGGACTCTGGAACTGCGGAGGAGTCTGGCATTGCTGAGGATACTGCGGCTGGCCGGGCTGAGACGCGACCGCAGACGCGAGCTGGTAAAGCGCGTTCATGGCGGCAGGGTTGTTGAACATAGGAAGAACGGGGTTCCAGCCGTTTCCATTGACGGTCTGGTGACTAGTAGGGAAGCACGGAGGGCCTTGCGGGGCCTGCTGAGCGCTCTGCGCGTGGCCTTGGGCGACGGGCATGGGCGCGCCAGAGCTGCCGCGGATGGTCATCTCGTAGGTGGTGCCGTCGATGTTGGCCATCTGATGCTGACCGGGGAAGCCAGGCTGGACTTGAGGGTTACCCTGGTGGGTGTACGCGTTGTGGTGAGGGACGCGCATGGCGGTGAGGTGGTTGTTGGCAACAGGCGTCGCTGCATTCGCGCCGTTGACGTGGGTTGTCGGCTGACCAGCAAAGCCAGGACGAGATTGAGCACCGTTGGGAGTACCGTTGGTGGTCTGCATTTTGTTTATGGTGATTCTCCTGAGAGGCAGTAGTTAGTATTGCCTGTCAACACCGCGTCGCTCGTAGTCGATATCTCTATCGGTTGAGGTTCGCGTGTGCTGGGTCAAAGTTGATTGATGAGAAGGTCGTCTGGGAAATGAATTGCGGCAGATCTGAGGAAGGTAGTTCTGTGGATAGAAAGTGATTGTGGAGGGGTCTGTGTAGGTGTCCCAGGAGGTAGGTCGCGGGCTAGGAAAGTCTTTGTGGAGGGGTTGGTGCTGGCGCGTTGCAGAAGGGGTATGAGGAGGGTCTGCTGAAGCAGTGTTTTGGAAGGAAAAGACGCCTGGGAGATATCTGAGGAGGCTTCTGCGCGCGTATGCCAATGGGGAGGTGCTTTGGGTGATTGTTGAAGTGGTAGTTGAACTGGAGGATGAGGCACGCGTCGCAGCGCCTTGCGGCCGACGCTCGTGGTATGGAGCAGAGGGCCAAGAGTATTACTTACAGATCAATTGATCGTGAGAGGGTATTCTGTGGATGGTGAGGAGGTATTGTGAGGATGTCTGGGTAGAGGACAGAACAGAAGCTTGCGTGACCGCGATGGACAGGAGAAAAGCTTGGATGACAGGTATGGTTGGCTGGGTTGTGGACAAGACGAAACAACGCAAGCCAACACAAAAACTGTCGAGGTTGAAGAAGGAAGGGAAGGAAGGAAAGTTTGGTCGATTGGGAGGGGGAAGGTTCGTATTTAAGCTACTGCCCTGAAGGGCTGTGATCTGTCGAAGCCTGTGATCTGCCGTTTTAGGCAAGGTGAACGCGTCGAGGGGCCGTTTGAAGTGAAGATTATAGTGTTGAAGAATCAAACGAGGTATTTGTGGGTCCCTTGCTATGAATAGCAACCTAGAAGCCTTGCTGGCTGACCTAGCTAGTGCGGTGAAGCTATTCGCAGATCGACTTTTTGACAAATCGGGCTAGATCGACAGGGGGTCGACGGGCAGGCTGTGATCTAGAGCTACGAAAACGCGAGACAGATCGCGATAGAACGGAAGGGAGACTTGAAAAATGAACTAGTCGTAGCTATCTGCTTGTGAATGAACTGATACTCGGCAAAAATGGCTGAATAACGATGGTGTGCAATTCCCAAAGTGGTAAGGTGCCGAAGACCTCTTTTTTCATGGCCTCAGATGTGCTCAATTGCTATTTCAACACACTAGACCGCACTGGGGCACAACCTGCCTGCCCCGTGGCATGGTCCTGGAGCAAAAAGAAGGACACGAGCGAGGAGAGGAGCTAAGAATGACCTCCCGATCTATGGTTTCAGGTCGAATGTAGGTATATAAGTAACTAGAGAGAACGCGAAGAGGCAGACAGTTCCGAGAGGCAGTATAAGTAGCCACAGAATACCAGACGAACGATTAATAGAAGGGATGGATGGTCTCAAAACGCGGTGCCAAAGTCTCTTGAATATAGATTAGAAGGCCCTCCTCTACTCTCAGGATTTCCAATCCCCCCTTCGCCCTTCGCTCCAGCTGATTGAATCAGCTTGTAAGTGTCCCACCCTCCTTCATTGGGACTAGACCGAGGTGATTTTGTGATTCACTGGCGATGGCTGATTCGAGTCGTTTGTATGTCTGACAGACGCATTGGGTGAATAGTGGCCCTGCAAACGACCTCGTGCCTGCCCGGTCGCGTATTCATGGAGTGGTGGTGCGAGGCAAACCTGACTAGAAGGCCGTCTATCAAGAGATCTAGAATAGGTTTAGTTCGACTTCACATTGCTAGAAGCTACGTAATTTTCTTAGCTGTGTAGCAGGGATGTGTGCGCGGAAGAAACGAGGAGGTCAGATCAATGCTGACAACTGTGGTGAGATGGGACTAGGGACACCTTCGAGGGGAAAGCTAGGTAGTTATGAAAGCAATGGCGCTAAGCGACAAGGAAGAAACGTTGCTCATTCAATTAGTTATATGTAGAATCATGCGGGAACCCGCAAGACGCAGGCTCTCTAGCAGAAAATGGCTAAACCTTCCACGAAGCGTAGAAGCTGACCATGGGCCGAGTAAGTCTGTCCGTAGTTCTATATCAGTCAAGCAGTCGAGGTCACAGAGGCTTTCCCAGAACAACTATGTTCTCCAACCATACACAGAAGGCAAAAGATTAAGCACCGTTCCCGTTGTAAGCCAAAAGATTCGGGCTCCCAGTCCCCAGTCCAGTGAGCACGCCCTCAGTCGCGAGCTCAGTAAGCTTGGCAGCGACGTCAGCGGGGGCCTCGAGCCCGCCCAGCACGCTCTTGAGGTACAGCACCAGGCCCGAGACGTGCGGGGTGGCCATGCTGGTGCCGGAGATGGTGTTGGTGGCCGTGTCGGAGCCGATCCACGACGAGAGGGTGTCGACGCCCGGGGCGAAGATGTCGACGATGCTGCCGTAGTTGCTCCACGAGGGCTTGGTGTTGTTGATGGCGGCCGCGCCGACGGTGATGGCCTCGGGCGCGCTGGCGGGCGAGTAGCTCTTTGCGTCGACGCCGTTGTTGCCCGCCGCGACGATCGTCGCGATGCCTGCTTCGTAGGCTGCTGCTACGGCGGCGTTGAAGGCTGCGGAGAAGCCGCCGCCTGGAGTGGGTAGTTAGTTAGCACGGTGAAGCTAGTGGCAGTTCTGTGTTAAAGGGGGGCTGATGAGCGTTTGCTGCGTACCCAAGCTGAGGCTGACGACGGACGTTGCCTCCCGCGTTTCGGCGGTGATGTTGTTCACTGCCCAGTTGTAGCCGTCCAGGACGATCGAGGTTGAGGACTGGATGGAATCGTCAGCCAATCTCCACACGCCACATTACCGTCCCAGAATCACGACGAAAGCGACTTACGCTACCGGTGTCGAACACCCTGACAGATATCAAGCTGGCCTGCTTCGCAACACCGTACGCGCGCGAGCCGATGGTGCCAGCAACGTGGGTGCCGTGCCCAATCAGGTCAACAAAGTCAGAGTTCGGGTAGGCGTTGTAGCCGAGAGACGCGCGCCCCTCGAACTCGACGTGGGTCGTCAGCAGGCCGGTGTCGATGATATAGGCGTATGTGCCGACGCCTCCTTCGGTGTCGTAGATGTAATCAGTCGAGTTCTCCCCCTTGTGGGAGATGGAACCCAGGCCCCAGGGCGCGTCGGCCTGCGTGGTCAGCTCGTAGAGCTCCCAGACGGCGTCCTCCTCCACGGCGGCGACCTACGCGGTTGTTAATATTTGTAGCGGCCAAGGGTCAATCATGACGTACCTCAGCACTGTTACGGATCTCCTCGATGGTGGCATCGTCAAAAGCGCCGGCGTAGCCACTGAAGCTCTTGAAAGCATATGAGTTGGTGACGCCGCTGTCAGCGTCTTGGCGTCGCACGCTGCGGGCTTGGATGCCATTCACCCATGTAATGTGGCTCCCGACGTCGGCCTCTGGCTTCAGAGTGACGATGTACTTGCCAGGGATGGCAGCCCGTTTGTGTTGGACTGGGTGGGTCCAAGCCAGGGAAAAGGTGCTTAAAGCAAGAGCGAGATGGTTCAAGCCCAACATGATCATATAGTGGAGGGTGATTGATAAGATGTGGTAATTTGGGCCGCTGAAGATGAGGGACCTTATCTACCTTTGATCAAAATCGTCAACCTCCCATATACCTCTCTTTATATACTCGAGCCAAGCTACGTGTTCCACGTTCACCGCGAACGAGCCTCCTTGCAGAAGCAAACCCCCTCTCCCGCATCAGCTGCAGCCAAGAGCTCACGAGACTCGCCATTCCGATGTCGACATGTCTTATCGCGGGCTCTTGCTGCCCAGGTGAAGGCGACATTGGCCTGCATATTTCGCTCGTGAGTCAACCTTGCTGACTGCCTCGATAACTTGCTCGTGGTGGTGGGAACCGCTGTGTTGTTCTCCCCAGTCGTGCCTTGAAGTCCAATGAGGCACAGTGGTTGGCCGACTCGGCAGGTGAGAGGGATGCAGTCTCGCCTTGGCGATGGAACGTTGAGGGTCCACTGTAGATTTGACCGCGTTCTTTGTGGCTTGGAGCGCATCCCAAAGGCGAAGGCGCAGAAAGCTTTGCCTGCTTAAGCCGACTTGGCATCCAAAACTGCAACCTCTGAGTCTCCGAAGAGGTGGTGGTACAGTCCGAAAGGTATGATGCTATTCCCGCGCCAAGCCAACATTTTGGTGGGGGAACATGCACGAAGAGATCCTTTTCATCTCCATGTAGTAAGTCATCCTGTACCGATTGAGACACCGCTGTGCTGATTAATGCACACCGTGCTTGTCGGGTGGCCGTGCCCGGGTCCGAGCTCTTGGAGATATCGGCCAGCGTTCCGAAGATGTGAGCGACATTTCAGACGCACGTCTTTGACTGACAGCTACATATGCGAGATTTACATACGAGGTTGGGCGAAGACAACAAAGCGGGGACACCCGAGCCCCTGCCCCCCTCCCCAGTCAGACTGGTTCTCGTCGTCGCGGGGAAAAGTGGAAATGAGCGTCGTACGAACAGCATCATACCCTGCGGGCTGCAGAATAGAGGGCCACGACTACAGGGCGGTCAGTGAATGGGGAACGAAGACGCAAGATAACGACTCTACACCAATGTGACATTGTGACCGACTTTCAGCACTAGCGGCCGAACACGAGCTCACAACCCTGACTCGCTGTGACGGTTCGGTGGGTAGCATTCGCTGATATCTCGAAGCACCACCACGGCACATGATATCGAATGGAAAAGTTGTTGGGGGTATTTAATGTCGGGGAGGAGGGTTGGGGAGTAAGACCACAACCAAAGTAACGGCAATCAGAGGATGACAGCTGCGTGGGGAAACATCAGCAGGCTCCTGCGCCGCAAAGAATAGCAGAGACGTGTGCACAGTTTGAGTGCAGCACACAGAGGCAATCATCCCAGTTGGACGATAAGAGCGATGAGCAAGATCACTTGGAAATTGTGGCAGAGGCCCTGGAGCAGAGGCAGAGGCAGACGGCGAGTCGCGTGATTTGCTCCGTGCATGAGAAGAGGCCCTCGCTTGTGGCTGGGCAGCTGGGGCGACCACTGAAGTCGTGCTCGAACACGACGCAAAAGCTCTCCCGATGTCACAGCTGCCACCGGGAGAGATGCGCTCTGCTTTTATGGCCTGGTAGGTATTGGGAAGCATCACGGCGCCGAAGAAGTGATGTTAGGCAGATGGAGTTGGAACAGCTGTTCGGATGAAGTCGAAATAAGGTTACGGTGATTGCCGGATCACCGTGGCCCTAAATTCGACTCGAGTACCGACTCAATAGACGCAGACTGTCGAGTGCTCCCGACCGAGACCGCTCACGCCCGTTGAGCGAGCGCAAGACTTCCTGCATACCATTGCGGACGGCGAGCTCCCACTCGTCTGCACATTATCTCAGGGGAAATAGGAGAGAGGGAAAGGTAGGTTGCCCGCTCCCATTCTTCGGAGGAATGTTGATTGACTCCATCACATAGGAAAGTGGATTCTCTAGCCTGCTGGCGGCGGCCCCGCCGAATAGGCGAGCGCTCTGCCAGATTTGGCGGCCGAATACCCGCTGTTGCTGATGGGCTTATCTCAGCGGCTCTGACGAGCTCACGTAGAGTCGAGGTGCACCAGCCGCAAGAAGCTGAGGTTGCAAACTAGCTTTTCTGGCATGTGCAACATACCACGTGCAGATGGTAGCATGCGAGATCTCGCGAGTCGGCGGCCGTCAGGCACATGTACCCTGAGGTCCTTGATGGCTGAAAGTCCAAATTTGCAGGGATGGACGGGTCTTTGTGAGTCAAGGTCGCGGAAGAGACGGCGTCTAAAGCTAGGCTGTGACGTTGAGGCTAACTGTGTACATCCAGACATTAGCCGCGGACCCTAGCGCTATTGGTAGGATGGTCACCACTGTGTCACTTATTTCTGCCAATTTGGAGCCTCGAGCTCGATGTTTTTGGGCACTGTGCCTCTGTAGTGGGCTCGACGCCTAGCTTTTTATGATTGAGTTGCTCCAGTGCTTCTTCCTGCGCCTAAAGGCTTGCTGCTGGGGAAACATAGACTCTAGTTGCTGGTGCGAGGGCCTCAGCCAGTATCCGTCCGTAATGTGCTGGAGTTCGTCCAGTGGTCCCTTTGGTCCGCGAGACGTGACTGGTAAGGGGCGTCCGAAGTGCCGCTACGAAGAACACAATGTAAATCTTGCCAAGACCTGTCTCAAGCGTAGTAATGAATGCGAATGGGAGGTATTGTTGAATACTCCATCTGTTTTCGCTGGTCGCCAATTCTGGTCCTCGCTACAACAATGAGTCAAATACAGTGTGCTGGTGTTGGTAGGCATTTTGCGTCTGCAAGCTCCATGTGCTTTTCCTGTGTGCCTTTCCCATGTGCTTCATTCGATGGCTTGTATGAAAACAACCCTAGCTGTCTTCTCTTGCGGCAGTCGTAGCTTAGACTCGATGAATGTCTCCTGGGGCGTTGTGACTGGAGATCAAATTTTCAGGCCGCGTGGGGTGGATGCATGATCGTTGCGAGATCCCAATCACCGAAGAACAGGGGAGGAAGGCCACTTCCTGTGCAGATGTCGTTAGCTCGAAGATTAGACAACAGCCAGATTTGCCACAATCTGGTTGCAAGCCCCTTGTCTTCGTCGAAAGCCTTCAGGATCGAGATGATAAATAGTGTAGGATGGTCACGACCTTCGGATGCTTGTCAGTCCAATCCGGTCCAAGGTTCAGACTGGCTGTGCCGCGGGACGATTGAAAGTACGACTGAAGCCCCCTGACGAATTGGAAGGAAATAAAAGCTGATTCGGTGGCAGTTGTCGTTGGAAGAATTGTAGTCAATCATTTCTCTTCAGCTTTGCTGTGATCTTGACTCTTTTGATCTGGAATCTGCAAGCAGGCGAGCTGAGAAATGCGTCTATCAAGGAGCCTACCTCCCTAGAAAGGTCGCCTCAGGAAAGGTCGACGAATCAGAGGAAGGAGGCGGTCGAGCAAGGTGGAGCCATAGATCTGAGAGATGCGAGGAAACACTCTTCCAACAAGGCGACTTCGTGCCCGCAGTCGTTCATGGGAAGAGACTTGTGTGGGCCCAAGGGGTCGAGCACCTACGTGGTTGGTAACTTACCGGGTAGGCACTGCGCATGTCCCCCAAAAGTGACAGAGTTTGACGGCATCAAGCCCCCCTACAAGGAAGGCATAGAGCAAAGTACTACGGTAGGACTGCGCCTTCCCGTGCAGGCTCCGTCTTCACTGCGATGTTCTTGACTTGACTTGACGACTTCAGAACAGGCCCATCTACAGTCGTATCACTTCCAATAGCCATTGATTCGGCCATTCCCCGTCAAACGAACTTCTATGTCTTCTTTGCTCCATCCAGATCTCGCTGCCAATTCCACTGACGACCTTTGCCTCGCCAAAACATCCCTGTGTCAAAGAATTCACATTTGATCACGCCTGTCACGAGCAGCGTCAAATTGGCGTCGAGAGTGTCGCCCTATGCACGATCCAGCGATTTACCGAAAGCATACCACGATCCGTCCACAGCAACGTCGCGCGAGACAACCAGCCAGAGCACCACGACACATGTGTCGCGTCGGTGGCGTGTTGAATCTCCATCTTCACGTCGAAAGGGCCGTCACGGTCAAGAGATTGACAGATCCCACAGCTAATGTCGGAAGGCATCAAGCTTTGAGGCTAGACTGACTTGTGTGTTAGCATCAGACGACTCGCCGTACCTACGCACCGCATAATTCGGCCGGGCGCCCCGTGGGCCATTTTCCCGGAGAATCTTGGTTCCAGCAAGCCTGGCCCGGCGGTGGGATGATGTGGAGGAAGCCAAGATGTCCCCACGAGGCACAGCTAGATTGAGAAATGAAAAATGGGGACCCTCTCCCCATCAGTCCATTTCAACAATGCGCACAATGGGCCCCGAGCTGCCGCCCCGAACCGCCACGGTCGATCGCCAAGTGTTCGACATGCTAAGCTTTCTGTCAAGCTAACCGCACAACCGGTGATCGAGCTTGGCGCCCTTCGTTTCAAACATGATCGTCATTGGTCTAGATCTCCCAGCCCGATGTTGACGTGCTACGCAGTAGTAAAAGTGCGCGCTTATTGCTTGCTTGACGGGTGAAGCTGGTGCTTGTTGGAGAAATCAGAATTGTCGCCTACTTCGAGTACAACTTTCGCTATATCCTCGAACCTTCGCGATCCATTTCACATGGCGCTCTCGTAGCGTCGAACATCAAACGATCCATACAGAAGGCGACATCAACGCCTAGGGGATGGTCAGCGACCCGGCTCTACGGCATTTACGGAAATAACATGAGCATCTGGAGGAGCTGTACAACCGGTTTTCCGCGGGTTGACAATGCCTGTTTGGCCTTGCACAGTCTCGAGTGCTTCCCTCGTCCCCTTCCCCTGGCCAGATGGTCAAACGCCAAGACGTGAACGCTGCCGCCCATTCGCCCGGCTGTGTCCACACGGCCCCGGAGAGATGAACGATTCCACCGCAGGGGGGGGGGCTGCAGGGTGGGTGCCGAACTCCACCATGCGGATGGGGCTCCGTTCGCTCTCGGTGCAAGGCCGAGTGCCGTTCACACAGCCTTCTGGAATATTTCTGGCTGATTGTTTGTGGATCGCTGCGACTGTTGTGTATGCAACGGATGGCACACATCGGCAGAGTCGGCACGCATCCTCTGGAAGCACACCGGAGGGGATGAGGTCGACCCCAGGTATAAAGATCGTGAGGACTTCGTCTCCTAGGACAATTCCTGATCTTGTTCTGCATTCACTCATCCACATTGATTGACTGAACTCTACGACACTCATTCCTTTCTAACCAAATTAACTCTTTAACAAATCACTTATCAACCGCAAAAATGGTTTTCAAGTCTGGACTTATCGCGGCTGCCCTGGCGGCATCCGTCATGGCATCGCCTATGAGGGCCGACGACGTTATGAAGCGTGCCTCCAGCTGCACCTTCTCTGGCTCCAGCGGTGCTGCTGACGCCATGAAGCAGCAGGCTTCTTGCTCCACCATCACCCTCAAGGACGTCGCCGTCCCTGCGGGAACCACCCTGGACCTCACCAAGCTGAAGGACAACACCAAGGTCATCTTCGAGGGCGAGACCACCTTCGGCTACAAGGAGTGGAAGGGTCCCCTTCTGTCCATCGCCGGCACTGGCATCACCGTCGAGGGTGCCTCCGGCGCTACGCTGAACGGCCTCGGTGAGAAGTACTGGGACACCAAGGGCTCCAACGGCGGCAAGACCAAGCCCAAGTTCTTCGCTGCCCACAAGCTGTTTGACTCTCACATCAACAACATCCACATCGTGAACTCCCCCGTCCAGGTGGTCTCCATCAACGGCTGTGACGGCCTCACCATCAACCAGATGACCATCGACAACTCTGCCGGTGACTCCAAGGGCGGCCACAACACCGATGGCTTCGACATTGGCTCCTCCAACGATATCCACATCAACGGCGCCAAGGTCTACAACCAGGACGACTGTGTTGCCATCAACTCTGGCACCAACATCAAGTTCGACTCTGGTCTCTGCTCCGGCGGCCACGGTCTCTCCATCGGCTCTGTGGGCGGCAGAGACGACAACACCGTCACGGGCGTGACCTTCTCCAAGAGCACGGTCAAGAACTCGGACAACGGTATCCGCATCAAGGCCAAGAAGAACACCTCCGGCAAGATCGCCGACATCACCTACGAGGACATCACCCTCGACAACATCGCCAAGTACGGCGTCCTGATCGAGCAGAACTACGACGGCGGCGACCTGCACGGCGACCCCACCAGCGGCCTGCCCATCACCGACGTCACCGTCAACGGCCTGCACGGCGACGGCGCCGTCGCCTCCAAGGGCCACAACCTGGCCATCGTCTGCGGCTCCGGCGCCTGCTCCAACTGGACCTGGAAGGACGTCTCCGTGTCCGGCGGCAAGAAGTACGACTCTTGCCAGAACGTCCCTAGCGTTGCCTCTTGCTAAATTACTGGTTGTGGCCTCTGTCTCGAGGATTGCTGATCTCACCCATCCTTTTGGGTGGTGGAGTTGGCTGGTGGTTTTGTGTATATAGTTATCTTTGGAGTCGCTAGGCATTTAGTTGTACATGATTGGTAAATGCTAGCCTGCTGTCCAAGCGTCTTCTCGATGTTGCTCTCGATGTTCTGTCTAGTAACTGTCTCAGCATCGTAGTCTCTTGACTTACCTCCGTCTCCTCACCATCTTTACCTTGACTTACCAGCTACTGGCTTCCATTGTTTCGATTCTCAATTTTGTAGTTATTTTCATCGTATCCATTGTAGGGCCAAACGTTGATGTATAATGCATGCGTATTGTGACCTCTATTAATAGGGCTGTTTCGTTTCGACGTGAATTTGGGTATTCGGCCGGCGCTTTCCTTTTTTTCTCCACAATGTCAGGTCAGGGTCCCGTCCGAACACAGTACTTTAGGCGGAAACGACAAGTCGCAAGTACGGTTTAGTGGCGATGAGATTCCCAGGCTCGTGTTCGAAACCACGGCCGATCTGGCGTGGACGAGGGCCATAGTTCTACTTTCAATAATGGAGCACACTTGTCAAGGATATTTCACGACCCTCTGAAGGAAATATAATGTTCTGGTACGGCAACCTCGGCAGTGTGAGTGGCCACCCTTGAGAGACCTGGGCACGCTGTCAGGGCTTCCTTGGGTGCATGCAGAACACGTCACTGTCACTTGATGTCTACGATGATGGCACAGTCTTTGCTTGGGACAACGTCTTTATTGCTTTTGTTGTCTATCTATCTAAACCTTTTTTGTGGGTTTTTTTGTTTTCTGATCTTGGGTTGTTGTTGCTCCTTGGGTATCTTGGGTATCGTGGGTATCTCAAAGTGTTGCAGCCCGTACTCCAAACACTGTTGCTCTTCGCCGAGAGCTTGTTGTACATGTGTGTAAAAACAATTTGCAGAAAACAAATTACCCAACCCCAAAATTCCTTTTCCAAAACACTAATCAAATATTCTTCGCGAGAAAAAGAAAAAGGACAAAAGAAAAAGACACATGATCGATCTGGTGTGTGTCATCACTCGCTGTTCTATGTATAGAGATGTCAAGAGTGTTTCTGAAGAAGTCTCGGGTCAATGTATCTCAATTTGTTGTTGTTGTCGTCGTTGTTGTTGTCGAAGGATGAGAAGGAGGAGGGAGACAAGTCCATTTGCTCGTTGGTAGCTTCCTCTTGCGCTGGAGGCGGCTGGAATTCTCCGTTTGGGCCGACGGTGCCGACGATGTCCGCGACTTGTGGGACCGGTAATAAGGGGTGGCCTTGCGCTTCCATGTCTCTTAGTGTCTCGTCCATGGCGGCCGGAGCGTCGTCTAACCCCCACGTGGAAGGGTCAGGAATTGAATACAGATTCCGAAATGCGATGTGTTCCGGAGAGTTGCTAGGCCATCTCCAAAGGGACCATGCTTCGTAGCAGCCAAGTGCGTGGATCCGCATTCCGTAAGTCTTGGTGTCTTGCCCATCGGTCCCATATGCGAGATTCATTGCGGACTGCAGGGTGGCAAATGAGTCGGCAAGAGTGAACCACTTGTGTTGTACCCAGTTGATCATGGTCTGCAGGCCTTGCCGGTCTTTTACACCCAAGCGTGCCAGGTCGATTTCGCCGTCGTCGCCAACGGCGTGTGGCTGTTTTGTTTTCAGACTGGCTTGCCTAGCTTGCAGCCGGGCGCGTGCGTCTGCCCATGACTCATTCAGTCTCTTCGTTTTGGCCTCGGCCTCTGAGGGAGCAAGCTCGATGGCGACCTCGCCTCGCTCCGCGCGTTGGCACTGAGTCCACTGATCCTCCCGTTCCTGCATGTTCCGCAGAAGGATAGTCTGCAGATGCGCAATCTGGGAGGGCTCGTCGTTCTTCGCGAGCTTCTTCTCGGCCAGATCGACTCTGTTGTCGGCATTTTGAAGCTTCTCATATCTGTGTCTGAGAGCGGCATCGGCATACTCGGGAGCCCAGAACCGCTGGTTCTTTTTCCTTCGTCCTGGACCGGGCCGTGGTGTGGGCTCTGGGTGAGGGTCTGGGACTGGGCGGAAGGCTGCTATCCTTTGCTCAAACGTTAATGGCGGTGGTTGTGGTTGGTGCTGAGCCTGTGGTTGGTGCTGAGCTTGTGTCTGATGGTGAGGCTCCTGGGCGATCTGCTGAGGTATAGCCTCTTGTGCGTTAGGCACCAGTGGGACAGTGGCCAGTGGGATAGCCATCCGTGGGATGGCTGGCTGTGTGGTAGCCGCCTGTGAGAAATCCTCCAGTGGGTTGGCCGCCAGTAGGTTGGCCGCTTGTGGGATGGCTGGCTGTAGGACAGGCGCATTTTGGAAAGCCTGCGGTGCTTGAGGGGCCTGGTGGCTAGCGTAGTGAGAAGAGACTATGCCATGACCACGGCCGGCCGAATTCATGGGCCAAAATGGCTCTTGAGACGGCATCCCTGAGCCATATTGTTGGTGCTGGCCCACAGTGATAGGTTGGTTGATAGCTGTAGACTTGTCAGAACCTTGAAGGTCTCTATGATAGAGGGGCCGGAACTTGGAGTTGTTAGTACCTTGTGGATGAGCCATGGGCCGAAACCGATCTTGATAGGGCATCCATAAGCCATATTGTTGGTGCTGGCCTATAGTGGTAGGTTGGTTGATAGCTGTAGACTTGTCAGAACCTTGAAGGTCTCTCTGATGTAGGGGAAGGAACTTGGAGTTAATAGTACCTTGTGTATGAGCCATGTAAGGGTTACCACTGAAGTGTGGACCGGGGCAAGGTCCCATGGCGGAAGGGTTCGGAGCGAACTGATGTTGCTCTTGTCGCACGAGTGAACCTGAAGGTGGAGGCATGTTGTTGGGACCAGGGTATTCAACCCAGTCCAAGTTGTCGTTGAAAACAGGGTCACCAACCCAGTTGAAGTTGTCGTCGAAAGACATTGCGACTGATGAGTATACGTGAGAGTGTGAGCGTGTAAGTGCCCAAGACACTGAGAGTGTTGAGTCTTGTTGTCTTGTGTGGCACAGTGTGTTGATCTTTGCGTGGTTGTAGTTCTGTGTGTGTTTGAGATTTTGGGTTTGGGGTACACTGAGGAAAGAATGAACATGGAAGGCCGGGGGAGGGACGCTACTTATAAGGGATCTTGAGCCCTCTAATTGGAGGGATAGTGCGATAGACCACTGTCTTCTAGTGGCATAGGACTGCGAGCCATACGCGGCCGCTCGGGCATAGTATTTCATGAATGGAGTCAGGAAAGCAGGATGAGTGTCCAGTAGGGTCCTTGAAGTCCGAGGCCAGAGTAAACACCATGCTTAGGTGCCCGTCTAGTGTGTATAAACAAGTGATTCGCGGTTTCGCTATGGCTAGTATGCTTGTATGTATGTGACTCAAGGGGCATTGATGTCCGGCCTGCTTACACCAGGTCGACTAGTGTCGATCATTTAACAGTGCATTTTTGTTTCTTGCTGTCCGATATGTAGGTAGGCCGCCTGACTGAAAACCCGCAGGCGCCATGTTCTGGCTGTACTGGGTCATGATGGTAGGTGGGTCTGGCCTTAATGCTAGGATACAAGAGTAGCGGACGGCCCAAGAAACTCCTGGAATGCAGCTTCTTCAAGGAAATCTTTTGGTCCTCCCTACCTTCTGCGTCCTCAATATCGGGCACTGCGTGCAGTCACGCCTACTCTTGCTCAATTTACAGTCTGAAAACTTGGACTCACAGACATCACAGGAATCTAAGTGTGGCCTGCGTCTTATCATAGGCGCGAAAAGGAGCCACAACTGTATTGCAAAGTATGTCCATAGCTCTATCCTAGGGATATGAACACCGATTATGATGGGCAAGCTGAGTCTGCCGTCCGCTGTGCTAAGAGGATTCCGCCATGGCTTCGACCCATCTGAAATTTCGAAGGCTCTATCTACAATACACAGGCGCTTGGGTAGCTCTCATGCTCACAAAAGGTCGGCAGCGTCCAAATTCTTCATTTCTATCTCGCACAGTGAGTCAATAATGTCCAAGAGGGGAGGGCGCAATCAGGTTGGTGAAACTAGCACATGCTTAGGTAGGCACGGCCGACGAAATGACGGCGCGTGCCTGAACTATCAGGCCACATGTAGTCATTTTCCAGCACTAGGATGGTCATGTAGACGGCAGGAGCACCTTTGCGGCTCTTGCACTGTGTAAACTTACGGGGTCTGGATCAATCGGCCAGCTTCAGCACGATGTCAACCTATAAACGCGCCATCTACGCCTGATAGAACACTAGGCAGCGTCTGAAAGGACTAGTTACTGACCCAGCGTCAAATCGTCCAATAAACACATTTTGTCGGACACCATGCCCGCCATTCAACGGCAGCCGCGTTCTACGCAATATTCGCACTGTCATTGGACCACCTTACGGACCTTTTCGAGCAATTGCCGCCGAGGTAAGGAGGAATGACTGTGAAATTACTGCCAGCCAGCGCGAAACTAGTCGCCTGAGGGAAAACGTCTCTGGAACTTGGCACTAAGGCTGTGTACAAACATAGGGTCTGTCCTTGCGTTCTCCGCTGGAAGGGAAAGCGTACGAAATGCCATTACATCTCTCACCGCGCAGCCTACTGCTGGGACTCGAACCAGTGAACCTTCTTGGAAGGCAACACACTGGATGGCATTCCGTAAGAAGCCTTCTCCTGCAGAACGCGTTGGTGGAGCTTCCTTTGCACTGGAGCTTTCTTCTCTGTTCGAGTGCCGGGAAAGTAAATGAAGTTATCAGCCCAAATATAGCATAGGTACGTCTTGGTCTGGATCTACTGGCATTTCGGTCCTTCTACTGTCACTCTTCTGTCTACACGTATTGGTTTGCGAATGAGTCAACACGTCTGGATTACCCCTTAGCTTCATGTCCAACATGAAGGGCTCATCAAAGACCTGCTTAGCTGGACAAGCTCCCCCTTTGGTCCTGCCTTGGACTGTCATGAATCCCTTGCTAGCAGATGCTAGGAACCGGCGCAGATATCAAAATTGCCATTTTTGAATCAGCCCAACTTCTGAGATCTGGCAGGGCCACGGTCCTCCCGTTGGCTCCCAATTTCTTTTCCTGAGATCCTAGCACTCCGATCGACATCATCAACAATCACCAACAAGAACTGCAGAAGCATAACCAGTGAACCACACTGGGGCCAGTAACGACACCCAGTTTGTCTCTGCACGCAACAGCTACAAGAGAGGTCTATCAATCACACCAACCTCCTCATTATTCAAGTTATAAGTCGTTAGCGAAAGATGTCCAGAATCGGAAACAAAGGCGGCCACCCGGGGTTCCATGCCCATCCGCTATTCGCACAGAGTGCTACACCTCGCCATTTCGAGGACTCCATACCGCCAACTGCACAATTAAATGGCCCTCAACAATCTGGATCCAACCAAACCAAGAAGTTCCAGTCATATGGCATAGATCACCCTCCACGCCAGCAGTATTGTGCCAGCCGATATGGAGACATCGGAGAGCCCTCATCAGACTTCGTCTCGAGCGTATCACATGCAGCTCATTCGATGGCACCAACTCGTTCATGGCATTCAGCCATTCCTGGCCCCGAAATGACAGAATCCGCCATGCAGGACTCTCAAATCCCATGCGCGGATGTTTCTCCAGGATGGTCCATTAATCATCTTGCCCCATTTTCCATGCAGCCGCGGCAGGATGTCCACTACCAGTACAATGCCCCTGCACCCCACAGACATCACCCTATGGCGTCGCTGGTGGCCTCGCCCATGCAAATGCAGGAAACACCTCAGCAATGGCCGCCACAACAGACAGCTCACGCCAGCCCGCGTGCCGTGCTTCCTCGCCCCGAGCCCCGGAACCCGATCACAGATGAGGATTTCCGGGAACATCTGGCAAGACTCGGCACCCCGACAGAGAAATTTCAGCCTCAAGAGCACAGCGTCGGACGACCGCGTGAGTGCGAGCTTGCGGCACCGAAGCAACAGAATCACGCGCCAGAAGACTTCGAGAGGGCCCAGAGATATTACAGAAAGTACCATAATGCTTGGAAAAACTTCCATTCGGCGAAATCGAGGCTTGAGGAAGCATCCGCTCAAGAGAAAGGGAGGTTGCAAAAACTGACTTTGAAAAACGCCGAGCTGCTCAAGAACGCGAGGGAGGACTACCTGTCTTTCAAGCGGACCGGGTTACCCCTGAAAAGCGGTGCCAGCCCTGAACAAAGACAAAAGAGGCTCATTTTTCTGCGAGAAAGACTCGAAATTTCGCGCCAAAAAATCAGCAAGACGGAGGAATTCCTTTCCCAAGGGAAAATCACCCCAGAAGAGGCAGCTGCATCGCTCCAGCGTCAGAACCACTGGAAGTCGAAGATTGAGGGAGAGATTGCAGATATCGACTTCGAGATTCAGCATGATGGCATCCTCCCGAATGATGGCACACTCGCCTCTGGACACGCAGACACAGACAACGTACCTCCTGCCGACGCAGGGCTTCTCAGCCAGGAGGACCCCAGCGACTATTTTACGAAGAGTATCTCCGGTTTCACTAATGAATTTCAGATGGGACAGACGCCCAATATGTCTCTTCCTCCTCAGCAGCTGACCATTCCCTCAGCGGCCACATATGCTAATGTGAATCTAGTCGCCCAGGGGAACCCAGACAATCACATAACACCTCCTGCATGCGTAGGGCTTTCCAGCCAAGAAATCGCCAACAACCTTTTGGCGAACATTGATCCTGATCTCATCGCTGTGGGCAATGGAATACAACAGGTGCCTCATACGCATAGTTTTCCAGAGAATCTCACCATCAGCCCATATGCCGCACATCTCGGACAGACTGGGGCTCCGGCAGCGATGGGTCAATCCCCACCAAGTCTTATTCCTGGACAATGCTGTGATCGAAATTGCCCGCAGTGCCGCGCCATACGAGCAATGATCCTAAATAATGGATCTGGTCTTGACCCATTGCGTACATCCTTTTTGTAACAGGCACCAGACCCTACGGGGCTGATGACCTGGGACTGGGAGACTTGACATCTGGACCAGGATAAGGATGTCCACACAAATGGTTTGCCCGGTATGTGAAGGGTCTTCTAGAAGAACGAAGCCCACGCAAGGGAACTAGATGAGCGCGAAGAAGGAAAAGGAAAAAGGAGAAGAAGAAAGAAAAGCCGAGAAAAAAGTCTCAACACCTCAAAGAAGGGGCAAATGGAAGGGACATTGCACGAAACCATATTTTGTGATGGCTATATCTGATCCTTCATCGGGCAGTTGCGAAAAGCTACATACCCCAACAAGTGGTGACTGCAGAAACCAAGTTAATCTTCAGGTTTGGCAGACTTGCATTAACTAGGATCGACACTGTAAGGGTGTTGAATACAAGCAGAGTGACTAGGGATGCGTAGTGTACACGTTGCGTATAAGCAGTATGGGAGCAATAGATTCGTAGAGTAAAGTACAACTGAACTTAGCCTCTCCCTCCTCCTCCTTTCCCCGTTGAAGAGTTCTCCTTTCTTTATAGACAATTCCGCGCCCTCGCGGCTTCCCCGCTACGTAAGCGCAGCGTCCTCCGTAATCGGGTGGCGATTGAAGTCATAATACTGGGTAGGCGGCGTCATGGTATTGTGGTTCCTGACAGACACCAAGCCTGTGTCTGAATCCTGCATGTAAACTGTCAGAGTAAGACTAGCCAAGAAGAATGATTACCCAGTCTTTTGAGGAAACCCTCTCTTGTGTATTGAGCCAAACCATCAAACATGTGTTCTTGCCACGCTGTAACACTTTGGGGCATGTTCGCCAGAGAACAACGGTAATCCTCGTTCCTAATATGATTGTCCGTGATGAACATTTCCTGATTCTCTGTCAAAACTCAATCGAGGACTTTGTATCATGAAAATTACCTAGCATATAAACTTCACAGTTGCGTGAAGATCTCTGCTTGAATGTCGCCTATAGTATCTGTGGATCAGGGGCTAAGGGTTGCATGACGGGGAAAATACTGGCAGCAAAAGTACCCACACCCGTTCTATCTTGATCCAACAATATTGAATACCGTTGCACGATGCAGGAGGACTTCATGCAGGAGGACACCTTTATCTTTGAAGGGGAAAAGCCCAGGCTGTGTTGTCGGATAGCTGATTTTGGATCAACAGAAGCCGCCGTCATTACGAGATGAGATGCTGCTTCATTAGAACGACAAGAAAGACAGTCTTGGCCATCATCTGTGTCATGAACTGTTTCTAATTATAGGACCTGGATACCTCGACTCATCCGCGGTCAAGCCAGACATTTCATTACAGACAACTATCGTCAACCTGAGCCCTCCCAAAAATTAGCTGCCCCCTCCAGATCATCGACATTCAACAAGTCCACGCCGCCATCGTACAGCGACCTCCAGACCGCGTTCCGCGTGCCCACGGGCCACCCGGGCTGGTCCCAGTACCGCACCTTGATGCCCTTGGCATGCGCGACGGCGACCTGGGCGGCGAGGAGTGTCTTCTGCAGGTCATTGAACCCACCCGCGCCGCGCACGCCGGGGAACACCAGGTTGAAGTTGGTGCTGGCGATGGGCGAGACGTCGGAGGTGATGTTGGCGAAGGTGAGGGCCAGCAGGGGGATGGGCGCGTCCCAGAAGTAGTCGCGCGGCGCGACTCCCTGGACCTGGCTGAGCGGGGTGTTGCCCGTGCCGATTACGGTGACGGGGCCCTGGGTCACGGTGGTGCCGTCGTAGGTGGTCAGGTAGCCTGCGTCGCGGAGGGGCTGGAGGGCCTCGATGACGGCGGGGAAGGTGGTGGCTCCGTCTGTCTTGAGGTCGACGAAGAGGTACAGGGTCTGGCTGGGGGAGGTGTCGTAGACGCCGTTCTTGGTGGCGCCCGAGACGAAGGAGCTGTTTGGGTTCTGGCGCTGCAGGACGGACAGGATGGGCTGGATGTAGAGGCTGTCCAGGGTGCGCTCGTCGGTCAGGGAGGACTGGTCGTGGCCGACGTGGAGGGTGCCGTTGTAGAGCCAGACGTCGGCCTCGACGCTGATTGCGCCTGCCTTCAGGGCTGAGTAGAAGGGGACCTCACGCCAGTAGTCATTGTGAGAGTGCTAAGGAATCTCGGATCAGCCGGCGATCGGCGGAATGGGCTACGCGTGCTACTTACAAACCCCTTGGGGACGATATCCCCGGTCAGAGAGGTCGGGTAGTCATATTTTGGATCCGAGGCAGCATCACTGATGATCTTCTGCAGGGCTGGTGAAACTGGCACGTCTGACTGAGCCGAGACAGCCGGCACTGCGACAAGGGCCGTGGTAATCAGAGAGCCCAGCATGATGGAGGAGTGAGGTGCGAAAGAAAGGTCGGCCGGGATGGTCGGGTGCGGGGTTGGGTGGTGATGTTATTGCTCCAGGAGGGCAAAGCAAGCACCTTGCGAACTGGTGTTCGTCCCAACTTCCCTGGTCTTTAAATGCACTTGTAACCTTAGGGATACCACGACATTTATATGTGATGTCACCTGGGCCCTGTTCCCGTCTGGGTTGGTGTAGATGGTATTGGTTGCCGCTTGGCAGGGGAGAGCTCCGGATGGGCCAATGAAACTCGCACGTGGACCATGGACCTGGGCTTGTTACCTTTGATCACCCACACGAGGGTCTACACGTGCTACTAGGCTGGGCCATGAGGCATCGTGTCGTGTGGACAGTGCATTTTATATAAGCATGGGGCTAAGATCGCAACCTGGGGCCCTGCTCATTATAAGCAAGCAAGGACCACCATTTCCTTGACCAGACCCATGGAAAGGGAACGGGATCCAACTTGGCAGCATTTGGCCCGTTCCGAAGCTGCACTGCAGATGGCGTCAGGTTTGGTGAGCTGGATATTCTGTCTGGAATTTTGAATGCGCTCCCAGTCTTGATCTGACATCAAGAGTGTGGTCGCGTGTGCATCAACCGCGACGGTCGCGTGTGCACACATTGGCCGGCTGCTGTTCCAGGGTCAGCCTGAAAATGGCCTCAGGAAGCAAGGGTATGTATTTGGATGATAGGTGAGACGTCCACACATGGCAAATAACTCAAAAGAGGTTGTCAGTATGGTTTGAGAGACCGAAGTCAATCTGCTGCAGTTATCCTACTCGGAGCTGGCTCTTGCGATTATTCGAAGGTGCATCCCATGTGGCACGTGACCCTTCGCGCTTGTCGGCGGGCCGAAACGTGGATGCTGCAGGGATACGCCCACTTGGAAGTGGCTCGCGTGAAGATGGCGAGGAGAGGTTGAAGGAGGCGGATGACGCGGTCAAAGTTGGTTGAGACACATGGGCACAAGACATGCGAAGCGACACGTGCCCTTGTCTCTGCAAAAAGCTTGCCTTCTCATCGCATCTAATGTCGTGCATCGTAGAGTAGACTGCTAAAGACTATTGGCAGTGCTTTTCGTCCAGCCTGTCCGCTGCAGGTTACTGGAAGGATGGAAAGGTTGAGAAAGATACGATGGAACATTAAACGGCAGCTCCGGTATTTTCCCCTGGGGTCTTTGTGTGGCCTGTGCAGCACCACCAGCACCGGTGACGGCGACTGCTACGGCTACGGCAACGGATACGGTGGTAGTGGTCCGTCGGGGTTCAGGGTTCGAGTTTCTCAGGTTCAGGCGAGATCAACCCGACCAGCCTGAGTATCAGGGATATCAGGTGCGCAACAAGCAGAGGCATTTTGGGACAAAAAGCATGCCCAGGTTCAAGATAGGTTAATTGAGGATCAACTGATGAGGCGGGAGGGCGTGTGATAGTCTAGATAAAACGCCCCAAGCTCCAGGGTTAACGTTTGTTGGGGCGACTGGTCGCTAGATGACGCACTAAAAACGGCAGCTGGGCTCCAGGGCGCCGACCGCATCTGCCAGCTGCCAGGACCAGGCCCAGGCCCGACGGACAAGCTGCCCTGCCCCTGCCCCGCCACCCGCTCTCCTGACGGCCTGCATGAGCATCTGAGCAGTTGAGCATGAGCACAAGCAAGCACCTGGTCCTGAGCATCCCAGTTGCCCTCGGCCGGTCTCGACTCGCCCACTGTTCAGCAAACTGGCAATCTGTTTGTTGACTGATCGATTGACTGACTGACGCCCGCCCGCCCTCGGATCTTGCATCCATCCAACTTCTCCTTCAACACCAGCTGGTGACAACACCACCTTGCAGTGCACAGCTTTTGAGAACCAGCACTGCCTTGACCGACCGTCCTGTCCTCGACGCGACATACCACAATCCATCATCCCTCCCTCATTTATGGCTTTGTTTCTCTCCTCGGGTCTGTGCTTTTCTGTCTCTGGAACAGTCGCGGCGCATACGCTCTGACGAGATCACCACTGTTGTTGGGTCCAGGGGAGCTTTCCAAGATTCGTAGGTCCTATCCTCCCCCTCCATTTCCTTCCTTCGATCTTGGCCCTCCGGAGCCGTCGCAGCAGGATTTGCAAGGGTCATCGACGAGAAGGATACCATCTTGACCGTCCCTCGGTGTCGCACCCCGTGTCGTCCGTCGCCGAGTCGCGGCGCAAACTCGAGTCGAATGGCGGTAGCCAGCGGGTTATGACTCTTGACCGGCGCCCCCTTCAGCTTTGCCATCCCGTTCCATCCCATCCCATCCCATTCCTCGCATGACAGCTGCAGCCTCAGTGCTGTTATGACAGCCCCGTGCATGCGTTCCAGCATGGTCAAGTCGAGCCGAGGCTGTATCTGGAATTCAAATCACATAGCTAGGACTGCGACCTGTGGCATGGGTGTCGGCATTGGGCATGGATGGCATCATCGACCAGTCATTCTGCCAGTTGGTCGTCAGGGCCAGCCCGAGGCTTGAGCTCCAGCTTCCAACCCCGGACCGCACTGGGCTCGACTTGGACTGGCCTGGGGGAAAGACAAAGGACCCCGAACCTGGACGGCACCCCCCAGCATTGGAACCACGCACCACTGGGCCTCCTGATTCGGTCTCTCACATGTTGTTTCACTGCCGCTGCTAGGCTGGCACCAAACACACTCGTCCACTCCCATCGGTACCCCGATCCTGCCAAGACCGTTGTGTTCATCCGCTCGCCTGCCTGCTGCTTGGTTGGCCAAGCCTCGCTGACAAGTCATTTGGTTTCTCCGACTTCATCTCGACCACGCACGCTGACCCACGCCTTTTCCCTCGCAGACAATAGACTTCATTGAGATACCCCCTCGCGATTGACCATCACAGCTCGACCGCGACTGCATGCTTTTGGGTGTATTTTAGACTGCCGTGCCGAACACGGCCTTCCAGCCCCGTTCCATCCCCTTCCCGCACCCTCCCGGCACCGTCCTCGACAGCCTTCGACCACCATACCGACACAATACATCCCCCCCCCATCCATCGAATCGACATCTCTCCGCCACCTGTACGGTCTTATACCTCGACCGCCGAGCGGCCATCTGCATGACCGCCGCGCAGACTCATTACCTACCTTCCTACCACCTATCCCCTGTCGGGCGTCAGATCGCTGGCGCTGTGACGTAGGGGCTTGTGGGCACCACCGGCAAGATGTTTTGGAGGTTTGGCGGATACGCCAACATATCCACGATCGATACTATTCTCGACAAGAATGACTTCACACTTGAAGAGCTTCTTGATGAAGGCGACCTGATACAGGAACTGAAACAACACAATGCGAAGCTTATCGACTACCTCCGGGACGAGCCCGTCCTGGTCAAGCTACTTGAATACGTTGTCGCCCCCAAACTAGAGCCAGTCGCGACTCCCGATGTCGACGATGACGACGAGAAGGAACCCGAAGCCGAGACAGAAAAGGGCAAGGGCCGCGTCCTGCCCTTCTCGAGGCCAAGGGCGTCATCCAGGGCGTCCGAGCCTGAGAACAAGGAGGAAGAGATGGAGAAGAAGCGCAATAGGTATGCGTACGTTGCGGCCGAGATTCTTGCGTCGGACAACTGGTCAATATGCGAAGCCCTGCTGGCAAACAAGACCATGCTGCGCAATTTCTGGGAGTTCCTGCAGCATCCTATCCCTCTAGACCCTTTGCAGGCCAGCTACTTCACAAAGGTCAACGAGGCCCTGTTTGACAAAAAGACCGAGGAGATGATTGAGCTACTCAAGTCTATCGACAACGCCGTTCCAGACATGCTTCGGCACGTTGACTGCCCCATGATCATGGACTTGCTGCTCAAGATCATCAGCCTCGAGCGGACTGAGGCTGGCCAGGGAATAGTCGAGGTAAATCCCACGCATAGCATCGAGTAACACCGCCCCTGCTAACCAGATTTATCGCACAGTGGCTTTACACCCAAGATGTCATGCCAACACTCCTTTCCTTCCTCGGCCCCGAGCATAGCTGGGCCACCCAGACCTCGGCAGGCGACTTCATGAAAGCCATCATCACCGTATCTGCAAACGCCTCGCAAAACGAGCAGACGTGCATCGGTCCGAACGAGCTTACTAGGCAGTTGGTATCAAAAGATTGCGTCGAGAAGCTGATATCCTACATGCTGGGTGGGGGCAACGCCCTGACCGTCGGAGTGGGAATCGTCATCGAGGTCATCCGCAAGAATAATTCCGACTATGATCCCGATGTTGGTGCCGAGGCCAGCTCCTCCCCTTCAAGCCGAGACCCCATCTACCTGGGCACCCTCCTGCGACTATTTGCCGAGCACGTCCCTGACTTTGCGCATCTGATCATGAACGCTCCGGCACAGAAAGCTCGCCTTGACTCCACCTTCGGTGACAAGATCGAGCCGCTCGGCTTTGATCGTTTTAAGACCTGCGAGCTGATGGCTGAGCTCCTGCACTGCAGTAATATGGGCTTGTTGAACGAGGTCGGTTCCGAGGAGCTTATCGCTGCTAGAGATAGCGAACGCCAGCGGTTACGTGTTGAGGGCAAGCTTTCAGCTCTGCGTGGCGAGGACGTTCCGTCCTCAGCAGATGATCTCACTATGCGCATATCACACTCTTCGCCCGCCGACGAAGGTCGCCGATTGGAAATTACCAACATCTCTGAGGACGACGGCTTTGAGGAGGTCGCGCACAGCAAAGAGATGACGGAAGACACGTCGCACGAGTTTGTCAAGGCCGAGGAGGAGATACAAGCTGGCCAGGCAACTTCATTCCTGGATAAGGACGAGGACGATTTCGTCGACGAGCCACTGAGCTCCCCTCGGCTCCAAGTCAGCGGTGCCAAGATCGAAGAGCCTGAGTTTGATGATCCAGATTTGGTTGTGGCACCGTTGTCCCCTTCAAAGCAGAAGGCGAATGACTTGAACGAGCTTCCCCCGTCTCCATCAAAGGACGAAGGCGCCAAGGTCGAAGATCTGGTGGAAGACATGCAGAAGTCCTTGTTGGAGGACAAGCCGAAGACTCCAGAGCCACAAGATGCAGCAGGCTCCGCGGAGGACAGTGGAACTTCTACTCCTGCTGTTGATACGCCCGCAGCATCATCAGTAGCCGAGTCCGAGACCACGAAACCTGAAGCTCAAGAGCCCGAACCATCCGAATCTGAGGCTCCCTCTTCCGAGGCACAGACTGAGGAAGCAGACAAGCCCGCGCCTCTCTTCTCCCAGTCGCAAACTGCTCCCGAGGAGATTCCCGCCAAAGCGGAGGAGCCAAAGGAGGCTGAGCCGTCTGATGCTGCCAAGCAAGCGGACGAGCCCCAAGCTGCACCACAGGCTGCCGAGTCTGATCAGCCAGAGCAAGCAGCCGGCGACGCATCTATACTTGTTGGCCATGAGGTGCAGCCCGAGGCCCAAGACCTCAGTAACGTGCAGCCAGTCGTGGGCGATTATCTGAAGATGCAATTTGTTGAGTATGGAATCGTTCCTACGATCCTGTCATTCTTCTTCAAATACCCTTGGAACAACTTCCTTCACAACGTTGTTTATGATATTGTGCAGCAAGTCTTCAACGGACCGATGGACCGTGGCTTCAATCCCACGCTCGCAATTTCTCTGTTCGAATCTGCGGATATCACGAGCCAGATCATCAACGGCCAACATGCCAGTGAGCAGTCCCAGCAACAGAACAAGACCCGCATGGGCTACATGGGCCACCTCACACTCATCGCCGAGGAGGTGGTCAAATTCACCGAACGCCACCCGCCTGAGCTTCTCAGTGAGACGGTACTGCAGAAGGTCATGGACCAGGAATGGATCAACTATGTTGAGGGCGCTCTTGCGGAGACCCGCGAGCGTGACAACGCCATCCTGGGAGGTGTCCGGCCGGAGGTTGCCATGAGCAATAGACAAGCTGGTGGTCTTTCAGCGGTCGGTCTATCCAGTCTCGGCGCCGCGTTCGGCAGCTCACAAGGCGGCAGCTCGAACGCCCTGGCGGACGCGGGTCTTAACGGCGGCCTGAATGACATGAGTGACAATGGTGGCGGCAATGGGATAGGACCCTTTGCCATCTCATCGGGGACTTTGATGTCTGGTTTTGGTAGCAGTTCTGATGAAGACGAGGATGAAGAGGCTGAGAACGAGGAGGACGTTAACAATGAGGTTGGTATTCTTCCCTTTGTCCCTTCCCAACCACGCCCTAGGAGGTCTTCTGGTTTGTCATCTTTTGCTGGCCGCCCTGTGCCGCGGCTTTTCACCCGTTCTGCGTCTGGTTTCCGTGGGAGCGAGGACTGCATCGAGGATTCCGACTCAGACGATCCTGAGAGGTCATGCCCGGATTTGGACGACAACCACGACCACGATAGCGCCGACGAAGACGAGTTGGAGCCACGCAAGATGATCCAGAAGAGAATCGCTCCTCCTATCACCGCAGGCCCCCGTAGGGGCAGCTTGGCCGACCCCATGGACGACTTTGAGGATGTCTCGTTGGCCGACGACGAAAGTGATTCCAACTCCTTGGGCCACATCTCGCCCGATGAGTGGGAAGATGTCGAGGACCAGGGTTTGGAGTGCACAGACGACGAACCCGCAGGCCCTGTCCTACAAGTGGATGATGGGGCGCCGGAGCAGGAAACAGACGTCGTCGGCCAAGCGGACGATGATAGCGATCCCCTGTTCCGCCTACTCATCTCAGTCAACTTCCCCTCAGAGGATGAGATGCGACCGCGCCGAGCACGACGAGACGAGGAGATCCACGTGGGCATGCTCCAACTTGTGAAAGAGCTTTTCGAAGGCAAATACCCTGACACGTTCTTGGACCGCATGGCCGACATACTTTCTTGTCCGCCTGGCAACCCTCCGAGTGAACACGACATGGGGGTGCAGGCCTGCCTGGTCGAGATAGGTCGACTGGTCCAGATGAGCGCACCACCAGACGAGGCCACGAACCCAGACTCCCAGTTGGACAAGCCGGTAGCCGACGAAGAGAAATGTGGAATGGAGAAGCAGCTCTAGGAAAATCAATAGTTGTAGGATTAAGCACAATGACTCGGGTCGACAAGAGCTGGATTGATGTGCTGGCTGCTAGGCCTGGTTCAACGGAATAATGGGCGTCCAGTCGGCCATCGGACAGCAACCTCGTGCTACATTGGCTTTTGCATCTCAATCATGGCCTCGGGATTGGCTGTCAGCTGTTGTATCCTTGTGGGTCTGATGCTGTGGGACGGTGGATTGGTGATGGTGGCCCCTGCTCCGGTCTTGAATCCTCTTCGGCCAAGCGACCCCTTCTCGGCCACGATCCGGCAGCCTATCCGACTCGCACACTTGTTCTGGGTCCATCTTCCTGTTTACATGGCGCCCATCCTCGATGCTCTGGTGGCGGTTGCTTGCACTCCGCCTCGACCCCGGATTTCCTTTCGTCTATCTCCTTGTGTCTCACTATTGCACCGTTGCGGCTATCTAACGTTGAGTACAGTTAGGCATACATGCTAATAGCTCATAGTTCCGTGCCTACACCGACCCCCTCAACTCCTCAGGCCAGTCTGCATCCAACAGCTTAAACCCGCCCTCGATCCCGCCTCCCCCACCTCCCCCGCCACCGCTGAACATCCCCCCTTCCCGTGCCCGCATGGCCTTTGCGGCTCGGCTTGCCTCGAAGCGCAAGGAAGCAGAAGAAGCGGGTGAGGACGGCGACCTCAGCGAGGACAAAGGCCTGGGTAGGGGTGGCATGAGCTCGTTGCTCCAGCAAGGCAAGGAAAAGGAAGGCGATGGACAGCTGCGGAACCCGTTCGCGGATGACGAGGACGATGATGAGCAGAGTGACGATGAGGATGAAGAGGATGACGAAGGCGACCTCGGGCGCGGCGAGAATGCCAGCGGACAAGGTAGCAGCTGGAACCGGGGAGGGTGGTGGCGCGGGGCTCTGGGCAACAGAAAAGACAAGAGCGCCAAAGAGACCTTCGGCGACGGCAGAGACTCCACTGACTCGGAAGACGAGGCCGAGGGCCAGGGCGGCGATGGCGGCAACAGCAGCGACGAGGAGTTTGGCGACTTCGCCATGCCCGAGTCGTCGGGAACCGCTGCCGAGGCCAGTGGGACAACGTCGGGCTTCGATGCGGAGCGGGAAAAGGTGCTGGTCAAGCCAATGCCTGTGCACCCACCCGGCGGCGGCGGGAACAAAGGCAACTTCTTGGGGCTGTGGCCTTTTGCGAAGAAGGACAAGGACAGTAGCCCTACTAAGGAGCAAGCCGGTGCCGAAAAGACGGCTGACGCCGCGGCTACCTCCGAGAAACCCATCGAAGCACAGGCAGCGGACGAGGCTGCCCAGGAAGAAAAAGAGAAGGAAGCTGCTATCGACACGGACGGTGTAAAAGAGGACGAGAAGGCCAAAGCCGAGCCCCCTGTCGTGCTGAGCGAGGACGGCGAGAAGGTGCAGCCGGCCGTCGAGGCAAAGCGGCGCACGAGCATCGAGGAGCCCGATGAGGGCGACGAGGTTGTTGTCTAGAGCGGACTGGTGTGACTGGGAGAGGCTCGAGTGAGTGATTGTGGTCGTCTGGCTTTATGATGATCAGCACTTCCACAGCCGCCTCGACGCACCGATGATGATGATAAGAGAATCCTGTACGTGTATCACGGTTCAAATTCACACAACAAGAGATGACATGGAGTATAAGAGAGAGAGAGCATCTGTATGTGTGTACGCAAGTGTATGTGGAAGGTCTTTCAGGGAGTTCTGGGATTGTGGGTTTGGTTAGAGGTCACGACGATGATGACACACCCATGGCCGGTGCGTGTGTAGGTAGTTCAGCCTATTGGCGCCGTCTTTGGGACTGGCTGGCTAGCATGTGAGAATTGTATCATATGTGTTTTTCTACCATCCTCTTGGTTGAGTCGGTCCCTTGAATCTGGTGAGTACACTCTCTAGCTGGAGCATTGGTGAACGTTTGCTTGGGCGTGCTCCGGCTGTCGGGGCCGAGCTCGGCGAACATCATCGGGGGCAGCTGCATCCTTACGGCCGATGACGCCGAGGCTCGATTGAGCGTGGGCTCTTGGCTGCTGCCGACATGCGACGAGACAAGATGCGAATGCGTGTCACCAGCAGCCCTAGTGCTGCTACTGCTGTTTCCTGGAATGAACGAGCTTCATAGCTCCCCTTCCTTACATCTACACAACTTCGTTTGTTCGAGGATCTGGCCGATCGAGCTCCTGCGCCAGTTACACGCAGCTGACGTCGCGTGCACACCCACACACCCCGGAGGCGCTGGACCTAAGCCAGGGACGCATAAACCCCGCGACCCAGAGAAACGCCGGCCGGCCGCCCTGCTGGACGAGTTATCAAGCTCGCATTAACCCACCACCTCGCCGGGTGTTTCATCGACAGGGGGGGAGGGGCGAGGCCTTGGTTCCCTCTGGGCCTTTTCTTGATTTACGGCCTTGCGCCTATTATTCTCCAGAGGACCACTATAGGTATTAAACCTGGACGGCGGGCCGGCACCATGGTCGTCAGGGCTTTCCTTGCCGTGTTTGCGGTGCTTTATGTGCACGTTTACTTGAGGGTATGTTGCTACTTTCAACTTCGCTCGTCAACTGGAATTGTGAGAGGTATTTGTGAGGGCTGATATTGGTACTTCGTCGTGACTAGGCTTTGTATTTCATCCGACCGCCGCCCAAGGAGCGGACGTGACGAATCGGACGAGGAGTCGACGACAGCGAAGCCGTCCAATACTGAATACAACCAGCCAGTGTCCACGCCACCCATTTCAATCGCCGACTTGTTCAATTCCGGACCTCTTCTCAGGACCGCGAAATGCCCACCGTGACCCTGACCCAGGCGCCCTTGCCTTCCACCTCGTCCACCTCCACGCCGTCGCCACCAAGAAAGAAACGGGCGAATTCTCGGCAACAAGCATGGCACGACGGCGCGGACAAGCAACAAGGGAGAGGCAAGAGCAGGAAGGCAAGAGCAGGAGGGGTCAAGAAAGACCCGCCGCCGCTGATACGCAAGGTCGGGCTCGCGGCTCAGATCTACGGCATCCAGGGCGTCATGGGCACGGTGGTGTGGTTCCAGGGCTGGCGGGAGTGGCTGTACCCCCCAAATGGCGGGCCGGACATCGTTAAGGCTTATGAGTGTCGGCCGGGCATGGGCGTGCGGTATGTTGCTGGCCCCCAACCGACTGATTTGTCCCTCGACACGGAAGGACAATGTTCTAACAAGGCCATCGGCGCACAACAGCATTTTCTTCCCCAAGAGCTTTGACCTGACCTCCCCACAAACACTCCCCACCATTCTGACGGTCCACGGCGGCGGCTTTTGTGTCGGCACAAGCCGCGACGACGACGAGTGGAACAGGCGCGTAGCAGACTCGCAAAACATGCTCGTCATCAGTCTGCCCTACTCCAAGGCCCCGCGCGCGCCGTTTCCTGCGGGGCTGGACGACCTCGAGGCTCTGTACCTAGCCGTGCTGGCCGACGAGAGCCTGCCCATTGATCGGACCTCGAGCTCAAACAGAAGCAAAGGCAGAAGCGGGAGGGCGGGGCGCGGGGCCGGGGCGAGGGGCAGAGTCGCACTGGCGGGCTTCGACGCCGGTGCCAACCTCGCGCTCGCCCTCAGCCAGCTGCCAGCCGTGCAGAAGAGCGCAGCGCCGCCGACGGCCGTGGTCAGCATCTCGGGGATCCTGGACCTGTCGCGCCCGCTCGAGGCCAAGGCGCGCGGCCGGCCGTACAAACCGGGCTTGCCGCACCCGCGCAACGGTGCCGCGGACGTGCTGGCGGCGACGTACTCGGCGTACGCGTGGAGCTACGTTCCGTACGGGGAGGACCTTCGCGATCCCTTGCTGAGCCCCGCGTTTGCGGGGTGGGATGGCGACGGTGATGATGAAGGTGCGCTGCCGCCTCATGTCTGCCTCGTCGGCGCGGAGCTGGACCTCCTCGCGCACGAGAGCTGGCGCATGGCGTGCCGGCTCGTGCAGGAGGGCGGGATCCGGCGCGGGGACGGGCGGAGGGCGCGGTGGAGGGTTCCGGACCCTGACGCCGCCGGGGACAAGACGCAGTCTGTGTGCGGGCGGGAGCAGCTGAGCGCCGTGAAGGGGTCGCTGGAGATGGAGGACCTATCTTTGTCTGCGCGGGAGGACGAGGACGGGCTGGGCGGGCGGAAGAGGTTTGGGTTCGAGGTTACTTGGTCCTCTGGGGACGATGACGGCGGTGGGGCGGGCGGGGACGAGGATGGGAGTGTGAGGTGGATCCTTGTGCCGGATGTGATGCATGGTTTTGATCGGTCGCTTTGGAGGTACGGTGGCGAGGAGACGGCCAGGGATGCTGAGCTCAAGACTGTTGCTTATATCGACACTGTGGGAAAGTGGCTGCGCGATACCGTGTGGAAGATCTAACCAAGGCAGAAACCAGAAAAGAAGCTCTGCCCACTCACCTTGGCTTGGACCTCTTATTTTTGACTGTGATGTCTAGGAGTGAGCACCGGCGGTTGACGGTGGGTGTGGACGGATACGGATACGACTGAATCTTTCACAGATGTGTCCTTCTGACCAAAGTATATGACATCGGAAGCTGGATCATCGCAGTGACGCCACACTATAACAAGCAATTGTGATGAGGTACATCTACTAAAACCTAAAGCATCTCCAAAAGAATCTCCATATAATACACATGTCTGCTTTATCCCTGTCTTCTCAACCTCAGTTTTATGAGCATTATAAAGTTGATCGTAATACTTTCAATAAAGTATGTCACAATCGCCCAATGAGATCCAAGGAACAGATACAAGGCCCAATGTCGACCTGGCGTACCTAGCGGCGATGGATTCTGGGAACCGAGGACGTCGAGCAGGGTTAACATGATGACGCCGATAGGGCTGAAGACTGCGGTAAACATCATCAATTGTGATGCATTAGGCGTGGTTATCCACGTTATGAAGCGAGAGCCATGGCGATATCCCGAAGCGTAGTGGGCAGCCTGGCTCCGAATGGAAAGTCCCATGAGGGCCCACGCATAACAGGATGCTGGAAGGATGTCAAGGGCCGTGGAGAGAAGTATCGGTAGCCTTTCAGGGCCCGAAAAGCCCACGTAGACGTAAACAATCTGGGCAGAGGCAAGCAGTGTGACTGTGACGACCAGGAGCCAAACTGCGATGGACATCCATTTGCTAGATCGATATTCCGGACTGTCGAGTACGGAGGTGGCGCCATCTGGGCCGACGCTGTCTTCTCCTTGGTCATCCGTCTCACGTATCTGTCTCGCGTCGAGTTCAGTGACATCAGCCTCTGAATGCCCGTCGTTCTTTGCACGCAACCCAATGCCGCGATCATGGCTGGTATGGCTGCTTTGAGTGATTGCGGCGGCAGGAGTTGGATGTGCTGTCTGGTGGCTTGATGTGTGCCATGCACGACTTCCGCGCTTGAAGACCTCAGGCACTACCAGAGCTAGAGGGCTGAGTGGACCAAGAACGGCCAATATTTGGCCGAATGTCCAGGCCCCGTGTTGAATCTTGTGGAAATAGGGGTCGTGTGCTGGATAAAGTGTCATACATCCTTGGACAAATGCAAATATCAAAAGAAGTACCTGATGTTGAAGCAATCAGCAGTGTTCATTCCAATCTCCGAAAACAGTGTGGCCCTCAAGTTGGCCTACCTTTGCTAGCTTCGAGGTGGACATGTCCAGAAGCAGGCGACCCGTCAGATGCAAGGCCAACAGCGGAGTTGTGACAAGACTTTCCGCAAGATCGGGTCTATGGCCAGTCGTCGGGAACATACGCATTGCCCGGCTGGATGTGTGTTCGATGGCGCGTCGGCTGTAGCCGCCTATGGGATTTCTGATGCGTCTTCTGAAAAACGACGATGGATACCCAAACAGCCTTGCAGCGTTCCACACGATCAGTATGGCCACAGTTGCCATCCCAAGAGCAGCAGCCTGAAAGGAGTCTGTCCCGGACAGCGGAGTATGAAGATCGCAATATCGTTCGCGGGTGGAGTTGAAATCTAAAGAGGGACTCGATAAATTTCGCGAACCTGCTTCGTCGTAGGTAATCGCAAAGAGGTTGGCGTTTTCGTACATGATCACTCTTCTTATTATCAAGGCGGCAGCGTCAGTAAGCCGAGGAGGCCTTAGTGGAGTGAAGTCACCCCACCGGCAAGGATCGGCCGAGAGATACAGATCATTCGCGCTGGAAACGTCGAAATAGCACGACGTGGGCGAGACAGGCTGGGCAGCCGACCTTGCAAGCATAGGATAGCTGACTAGCCAGCCGTCGGGAACGAGCCCCTTGGTATCCGATGGTCCATCAAGCTGTACGAGGCCGCGTTCGCTGTACCAGTTGAAATACGCCGTAGGGACCATTGCGATCATGAGCAAGACCAGCAGCGCACACATGAGCAAGAGGCGAACGTTCCTTTGCCAGCGATGCTCTCGGGAGTGGTTTTGCATCAAGAAGAGGGTTCCCTGGTGGGTAATCGTCGAAAACCATGCGAGATGGACTAGAATCTGCCAGTGATAGGCAGGGAGCCCGTTTGGCTGGGATGGAGATGGACAGAGCGAGACGAAGCCATTGATGAGAATAGCCAGGCCTGTGAAGATTTGGATGTCGCTCAAGGCTAGGAGAGACTGTTATCGTCAGCGTTGATGTTTTATCTCTCTGGTAGATCATATAACCTACAGTAGAAACCACGCGTCTGACCCTATCTTGGCCCAGAATTGTGGCCAGCCAAGGTGAGATGCGGCTTGGGATGAAGCTGTCGGCGTAGGCAAAGACCAATCGACCTGTCTTTCGTATAGAGCCCAGGACTACCTCATCAATGAGGTTCTTCTGCTCATGGTGGATTCCGTCATGTGCATCAGACGAAAGAAAATAGGAGGCTGTGACGGCCAACACAGTGATCCCAGCGGCAACAACAAATCCGGCTACGACCTAGTGCATCGTCAGAATATTCATCAAACAGAATGGCCTACTCAAGTTACCTACGCCTGGACCTGATATGTCTCCGTAGGGTGCTACCAGGGTCACTGCGCTGGACGGCAGGCTGCAGTCGACGGGACAGGTCCATAGTCCCCATGCCATTTTGGATTTTGTTGGAAACAGTAAAGGATGAAGGACAGAGGTAAGATCTCAGCTTCCCGGGAGATGGCACGATTAAGGGCTTTCGCTTGATTTGACTCAGCTCAGCCTGATTTTACATGCATTTGTGTCACTGTCAGTTGTGGCTGCCTGCCGCAGTTGCTTATCTTTTCCAAGCCCCCTCCTCTCGAGCTCTGGACCTGCATGTAGCATTGATCCTTCGTGCCCCTTGCCCTTGCTTAGCCCCCAATCACTATCCATCCCCACTTCTCATGCTTCTGTCAATTCGCGTGTAAAAGGTGTGACCAACTATAGGCTAGACTGTTTCTATTCTTTGACTTTCTGTGGGACAAGAGACAATGTACTATGCCGTAGACAATCACAGCCGTGACCAACTATATACACAAATCACTGCCTCGAAATACGGCCTCCTCCAATCCTTCAGACTTCACGCTCACATCCACGGTGGACCTTCTGGCCCCCGGTGTCAATATGCCCCGTCTCGGCTTCGGCATCTACCGAGTCCAGCCCTCCGAGACATTTGACGTGGTACTCGCCACGCTGGGGGCTGGATACCGCCACCTCGACTCGGCGCAGCTGTACAACAACGAAGCCGAGCTCGGCCAGGCCATCCGCAAGTCCGGCCTCGCGCGCAAGGACGTCTTCCTCACCACCAAGATCCGCTACCCGGGCATGAACAAGGCCAAGACCTGGAAGAAGGTCCTCGACAGCGTCAAGAAGGTCTCCGGGGCGGAGGTGGCCTCCGGAAAGAAGAGGAAGCGAGCCGATGATGGAGTGCCTGCTGAGGCGCAGGCGGACGGTGGCGCTGAGTATGTGGACTTGTTCCTGGTGCACACGCCGTACGGGGGGCCGAACGCCAAGAAAGGGCGCAGGGAGATGTGGCTTGCGCTGGAGAGGGCGTTCGAGGAGGGCAGGGCTCTGGCCATTGGCGTCAGTAACTACAAGGTCGAGCACCTTGAGGAGATGAGGGAGTATGCTAAGGTGTGGCCGCCGCACGTCAACCAGATACAGGTAGACTTTCTCCCCAGTGCCATTGCATTCTACGGCCCAATATGAGATCAGGAAATTGTGCTCACGTGTCGCAGCTCAATCCTTGGACGCAGCAGCGCGAGGTCGATACCTACTGCCGGGAACACGGCATTGCGGTCCCAGGCGTTCAGTCCGCTTGCCCGCGGTGACAGGTGGGACGAGCCGGTTGTTAATGAGCTCGCAGACAAATATTAGAAGTCACCGGCGCAGCTTTTGATACGCTATGCGGTGCAGAAACGTTGGGTGCCTCTGCCGAAGAGCGAGGGACCGGAGAGGATGAAGGCGAACACGGAGGTGTTCGACTTTGTGATTGAGGATGGGGATATGGAGATGCTTGATGGGCTTGATGGAAAGAAGTTGGGCTATTTTGAGTGAAAGATGAATATTTCAGACTAAAAATTTATTTCCAAGGCCATAGGCTCTATTGATCCTATGTATAAAGCTTTGGATTATTTATAATAAGACTATTGGAAGGTTTGAGATCAGAGTACATCATAGAATTCTTATTCTGTTGCACATCACAGTCTGAATCGGATAGGATCGTCTTGAGCTCGGCATTTGCATTCACGTATTCCTCAGAGTATAATAGTATAAGATTATGACACTCTAGTATCCCATCTCAACGGTTGGGTTCGCCTGGCTATTCGGGGCATATCGTGCGGAGTTCATCACACATGTTTCATTGTGTATTTCGGCAAAAGTGACAGAGCATCAAAGGACCCTGGATGTTTCTAGTTAAGGGGGCTGCTCTCCCAACTCTTACTGATGAAAGAGAGCCGTCTTTCACTATTTCCCGCCCCTTCCTTACCATGTGGCAACTTTGATTGGTATTGGTCCATGAGGAGCACATAGCCCTGTATCACCATTCAGACACGGATACTGCGTGCTAGATTTAACCATAAGTTTCCGGTTGAGGAATAGCGAGGAATTATTCTTCTATGTGCACGGTGAACATTCCTCTCTTGCCATTGTACCTGATCCTGCGAGGCGCTAGTGGATAAAGCTGATGGGTGCTTTATGAATACTGAAAAGACCATGACCCTTGCCTGTCTCATGAGGGTGAAGTTACTCAACGGCATTCTTATTCGATCGAGGCTGTTTTACTGATTTGTTAAGATAGAACTGCCATATCTTTTAAGGCCTGAAAATGGAGGAAATGGGAAAAATTGTGCCAGCGCCGGTGTCGGCCTTGCTGGACAACGACTCGCTGAAGGTTAATTGGAAGTGGACTAGATTCAGGTTTCCATTCGGCGCTGAAGCAGCACGCAGAACCATTCAGGCGATGAATATCCTCCAGGTACATCTCTGCCCTGTTATGCCACTCACCATCGTGTCTTGCTGATATGTTTCTGGTGAGCCAGAGCAGCAAAACGGGTGCTACAAGCATGCCCATACTTGACGAATGTATGGAATTCCACCTTTCGTACCTCCCACCCGAGACAAGCAACATTTTGAACTACCAGCTCGCGTTTACTCCCAGCAACCCGTCAAATCTGTTCGATTTCGATCTGACCACGGATAAATTCCAAGAGCTCAACCGGGAATTTCGTAGAATTCATAAGCAATTCTTCGATAATATAGGAAAATCGACATGGACCATATTGCCTCTTGCAGTAAACCAACACTTTACGGCGGTCATCCTAAATGTCAAGAAGAAAAAAATGCCTGGTACTAACAGGGGGTTCCGCACGGTGATACAGAGTGCTGCAGTGATAGAACCAGAAAGGAACGCGGGGGTAGAAAAGTTCATATGGGAACGCCTCCAGCTGATCCTAACCGAAAAGAGGGGCTTCACATTTAAGCATGGTGAGCCGGTCAAGCTCTGGTTCCCCAAGCAATATGACACAAATACTTGTGGATTCAGGGTGTACGAGATCATGAGAATCATGGTGATGCGGATCAGTCAGTCCGTCGCAGAGGAGGGTCTTGTGGATGGCTACGACCCAAGATACATATGGCAGGACTTTAGTGGTATGTGTTTTCCGATTGATCCTTTTTCAGTGTCCTTTTGATAGCCCCTCTGAAAAGCACCACACGGCTAGTCCGAGGCACCGTGCCTACAATGTTCATCAAAATTGCAGCACATCTCTCTTTTCTCTAGAAGCAACGTGCTGAGGCATGTTCACAACTCTACCCTCGAAGCCCGAGAGCGCTCGCTCTAGGGAGACACCATGATCGGGAACCATGACTGACGAGGCTTCAACAGGTGACTTCCAGCCAGACAAGGTACGCGCGGAGATGATTGGGATACTGGCAAACGTAGCGATGCGATACACGCACTGGTCGACAAGGATATGTATCGTCCCCGTGAGCTACGTCAAAGACCGCTCCATAGGCGCCCTGCCAGACACTTGGATTCCGACCGATCAGTGTGGCGCCAGGCTGAGCGACCTACCAAACCGCAACCCCATGCAGTACAGCGAGAATATCATGGTCGACAGGCTGATGCGCCTGAATGTCGCCCCGACGCCCGATCTGATGCAGACGACCCCCGACTTTTGGATGCTCGACGACAACACCAATCGGGGTCTACTAACAGACCCCAGAGACTGGGGTGTGCTGCCGCGGCGGCTCAGCCAGCCCCCCTCGTCACCAGAATCACCACCGCCGCGGCGGGGCATGCCGACATCGCCACCAACTCCTCCGTCAAAGGAACCCGGCCCACCTGTGACACCGGCACCGCCTGTAGCAGACGCAGGACCCAAATCTGCTCTGCCGCCCGCGCTGGCACCCGGTCTGCCAACTGCACTAGTACCTGGATCGAGAAAAGGGGTTTCTGTGCCAACTGGGCCCAGGCTCATGAGGACGCCGTCAAGGCAGCCGCGTGGGCCACCAGTCGTCAAAACACCCCAAGGCCCAAGGGAAGCTTCACCAGATAACGATACTCCCATGTCGGGCACCTGAAACCCTCGATGACGAAATGGAAAACACATTGTGTCCTTTCCCCTCCCTATACTTCTGGTTTTCTCGTCTTGGCTGGCATCAAGGATTACTTGTTCATTTGGATCCGATGTGACCTGTGTGCGCTTGGGATGACAGGAAGGAGACATTGTGGTAATCATGTATTATTTTCGTTTTTGTACAGTAATAGTGATCGTAGTATCTCATCGGCTGGATGCCCGGCTCTTTATCACAGGGGACAGCTAGAGGGCTAGCACTACCTGTTATTTTTAGGATACGGAGATTCGCACCTGCAAAAAACAGAGGGTACACCAGTATATCACCACCTACACCCAATACCCACACCCAATAACACCTAATTTACACGCCGAGTTCAACTCAAGTGTATAGGTGCTGGGTGTGGGTGAGTGAATCAGGCTTGGGCTACGTGCTTTAATCAGCTATAGTAATAGTGGTATACCCTCCGTTTTCACAGGTGCGAATCTCTGATTTCTATTTTTATTGAATTATCCGATTCAGCTAATGTACAAGATGTTTACACGCTGCAAATTACGAGATCTCCGGGATACTTTTATAGTATTCAGCCTCTCCGACCATACACGCTCGCGTTTGCCGCTTGCTGCGCCGTCAGCTGCTGCTGCCTCCGTGCTTCTGCGTCCGACCGCTTCTTCATCTTCTGCTGCCTAGACATCTCAAACGGCGGCTCCTGCGGATGCTCAAACTTGGCATTATTGTGATCCTGGTATGACTCCAAGACAAACCCAAGGAGTGCCTTGCGATAGTCTTCCCTCCTTCTCACTGGAGTCCCAAATGCCCACGCGGCGTGGCCGTCGTGGGCAACCCCCGCTGGCGACTTGGCGGTGCGCGATCTGAAGTCCAAGCCCGCGAAGTGCCAGAGGAAAAAGCTGTCCCAGTCGAAGAGCGCCACGAACCGAGTCTTCCACTTTGTGGCGTAGGCGGCCGCCTGCTTGGTCAGACATTTCGCGTTGTGTTCCATCGCGCTTTCTCCGCCGCGTTCCTGGACGTCATCAATGGCATCCAGGATCGCGGAGCGGTTCGAGTACGAGGGATCCTGGATACGGCCCTGGTTGAATTCGTGCATCTTGATATATCCCCTGCTCTTGTACTCCAGCACGACCATGGTCTCGCCGTTTATTTTGATAAGAGCGTCGCAGCGGCAGTCGTCGATGGTTACTTCTGCGTAGCACCCGACGAGCTTGAATTCGCTCTGCAGAGCTATGATGACGGGGTGGAGCAGCCAGAGTGCTGCGGAGCGGACAATGTCTGCTTCACTCTCAAGTATGCATGGGCTGTACGGAGCGGGCAGGTATGATCGCTTCAGTGCGGCTTCATTCCTTGCGCAGATTTCAGATGCCCTGTCAATATAGTTCCCTGCGTCTTTTTTGAACCAGACAACCGGGGGAGTGGCTACTTGAGTAGAGGCTCCTCGCTTCTTGATGTCGATATTAGGTACTTGAAGGTGGACTGGACCGTTGGAGAGGATGAGCACCTCCTCGTGAAATGATTCGTACAGGGTGAGGGCATCGAATTTTGGGTCATAGCTGAGGGGCTGTCGAGCCATTGTGAAAATTCAGCAGTAGGTCTTAGTAAGTTGGTTGGAAGGAATATGAACGAGGTTCACTTGTATTTAGTAACAGTGATGAAGATTTTGAAGTAGGTGGACGCTTATTGTGTTCCGTGTTCAAGAAGAGGGTGGAAATAGGGGACAAGACAGTATAAACAAGAGACAGTATATTCAAGAGTCCCCGGCAATGAGAGTTTGATGAATATTTCACATCTTCAGCAAACTGACTTTCCGGTACGACATGTTCCTTATAAGCTCGGAGTTCCAGCAGGAGAGATGGTGACAGCCTCCCTACCTAGAAACACAAATCCGATAGCACTTGAGTGGAGATAGCCAGGAAGATTGACCTGTTGGCAACACATGAAACCACAAAGGTCCAATGGAAATCACGGCATTGAATGTTGGCCAAGCTATCGAGTGGAAAATCTGCTGACTTGGCCGAAAGTCCAGCCCAGCGAGTCGCTGAACAAAAGCATGTTGGTGATGCGCAACAGAGGTCAAGTGTGATAGTCCAAACAGAGTCAAGCGGCGATGAGAAGCACCAATCGGAAGCATCCGGATCTTCCGTGAGCAAGGAGTAGATGAGATCTACCTGGCACGACATCTCCTCACTGATCGGCGCGAGACTGATCGATATCAGTTGCAACAGCACCGGGGTCGCGCCGCGTGGGGCCGCAAGTCCGCTGTTGACCTCGTTTGTCTGGCATCAGGTGGGGGTTCAGGGGTTAGCGCACCTTGCTATTGGATCAATTAGCCGCTGTATTTTGCACGTCGACTTTACCCAAGCGCCTGCAGGCCGCTGGGCCAATGCAACGCTGGACAAAATTTCCAAACACCCCATTTCGTTGACAACATTTCGTTACCCGGTTAGTGCCCCGGAACAGGTACCTGCACACCTAGACTGAGCGATTTCGAATGAAATTCCATTTGCATCTGTGGAATTGCCTACTACTCAACATCCTGAGTCATCTCCAACTTCAGAGCGGACATCCAGTGTCATCAGACCATTCATACCCCGCCATCACCTTCTTGCTTTCACCGTGCTCACCATGACGGACAAGAGATCACCACAAAGTCCTGCATACCGGTCCCAGAAACGATCAAAGACGTTCCCTTTGGCCCCAGATGAAGAAGAAATCAACACTCCATGCCGTCGTGCTACTGCACCTCTAGCTGAGAACACATCAGTACCAGAAGACAGCACATCAAGCAAACAGGCGAGCGCAGAAAATGAGACCTCAACTCCGGACGAGGAGGAGGACGGAAACTTCGAGGATATTCCTCTTAGTGCGTCACTTCCGAGCAAAAATCCAGATGCGGACCCACAGAGTCCGGGTTTGAGAAAGCCCGACACGCGAGCCGCTCGCAGAGACGTTGATGACGAGCCATTGGAGAACAACGGTGGTGGCCTGCACACATCAAAAGGCGAGGAGAGCGATAGCTCTTCGGAAGGATGGTTCCCCCCCGACTATGACGACGACGAATCAGAATCGGGCTCATTTGTGCACATCGAAAACCTGGACGAGGAACTGGGGCGGTGGACAGCACCACAAGAGCCACTCAGACCAGATAACCCTTACAGGAAGGGCAAAATTATTGAAATCAGGAGGCATTCGGCACCCCGTCCCTTCGGTATGAATTATTCGTATTACGAAGGCGTCAGGGAACCCGCGTCAGAAAGGGAATTAAGACTGACGACACTCGTGGAATTGTGCCTGGACCGGCCACCAATCGGAGGGGAGACTGTGGCGGACGAGGAGGCACAGACTCTGGAAATCAAGGATGAGATTAGGGTGAAGGACGACGGTGGTGCTCAGATCGTCGTTTGCCGATTCTCTGGCGAGAAACAAGAAGTCGTAGCGAAGATCTACGATCCCCTGTACTACGGCTTCGCGGACAGGATGTGGTCAGACCGGCCGCGGGACGTCACCTATGAAGCCGACAAGGACTATGCTCGGGAGGTGGCAGCCTATTCTGAACTCGACAGCCAGCTCGGCGGCACAGACATCCCTAAATACCACGGCTCGTGGACCTTTCAGATGCCACTGGACCTCCCTGCCGGCCAAAAGACGCGAAACATTCGGCTCATATTGATAGAGCACATAAAGGGCAAGCCGATGATGGATTTGAAGCCGGAATCGTTCTCGGAGTCAACCCGCATGGAACTGATCACGCGTATGGTCGAGGTGGTGTCTCGAATCCAATTCGCCGGCGTCAGACACGGTGATATTTCCCAGCGGAACGTCATGGTCTGCATTGCTGAACCCGAAGTAGTTGAGAGAGTCGCAATGATTGACTTCAACTTCGCGGCCGCCACTGGCCTAGACAACTTTCAAGAACAATTCGGCGGCTCAAGACGGCAACCGAAGCCAGATAAACCTCCGAACCCAATCGATCGGTGGTGGGGCGGTGCTTTGTACGGCGTGGCCGGGGAATGGCTCCCGAAAGGCTGGGAGCTTAGGTTGAGGGCTCTGCAGGAGTGGCTGTACGAGAGATATGGCGACTCGGAAGAGTATGAACCGCCCAAAAGACGATTGAATTGGGATGAAGAAAACCTTCCACGGAACTGGATTGCTACCTGAGAGATGTGAGACTGCTCCATCTGGTATTCGCCAACAACAGACTCCGGTGTGGGACATACGTTTCAGCAACCTTACCAATTACACAGAGAAATTACATTACGCAGCTGGGAATGTGTTGGAATCAAGCTCAATTATTCAAAATTGACTATCTCTGCTTCAATCTTATCTGCGATGCAGAATGAATAGTCTATGCTCCTCTATTAATACCAGTATTACATCCATCGATCTCATCACCGCTTGCTGCCTTAGCATAGGCTCATTGCCTCCGTGTAACTAGGTGGTGGAGTTACATCCCGTTCGATCGAGGCTGTGTCGTGGGCCCTCACCAAGCCATGACCCGTGGTGATTTCCCGCAGAAGGCTTCCATTATCATGACCAGTCGGCCTCTCTAGATACTCAAACGCGAAATCCGGAGCCCGCAAGACTACGCCGTATTCCACGGCTATCCTTTTAGCCACAGCGATCATTTCAGCCCTACTCTCCTTATCTTTGACATAGCGTGGAATAAGCTTGTTCACGTCAACGGACAGCTTCCGCGTCAGCCGGTCGGTTCCCATAGTTGGAATCTCGGATATCATCTCGTCTAGGACACCGTCGTAGCCAGTGAGGCCCTTATTGTATTTGTCTTTGTCGATGTCGCCTCGGTGGGTCCAGAAGAGATAGAACATGAGGGACACATCGGAAAAGTCGTCGTAGGCGCTGCTCTTGTCCTCGTATGATTGTATGAACTCATCCATCCACGCCAGTCTGCAGTGCCAGATATCTTTTCCACCCCTGCAGTCGTCCGCCAGTTTTGTCAACCTTCTGCAGAACTCGTGACAGACGACCCTTGTCATGTAATTTGTCATCCATCTTGGTTCGGGACCTAGGGGTCGCAAGGGGTGCTCCCCAAGGCCGTAGTCGATCAGGAGCATGTGCTCGATCAGAGACGCCACCATGCGGGCCCCAGATTGGCCAGACCAGGACAAGAACGACAGAGGTGGTGCTATAAAACTCGACCACGGGCCTGGGTCCATCGTCGGGGTGGAGCCTCTTAACCCGTTCGCACTGCTGCTGGATTCTTGATCGAACAATATTGCGGTGAGACCGATGATAATACGCTTGTTTTGGGCGAGGGGCAATAGGGAGCGGCAGCTTGTCCCGCCCGCGAGGCTGTTGTAGAGAAGTCGGACGACCTTTTGTCGCTTGGCGGTCGCTTTATCGCCTTGCCTTTCCATAATCATAGAGTATTCGGGTCTTTCTGGACGTAGTATGCGTGTTCGGATTCTTGTGTACCAGGAGGAGTAGCATATCCGGCTGAACGTATGAAGATGATCGTCCAGGTCAGGTTCGGTTGCCATTTTGGAGATGCTGAGCTGAGATGGTGTAAAATGAGGTGCCAATACACCAAGAACTATTTTGTTCGGTCTGCCGGATTTTGTTATTCAAAGATAAGAAGTTTGCAGTCAGGAGTCTGCCTCGTTTTGTGCAGTTGACGAGATCAGAAGGCGTCGTGAACTTATATATTATAAGAGAGACCGTTAATGGCATTGGCTTTCTCCGGGTTCCCCACAAAATCTCCAGAAAATACCAAGAATGAGTGCACTACTTTTCGTGGAAAATTGGGTCATAATGAGCTATGATATATTTGGGTGCCTTTTAGTCCGGATGAGGTTTGGGCTAAAGATCGCATAGTCTGGCATTATGGACGACCAGTCCTTTCATTCTTCGGCGCTACATTCTAGCCAAGCACTATCATCTCATAGACTGAAGCAAATGATTTTAAAAATTCACTTTTTGATATTTAGATGCTGTAATATAATTCTCTCAATTCTTTGTCTCGAGTGTGACATCTGGCTCCCCGTGCCAAATTTCCTTACCGCATGGACCACCGCTAATATGGTAGCATTTCACTGGGACTATGTTTTGATGTGCAGGCCTCCGATCAAGTATATCGTGGCCGCTGGTCTCTAAGGGAAGTGGCCAGAAGAACGACAAACCAGAAGACACTCGCGGGCCACAGGAGGGGAGATAAGTCATCGTGATAGTTCTCGGTCGTTGTCCTTGACACATCTCGTGGGGCTGTACAAGATTAGCAGACTCTCCTTAAAAGTGGTCCCTCATCGGCCTGGGCCGACCTGCCAGCCCTGTCTGCAGTGGTGGCGCTTATTAATTCCGAAATCCCGTGTTGCAGAGAGCCTGACCCAGAAGTTTCTTGGATACAGCTGTCATCGGATGCTGGCTTCGGAAGAGCCTTTAGCCAGGTGGCCAGACCACTACCATCATTCTGCGAAACCTCCAGGTCAAATTTCGTCTGGCTCAATCAAGAAAAGGTAATGTTGTAGGAAGGCGAGGAAAACCTGTCTTGGATTGTCTATGCGCAGGCCTTGCACACAACCTCTCACCCGTCTGTATTCACTTGCAGAAGAGGCATATAAAGCACATTCCGTGGACCAGGGACGATCGCTGCATCCCCACATACACTATATTCTTAGAATGTCGGCGCTTCAAAATGCTTCAGGCACTCAAGCCTGCTTGAGTTAAGCTTGCTCGCCGTCCCCACGTGCTGAGGGCATGGACAGCGCGCGGGGCAGCACCGTCGTGGCATGATCGAAGCGATTCGAGACAAAGCTTTGGCATAGGGATCTGGGGCTGATCCAAAACCTCGTCCCAAACTCTTGGCGGTGAACTGCTTCTATGCGAATACGATGCACGCGGTAGCTGGACTGACTGGGTATGAAGCTGCCTCAGCTTCAACCTCGAACAAGAAGCCACCCGTATAAATCTTGGCAATGATAGTACTCTTGAAATCTATACCGGCGGTTCCTATTACTCATAGGCATACCTTGATTTTTCAGGGGTTTTTGAGAAAGTCCTGTCTCGTCATGGCGATCCAACGTTTATTATGTGGGCGAATACGCTCTTGGCTAAACGATCATCCGTGGTGTATGGCACTCCAAACAAATACACCCCAAAATTTAGCCAAGCTTTGTTTGAGAGTTAAATCGCTGTGACAGCAGTCTTAGCATCAAGCCGTCGATCATATGTGCCATCAAGTCTCCACGGCCAAACCCTGTTTGAGGCGCATGAGAAGAGAAGCAGACTTCTCCCGTTTCGCGATAATTTCTGACCAACTACTTCAACGAAGATGATTCGAGTACATATTGAACGCAATCGCCAGCATCGTGCTGATCTGGCTGAATCCTTTCGTCACGCTTCAACCTCTTTATTTGTCTGTCATTTGTCCAGTTGTCCGGTACAACTACGTTTCCGAAATTCATCCTTTCTTTCTTGCCTCACTCTTCAACAACTTTGTCCACTTTCAACATCATTCAAAATGCGTTTCGCTGCCATCGCCACTCTCTTCGCCTTTCTTGCTGGCCAGGCCATCGCCGGTAAGTGCCCACAGCTACGCCAGCAGCCAGTCGTATTTGAAAGGCGGCGCTACATTTCTAAAGTGGAAATTTAAGCACAACTAACACTTCACAGCCCCGGCCAGGGGCAACAACAACAACAATAATGCTGCCGCCTCAGCCGAGGGCCAGGCATGCACCCAGAGTATCGAAGGGAGCACCGCCGACGGCACCTGCAATGATATTGGACAGTGTGTTGTTCAGTCTCCCCCCAACCTCGAGCAGCGCTTCAAGAATTACCAGTGCGCTTAAGAAGGCTGAACCTCGGGCTGTACTGGGAATGAGTGAAAGAAATGCCAAGGTCCGAAGTGCGTCTACCAGCATGGCTGATGGAGTGGAGGGAAAGGACGGTGGGAGCAGTGATGCCCGGGCTCCCACACTCTGCACCAAATCTACTCAAGAAAACTCTATCTCATATGTATCAATATATACACGCGTACTTCACAGCGGCAAGACGCGAAAATGTACGAAGAAAGGGAAAATATCAACACTATAACGAGCTTTCGCGTCGTCTACATACGAGGGTAGTTGTTCTACGTGTACTTGGATTGGTCAATTGATCGGCCTACCCCACTTAAAGTCCACAGCTGCATTTTGCGGCATATTTACGGACCATTGCGCAATCCAGACGATCCGTCAACTCAATACCGAAATAATCCTCAACTTCATGACTTGACTTGTGTCTATCGGAACAACTTGATACTAGTGAGCAATCATACAAAACAGCAACAACGCATTGATACTTTGGCGTCCAAGATGCACCTCCGACCCATCTTGTGGTCAGCCTGGCTAGCTGCCCTGACGCATGCAGGCATTGCCCGCGCCAACCTTTCACCGCAAGACGATGCTCAGGCAGTTCTTGGCGGCGACTCGACTCGACCAAGCCCTTCGAAGAAGCCGAAGAACGTGGTGTTCATCCTGACAGATGATCAAGATGCAGCCATGGACTCGGTCTCCTACATGCCCTTGGTCCATAAACATCTGGCAAAGAAGGGCACCACCTATGCGAACCATTTCACAACAACCGCGATTTGCTGTCCCTCACGAGTATCTCTATGGACAGGAAAGCAACCACATAACACTAACGTGACCGATGTCCATCCGCCATACGGAGGATACCCGAAATTCGTCTCGCAAGGATTAAACGACAATTACCTTCCGGTATGGCTGCAGGAAGCGGGCTATAAAACATATTATACCGGCAAGCTCTTCAACGCGCATACGGTCTCCAACTACGACAGCCCATATCCTGCAGCGTGGACGTCGACGGACTTCCTCCTCGACCCAGGGACCTATTCCTATCTGCATCCCATATACCAAGCCAACCACGACGCACCGGTCCACCATCACAATGAACACACCTCTGACCTCATCACCACCAAGGCACAAGGCCTTCTTGACGAGGCAATTGCATCAGATAAGCCTTTCTTCCTTGGAGTAGCACCCGTAGCACCACACTCTGATGTCAGTCCTCACCACGACAGCTCGTCTTTACCCTTGATGACGGAGCCGATCCCTGCGGAACGCCATGCACACCTCTTCAAGGACGTCAAGATCCCCAGGACGGACAACTTCAACCCAGACTCCCCGAGCGGCGCCTCGTGGGTGCGCAAGCTAGCACAACACAACGCTTCCACCGTGGCGTATTTAGACCACTACTACCGACAACGTCTCCGGGCCCTACAGGCAGTTGACGAGCTGGTTGAGAAGCTTGTTGTACAACTTGAGGAGGCTGGGGCCTTGGACGATACGTACGTGATCTTCAGCTCCGACAACGGCTTCCACCTTGGCCACCACCGCTTGCCGCCGGGAAAGATGTGCGGATACGAGGAAGACATCCGGGTCCCGTTGATCATTCGCGGCCCAGGCATTCCAGAGGGCCGTGTTGAGGACGCCGTGACAACCCACATCGATCTCGCCCCAACAATTCTCACGATGACCGGGTCCGAGACCCGGCCTGACTTTGATGGGACCCCCATCCCGCTCGGCGTGGAGGGTGCACTGGAAACCGAGCATGGGGAAGAGGAGGACGTCTCGTTGCAACTCAAGCGGCATGAACATGTTGCTGTTGAGTACTGGGGCTTTGCTCTGGCAGAAGGCGAGGATGGAGGTTTCGACGGCCAGGGCCAGCTTGTCGTGTTCAACAATACCTACAAGGCCGTGAGGATCATTGGCAACGGCTACAATCTCTACTACTCGGTCTGGTGCAACAACGAGCATGAGTTATACAACCTCGAGGTAAGTCGGAGCTCTGTGGCACATGTTCAGCCACCGCACCACCTTGTCCCACGCCGACGAAACGTGACTAACATCTTCCCATCCGCCAGACGGACCCAGGGCAGCTGCACAATCTCTACATTTCCAAGTCCAGCGAAGAAGATGCCAAACTCCTGGGAACGCACATTTCCCTTGTGATCAGCCGCCTAGACGCTCTCACGATGGTCCTGAAGTCCTGCAAAGGTAACACCTGCATCGAGCCGTGGAAGGTTCTTCACCCACGAGGAGACGTGCACAGTCTCTCGGACGCACTCCAAGTGCGCTTCGACTCATTCTACCGACACCAGGCGAAGGTTGCATACGACAGGTGTGAGCCTGGCTACATCGTTGACGCGGAGGGTCCCCAGGAGCCGTATCAGTATCGCAAGGGGTGGAGTTGGCACAGCTGGGTGTGACGCGGTGAGAGTATGTGCTCGATATTCACTCGCATTAAAGAAAATGTATCCAAAGCAAGGAGAACAGGTGAGACAGTTGTATGCCTTTTAACGCTCGCCGACCCGTGGAAAGTAGCGACCCACTAAGATGCGCTAGGCATGTCTTGCACGGAAAGGTCACCGTGATCCCAGTACAACCTTTTCCCCTCGACTTCATCCTCGCCTGGTTCCAAATCCTGGGGACTCACTCCTCTCTTCCCTCGACCTCGCTCTAATCGTTTTCGTAGTTTTCTTTTCTTCATGATACTGAGCACATAAGCGTCATTTCTCTTCATAAGCTCACTCAACCCAGCAGCCGATGCAAGTTCATTGAAATATGCATCGTGATCACCTTGGTAGTGACCCGACGACAGACCGCGCATGACCAACCTCGCAGACTTTGCCCATGCCGCACGAATGAACTTTTGGCCCTCACCTCTTTCACCAACGTCCGCCCAGAGTTCAACTACCAAGTGAAAATACTGTTGTGTCTCCAATTTCTTTCTGTCATCTGACGTAGTCTGGTTGAGTTGAAGTCTTCCAAAGCGGTGCTCCGTTGGCATCATTCTCCACGCTGGTGGTGGGGTGCTCTGGTTTGGCCCAAGTGTCACTCTCCCTGGTTTTATGGCCTGCCCATTCTCACGTTTGGTAGTATGCTGCACAAGTCCGACATTGTGAGATTCGTTACCCCCCGCGGTTGCGGACAGGCCCATCACGAATTTGTGGATTTCTAGGTCCTTTCCGTTGCTTGGGTCTTTCAGGTATACCGATTGGTAAAGCCATGGCGAAATGGTGTATGAAGAAGTGCAGGAGAAGAGGTTCCATCGGGAAGAGGTCCATTCATCATTTTCGAGGAAGAAGCCTTTGTCGACGACAGCATGAATCGAAATGAAGACAGGAATATGAGTCATCGCATCGGCCTTGTGGAAGAGGGCACACGCATTGACTGTCTGCCCAACGGGAGGCCCTGTCATACCTTGCCGCACACCCAACATTTGACTCAAGTTGGGCATCTCATGCCTCACTCCTGTCGATTCGTCGATGGATGTAAGACTTGTCGCCGGTTGAGATACTTGGTCATCAACGGACAGAAGACTGGACGCGGATGATGCGCCCATGGAATGAGATTTTGCAGTGATTTCAAGGACGGTTCCCACAGGCTGCGCTTTGTGCTGTGTGTGGCTTTGATGGGCCAATTTCGAGGTTGTGAATGGCAAGCTGATATCACGATCACCGATACCGTCGTCCACGCCAGGAAGTCTGATATTCGAAACGTAAGGAAAATGAGTTCGTATGTCCCTGGAAATTTGGGAAGACGGTAGCATCACTGCGAATGGTTCGTCCTCGTATGACGCGATGATCATGCCATAGAGTAGTCCCTCGTGAACGACCCACGTTCCTGAACATCCTGGAGCTGCATTTACCGATCAATATTCAAAGACAAGAATTGAAACTATCGAAATTCGAATCTGGGGATAATTTACCAAGGGGTCTGTCCAGAAAGACTTTGTACGCCTGCAATGTGATGCCATATGGGCTGAACAAAATCGTCTCAGGGAGAAGGACAGCTTGCAATGCCTTCCCAGGTCGAAGCAGCAAGTGAACAGGACCAGAACTGATTTCGCGTGGTTCCGCAAGCCTATAGACAACAGTCTCTCTTGCAGTGGTTGTATCTCCGATACTCTGATAGTAGTTGTACAGATTGTCTTTGTCATTGAGTGACAGGAAGGAGAAGTCACCTGTTTGAGCAGCTCGAGGTTGTGCTGGTAGAGCAGTCGCCGAAACCTTCTCTGCCCGAACATTAGAGGCTTTCTCCACTCGCTGGCGCATGATCTTCGAAAGAAGCTGATCGATGGAGGAACCATCAAGGCCAAAGAAACACGTCTCTTGAATAGATGTCGGTGATAGCTGAAACCACGACACTGTGTCCAAGATCTCCGAGTTGATTCGGCCAACACAATATTCTGAGTTTTGCGGGCTAAGAGGCTCATCATCATCAGATCGAGCTTCTTCTTCTGCTTCCAAGTTATCGTCAATGCACCAACGGTAGGCCCTGGAGGACATTTCTTCCAAGAAGCCATGTGCCGTTGTGACTGCAGCTATCCTTGCATCGAGATCCATGAGACCGCCTATCCTGGACACATGCTGTGCATTCACCTCCCCGTTCTGGACGAATGTTGCACAGAATAGCAGTCCACAGGCGGTGCTAGACTGTGGCTCCTCTACATGCATGTAAAGCTCTCCCCCTTCAGGGAGAGAGATGCCGTTGTGTGCATGGGTGGATAGCTGTAAGTGCTCGACAGGGATTTGCAGGTCTGTAAACCTTGGGCATCCTTTTTGGATCTCGGGAGTGCCAAAACATTCCCCAGACAGCCATTCAAGATCGGCGACAAATCGGCGGGTAACTTTCTCCCATCGCTTGTCGTCGTATAGAAACCAGATTGTTGGTACCAAAGTGACTTGGTTGCCGCCGACGTTGACATGGCCGGACATTCGAAGTTCGACCGAAAGTCTAGGAAGAATTGCTCGGCCCCTCCTGATCATAGGCTTCGTCCTCCGCTGAAATTCTTCGACGTCGTGGCATAGCCGTGGCTCAATTTCGTCTTTCCATCGCGTTTGTAACACAGCTGAAGGCTCAAATTTCTCAGGGAATCCAACCAGGAGTCCATCATTGTTGAATGGGTAAACCTTTTCCTTGGAAGAGAAATCCAGATCAATTACCACTTCACCTCCCAAAGAACTTGATGGCTGATGATGTATGGTAGTCGTGACATTGTTAAAGCCGTCAGCTTTAGCGGCAGCAGCGTCTGCTGGTATGAGTGTATTCTTACACTCTGTGGAACCGAGACAGCTTGATTCGGAAACGCTGGCAATTTCACAAGTCAGGCCATGAGTACCTTCGTTAGGCTCATCGGCAGGATGCGGCTGCACGACCTGCCTATGTACATCTTGAAGATCTTGTGATAGAACCACACTGCCGGCGCTGATTTCGTTGTTGTTCAGTGGTATTGAAATATGTGCTCCTGCTGCCCGACATTCTGGGCCATCTTTCCTTGTTTCCAGGTAGTCTTCGTTGACTGCACCTGCTATCAGTGGGGGAAGACCTATGCTATTCTGGAGGACTTCGCCGTCCTGAATCTCCTCGAACAATGATTTCTGGTCATAATTTTTCACTATGTGATTGTCGCCATTCGGGACCCGGATGTCCTTCTCCGTGGGAAGTTGTGCCGGGCTGGATGGAACTGTCACACCGTGAGTACCTAGATACGTACTTCGGGATAAACTTTGAACTGAAGGTCAAATTACCTATCTTCTCATCTAATGGTAGTCTCTTTCGTGACATTGTCAGATTCGTGAGCGACCGAATGCTCCAGGTATAACCATGACGCTCCATTATTCGCTGGTTGGTTCGTGCGCATTTGTACGTATTTTGTGCAATATCGAAGAAGTCCATCCGGGGTGAAACTCAAGGCCTGAAGTCAGATTTAGTGCAAGCTAATGATACAGGATAGAGAGTGTGCCAAAGTTTTCGGCTGTGTCCAAGGCCTATTTGTCAATCTCCGTGGGCTGAGTGCGGATGGCAACATGGCACGAGACAAACCAGCTGAGAAGAGAGTGAAGTCATGAGCGCAGGAAAGCCTAGGGCCAACGATCAATCGTTCAGCGAAATGTTCTCCTGCGAAACCGCCTGTGGTACCACACCTTTACTCGCTTGTGATGTAACGGCCAAGATTCATTGGTGAAAAATCCCGAGGTCGGACGCCCCGCTTCTGAGAACCCGTGGCGCAGCAAGTTGGCCAGCCTGCAGGACTTGTGCAGAAATAAACAGACTGTTGAGACTTGCACCACAGATGAAGGCTAAGCAACCATATATTGGGCTACCCAGGCAGACCAGAGGGCAAATCTTCAGGTGTTAGATCTCACATCCCGTGCTCATGCATTGCAACATCAAATTGCTGATAAATATACTAGCTAAAACCTCTCATCACGGCCTGCTCTTGATTTAAATTTCAATGTATAATCCACACGCCCTTGCATTGCACCATTGATTCTACTTCTTTGTCACATAATGTTCAGGTTGTGTTTTCCCGCACTATCTCAATTATGGCAGGCCCAGGAGAGTCTGGATATGATTTCGTGCATTGCATTTGGCCATCCATTTCGGAGAAGCAGTACTGGAACACCAGAAAACATTACTCTCATGTATTAGAAAAAGTCAGAAACGAATTTGAGTTAATACGGGAGAACCTCGACATTTATGCCCTTCGCTCCCCAGAGGACATTTTTGGTGTTGTGAAAAGACTGGCGCAGTCAGATATTGTTACCAAGGACCATGCATTCAAAGCAATCTACAATGCAGCGTCATCGTCATCCTACACTGAAGAACGCATGTTGAGGACTCTGCGCTGCGCAATAAATCTCTGGCTTACCGTTGGGATTGGGCCCCGAACTCGGCAGACACGCAAACCGTTCTCATGGGATTCTGGCGACACTTTGAAAGACAAAATCGCATCCCATTTTGAGAACAACGTGAGGGGAATCGATCCACCTGAGTTGATTGAGCAGCAACTACAGGATGATGTCACCGCAGCCTCCTTGTGTGACCACTATGGATTTTCGATTTCGTGGACCCACGGCCTCTCGGAGCACCTCTCGATCAATTGGCAACACAAGATCCTCAGTGTGTATGAGGATAAGATTGTGGCATACAATCATGTACAAGCAGGGACGACTTCTCTTCCGGTGCCAGACCAGCTGTTTGAGGAGGCCATTGACACTCTGAACCTCATGTTCCCCTTTCAGAATGAGCCAACAAAGAAAATACTGGAGAAACACGACATTGCGTTCTATGGGCTTGGACTCTGCGGTCGCCCCCGGAAACTACTCCTCAATGACTATCACTACTGGAGAGGTCGAATTGCCGACATCCATCAGATCTTTCAGGGTCCGCCGATAGGCATACAACAATTGCTTCTGGATGATGAAGGCAAGAACTTCATGTCCACCTTCACATTCTGGGTTGCATTTGCAGCGGGTGTTGTCGCTTTGCTAGGCATGGGACTGGCCATCGCGTCTCTGGTGTACAGCATCAAGCAATACGAGCTTGGGTTGAAGCAGTATGAGGTGTCCATAGTTCAAGCGTGTGGGGATTCTAATGTGAGGGCCAGAATGCCGAAGCTATGTGAGGGCCACTAATGGTGGATGTCTGGAGCGACATGTAAGACAGGGAGACAATCAAAACAAGTTCAAGGCAATCAAAGTCATCTCTTGTCTTAGGATCGCATCGAATGTCAAGATTGGCCCCTTCGTCGACATGTACAGACGTTACACACGTCATAGTCTTCAGCCGCAGGATAATTGGGGCGTTGTTTCCCTTAGTGCCGCCCTTGTGTATGCGAATGCGATGTGGGCCAGCCGCAGCAAGCACATATCTTTGGTCTGCGTCGGGCCGTCCCCTGCCTCAAACTTTCCCCATAAACCCCGTCCGGCCTAATATCCCTCCGCCGCCAAACAAGTCTACACCCGCTGCGATGAGCTGACTGGCGTCATCCCGGATGCTAAGCCTCACAACTTCAGCACAATTGGCTCCGCCTGGCATATCAGATGAGATGAAGCCGTTTCATTGCTCCGAGGCAGGCTTCAGAGGATAGAGCCACATGTGATATATAAGTAGCCAAATGCCTACCTACCCAAGGAACAATGTTGAATAGATGCCAAAAGCGAATTCAGTCTCTACGAATTTGGATACATTCATATTATAACGATCAAATCGCGGCCATTCTGTCCCACGACTATCTTCTCGGCCATCTTTAGTTTTCTCTACCCACATAAGACACCGCCTGCACAATGTGCGGTTCTAAGAGACGCGCCGCTGCTTGCAACCGATACCCACCAGCACTCGGAACGGTCGATCCAGCTTCTGGTCCCTACTATGGTCGAAGGGGATGTGGACAGGGCCGTTGTGGGCCGGGACTGATTCGAAAACTGGTCACGAAGGCCATCGAGAACCGGAACAAGAAGATGGTACGTCGCCGTACAGTGTCATTTGAATATTCCCCACCGCAACTCCGATCTCACTCGAGATCCTTGCTAATACCCAGTTCTAGGAGGCGCGTCAGCAGCTAGAGGGAGCACACCAAGTTCCCCAACGATCCAACCTGCCTGATCTGGAAAAGCAGGAATCCGCCGTCCGCCAGGAACGCCATCCTAGGGCGCAGCCTGTCAAGGTTGTTTTCGATGACGGACATGAGGAGTATATTTCGACAGATGCCAAAGAGCAAGAATATGAGACGGAAGCTCAGCCGCAGCGAGGTGAACATTTACCGAGGTATTCTGAGGTCATGAAGGCCTAGTGACCTGCTATGTTGCTTCCAATTGGGCATCTATTTGTTCGGCTGCCTTTCCCGCTCACCTTTGAGGGGCTGGATCGGAAGCTGCTTTGATCATCATCTGAACGGGTCACCAGTTCCGTGTCTTTGACAGCCTAGTCTTTCATACATCTCGACATGGGCCTTGTTCTGCTGTCTCTACTTGCAACAGACACAATAGTGTACATTGTGCATTTGCAAATCATAATAGGTCGCCTTCTTTTGTATGATCAATAGCCGTTTGGATAATATCATTGTCTTCTCGAATTAGTTTACACAGACATTGTCCCCTGTGTAGCCCTGTACTTACTGACAGTCCCTTCTCTGTATATAAATGCCCTCTGACTTTTTGGCGATCATCATGTCCATTCAATCGTCACCACTCTACCATCACTCACCCCCATAACATCCGAGTCTAACACCCTACATTTTGAGAATCATAGCTTACACCACTCACAAAATAATTCATCGGACAGAGTCAAGATGGCTGATAGAAGGGCCTCCAGATCTTTCAACGATTTCTGCCAGGGCTACCTTTTGGGTCTCAACGAGAATCACGCTAACTGTCAGCAGGACACTGGCATGGGCGCTGAACAAGGTTTCCCGGCTCCCAACGCTTTTCCCATGGATTGCCCTGAAGATGCCCTCGGCGGCGGTCTGTTCTGCGCGGATGATGCTCTTGGCGCTGGCGCGTCCTATGAGCAGTTTGGAGATGCTCAAGCCGGAAACTTTTTGTTTGAGCAGCCTGCAAATGCGCAGCTTCCTCTCACACTTGTCGATCCCCTTTACAGGCATCCAGCAGATGGCCAGGGAGGCCCGGGCATCCCAGCCAATATGCACGCCCCCGTGTTGGCGGACCCTTTCCGCCATTATGCAGATGTTGCCCATCCCGATCCCTCGGTTCGGACCCAGAGTCGTCCCAACGACTGCTAACGGCTTTAGTGGCATGCAGGTTGAGGATCTTATTTTCGAACGCCCGGAGCCCTCAGACGAATCTTGTGACCTAGCGTTGTCTGACGCTGGAGACGAGAACACCAATCACGAGCAGGGCAACTGGGTGAACGAAGGGGAGGCGGCACCAAGTCAGATGTGCCAGCTGGACTATCTTTCCACTCAACCACAACCGCTGCCACCGTCGCCGGAGGAACATCCGATTCCTTGTGGCCGGGAGGAGTGCCACATCTGCCAGGTATTTTCTCTCCCTTTTTAAGTGTGAGGCTAAAGGAAAACTTGGTGAAGGCAGCTACTGTGTGCGAAATCGAGATATAGATTGACAGATATTGGCAGTGGGTATTACCACGAATCTGGAACGGTAGGTACGCGGGCGTTTGGTGTTTTCTCAAATTCTGTGCTTTCCATTGCAAGCAGCACTTACCTTCCTTTTCAATTAAAAAAACGTTCGAAAAAATAAAAGTGGTTCGCAAAAGAGTAATAAATCATATTGATTATTTGTGATGTCCTCAGGTTTATTGATTGAGCTCACTCCCTGTTTCTATTTTTCTTCTGTACTAGTTACAATTCTATGGATTAGGCTGCCCGTAGACAAAAGTGTCGGTATCATGTCCCGGGGCTTCTTGAGAGAAGACAAGACACATACCTATGGCTAATTAGATGTGCTAATTAAGTATGCAGATGCGGTATTGGGTATGTGAATTAGGCATATGAATTGGGTGTAGGCGTTGGGCAGGTGAATTCTGGTGTAGTTTAGTGCTGGCGATGTACCGATGTACCCCCCTTCCGTTTTTGCAGGTGCGAATCTCTGATTTCTTTGGATATCATTATGAGCCGCAGTCAGGGCATCATTCTGGCAAATGGTGATGCTGACTTTGACTCTGCTAAAATATCCCCAGTCTCCTCTTGAAACTTTTCATCCGAGCGCTTCTGCTCAATCCCATGGCAGTTCCATCGTGTCTCGTTTGTAGCATAAATCCACTCATTGGGATAACGAGTATGGCAGCATCAATTACAGAGTAGTTATTCCGTTGAGCGGCTGGTGATGATGGTATTCATCTATCTACAAAGCTGCTGATAAAATGTACACTTCCGATCACCTAGGGTTCTCCTCCCACGGCAGACCAGTGCAGTTGAACCCGGTAGGATCAACAACATTATCGCACAGGTAATTCGCCGGGCGCGTGCCGTTGACCGAGTCGATGATATCAACCTGGTCGATCACGATGCCCGTGCAGGGGCTCGCGGCGCTGCACTGGATGTCGCTGACGACGTCGCTGGCGGCGGTGCCGGTCCAGCTGAGCAGGCGCAGGTCGCGGATGTTGAACTCGCTCGTGTCGCAGCCGCCCGAGGCCGAGTTGTAGCTCGTGCACTGCGTGATGGCGAAGATGCCCGCCGAGTCCTTGAGGCGGAAGTCCTCGAAGGTGATGTTGGCGGCGTAGCCGAGGCCGCCACCGCCGCCGTTGGGCGGGTAGCCGGTGTGGTTGCCCGTCCACGTCTTGACGTAGGCGCCGTAGCGCATGTTCTTGTTGACGGTGACGTTGCGGATTGTCACGTTCTCGATTGTCTCGAATTGCCCGTCTGGAGAGCGCTTGTGTTAATCACTGACTAGGTTCCCTGATGTCGGGGCCAGGGGGTTTGCACTCACCATACTGCCCGATACTGCCGATGGCAATGCCAAGTCCGGTGTAGAAGTCACAGTTCTCGATGAGAATGTTGGTGCTGTTGGCCTTCATGGCAATGCTGTCATCGCCGTTGTCGACGACCCAGTTCCGGAATGTGATGTTATTCGCATACACCGTATCGGCTCCGTCAGTCTGCGATTCTAGTCAGTACACGCTCGTTCCTGCCGATCTTGTGCTAGAGGCTGAGCATCTTACGTTCAGGGACGAGAAGTCAAAGTCGACAGGGTGCTCCAAATCCGTGCTGTTGACGTAGATGTTCTCCAAGAGCACGTTCTCAGCATGGATGATTGTCATTGTCCTAGAACATGTAAGTGAGTGCTTAATCCAACGTGATACCCTAGCATAGCCAGGCTGGATGTATTGAGTACTTACCACATTTGACTCTGGACGAATCTTAGACTCTCAATAACGGTATCTCTCACACCAGTAAAGGTGATTGAGTGTGGGCGCCCGGGGTAGTTGTTGGTGCCATTGATGTAGTCATACCACACCTGGCCATTGCCATCAAAAGTTCCGTACCCGTGACCATCCCAGGTAATTCCCTCACCACCGAACAGCCAGGCACTGCTCTGGTTCTGGTAGCCCACAGGGAGGGAGTTGTTGAGCCAGTACTCGACGTTCTGGTCCCACAGGAGGATGCCCTGATGGTCGACATCGACGTTACTCAGACCAGTCGTGTTCATGACCGTCTTGACCGTGTAGGTCTGGTTCAAGAACACGACCTTGCCTCTGCTGGCAGCGTCGTTATGCCCACAGTTCTCAAAAGCCTCAACGATCGCCGGCGCCGAGTCGGTGCCGTTAGGCCCCGGCTGGACTACGCAAATGTTGCCGGATGCAGCGGGCGTGGCCTGCGAGAAGACGAGGGGCAGCTGGAGCGCCGCCGCGGCAAGGGTCTTGCGCATTGTGAGAGACATGACGAGGAGGGCCTTGCTGCTGAACGAAGACATCTTGCTCTCTTGTCTGCGCGCGAGGCGCCCTCGCTTTTATAACGGGGGAGAATCGTGAACTTCGGGAATGAATGCACCGCTCACGGGTCCGCTATGTCGTCACTGGGGAAGCCGTTCCTGGGGTCTGGGGGATGTGTTCTGTGGGGGTCTCCAAGATATTTGTGCAGATGCCGGCTTCCCCTGGATATGTATCCACTCTTCCGGTGCGGCAGCGGAAGGCAGTTGAACGGCACTTGGGACAATCGTCAGTGTGTGATGTGCATCGGTCTCCTTTGAGACATAGCAGGACTTGAGGTTTGTCGTATTCTTAGGCAAAATTGCTGTTCGGAGACTGAGGGCAAATTGCTTCATCGTATATTCAACACTCTATACTTAGCCATTTCCCCAGATTTGCAGCCGGAAGTCGCTCAACGGGCGCAAAGGCCCAAGCTTTCTCTCCGAGCCAAGCTTGGTCAAGAGATGCCAATTTTCTCGCCAAGAGCGTCCGCGGCCCACTCCCGGCCCGACTCTAAGAACGCTCGATGCGGGTACAGGTGCCAGTGCCCGGCGATAACGGACGAATCACCGCGATTCAGGCTGCCGGGTCGGATGGGAGGCTCACATCCAAACCGGAGCAACGTTCCAACCACGTGCATCCGGGAGGGAACTTCGGAAAAGTGCCGCCACGACCTGCATCTTACAAGTTGGCAAAGCCGCGTACACCTTGCCCTTTATCTCTTCGATCGTCACAGGCACCATAGACAGCCAGCCCAAAATTTGCGCAATAGAATCTCCTTGTGTAAGTATCCTCTGCTCCGGCATGGCCCTCTATTAAACCTCGGTACGCTTCTCTTCGGATGTATGCCGACCTGGCATTTGAGCCCAAAGGGACGGTAAGTAGGCTGTCTCTGGCTTGAGCCTGGCTACGGAGCATCATGTCTTGCTCGCAGCGGAGCCCATAGACCTATTCCTAGTTGTGAGCGGTCTACTCCTCGTCGCTAGAAGTCTCATCATCATCGCTGCTGGATTCGTTCTCGTCGGTGTCGATCAGACCGGACAAATCGAACACGGTCTTGGTGCGGGCGGCGGCGGAGGAGCCTTCCACCTCGTCGCCGTCCTTCGAGACACGCTGGCTGTCCGCGGAAGCAGTAGAAGAAGGGCTCTTTGCGCTGGTCTTGACGGCCTTGACGGCCTCCTCGCCGTCACTCTCCTCGTTGTCCTTGGCCTTGCCTTCCTGCAACTCCTTCATCTCCCTCTCCTCCTCCTCGTCACGCTGCCTCTTCTGCCTCCTCTCAAACTCCTCCTGCTGCCGCTTGTTGTGTGCACCCTGAAGCCACAGCCCCATGAGTGCGCGGAAGCGTGCGGCGAGTGGCTGGTGCTCGGGCTCCTCCTGTAGGAGATTGTTTATGGCGAAGCGACTGTCCGCAAAGTCCTGGCCTCGGCCCTCCGCATAGGCTCTGGCGACCTGGGTCATCAGAACGGTGAGGTGGTGCTCCCGCAGGCTGGTCGCGGCCGGGGTTCTGGGACGACCTCGCATGGACTCTGGGCAGAGCTGAAGCTACAAATATTGACGTCAGTGGGATGACCGGACAGTGTCGATGGTTGTGCAATTGGGGGTCGATTCTTTTCATGCACATCTCGCTCTGTGGTCTGAGCTGTGGGTCTGAGCTGTCGAAGGAATGGGACGTCCAGTGCGGATTTGGAAGGTGATCATCACATACTGTGGCATCAACCATGAAGCTGGCAGTTTCAGAAGCAACGGCGGGGCTGAGGATGCCGATGACAATCTTGATGGCCTCATTGCGATTGGCGAAGGCCATCTCAGGTGTCGCCTCGAGTGCAAGGGTAGTGTTGTGGTCCATGGTGATTGTTTTCAAGGTCTGAAGTTGTGGGAAGCATAGATTGCAAGAGAAGTGCCAACATTAACAGAAGTGTCGAGATTGATCAAATTGGAATGGAAGACTTGTGCATGGACTTCGTTCACTCAAAGATCAGGTGTGCTTGCAAACGAAAAGCAAGTGAATATCGATAAGACCAGGCCTGACAACACTGATTCCTACACCAATTCGGACGGAACACAGGACACAGTCTGGATGGTTGTTTGAGAGTCGCAAACAAAAGAAGCTCTCTATTGCAGCAAAGGACAAGCATGTTTGACATTTCTGTTAGCACTTTTGTTGATAATATTCACTGTAGCCGAGTTGCATCTGGTATCATGTATTGATTATTTACTCATGGATGATGATCAACATGATACGTGTAGGCAGCGTAGACAGTCTGCATACAACATTGGCAATGATACTGTGTCCTGTATTGAATCACTCCAACATTACTATCTGTTGAATACCAAGCTTGGACTCATCAGAGCCTGGCTCACTACGGACATCGGTATGAGCAAGTCTACACTCAGAGGCTTAAAGCCACTGTCGGTTATTCACACTTCACCATCATAATTGACACTCACCTTCCGCATTGAGTCGCGAATCTGTCCCATCATCCAGATCCCATGAATATCTTGTTGTCATTAACTAAGAGACTCTGGAGCCGAACATGGACCCGGTTTGGTACACATCAAGCATGTAAGTCTCCATCACCTTGCAAATGGTCAGCAGTATTGTCATCTAGTGTATTCACATGAAGCTTGAGACCCTGACATGTACCACATGCTCGACCCGTCCCTTCCTCTTCACCGACCTCAAGGCTCTTGGACTTTTACAACCAATCTTTCAATAACAACATATTTACGTCATACCTACCAGGGGGAGGGGGGGTTTTCGTTAATATCGCAATACTATATCAATGGAATAGCGACATAATAGTGATATACATTTAAGGTTCTGACATGCTTTTTTTATATATACATTGCATTATTTACACGTTACTAATATATAAACATTCCTAACATATTATAATATAATGTTAACCTTAATATAATATTAATTTTTAATATAGGGGTTTAAAAAAAATCCCTTTTTTTTCTCATCCCCAACCTAACTATTTATTTATTATTTACTAGCTTATCTATTTATTATAGGAAGATTTATAAAATTATAAAAATATTTAAAAATAGCAATAGGTTCAACGTTAATAAGGTTTAAACTAAAGCTTTTAATATAAAAATTTAGTAACATAATGTTAATGCTAATATAAGTTAATATTAATATAATTTAAAGCCTTGATATATTTTACTTTTAACAGCATTTTAATAGCCTTTTATTAGCATTTCGCTATAATAACAAAATTTTAATTAAATGTCAAAACATAAGTGCATTGCGTGACCCAGTCGAAAACCCCCCTTCCCCCTGGTAGGCATCACTAAGGGTGAGTTGCCAATTCGCTATATCTAGTATGATTAAACTGGAACACAAGGCACGATGTAGTCGAGATGGTGCAGTCATATGATTGCCAAGGTGCGGATGCTGGGGAAAAGGCAGAGCTATCGATTGCGTGCAGGATGCCTAGCCCCAGTAGAGTAGGTCAGGGAAGCCGGGGGCATGAACGGTCAACCGTTTTGGGGAAACGAGCCGGGTTGGGAGGTTGTTGTTCCCCGCACCTGACAGCCACCGCGACGGGCCCTTGGCTGGGCCGCTGACGGGTGACATTGACGGTGACATTGACAGCGCTTGGCCATGGTTTTGGGTTCGCGCCGCAACACGTCACTCGAAGTGTATTGAGAGTCGCTGAGTTAATGTCAAGCTCGATTTCGTCTCATCATATCGTTGGGTGTCTGAAGAATGCAAAACGGCTTTGCTGGCAACATTGGCATCAGATTTGATTTGGCTGCAACAGACGCATTGATTGACGGGGGGGAAAAAAGGAGACGGAGGACTGCAGAGCTGACGGTTGCACACAGACAGGGGTATTGTTCCTGTCCTGGGAAAGTTCCCCCGCGGGGAGAGGTGTTCCTGCCCAGTTATCAGTTCCTCTCTGGTCCTCTAAAAAGGAGCCTGGTAGTTACCCTCTTCCCGCCACCAACAACTGTGCCTCATTACACGGCAGCCTCGAGGCAGCGCAAGCGAAGGATCGCATGGTTGCAATCAGTGCACATGCACACATGAATCTTGATGCCTCATCCGTCCTAGCCCTGCGCAACCTGCTTCCAGCCTTCCAGCATGACACTTGCATTGGGTCGTCAATAACAGCCAGCGAAAACCCCCCTCCTCGCTGCTGACTCTCACCCCCCCCCCCAACACGAAGACCGCGGTTCCGAGCTCCTCCCGGAACCCTCTCTCCACATGTCAACAATTATGCTAGATATAACCCACTTTTGTGCATAGTGGTTTGCTAATTGCTGGTGATGTGAGACATCGGACATCATATCTGTCTCGGCAAGATGCGAGCCTCAGCACTGCGCTCCGCCATCACGGCCTTGATGGCGGTGCCTCTTACCCGTGGCCTCGCCGTTCCAGACGCTGGCACCGATAGCACTTCTCCCTCAGCTGCAATTGCTTCGAGCCCAGACACGAACACGGTCAGGATCCTCGTCTGCGGCGACTCCATCTCCCAGGGAAGGGAAGGGGACTTCACGTGGAGGTACCGTCTGTGGGAATGGTTCCACACCGCCTCCAAAACACAGTCGACGACGACAACACCAACAGCACCAGGTCGCCTGCCACAGGTTTCCCCTTCCTCCTCCTCGTCGTCTTCCTCCAGTTCCAATACTGCCAACGATAACCAAAACACCTACCCAACCATCCAATACGTGGGCCCCTTCAACGGCACCCTCCCCGCCTCGGTAGACGCAATCAACGTCGACCCGACCAACCCCCAGACCTGGGGCACCTACCACCCTACCGTCTCGCCGCTCTTCTCCCCCGGCGGCGGCAGCTCCCACTTCGCCGTCTACGGACGCCCGGCCTGGCAGGACATCGAGCCGCTTCACGCCCAGATCACAACCCACCAGCCGGACATCCTCGTGCTGCACCTCGGCTTCAACGACATCGGCTGGTGGGGACACAACGCCACAGACCTGATCCTCAGCATCCAACGCCTCGTCTTCAACGCCCGCCTCGCCCGCCCGGACATTAAGGTCCTCATCGCCGACGTCTCCCACCGCCTCGCCGTGTCGGGAAGGGAGGACATCGAGGGCATCACCAACCAGTACAACGACCTGCTGGACGCCGGCGCCGCCGAGTGGTGGACCGCCGGCAGCCCCGTCGAGGTCGTCAAGGTCAGCAAGGTCTATGACTGTACGTCTTCCTCTTTTCTTCCTTTTGCCCATTATCTACTCGTAAATCAACTCCTGCTAATTTCGCCTCACCCCTGCAGGCCAAGTAACAGCCTGCCCCGCCGGCATAGACGGCCTGCACCCCAACTCCCTAGGCGACTTCCAGATCGCCCGCGCCTACACCCAGGTGCTGCACGACAAGTTCCACTACGGCGCCGCCCCGCTCGAGGTCCCCCCGCCCGACACCATCCCGGGATTCGCCGCCTCGTCCTTCTCCTCCTCCACGAGCGGCAACGGCAAGCTCGTCGGCGGCCACGCGCCGTCTCCCCCGGTCACGTTCCTCGCCGCCGGCGCGGGCCTGTTCTCCCTCGTCCTCGTCGCCGTGCTGAGGCCCGAGTGGGTGCGCCTGCGGAGGGGCCGCTTCGGCCTGGGCGGCGTCATGAAGGGGCGGTATCACCTCTTGCCGTCGAGGTGATGTGCGGCTGGCAGGGTGGGACGGATTGTGAAGAAAGCGAATACATGCATAGTATGTACGCGCGTAGATACATACCTCGTCATCGAGGTCAAACTGGTGGGGGCCACGGGAGCCAAAGGTCACCACAGACCTTCGCACCACGACGGATTGGATGGTCGGGCGTCGGGCGACGTCTCGGGGGCATCACGAATGATACTGGAGCAGCAGGAAGCTCTCCGCCATCTTCTTTTCTTTGCATAGCCAGCTTGGACCGGGATGAGCAGCCCCTCCAGGCGCGGAGGAGGAAGAACACATATTTGTACGGGAGCTTGCACTTAGCGTGGCGTACTGACATGGGATGCAAGAAGACGGATGAGACCTATGATATTGCGAACTAGCGGGCGTCGACTCTGCTGGTCACTCACGACGAGGAGTAGATGGATAGAGCTACAGAGAGACGGGGGTGCAGGTCGTTTGGGGAGTCACATTCCCAACCAACCAGCCTGGACGGCGAGACGGAAGTTGATGTATTTTCAGCATTTAATGCCTACGGCACGTAAATAGAGTGATATCAGACAACACAGGGGGTCACCCATCCCATGTTCACAATCGAATGAATTCAAAATGGCAAGCAAGCACTTGGTGAACGTTCAAAAATTTGGTTTCAACGGTCGAGATGTTGGTATTAAACTAGAAACCCGCCCGATCGACGTCTTGCCGACGGGGGAGTGCACTCTTTTTCGCGTTGCAAGACGGTGGTAGTATGTGTACCAAGAAAACAATTGGAAATCCCCATGACACAGACAAACAGACAAGCAGGAAGACCAATAAGTTCGAAAGTTTCCCCAGAAATCAGGCGAAAAGAAACAAGACTTGATATCATCCCATGCATTAATTACATCACAGCCCGACGCAAACTCCCTTGGATATGCAGATAGATCTAAAAGAACCCAAGATTCCAGGCTTATACCGAAAAAAACAAGGAAGAAGAAAACCCAAGAAAAGAAGTCAAAACGTAATAACAAGCAAAATGTAACACGCAAATATGCCAGAAAAAGAAGAACATCCCCTTCTCTCCGCCACACAAGATTCTATACACCCTCAATTTGGGTTCCCTAATTCCCTCACGCCACTCACATGGCATGAAACCCGCCCATCATCTCCTGCTCAGCAGCATGGTCTTGGGCCTGGGGAACGCCATACCCCGGCGTCATCGGGCTGATGTTGTTGCCATTATTATGGCTCGCCCGCCCGCCGCCGCCCGACCGGTGGTGGTTCGAGCCGCGGGCTCCCATCCCTTGCTGTTTGTACAGCATCGCCCGCTCCACGGGGGTGAGCGGGGACACCATGTCGTCCATCTCGGCCGCCTCGATGGCCGCGAAGTCCATCACGTCCGTGCCTCCCGATGCTGATGCGGCTGCTGCCGCCACCGCTTTTGGTGGCTCGACGATGGTCGGGGAGTCCTGCATCTCCTGCTGCTGGTAGTTTTGCGGGATCGAGCCCGGCATCGGCGGCTCGTCCCTCTTGGTGTTGTTCGACTGCAGCGGCGAGTGGATCATGGTGATGGGCCGCGACGAGGGCTGCCGCGGCGTCTCGGGCGCGTCGTCAAACTCCTCGTACGAGTCGTACTGCGAGTCGTTCGGCGCCTCGGCGTGCTCCTCCACTTCTTCTGTTTCCTCGTCGTCCGTCTCCTCGTCCTCCTCCATGTAGAACGTCTCCCTGTAGGGACTAGCTTTGGACTGCTGGGACTGGCGCTGGGACTGGCGCTGGCTGTCAGGCGACGGCGGCGGCTGCTCGAGCTGTACGGGTGGTGGTGGCTGCAGCCCCGTGCTGTACAGGTACTTCAGGTTCTGCGCCTGGTGCGGCCGGAGCGTGCTTTCCTCGTCGTTCTCGGCCTCTTGGTGGTCGTCGATGTGTTCGTCCACGTCCTCTGCGCTCGAGCCCTCCGTCATCGACCCGCACGACCCCGCCCGTGAGAGCTGCCCGTCTTGTTGTCCGCCTTGGCTGTTCCTGGCGGCCTTGGGCTCCACGATTGTCTCCCCGCTCTCGTCGCTTTGCGGCTCGGCTGCTTCAGAACTCAGGTCCGGCGAGGTCCCTGCGCTCGTCTGTCCCAGGCTCAAATCCGGGCTGGCACCGGCACTGCCGCTCACGGAGAAGGTGTCCTCCGTGACGGGTGTGAAAGGAGGGAACGGTGGCAACTGGGGCGCCATGCTCTGGACCCTCAGCCACGGTGAGACCGGTGGTAGGGGCGCGTCCTTACTCATGTCACTCCCGGACGAGGTAGATCTGCCATTCGATTTGAGGCTCGGGCCAGGAATCGGGGGCGGTGGCGGGGGCGACCGCATGTTGGTGCTGGAGCGGGCGAGGATGTTCTCTTTGCTGTTTTCTCTGCTATGCCCACCTGCACTTCCCGGCCTCAGCGTGCTTGCTACCCGTCGCAGGCTGGCTCCCAGCCCAAGGTTGCTCTTCTTCCGGGTCGCTGAAAAGCCCGCCTGCACCAGTGGCGGGCTGGTCATCATGTTGGTCCCAAGAATCGGAGACTCGGGCTGGTTGGACTTGAGACTCTTGTTCGAGCGCTTCAGGCGCAAGGCATGGACAGCCGATCCCGGGAGTTCGCTGGGGTTCGACGATCCAGGACTCGTAATGCTCAAAGGAGGGGTGTTACTGACGCTCGTCGGTGCTGTGATTACACTGCCACTGCTACTCCCCGGTGCGGTACTGACTACATCTGTCAGAGCGGTCGTGTGAGTAGCGGTGCTGGCGTTGCTATCGCTCCTTTTGTGTTGACGCTGTACAGGCTGGGCACCGCGTTGGTTAATAGGCGGATGCACAGCTGGGTGGCTCGGGAAGATTGACTTCGATGCCGCTGCAGGTGATCCAGTGGATGAGCCCGTCACGGCCGTGTTTGTCGTCGAGTCGCTCCGTGTCCTGCTATGGCCCAGTTTCGACGGCTCGTAAGTGCTGACTGTGCCCGCGCGGTTGAGGTGTCCTGGTCCAAGGTTGCTGTTGCTGGTGCTCTTACGCACAGCCCCAGTTGCGTTCGCCACGTTGGTCAAGCTGTTGCTCTTCCTGACCACGTGCGGCAGGCTGTTGGTTCTCGACGCGCTCTTGAAGCTGCCAGACCTGTCGCGGGCTTCACCGCCAAAGGCTTTGCGGACGACCAGCTCAAACTGGCCCAGCATGGTGGGATGGTTAACGATTTCTTGCATAGTGATGCGGAAACCGTCCAGATTGCCTCCAAACACATTGGTAGTCAGATCTCCGACCAGTCGCTCGGGGATCGTCTCGGTCAGGAAGTCGGCCAGCTGTGCGGCAGGTATCAGTGAGCCCCACAGATCGTAGAATGCAGCGGACGTAACATGCTCCTCAGGCACACCGAGGGTGCGAGGATCAAGTGTACTGCGCCAAGCGTCTTCGATGGTGGATTGGATCGTTGTTGTCTGGTCAGGTGACATCTTGCCCTCGAGCTGGGCAAAGTTGACACCAGAGGACCCTCCACTTCCAAAGGGGTTCGAGAATTGGACTCCTTGACCAAATGTCGCAGACGTGGGGCTGTTCGCGAATACGGGCAGCGGGAGCGGGATCTGCTTCGTCAAGGTCGAGTATTGAGCCGCGGTCGGCACGACAGACTGCATGATGCTGAAGCCTGTCAACATGCCAACGTAGCCACAAACCTTGTTCAAAACCTCCTGGGCGAGCGTGGCGGGGACAGACTGCTCCGGGAAAGATACCGTCACCTCAAGATCCTCTTCCTCCTCCCTCCAGCTTGTCGCCCCTGGCAGCTTCCCACCCGCCGTGTTGCCAGCTGCCCCTGCACCGACCTTCCTCTTCACAACCACGCTCTTCACAACGAAGTCCGCCACATCGATAACGTCACTCTCCATCACACTGACCCTGCAGAGCGCCGCACCAAGTCGGAAACTCTTCGTCCGTCCATCGTCTACAAACACCGTCTCCGGATCCGTACGGTGCTGTACAACCGTGCTGATTCGCGTCCAGTAAGGCCACGGGGTACACTTTTCGATAATGTCCATCATGCCGAGATTCTCGTATGGCACACCGGAGGATCTTTGCTCAGCAATGCATTTGAGTAAGTTCAGCGGGCTCGTCGGTGAGTCGGCAAATCGCACGCGCACTGGCAGGATGGTAGAGGTGGGACCGAGGACACCGCCGCGATTGACGCTCGAGGGTCCGAGATGGTGTTGTAGCCGTGAGTGGCAGCCCTCCACAACCTCACCGAAGACAACGTCTGGTGTGCCCGAGATGCTGGCGAGAACCATCCCCCACGCAGCTTTGAGTACCGTATCAAAGCCAATGCCAAGACCACCCATGGCGGTGGAGCTGACCGGCACCGTTTCTCGCAGTGTGCGAACTCCACTGCTCAGCTTCGGCGGCTTAGGATGCCGCACCACGCACGTTGGCTGCGCGCCTTCCAACAATCCGCGCCAGTACCTCTCTGCCTCTCCGCCAACGTTCGCAAGTGCTGCCTCGCGGACGAAATCCGCGAACCCAGGGCGGCGAGGTGGGTTCTGCCCACCGTCATACAGTTTCTTCAGGTCCTTCACAAGCAACCCAATCGACACATCGTCGTACTGCGCGCGTGACAGTCTCAACACGAGAGTGCTCGTCTTGCCGGCGTCTAAAAACATAAACTTGGTGATCGGCCTCGCAAACAGATCCAGCTGGTTCCTGCTTTGCAACTTCTCGCGATCACGCTTGATCTCCTTCTCAACCGCTGCATTAAGGCGCCAGCTTTGCACTCTTGGGATGCTCTTGAAGTCAACACTGTGGTTCTTCAAGACAGCCTGGTACACCTTCCTTGTCTGACCTTCCACATGGGGGATAAAGGCGGTGCGGAGAATTGGGTGTACAGATGCCAGAATCTGGCAAACTTCCTCAATGCGCCGCGCAGACACTGAGGTGGTTGAGCTGGCGGCTGTGAAGTGGAAGACAAAGTAGTTGATACTTGCCGGGCCCTGTCCGTGCGCAATGGACGAGGACCGTTGAGGACCCTGAGTGAGCATGGCAGTCTCAATGTGCCGAATCTGTGTTGATGTCGCTTCGGCAACGTCTCTGATCAGGATGGGTTCGATTCCAAGCTTTGGCGCGAGAGTGCCCTCAATAAAGCTCTTTTCGATGACTTGAGGGGCGGGGGCCGTCGCCGCGCTGGGGCTGCTTGTCTCCTCGTACTTTATCTCGGCGGACGCATCTACGGCCTGTTCGATGGATGAGTTATCCTCTGCAGAAAGACTTACATCTCCGGCAGCAAGTTCATAGCGATTGCCGGCCCTGCAGATCTCAGCCAGAGGAACATCACTCAAGAGATCAGAGATGAAAACCGCAGCTCCTTCCCTTCTGCACTGGACCACGACCTCAGCGGCCGAGATCTCGTCGCCGCCTGACTTGATAAAACCATTGGCAGTGTCGATCGCACCTTGCTCGACGCCGAGGACCCTGGCCCAGACGGCCCTGACCTTGTCTGCAAGCTCATTCAGTGGCAGTGTCTTCAGGGCGTTGACACTCTCCACTTGCTTTGGACTCTCCTCCTTCCCCAACTCGAGCAGCTGGTCTCGGGAGAGGCCCTTGATGACCTTCTGCAGCTTGCGGCGATTGACCTTGAGCGAATATGTTGTCGGGAGGTGCCGGACAGGGATGAAGATCTTGGGGATCATGAAGTCGGGTACGACACCAGACAGGGCCTTTTCCACAAGGTTCCTGGAGACAAAAACACGATGCTTGATCTCAGGTGTAAGATTCGACAGGTCGAGACTGTGTTGGCCAAGGGCTGTGTTGCCATCGCTTCCTAGTTCAAGGAAAGCCGCGCCAAGGTTGGGGACCTGCTTCGCTCGCCCTTGAAGGCAAGCGCCTCAACCATCACATCGACTCCCGGTCCCAGCGCCCGACGGATTTGCTGTTCAAGCTCGGCAAGATTGACTATGCGCCCATTGATCTCAAGGTCGTCACGCTTAGACGAGACGTACTCCATTAGTCCACCTTCAATGTAGCGCACACTGTGGCCAGTCTTGTAATAGCGCTTCTTGCTCTCTTTCTGCTCGTCCGACGCCACAGTGTCATCAAGGCTTCGATGACGACTATGGCCTTGCGCATTTGCAGCAGAGAAGGGACTGCGACTCTCGGGAGACACCGGCGTTTCTGCTACGTCCCGGGTGTCCTCGTGATCGCCGCTCAAGTATGACCGTCGGAACGTTCTGCCCAGCGTTGGTCCTTCGATAACCATCTCTCCAACAGCGCCAACGGGCATGAGGTTTCTGTGATCTTCCCCAGACACGATCCATGCAGAGCCTGCGATCGGTCGTCCGATGGCTTTCAAGTGATGCGGGCCATGGATTTCCAGGAAAGAAATTCCCAGAGGGCAGACATCCGGTGCACCGTACGCCATGATGACCCTCTTCCTACCGCGCCACGGGGCATATGTATCCTCATCGAGCCCACGTGTGCGGAAACATACCGTCTTAAGGGACGGCAAAAGGTCAACATTGAGCTTTCGGGCGAGCAAAGGCGTCATGTAACTCCAGGTTGCGCTGAACCTAGTCACGCAACCGGTGTAGTCGTTGTACCTGTCCCTAGAGGTCGGAATGCATATGGTACCGCCACTGACAAGCGTCGTGAAAATCTCGGCCAGTGCAACATCGACATTGAAGCTTGACAGCTGGAGCACGCGTGTCGTATTGTTGATTCCTGCTGCAGGCCCTTGTCCGATGAACGCGGTTGATAACGATGCATGCGTGAAGCTGATACCGCGGACTGATCTGGAGGACGTCGCTGTGAAGTAGACACAAGCCACATCCTCGGGCTTGCTAGGCGGAAGCAGTTGCCCAGGTACGGGCGCGTCGCGCTCAAGTCGCTTCATGAGGGCATCGTCGAGGCGAACCACACGGTCGAATAGAGGCGCTGGTTCCGTGACATTGTCCAGGGCCTCAGCAGCGGATGTGCACGCGACAGCAACCCGGCAGCTCGAACCTAGTTGCTCCGCAATCTTTGCAACAAAGCCCATTTCGTCTGCATCCACAGGCACAAAAGCCGCACCGACCTTCAGAACAGCAAGGAGGGCTACAGGGGCCCACTTGGACTTGTCAAGGATAACTGGTATGGCTGCTTTAGTGTTTCCTTTGGGTACCACGCCAGCTTCGAGGAGAACGTGTGCCAGTCTGTGCGAGAGGACTTCGACCTGAAGGAAAGTAAGGTCGCCGTCGTGTGCACAGATTGCTTTTGAGTCGGGGCGGGTGATACTCTGCGCGAATACCAATTCATGCAGAAGGGTTCTCTGCTGATTCTGGGAGTCTTTGTCGGCCGGTGTAGTCCAGTTAAGTATCTGGGCATAATCGCGGTCAGAAAACAGGTCAAGGGATCCGATGTGTGCAGATGGCACTGTGCACTTGATGATGGCGCTGACAGCTCTGCCAAATGTGTTCGCAATGTTGTGCGCCTGAGTTTCGGAAAGAATGGAGTGTCCAACATCGACGACCAGTCTGCCCGTGGCGTTACTAAAGCGAGTGTTGATGGTCAAGTCGTAATCACTTGTTTCGTGGTTCAGCACATTTCGCAATTCAAAGTTCGTGCGAGAACCGAGGCGACTGTTCAGATCTGAAGGCTCCTCTGTGAAGGATAAGACAGAATTAAAAAGCTGGACATCAACGGCGACTCCTTTCTTTCCGCTCGCGAGTGCGTGTCGGACCTCGGCCATGGTGATATGCTGGTGTGGCAGGGCGGCGTTGTACACGTCTTCGATCTGCTTCAAGACGATGGCGAGAGGCTTGAAGGGTGACAGGTCGAAAGCTACAGCGATGGTGTTCGCGAAGCAACCCACCGCAGCCCTCATTCCCTCTAGGGTGGCTGATCGTCCGGGAGCTCTGTAGCCAAAGCAGACGGAGCTGTTGCCAGTGACGGTCCGCAGTACCAAGCCCCATGCCAGCCTCAGAATCGCGCCTGTGGTCGTCTTGTTCGCTCTCCCGAACTCCGCAACCTTGAAGAAGGGGACGTCGTTGATTTCTACATGGGCGTTGTCGTATCGTCGAGAGGCCGTTGTATCTTTGCTCTCACCGCCATAGTAGAAATCCAGCCTTGGGAAAACGCATGGCTGCGTAACGCTGGCCAACGTATCCCGCCACCAGCCGATGCTCCTGTCACGATCCAATCCGCGCAGGATGTCAAGGTAACCAGAATAAGAAAAAACCGAGGCATCACCACTTGTCACTGGCAATGCTCGTCCTGTAGCGTACCCCCTTCTCAGGTCAGCGATGAGAGTGTTCACGCTCATCATGTCACACAGAGCCGCGGAGACATCCAGCTTGATGACAGTCTTCATGGGCGAGTGGCACACTGTGAGTCGGTGCCGTGGAACACTCTTCAGTGCAGGGAAGGCCGTTAGCGGAGGAAGGTTGTTCAAGGTATCGACGGGATCTTCGCTGGGCGTCGCATCGAGGAAGAGCATGTTAGGGCTCGATCGTCTCAGTATGACAGCGTTGTAGAGCCCTTTCTCGGCAACACTGTCAATGAAGACGGTCCTAAGTGCAGGATACCTGGCGACGACTTGACCCCATGCTGCACAGATCCGCTCGAGGTCAACTGGCGCACCATCTGAGCTTGCGAACTCGTACATGGTGTGAATATGGCAGGCATTCGCGTTTCCGTTGTTACTCGGGTTGGGCACGTAGTTATAGCTATCGTGGACGCCCGCTCCTCCGGCATGGAGGCGCATCTGACGATCTTGGGACACCAAAACACTCTGCTGCACCGGTGTCAGTGGAAATACGGCCTCGATATCCTTGACGCTGCTCAAGCCCAGATCCGCAACGATCACTCGGTTCAATCTGTCCAGACCCTCATACGTAACGCCCGTGGCCCACAATTGCGGGATGTCAGCCAGTGTGAGCTCCGGCTCGTGGAAGCGAAGACGGCCAATGGCCTCGAGGAGGAGATGCTCATAGTTGTTGATCCAGGCAGTGATTTTGTCTGCATGAAGGGAGTTTCGGTTGTAGAGAAATTTGATCTTGGCGGACCCCTGATCGATTGTGGTGTTGACTTCGAAAAGAGCGATGCGTCCCACAGCAGGGCCAATGTCGGACGTGCGCGAATCGAGGGTACGTCCTGGAAGGATCATCTGTTCGAGAACACCATCGCCATTCAGCGGGTCCTTTCCGAGGTTCTGCAAGCTTCCGGCATAACTGAAAAGGATTTCAATGGGCCAGTCACGCGTTGCGATCTGGAGAAAATTCGGAGACCACCGCCTGGTGCCATCGATTCCGCTCGAGCATTCGTTGTCGCCAGGGAAAAACTTGCTGGCAAAGTAGTGTGCACCCCGGTGCGGAACCGCCCGTCTGGTGTCCTTCATGCGCCGCAGATTATCGATGAAGTCACTTGCAGGGGTGATCTGCTGATTCAGGGGACATAGCGTCGTAAACCACCCAACCGTCTCAGTTATGTCAATGTCGTTACTCCAAAGATCGCGGCCATGCTCCTGATTCCAGATATCTGGTACATTCCTGTCAGGGAATGTTTGTGCAAAGGAGAGCATCAGTGCGGCAACGTAGATATCCACGGCATCTGTCTGCAGAACTTGGCAGCAGGTCGTCTCCAGGATAGAAGTCAGCTCCGCGGTCAGCGAGAAGCTGGCCTCGTTGGCATCTCCGTACGTATTTGGCGCATCAGACAAACCCCAGTAGCTCAAGTCTCCTGGACAGATTTCGAAAGGCAGCCCACCCGAGGGCAGTTGTGCGTCCAGCTTCTGCAACTCGGTCCACTTCTGGAAGGGCATTGACCTCTGAGACAAAAGGCTGCCGCTCTGGAGGAGCTCGTCCAGGTCCCGGATGATCAGCCGCCACGACACCAGATCGACGACGAGGTGGTGTGCGGCTAGATATACCATCTGGTGCCCGTCCGCCGTAGAAAAATGTGCCACAGCAAAAACAGGCCCATCTTCAATATCGAGGGATGTTTGAACCTGGTGGACCGCGGATTCAAGCTGCTCATTCGTGCTGACGGTGTAGTGCGTAAAGGAGTATGAACTGTCGACCTCAGGTAATATGCGCTGGATCCACTCGTTGCGAACATGGGAGAACCTTGCTCTCAGCATGGAGTGATGTCCGACAACCGCGTCAGTAGCGGCTGAGATGTCTTGCACGGAAAAGCACTTTGCCACGCGTAGCAGAAGAGACTGGTTGAAGCGATAGCTCCCATCAGCAGCAGCGCGGCTGACTAAGTCGCCGCCCATCGTGGTGTTGAAGTACAGCTTCTGCATGGGCGAGAGTTCGAAGTAATGGTACGGCGAGCTGTCCTCACCGTCGACGGCGATTTTCTCTTCCTCCTCGGCGGCCCATTTGTGCGCCAGCCCGCCTCTTTGGGTAGCCAGGGTGGCAAGGTGGGCCAGCGTGTTGTTCGACTGCAGGATCTCGTGGCTTTCCAAGAATATCGACTCAACTCTCGCGTTTGTGACGAGTGCCATTGCGGTGACCTCGTCACCTCCGAACTGCGCAAAAGTGAAGTTCATGCCCACCTGATCTGGTGGTACCTGTAGTACTCTCGCGACCAACTTCTGTACACTCTTCTCCATCTCGGTGGCCGGTGGCTGCAGGGGCTGATCAGTGCACAGGCTCATGACCTTCTCGTAGACGTCCTGATTGGCATTCTGCACCCATGTGCGAAGTTTCCTGCGGTCGATCTCACCAGAGTCGGGCAAGGTAGGTCGTCCAGGGGCACCCACACTTCTGGTATGACCTTTGCCTCAACGGTTGGTAATGATATGAGGTTATGCTTGATAGTTGCTATCTGGGAACCGGCGAAGAACATCTGCGACGGTGATACGAGCTCGACCTTGGGGGAGTCCGGTTCCCGGGGCGGAATGCTGCTTAGTGTCAGGCAAGCGACCAGTTTCTCATCAAAGAGGCCGGCCCGTGGCTTCAGAAACGACTACTTTTGATACTGCATTTTCTGAACCGAGGAATAGTTCAACCTCGCTCGGTTTGTCAAGATGAATTACTGGTGTCGCCGATGTGGCGCTTGCGCTCCGCGAGTGTCCGTGGGGCTCCTGTCGCTTGGGCCGTAGTCGATTTGAATCCATGCGGCTGGCTCGATGTATCTTCTCCGGGGCAATCATGACAGATGCCGAGCGCATGTCGACCTCGGGCCCTTCGCTGTCCTCGTCTTCCGAAGAAGAGTCGTGGTCGTGGTCGTGGTCATGGTCATGGTCGTTGCTGTCAAGCTGGACAAGTGAACCATGCAGGGAATGTGCAGAGTACGGTATCACGCGAGTTTCCACATCAGCAAGAGTCTTGGAGCCGGCTATCACTTTGGTCTGGATGGTAACGTCCTCCTCCGCGAAAGCCTTGGTGAAGGGCGCACCCTCGTTCGTCGCAGCTGACTCTTGATCCCCATTACGACCAGACAAGGACTCGCGAAGCTTGTCCGGAGATAATGATAGGGAGCTGGCAAAGGAGTCGAGGATGCGGTCCTCCAGCGTGCGGGGCCGAGTCTGTTGCTGCTGGCTGCTGTCGTCCGCGGTGCCGGCGCGCTGCTCAGGCTGCCTGGCAGATAAGGAAGTGGTGTCGATCCGAGGCAGAGAGCTCCGCTTGGCTCTCGACCGGTCGTCTGCCATGACGAGTATGAATGGCGTCGTCGAATGCGAATGAGTATGGTGTTGAGTTGAAGAAATATCGTGCACGAGGGTTTAGGGTACAAGGATGTGCAGGGAGGGGTACGTGCAATGCCAACAGCAAGATAGCGAGTGACCGCGTCAGCGCAGGCAAGGTGAGGTGAGTTTAGGGTAAGCAACGCGGAGACTGTTGGCCTTGGATCGACTGGCAGGTCATTGCAAGACACAGCGCTGCAGACAAACAAAAACGGACAGGCTGGGTATCTCTGGTATAGTACAGTGGCCTAGGCCCAGATGGAAATAACGGAAAGGAGACGGCTGGCTATCAGTTTGATATGCCAACATGGATGATAGGAAAAGGCGTCAGTGGGCACGTCAGGCGGGCGGTAAGGGAGAGAGGCAGAGTAGAGTAGCTGTCGGAAGAATGGGAGACGAAGGTTGAGAGTAGGAGAGAGGGAAAAAAAAGTCTAATGCAGGATGTCAGCAAGATTGGGTTTGGTGGGAGGTTGGTGAGAAAAAAGTGACAAGACGGCTGACAAGGGACTGACAGCTGATGAGAGGTTTGACCAGAAGGGGAAGGGCAGAGAAGGAGGATTCCAGGGACCGCTTGGAGAAGGAGAGGCGACAGGCGGCGCAGGAATACAGAGACGTGAGAAAGGATCCGTCTTGGTGTGTCGATGTGGGTGGTGGAAGCGGATCCCGAGGTGTCAATGTCACTCCAGTGGGTGGCAGGAGGTGATACAGATCAGGCACCATGTAATCTGGGCTGGTATGTGTGTACGTATGTATATGGACAACGGATGTGTGTCCTGAGCTGGGCGGGGTGGCTGCCCTGCCTCACGAGGTGTCTCTCAATTTCTCAAGATGACATGACGCCCAGCAGACACGGAGCTGTGCTGAGCTGAGCTGCCTGCAGCGCGGTGCAGTGACAGAACACAGCGCAGTGTACAGTATCGAGTGCATTCTGCAGTCTGCATTCTGCATTCCCCACCCTGCACCGGGCGGTTCATGCGGAGAGCGAACCAGAGATTTGCGGTGTTCTGCCTCTGCCGAGCAGTTGGTGCCGCGCCCCTGCACCCAACAATAGCATCTGCTGATGGCGGCTACGTGGTGGTCGAGATGCCAGGACAAAGACTAGACTACTCCCGCTACGGTCCTCGAGGTCAATCGCAGCGGGCCGTTGAGGGACCGCGGCAGCGGTGGTGTGGGCTTCGCAGGGATACCTGGGCACACGGTCGCGTCTGGCTGCTAGCAGGCACCAGGGTGGTAGAACCGGTGGGTACCTGTAGTACTGGTGGGCATGGACATGGAAGAGCGAGGTGTTGGCTGCTGATGATGCGTGCAGTACCTAGGTAGGTCTATTGCTGACGCTGATGCCGCTGGTGCTGTTGCTCCTGATGCTGCTGCTGGTGTGACCAGGGGCATTGGAAAAGGTCCTGTGGCGGAGGCCCGGCGCTGAAGATGGACCTGAGCATGCACGTAAGACCGGAATTCCACCGTCTTCGCGAAGACTTTCGTCGATGGCGGATTCGTGGCGCCGCGGCGCGAACAACGTCCATGACCTGGGCCCGGACCTCAACCCCAAGCTCAACGTCGACCTCAGGGTCGACCCGGAACATGCGCATTCAGAAGGGACCTGATGATCTTCTGCCCTTGGTGGTGCGAGCGCGTGAGATTGGAAGTGCCCACAGGATGTGGCTATCCTGCCATGCCATGACGACAGGCTCCGGCCAGGTGAGAAGGGACTCAGTCAGAGCGGGATCGAGGCCGAGCTCACCTCAGCCTCGGTTGTGCAACTAAGGGCCAGAAACGATGGCTGTGTGCACTTTAAACAGTACTGTGTGTGTGCCCGTATGCTGGTATCGTGCAGATCTAAGCAACAGATTTCGACAGTGAGCGAGCATGCATCTCAGGGCCGCCCATCCCCTGTCGAGACATGGGCTCTCGCTGTCTGCCGCACGCAATCGCCTTACCAGCAGATGCAGACATGCGTGGCCAAGGACGTGGCCATCGGGTTGGGGGCGAGAGTGTGGACGGGTGGCGGCCGATTCTACGGCCTGCTCATTCATCAAAGATCATGTCAGTCAGCCCTGGGCCGCGTCCGGGGCCAGGGAGCGGCGTTTGAGCCTCCAAGATCACCCACATTAGAGGGCAGGTGCTGTGGATAGTGGCGAGGCCTGTCCGGAGTCCAGATGGGCCTTTGGGTCTGGTTAGACGCGCGATGCAACCGTGGCATAGAAATAATACTGTAGAGCAGACTGAGTCCGACCGAGCGAGTGGGTCGCAGCCACGATGCAGCCACGATGCTGCTCAGACAAGCCTGTCCTGGCTGTTGACTCGCGACCAAGGACAGGGCAGTGGATGTGAGCGTCGAATGCCGATTGATCATTGAACATGAAAGACGTACTCGCGCCGTCGTCGAGGTTGGCATTCTGGATTGGAGGCTACAGTCATGATGCATGCAGTGGTCCCAGGTAGACTTGTGCAGGGAGGAGCCGGTGCAAACAAACAGCCTGGAGGAGCGGGATCAGAAACAGAAACAGCCAGAAACAGCAGCAGCGACCATGACGGGCCGGGGGGCTGTGAGCTCCTTCCCTGCCCCGCCCTCACCCGCTCTGCCCCTGCCCTGCCCTGCCCTGCTGAATTTAGCCCGTCAATGTGCCCTCGATTGGTCAACCAAGTACCCCATGCAGCCCTGAATGCCCTGAGGGCCGCCCAAGAACAGCCCGACACTACCTCCAGGCAGTCAGATTCCTGGGTACCTATACCTAGACACCTGCAGGCCTTGCAGTAGTGGAAGGAAGGTCGGCTGTGTCGGCCCAATCCAGAGCCGTTATCGCGCATAGTACGTACCTCGCGCGGTTAAGCAAGGCTGTTTCACCAATCAGAAAAGCCTTCTTCTCGGCTGTTCCCTTAGTGGCTTGAACTTCCCCACTTGCCCAGATACCGTGGCACCTTATCTCCTGCAGGGTACGTACCGACGACCCTGACCCGCAAGCCTCAATTCTTGAGTCGCTGCGCCTGGAGTTCTCTGCTCTCTGAACAGCGAGACCCTGCCAGGCCTGCCCGACACCGATGATCAATCTCCACCACGGTCCATGTCCAATGTCCATTTTTGAGCACCAACAGCACCCAGCACCCGCACCAACACCAACACTTGAGGAGCTCTTTTCCCCCGTCGCGAAAATCACATCACATCTGACTTGACCGATGCAACGTGGTCAAAGGACACTACCAACCAACACGCACATTGGCCTCCCCCTTGGAACCACACGAAATCACACGAGCCACCAGGGCCACCACGCACCGCTGCCGGTTCTGCTGCATTCCTGGTCTGCTGGTAACCCAAAACTGCGCGAAGGATTCCGGATCCCCCTGCCCCTCCTGCGCAATGACAGCATCTGCCCGGCCCAATCGCCGTCCACCGGTGGTGGGGGAAGGGGACCCGGACACCTGTGAGCTGCGAGCTGCGAGCTGCAGCAGCAACGACCATGCCGTTCGCCCAGATTAGCTTACGCGGTGACACCTCCATCGGGGCCTTTCTGTCTGACTGTTCTGGCTATGTAGGGCCTGACTATTCCCCCGACTCGCGCACCGCAGCCCGTAGTCGCAATACGTGCTGTGTGATATAGACGCAGCTGGCCGTATCACATCAGAGATGATGATCAGAGATGATGTTTGCGTGCCGAAGTATGCCTTGTGTTGTGCCGCCCTGTCGTCATCTCATCCTGCCAGCTGCACGAGGGAGAAGTTCAATCACGGGCAGCACCGAAGGCCATCCTTTCTGGGCAAAATCAAGGTGATGACAGCAGAATGCATCAACATGCGCACCGTACCGGCTGCCCGGTGCATGAGTCGCATCGGGAACGGGGGTTTGATGGATCGCGGACCACCAAGTTGGGGGTCTCATGTCGGGCCTCGCCTTCGGAGGCCGTCTTGGGATCATCACCAACATCAGCAGCAGCAGCAGCATCATCACCACCACCCGCTCTGGCCTCAGGATCAACACGCGAGAGAGAGATATTAAAAGGTGAAACTTCCCTCCAGGCCCCAACGCTCATCCCAAGGCACAATCACTGGGCAGGGCATTCTTGAATTCGTCCTCCCTCGGGTGGCAAGGTCACCCTGCCCACCTTGCCCGCGCACCGTCGTGAAGCCCACACCGGCCAAGAGCTGAGGCCCTCGCAGCTGCTCTCCCTGCCCAACTGCCCTCAAGCCGGGCATTACATGGGTTGGCGAGCGGTGCTTGTTCACCAACACCACCCAACCAGCCAAGTCAGTCAGTCAGTCAGTCAGTCAGTCCAGCCAGCCAACCAGCCAGCCAGCCAGCCAGGCTGGTTTGGGCTAACGTCGTCGTCGACATCCACTTGTTGACGCCAATACCTTCCACAATCATCCAACATCATGTTCTCGGCCTTTGTCTCCCCTTGCATCAGCGCCACTGTCAGTCCCCACGAGCGGGGCAGGTCGGCTGCTAAGGCGGAGGGAGCTATCATTTGAGCCTCGTACCTGCGCCGCAGGATTCGGATGCTTCAGAAGGATTCGCAATGTCGATGCCACTAGCACCTGTAGAGCCCGTCAATCTTGTTTCTCACGAGCTCCGGACAAATGAAAGCAGCCATCACGACTGCCTCGATGTCCCATTAATCAATGCGCGAGACAGCCAGGCCTCTAACTGACTGCCACATGCCACCCACTGCGTCCCTTCCATCTTGTCTTCCACGTGGATGGCGTAGACACGGGCTGAACGGGTAGGCAAGGTACTTTTGTCCGCCCCGACGAACCATTCCGGGGTCCCGCCGAGCTTGCAGATTTGCATCTCCACACTGGCTCAGATTTGACTCTCCAAGGCTTAGCACGGTCTCCCGTCTGCACGAGGCCCGCACCGGGTCACTGCTTTCGACGCAAAAGGCCCGTGGGGCAAACTGACGTGGAGTGCCGGCCCGCACGGTCGGATCCTCTTTCCGATGCTGCGACCAGGCGCCGCGCACGCTTGTGACGCCCTCGTGCAACGAGGCACGTCAACGCCTTGCCTGCGGGCTTCACTGAATGCCTCACTGACTGCCCAGGCAATATCGAGATGCAGCGACCTTTCGAGTTGCACGGGACCGGATACACCAGCAGCAATATTCGGCAGCCGCTCTTCCCATCACTGCAAATCACTCAGCCCAGAATGTTTTGGGGGCAAGGGCAAGGGCTGGCGATATTCCCTGGCTGCAGGCAGCCGCGCGACCTGTCGTGGTTGGCCAGATGCTCGCCCGGATCAGCCCAAAAGGGCTGTCAAGTCCGAGTCTACTTGCACGCCCTTGTGCCCTTCCCGAATGATGTTCCCTCTTCGAGAACGATTGCGCGAGCATCTTTGACTCGCCATCAAAGGCCAGCCTCACCGCCGACTACTTGCTTTACGGGTTCTTTTTAAGCTTTGATTATGCTTCCCGGCTCAAGATGCGACCAAATATCGGCGACGACATACCACCTCACCACGGCCACTGCCGGCGAGACCCTCGAAGCTTGGGGGCCACCTCAGGTGGCTATTGTGGTGCGGGCAGGGGCGTTTGGCCCCTAAGGGCCCTAAATAGGCAATTTTTAGCTTCGGAGGTAAACTTAAACCTATTTAAGCAATATACACCTCAAATCCCCTAAATTGCTCGCATTGTTTATAATGCAATATATCTTCTTATATAGGTTATAAAGTTTTATAAAGGTTTTGCTAAGACTTGCATTAAGAAAGCCTATCCTTTAATTTAAATCTTAGAATTAAAGCTAAGTATAAGCCAAAAAGCTTATATAGCGAGAATAGATTAATTAAGCCCTTAAGTTTAAATAAAGCCAAAGCCTATATTATTAAAATAGCGTTATATTAAGCTTACATCATTATATTAACTAAATTATTAAATTCCTTAAATTTACTTACCCTACTTTCTTTATTTTTATATATTTTTAAGCTAAAATAGCAAAGTTTCGCTTAGCTAAGTATATACCCTTTTTTTAAGCAGCAGATTTAAATCCCAAAACTATAATTTAAGAAATAAATTAATAAACTAATTATGCTTATTATATGCCTTAGTTTGCAATTTCCTTAGGGATTTTATTACCTTATTAATGCTAAGGGTAAAGCAGCTTATATTAATAAAAAAGCATAAAGTATATTAAGAAGCCTTATTAAGATTTAAGATATTATTAAGGAAATAAATAAAAATTAATAACCTAAACTTTAAATTATTATTACTAAATTTAAATTTAAAACTTAAGAACTTTATTTTAAAGCTTACTTTTTTATTATTATAAAAAGAATTTTAAAATTGCTTAAACTTAAATAATTCCTTTTTTAGCTATTTAATATTAAATTATAATAACTTACTTAAATTTAAAACCCTTTTATTATATTTAATAAAACCTTTAAATTATTTTATTATATCCCCTTTTTTTATTAATATCTTCTTAAGACTTTTAAGAAAAAGCTTAAAGAAATATATTAATAATATAAAGTTATATAGCATAAAGATAGCATTTAATAATAAAACCCTTAAAGTTTAAAAAATAAAGGCAGCTTTTTATTTTAAGTTAAAAGGTATGGTTAAAACTAATTAATACTTAAAACTTACTTTAAATAAGTAAGCTTAACTTAAAATTTCCACTT